TAAATAGATGGTGAAAGGAGATTCTAGAAGAAAGTTATGAGCTCTTAAGTAAAGTAATCACTCAAACGAGAGAAGTGTCCAAAGTCAGTTTTTTGACTATAATTTTTTGTACTCATAAGTACAGAAACTGATCTATTATCATTTAATAGTCCTAACTTTCCTCTATCGGATGATATAAAGTAGAGAGTTAAAAGATTTTGTGAAAAAAAGTTATGAGCTCCTAAATAGAATAACCTTTCAGAATAAAGCAATGCTTAAAGCCAGTTTTTTGACTATAACTTTTTGAACTCAACAGCTACAGAAACTGAGCTAGTACCATTTTATAGCCCTAACTCTCATCTATTAAAAAAGAAAAAATTGAAAGAATACATTCTGAAAAAAGTTATGGGTTTCCAAATAGAACGACCTCAAATTTCAATAATTCTAATAAGTGTCTGTTTTTTCATTTAATTTTATCAACTTGAAAAGGTTGGAAAAACATGTTTAATATTATTTAGTAGCCCAAACTCTGCTCTATCGAAAAACAGAAAAAAGTTACTAGAAAAGCAGATTTTTCAAAAAATTTATAAGCCTTAAAGACTTGATGATCTTTGACTTAACAGGGTATTAGCAGGGTATTAAAAACAAAAAATTTCCTCAAAAAAAATTTTTTTTCTCAAAAAATAGCCAAATAGACGTAAAAATAAATAAAAAAAACATGCAAAAATATAGCCACAGCAAAAAGCTTTAGAGAGGCAAAACTGAGTCGCAAATGGATTAATGAAATTAACACCAAGGCTTGTTTTTATTTATAAAGAGGGAAATGCCGATAAGTGAAAATAGAAAAAAAAAAAGAAAATAATGCTTTTAAACAAAAATTCGTTAAAATAAAGAATTGAGTAATGCAATAAAAATTAAATTAAAAGGGTGTCAGACTCTTAAAAACACAAAAAGGGGTCATTAGAGTCTCACTAAATATTTATCTAAACATTTCTACACCTTTAGAGTCTCGATGAGATCCTTTAGACTCGAACACTGAGACTCTAAAGAGCAAACGAAAATCATCAGAATTTAATCCGAACATCCCACAAAAATCAGAATTAAATAAAAACATCTACAACAAAATTCTGGAAATATCAGAAATAAATTTGAACATCTACCATAATAAAATTTTCCGGAAACATCAGAATTTAATCCAAACATCTTCTGAGTCCCCTAATTTAATTTAGAGTTCAGTAGAGGTCGGTAAAATCGCATTCACGGGATCCCGTAACGGGATTTTTTTCAAAAATTTTTGCGGGACAGGATCCCGCGGGATTAATCCCGTAATCCCGATAATCCCGTTCAAAAATTTAACGGGATCCCGCGGGATTTCGGGATTTTCATATAAAAATTTTTTACGCAAAAAATATTGAGGATATTAGAGGATTTGAAGGGATTAAGAGGATTTAAAAGTATATCTGGGTATATTTGTGGTGATATCTGTGTTATAAGAGGATTTTGAGTGATATCGGTGGATTTATGAAGATTTGTAGGATAAGCTGGATCAGGAGGATTAAGGGCGATCTGTAGATCAAGGAAAGTTTGTTACCGGCAGATTAAGTTTATCGATATTTTCGGTATTACCTCGAATCCCTCGTTATCTTTTCAAATCGCTTTATATCTGCCTGATCCTTCGAAATCTCTTAAAATCTACCGATATCCCCTTTAATCCCTCTTGATACATCGATATCTATATTTCCTTTAATTAATCCGTACTATAAAATAGGTTAGTCATTGTTAGTTGTCTGCGGCGCTAACATTGAAGAAGGATAAAGAGTGGTTAAGTGAAGGATTAGTTGATCTGAAGGAATAGAAGAATATCGGTCGATTTACTGGGATTACGGTGGATTCGAAAGATATCCGGGATAGGCAGGAATATCTGGGAATCCAGCAGGCAAAAATTTTGAGAATTCTGGAAGGCCAGGAGACCAGAATTCTTCCATTTTCAGCGCCGCAGGCAATTTACATGATTTATCAAAAATCCCGTAAATTTTGAAAAAATTCACGGGATCCCGTAACGGGATTCTTCTCAAAAAATTTTACAGGACAGGATCCCGCGGGATTAATCCCGTAAATCCCGTAATCCCGATAATCCCGTTCGTCGCTAAAAATACGGGATTTCGGGACAGGATCCCGCAAAATCCCGTACGGGATCCTGTCCCGTGCCGACCTCTAGAGTTCAGCAAAGTTCGAAATTTTGATTTAGGTCATTAGAGTCTTGAGTAAAGAGGCAATTTATTAAAGCAAAAATATATTTTTTAAAAGGTTTTTGGGAGGATGAGCAAAACTATAAAAAGAGCCGGTCATGTATGCGGGACTGACTTGTAGATGACCTCACTAAAAGCGTAAAAAAGTAAAATTATTTTGTGGTTTGAGTATAAATAAATAAATTGATGGGTATATATTTTAGGTTGACATAAAATAGAAATATTAATTATTCAATATTTTTCCGGAAAAGTTGGAATAATTTATAAGGTTTTGCGGAACAAATAAATGTTTTAGGAAAAAGAACGAATAAACTTGTCGGAAGAATCAGAATTAAATCTGACATTCCACAAAAATCAGAATTAAATAAAAACATCTACAACAAAATTCTGGAAATATCAGAAATAAATTTGAACATCTACCATAATAAAATTTTCCGGAAACATCAGAATTTAATCCAAACATTTCAAAAAATCAGAATTAAATAAATCAGAATTAAATCCGAACATATATTCCAGAATTTGGTTGTAAATGTTTTTATTTAATTCTGATTTTTGTAAAATGTTCGGATTAAATTCTGATTGTTGCCGAAAAATTTCTCCGAGCTCTAATTATAATTAAATTTTCCGGAAAAACAAAAAAACAGAAAAATTAAAACAAATAAAAACCAGAATTTTAAACAAACTTTAAATATCAGAATTTTAAATAAACAAACCAGAATCTAACTGAAAGACAATCAGAAAAAAGTTTTCCGGAAAAATAACACAAAAACAAGTTTGTCTTCAATTTATTTAATAAAACATAAATGAAACACAATTTACAATTACAACAAAAGAGTTGTAATCTACAAAAATTTTCTGATTTTTGAGGAAATTTATTTTAAATTTTAAAATTTTAAAATAATTTTAATTTTCAAAAATAAAGATGATTTTATATATTTATTTATTTTTCTTTTTATTTAAAAAAATGTTGCTGATGTGCGACGATGAACAGCTGAGAGAGGACAAAATTGATTAATTAATTTTTAAAAATTTTTAATTTTTAAAGACTTGTTTTTAATTAATTTTCTTGTAAAATTATTCGAGATTCGTCATCCTTAAATTTACTCTCAAATTTTAATTTTGAATTTTAAAAATAAAAAATTTATCGTCCAATTATAAAATTAAAAAACTCACTTTACAATTGACAATTAGAAAGTTTTTTTTCCAAATTTCAACAATAATTTAAAAAAATCTATTTAATCTTACAATTTTCAATTAAAAAATAGCTGCGCCAAAATTTTGTTTTTTACCGTACGGACTGAAACGACAGAATGAAATATGGAGTATCGTGTTGTTAAGCCAAACGCCAATTTTACAAATTTTTAAAACACGCCAAAAGCAAAACGCCAAAAATGAACGCCAAACGCCTTGGCGCACAGCCCAGACTACAATTAAAAGTTTTCCGGAAAATATTAAATACATAAATCCCCTCACGGAAAAGAACGAATAAATTGTTCTGAAAAGTGTTAAATAAGGCTAAACTACAGTTTCCGTACCAGGCTCAGAATTGGACGATTTATATGTCATTCGAAAGAGCTCGTCGAGCTGAGTCGAACGACACCAAAATTATTCAGCGGAAAAAACTCTGAGCCAAGTTACAGACCCCTAAAGTTCAAAAAACCATAGGGGGGACCAAGCTGTTTTTTGGGGGTGAAAAATTCGAATATGCGAATTATACCTCATTCGAAAGAGCTCATCGAGCTGAGTCGAATGACACCAAAATCAACGAAAACTGACTTGATTTGACAAAGTTATGACCGTTTGTTTTAACCCCTTCCACAAGGTTTTCGCGGAAAAAAGTTTTTGCCGCTGCGGAGGAAGCCGGGCATGTCGAGCGGAACGACGGCCGCCGCTTCGCTACGGTCGCCGCGAGCGAAGCGAGCACGAGCAGCGAAGCACGGCCATCGTGTAGCGAAGACCATGCCCGGCCTACCCTCCGTAGCAGCACAAAAACAGTTTTTCCAGCGAAGATTCTGTTGGTCATAACTTTGTTCATAATCATCCAATCGAGCTGATTTTGGTGTTATTCAACTCAGCTCGTCGAGCCCTTTCGAATGAGCTATTATTTGTATAATCGAATTTTTCACCCCAAAAATCCCCCCAGAAATTTGACCATTTCGAGCCCTATATCTCGGCTCAGAATTTTTTCCGCTGAATAATTTTGGTGTCGTTCGACTCAGCTCGACGAGCTCTTTCGAATGACATATAAATCGTCCAATTCTGTTCCTGGTACGGAAACTGTAGTTAGGCCTTAAATAAAACTTTCCGGAAAATTGTGAATAAAGTTTTCCGGAAAAATAAAATTGTGTTTTCCGGAAAATTAAGGAATGTTTTCCGGAAAAATATAAGTAAGTGTGTTGTGTTTTCCGGAAACTCTTAAAAATAAAAGTGTGTTTTCCGGAAAAATATAAATGTGTTTTGTGTGTTTTCCGGAAATTCCCTTTAAAAATAAAATCAGAACAAGTTTGTTATAATTCAGAATTTACTCCCAAATAATTCTTTTTTTTAATATTTTCTTAATTTATTAAAATAAATAAAAATAATTGTCACCCCATATCAGCAGGCTTATTACCCCTTTAATAAATTTATTAAGATAAAAAACAATCGAACCACTCTCCCCATTATTTGTTCATTTAAATATTTTCTGTTTCAAATTTTATTTTATTTATTTTTTGGTTAATTTTGTAAAAATTAATTTTTAATTTTTAATTTTTTTATTTTTGTCACACTTAAATGTCCACTGCGACCTCTTCAAACTCCCTTTCACCTCCGTCATTCCTTTCCGTTTCACTAAGCCAACCTTTTGATTTTCAAGCTGCTAAAGTTTACACGGAATCTGTTCAGTGGGCGGTAAGTTGAAGAAAAAATTTTTTTTTGGAAATTTTTAAAAATTTTTGAAAAATTTTTTAAAAATTTTTTTAGAAATTTTCTGAAAATTTTCTGAAATTTTTGAAATTTAAAAAATTTTTTAAAATAACTTAAAAACCCAGAAAATTCCCAAAAAAATATTTTTTAATAGAGACAAATAAATTCTTAAGGGTATTTGGGTAGCTACACTTTACGTGATTGCCATATTCGGCATTCAATGGTTTATGAAGGAACGCAAACCTTTACAAATATCACTTAGTCTGCAATTATGGAATGCTTGGTTGGCGTTATTTAGGTTAGAAAAGGATTTAAAATTAAAACTTAAAAATAAAAATAATTTAAAATTAATTTTTAAACTCAGCTATAATGGTGACCTTAGTTCAGTTTTTAAATTATAACTCCCGAACATTTAACCTTCTAGAAATTATTTTTATACTATTCGATAGAGAATTAAATTCTCTACAAAAATAAATAAAAATTTAAGTTTTAGTAAATTAACAAAAAAATTTATGGTCAAAAAACAAAGTTATTTTAGACATAATGTAAAGACATTTGTATGTTTTTCGACCTCAACTTATTTTTAAATTCAATCTAAAAATTTCTTTTTATGCCTAATTTGTAGCAAATTTAATCCTCTATCGAATGATATCAAAATAGTCTTTAATGATAAATCCGTTGGAGAATTATAAATTCTGAAATGAACCTCCCTCCACTTTTCAGAAAGACTTTTTCGACAGTTTTTTGACAATAACTTTTTTAAAAGCTAAACTAGAATTTTTTTCTAGACTGATCTTATAGCAAATTTAATTCTCTATCGAATGATACCAAAAACATCCAAATCTGACTATTTATTAAATAGTTATAAAGCCTAGAAGCAGCCTAGGTCAACAACGCCTAGTTAAATAATTAAAACTTGATAAATTAAAAAAAACTTTTTTTACAGTATTTTGGGTTCTATTGTGACTAGTTATGGGCTCATTCGGGAAATTTTCTTTGGAGATGGGTTAGTTGCATCCTACACAAAAATTGGAAGCTTTTTTGAGGGAACTGTTGGTCTTTGGACTTTTTGGTCATTTTTAAATTTATTTAGAATTTTGGTCACTAGAGTCTCAACATTGTCATTAGGGTCTGAAATGCGGTTGGGGTCAGTTGAGCGTGGCCGTTTGAGCGTGGCCGGTTGAGCGTGGCCGATTGAGCGTGAGGACAGTTGAGCGTGGGCCAGTTGAGCGTGGGCCGTTTGAGCGTGGCCAGTTGAGCGTACCTTGATAACTGGCCAGTTGAGCGTCAATACCTAAAATAACTACAACAAATGCCTATGTGGCCGAAGGATTTATTCGGAAATCTAAAACTAGAACATAAAAACTTAGTAGCCAAATAACTTTTTGTCTTCCGCAGAATTAATTTGATCAAAAACAAAATCGTGTTCTGTTTTAATCCGGTAAAGTCCGGCAGAAATTATCCGGATTTCGGACCGGACTCCGGTTTTTTTCCGGATTTTTCAAAAAAAAATTTTCATTAATTTTTGTGTTAAAATGTTGTAAGTCACAAATCCGCTGTAAAAAATTTGCCGGACCCGGATTCCGGATTTGCAATTAGAGCTGGACCGGATCCGGCCGAATTTTTTCGGATTAATCCGGTCCGGAAAAAATCCGGAAATCGGAATTGGGACCCGGACTCTGGAAATATCAGGTTGGATCCGGTCCGGAGCCGGGCACTAGTAAAAATATATTGACGCTCAACCGGCCAATAAACAAGGTACGCTCAACTGGCCACGCTCAACTGGCCACGCTCAAACGGCCCACGCTCAACTGGCCCACGCTCAACTGTCTTCACGCTCAATCGGCCACGCTCAACTGGCTACGCTCAAACGGCCACGCTCAACAGGCCCGTTCCGTCTGAAATGGGTTTATTAGAGTCGCAAAAATATTTAATAGAGTCTTAAGCTATTTATTAGATTCTCAAAAGTCTATTAGAGTCTCAACCTGTTATTAGAGTCTGAAATGTTATTATAAGGTTATTAGAGTCTTAATATGTTTCTTAGAGTCTTTGAAATCGATCACTAGAGTCTCGAGGATTTTCCTCTCACATTTTAAGGGGGAACAGGCCCGATTTGTCGCGAGGCCATATCGTCTCCCTATTTCCACAAGATTTTCGACAAATCGGAGCGACCCGTTTAAGGTCTGTCTATTAGAGTCCCAACAGCTTTATTAAATGGACATTAGAGTCTCAAAATAACAATTTTCTAAAATGCGTCATTATAGTACCAAGAAATCAAAGTTATATAATCTCCCTAATTTAAAGGTTCTGTATTTCAAAATTTGCTGAACTTGGCGATACGATATTTATTGTGCTGCGAAAACGTCCCCTCATCTTCTTGGTAACCCAAAAATTGAATTTAAAAAATTTAAAAAATTCAAAGCATTGGTACCACCACGTAGCCACACTCAATTATGGACTAATGTCCTACGTAGACAACACAGCCTTTAATTCTTGGTAAATTTTTGGGAAAAAAAATTTTTTTGAAAGGAAAATATTGAAGGATTGTCTGGCTCAACTTTTCAGTCCATGCAGTAATGTATTCCTACTATTTCCTAGCTGCTTGCAAAATTAGACTTCCGGCATGGTTTGCACAGTGCTTAACGTCTGCACAAATAACCCAATTCCTTATAACTTTGGCTATATTGGCTCATGCTGGTATTAGAATGGTTAATGGATTGCGTGTTGATACAAGTAAAGGAAAAAATTTTTTTGTAAAATTTTTCGGGACAGTAGAAAAGTGAAATCGAAGTTATGGGGGAAATCGAGGATCAAGGATACCTCACCTGGCTTTCCATATTTTGCCAAACCCATGTTTTGCCAACAAGGCTAAGAACTACAAACGATATTTTTCGGTATTTATCGATATTCAGCTTGATAGTACGGTTCATAATATGGTACAGTGCGAAGTTCCGGGCTTTAGGCAATACAAACGAACGGGACAACTTACCCTCCGACCAAAACATTAGCCTCATCCTCAGACAAAACACTATTAGAGTACAAATTTTAAAGTAGATCCGATAGCCGAAAATCTAAAGATATTAAGGTAACATATAGTACATATCAACATAAATCGAATTTATTATTTGTGAAAGTGGACTGTGTTTGTTACTCTCTTGTTCGAACGGTATTTTGGTCGGACGGTGTTTCGTCCCTTACCAGTAAATAATACATACAAGTCGCAGTTATTCACCTTTGTCTTTACTCCTTCCCTTTTTTAATTTTTTTTTAAAATTCCCTTTAAAATTTAAAGCTGTCACCTCTTATTTGTACTGTCTTTTGATGGAAATTAGTTATGTTGCACTTTTTGGCAACTTTTTTTATCACTCTTATATTCGTGGAGGTGGGAAGAAATTTAACCGGGAAAAGGCCAAAAAACCAACTGAAGAGCAGCATTCAATGAAGAATGGAACAACAAAAATGGATTAATAGGGATTCGGAAAATTTAAAAAAAAAATTGAAAAATCGCAACTATAGAAAATTTTAAAATATTTGTTTGTTAATAAATTACATAATGTAAAATTTTCAAAATGGTCAAATTCAAAAATGTCCAAATTTAAAAACGGTCAGAATTCGAAATGGTCAAATTTAAAAATGGTCAGATTTCACATTTGCCCAATTCCCTTCTTTTCTTCACTTTTCTTCATCTCCTCCTCCTCTTCCTTCAATTCTTCCTCTTCTTCATCTTCTTCTACTTGCTCCCTTTTATATTTTTCTTCTCTACCCTCAATGTCTTCCCCAGAAAACTCTGTTGGAGAATGCTCTGGCGATGTACTCGAATTATTTGTACATGAATTTAAAAACGAGGAGAAACTATTGCCAGTGGGCGTTTCAAACATTCGGGCTAACTAAAAATGAAGGTTTAAAAACCTTATTAAAAGGATATACCCTTAGGAAATGTAAAAATTGTAGCTTATAATGAGGAGTCTATTAAATTAGGGGCATTCGCTTAGGCATCTCCTCTATCCAGTGGCCAATCAAATTAAAAAGGCGTCTCTTAAATAGAGATGTATCTAGTATTGGGGGTATATTATAAAGAGGTTTTGACTATAATTATTTTTTACTTTTCTCGCTAGCGGAAAGAGTTGATCTCTTCTTGTGAGCAAATCGGGCCTCAATAAACATAATTGAGCAGCCGCTTCATTAACTACACATTCATGCCTAGTTAAAGTCCTGTCTGAACGGCGTTTGGCGTCAAAACGCCCATAGAATCTCGAAAAAAGGCGGAAATGTTCAACACGTAGAGGGTCGTCTTGTGGTAAGGCTAGAGCCTCCAATAGAGATCGGACAAACGACAAAATCAAATATTTGATCAAATAATTTGAAAATTATTTGATATTTGAAAAAATTTGATTTCCCCCAAAAGTCATCAAACAAATATTTGATCAAATAATTTGAGAATTATTTGATATTTGAAAAAATTTGATTTGCAAAATCAAATATTTGATCAAATATCAAATTTTTTACAAAATTTCGGAATACCATATAAATCTGTGTATTTCATTGTATATTCGGGATATTAGGATATGAAGATGACATCGGAGGATTAAGATGGATGTGGAGGGATTAAGGGTGATATGTATGAGGGGATTAAGGGTAATATGAGGGGATTAAGGGTAATATGAGAGGGATTAAGGGTGATATGAGGGATTAAGGGTGATATATAAAGGGATATAACGTGCGCCGGGATAACAGACTCAATCCAACTATCTCCCTCAAATCCGTCGATATCCATCCCAAATCACAATACATCCACTATATCCCTATTAATCCCAAAATCCCTCCAAATCTGTCAATATCCATCCAATGTTAATCCCTAGAAATTATTCAAATGCTCTAATATCCTCCTAATCTTCCCAATCCCCTGACATATATTTTGATCGCCAAATCATCTATATTCCTCTTAATCCACCTAAATTCCTCTTAATCCTCCCAAATCATCTAAAACAATCTACCTCTAATCCCGCAATATCACTGTTAATTTCTAAAATCCCTTCTAAATCACTACACAAGGGAGACACAATCGTGTGTACTCAACTATGAAGTAATATAGGGATATCATGTGCATCGGAATATGTTCTGATACGATAAATAATTTGTCCTGGAGCAAAAATCTCGGTTATCATATCGATTTTATAAGGAAATATGCCATCTTTACATGCTAAAAACGAAAATCAAATAAATTTTCAAATTATTTGATATTTGATCAAATATTTGATTTTTCAAACCTTCATCAAACAAATATTTGATCAAATTATTTGATATTTAGTTGATATTTGAAAAAATCAAATTTCTTCAAAAACTCATCAAACAAATATTTGATCAAATAAAATCAAATAAAATTTGGTCAAATATTTGATTTTATTTGACCAAATATTTGTTTGGTCCGATCTCTAGCCTCCAATAGGCCTCTGAAAAAAATTTTTTAATTAAAAAATTAAAAAATAAAATTTTACCTTTCCAAACGTTTTTTTGGTTCTAATTTTGGGGGTAATAAATTAATTAATTCATTTGCGAGTTGAGACAAACGATGCAATTCGGCTTCGTTTAAACGTTCGTTGGCAGCAGGTGAGGAACAAGAGGAATAAGAAGGTGGAGGAAATACTGGAAATTAATTAATGTTTTGTTTAAATTCTGATTTTAAAAAATTCTGATTTTGTTTATGTAAATTCTGATTTTAAAAAATTCTGATTTGCTTAGATTAGTTCTGATTTTAAAAAATTCTGATTTGCTTAGATTAGTTCTGATTTTAAAAAATTCTGATTTGCTTAGATTAGTTCTGATTTAATTAAACTTTGTTTTTATTTAATTCTGATTTAATAAAACATGTTTTAATTAAATTCTGGTTTTATTCTATTCCATGTTTAATTTAGATTCTGATTTTTAATTCATGTTTTAATTAAATTCTGCTTTAATTTAATTTCATGTTTAATTTAAATTCTGATTTTTTAAATTATGTTTTGTTTAAATTCTGGTTTTATTCAGCTTCATGTTTATTTAAAATTCTGATTTTATTAAATTTATTACTCTGATTTTGTATTATTGTTGTATTCTCCTCCTCATTACAATTAATTTGTTCTGGTTCTTCCTTTGCTTCCTTAGCAAATAATACACCCCCAGAAGATGGGGGTGTATTAGGAGGGGGTGAAAATGACATTCTAGCCCTTTTATTAAAATTATCAAAAAATAAAGGTTGTTGATTTAAAATGCTGGAAGTTGTTGTTGGATTTACAAGGCTAAGCAAGATATGTTGTGATAATGAAAATGAGGGAGGAAATGAGGATGTTGTTGCTAAAATAATTTTTAATTAAAAATAATTGTTGGGAATAATTCTGATTTTATATTCATGTTTAATTTAAATTCTGATTTTTAATACAGGTTTTATTTAAATTCTGGTTAATTTCTGATTTAAATTAATTTCAAGTTTTAATAGATAAATTCTGATTTTCAAGTTTGTTTCTAATTAAATTAAGTTCTGATTTAATTAAACTTTGTTTTTATTTAATTCTGATTTTTAAAAATTGTTTTATTTAAATTCTGGTTTCATTCATGTTTAAAATAAATTCTGATCGTATTTACTAAATTGATGTTTTATTTTAATTCTGATTTCATACTCATGTTTAGTTTGAATTCTGATTTAATTCAGCATTGTTTTATTTAAATTCTGATTTTGACCTCCACCAATAATTCTTACCACTATTTTGCTGAAAACTTGTAGTTACCGGACAACTTAGTGGAGGGGTTGGATTTAACGGAAAAAGAAAGTCTGGGTCAATAAAAGGAGTTTGTTGGTTGTTAAGTTGTTGTTGAGTTAGTGTTGCCGCTAAATCAAGTTGGCCAGTAGAAGGGAGATAGCCAGGAACTAAAAATTGTAAAGCTGCCGTTAAATTATCTGTGGATGAAGAAGTACTAGGGAAATCTATTGGGGGAAGACCTTAAAAATTAAAAAAATTTTAATAAAAAAATTAAAATTAGACCAATAAAGGGAACAGTAGTAATCAAAAATTGTGCTCGATTAACAGAAAATTCGCTTAAAGTCCTCTGTAGGCGGCGAACATGGAGAGGCTTGGAAGCCATTCCAACCAAAGACATAATCTCGAGAAATTCAGTCTCGTCACATTGCATTATTTGGTCAATATCATCACCACCTTGTGAAATAAACACATCAAAATACTGAGTAAGTCGGGCACGGTAAAGAACTGCCTGTAGCTGCCACTCTGCTAAAGAGGAGGCTGTTCGCATTCCGGAAAGGTGAAGTTGAGATCTGAACATTGAAAAGAAACTTTAATTAATCAGAATTTTGAATGAACATAGTTTATTCAATGTTCGTTTAAAATTCTGATTTTTAATTCAAGTTTATTTAATTAACCTGAATTTAAAATCAGAATTTTGAAATCAGAATTTTAGAAAAACATTAAATAAACTTTAATTTAAAATCAGAATTTTAAATGAACATTAATAAAATTTAAATCAGAATTCTAAATAAACATGAGTAATTAATAAACTTAAATTAAATTCTAAACCAGAAGTAAAAATGAACATCATAAATCAGAATTTAAAAAAACAGAAAAAGTAATTATAATTTTTTAACTAAATGTACTTTAACGGAATAAAAAAAGAAAAAAAAAGTTAGGATTAACGATTAAATCCATAAAAAATCTTTATTTCTATGAATGAGGTAAGTGTACTATGTCACATCCAAAAATTAAAAAAAAAATCAAAAAAAGTCTAAACAAAATTAAAAATCACCTCTGTTGTTGGTCAGCATTATTATTGTTGTTTCCAATTAATAATTGTGGAGATTGTTCATTTAATGGTGGACTAGGCGTAGATTGTTGTTGTTCAATTTGTGATGAAGATGCTGATGATTGTATTTGTGGGGATTTACGACGACGCGATAGGTTGGAAATGTTTTTAGTACTATTAGATTGTTGTTGTTTTTCTGACATTTTTCTGAATCAAAAAGGATGTTTGTTTAATTAATTGTGATGTTTGTTTAAAATTCTGATTGTGTTTTAATTAAATTCTGGTTTTGTCTATTTAAATTTCTGTTCTTTGTTTGTTTAAAATTCTGGTTTTGTTTCTTCGGAAAGTTTAATTATGATAGATGTTCGGATAAAATTCTGATGTTTCCGTAAGTTTTGTTGTGATATGTTTTAATTTAATTCTGATTTTTGTGGAATGTTTAGAATTAATTCTGATGCCTGTAGAAAGTTAGATTATGATACATGTTCGAATTTAATTCTGATTTATTTAATTCAATTCTTGTAAATGTTCAGATCAAATTCTGATTGTTCCTGAAAGTTTAATTCTTGAAAATGTTTTTATTTAATTCTGATCTTTGTAGAATCTTAAATTTTACTATGAAATAAAAAGGGATGTTGCTATATTTATAACTATAGTACTCTTATAAATTACAATTCTTGTTTATATTTAAAAAGAGCAAAAATGAGCGACGGCAAACAGTGAGTAACAAAAAAAAAGTTTTTTATAAAATTTTTTTTTAATTTTACGAGCCTATGACGAATAGAAAGAAAGAAAATGGGGGGAAAAATACAAAAAATAAAGCAAAAAATGGTAAAAATGTAAGAGATGTGTTGGGAGAAGAATAAATGATTGAATGGAGGAGTAAAGAAAATTTTTGTTTAGAAATGATTTTTTTAATAAAAAAAAATAAATATTGTATAGTGTGATATGAGAAAAAAAAAATTTAAAAATAATTAAAAATAAATTTTCGGAATTTAAGGGAAAAAAAGGTTGGAAAAATAATTAAATGGAAAAAATACAATTACAAATAAAATTACAATTTGTAAAAACAAACAGTTGAAAATAAACTTTAAATCAGAATAATATTTAAAATAAATGAGAAACAATTACAATTTGTAAAAGAAATAAACTTGAAACATGAGATCAGAAACTTAAGTTTGGAAACTTTAAATAAACTTGAATTCTTTTAAAATCAAAATTTATAATAAACAAACTTGAAATCAGAATTTTTAATTAAAAACAATTCTGATTTTAATTAAAACTTGAAATAAATAAACTTGAAATATAAAATAAAACTTGAAATCAGAATTTTGAGAAGAAAATAATTAAACTTAAAATCAGAATATGAAAAATAAACTTGAATTTATTTAACAGAAATTAAACTTATTTTTAAAATCAGAATTTCTATTAAAATAAATGAACTTGAAATCAGAATTATTGTTTAAATAAATATTCCAAATAAAGTAAAAATAAATTATTAAATAAATAAAAATAAATAAAATTACCCTACCCCTCTCACTTAAAAATAAATTTCCGTTACTCACAAATAAATATAATAATTTTTTTTATATTTTTTATTTCAATTTTTTGCCTGAACGCCAGGGTCGCGTTGTTTTGTTTGGAAGTAATGGGTGCCAGTCAAAGAGTGACTCAAATAATATATCCACCCATGAAAAATAAAAAAAAATAAAAAAACAAAAAAATAATTGACTTGTCGACTAGTCAAGTAATTTTTTATTGGAATATAAAAAAATTTTTTTTATTTTATTGGTAGAGGAAAAAATTTGAGAGGGAAATAATGTACTTTTAATTTTCTAAAGCAAAATGTAGAAGCAAAATAAACTGAAATTCCGATTTCAAGTTTATTTTTAATAATTCTGATACAAGGTAATATTAAATGGAAAAATAAATGAACTTAGAAATCAGAATTATTTCAAACTTTTATTTAATAGAAATTCTGATTTTCAAGTTTAATTTCTAGTATAATAAAACTCTAAATAATTCTGATTTATGGTCTGCCAAGTTTATTTATGTAAATTCTGAATTTTTATAAAATTCTGATTTCAAGTTATTTAAATTCTGATTTATTTGTTCAAGTTTATTTTCAAGTTTAATTGTTTAAATTCTGATTTTTAATCAGAATTATTAGAATAAATCAGAAGACAATCAAGAATAAAAATAATAAAACGGACAGTCGGAAGGACTAGACAAAAACTGATTTTGCACTTTTACTAGCTCGTGACCGCCTTCTTCACCCACAGCTCTAAGTATACAAAAAAAGTCATCGTCCAACCGTCTTCGCCATTTATTTTTTTTTATTTTTTATTTCATCCCAATAATTTTTTTTTCGAATTTTTTTATTTTTTCATCCTCTTATTCTACTCACTTGACAAGCGGGGACGTTAGAGTATTAAAAAAATTTTTTTATTAGAAATATGACTCCTTACTCTAAAGACAATTAAAATAAAGGCAAAAGTATTTACCGTATCCCATACCACTACTTAAAAATTTAAAAAAGTCCAGCTCTAATAGACCAGAAATTTCTTCCCTTCTCAGACTCTACTGTCGCCCAATTCCACACAAAATTTTTTTTATTTTCCCCGCATTTTCTCCAATTTTTTTTCTTCTTTTATTTTCTGTCAGTTGCTCGCCCCTTATTTAATGCAAAAAATAGCTGTGAATAAAAAACAATACAAAAAAATAGGCGGCTGGTAGCGGCGGGAGAAGTCTTCTCTTTGTAGTACACAAACAGATTGACGGAGAGAAGGGAGGGAATATTAGAGTATTTATTTAATCAGAATTTTTAATTAAAAGAAATTCTGATTTTTAATTAAAACTTGAATTAAAAAGAAACTTGAAGCAGAAAATAAACTTGAATTAAAAATAAAACTTGTTATCAGAATTTTTATTAAAATCAGAATTATGAGAATAATAAAAAAATAAACTTTAAAATCAGAAATTATTTTAAAAAATAAACTTGAATTTATTCTACCAGAAAATAAACTTATTTTTAAAATCAGAATTTTAAATAAACTTAAAATCAGAATTAATAAATGAATAATTGTGAAATCAGAATTTTTATTAAACAAACTTTTGTAACATTAAAACTAATTTAAAATTAATTAATGATTAAATAAAATTCAAATATCCATTTTACTAAAAAATTTTTTGTTCGAAAATTTTTTTTATTTTAGTAATCGTCTCTCTCAATTGTGCTCGGCGCCAACTCAGTTAGTTTTAAGTTTTTTTAATATTTTTTTATTATTTTATTGTTTTTTGTTGCCTACTGTCCTATTTATCTGTCCCATTTACTTTGTCTACAATTTTATATATTTATCTTTCAGTCTCGAAATGAAAAAAAAGCTTGAATAAATACAATGAAGCAAAAAATAAACTTGAAAAAGTTAAAACTTGAAATCAGAATTTTAGAAAATTTAAAATCAGAATTTTCAAAACTTGAATAAAATAAACTTAGATTATTAAAAATCAGAATAAAAGAATAAATAACTAAATAAACTTTTTCAGAATTAAAAAAATAAACTTGAAATCAGAATTTTTACAAATAAATATATTAAAACTTGAATCAGAATTTTTAGAAATTTATTTAAAATCAGAATTTATAAAAATTAAACTTGGAATAAAATAAACTTGAATTATTAAATCAGAATTTTTACAGGTACTAAATAAACTTGGAATCAGAATTTTTTATATTAATAATTAAACTTGAAGCAATAATTTTTGCACTAAAAATAACCAATTATTTTTAGACCATAATTTTGAAAAAATATTAATTTTAGTAATAAAAAAATTAAAAAAAAAATCTAGGGAATAAAATTGGATTCGCCAGCCATCAAACACTGACAGAAAAATTCCTGCGAGTATTTAGTAGAGTTGGGCAAAACGATACTGGTATCGGCCAACCCGAGACCGAGATTAACCGATACTCAAGAACCCGATACCGAGACCGATACCAACATTTTGAGCCGAGACCGATACCGAGAAACGATACTGACCGAGACTAACAGAAAATTTTATTTTACGTCAAAAAATGTGTGTAAGAATAATTTATTCATTATTTTCATCATCCAAATCATCAGATAAATACTCATCATCATCTGGATCTGATTCGATTGATGGTTAACATCCTTTTTTATAAAAAATACAATAGTAGGATTTATAGGTAAAAGGATTATACACTCTGTTCCAAAAGTATATTACATTCGACTCAGTCGTGCGAACTCAATCGTGAGGGCTTAGTGAAATGCTCGGATTTTGTAAGGCAAATAAAGAAGGATTCACTCTTTTCAGCGCCGCAGGCGAAAATTTTTTGAAATTCAGAAGGCCAAAGGTCAAAAAGCCTCAGTTTTATTAAAAAATACAAGAAAATTGGGGTCTTTGAGTCAGTATCGTTTCTCGCCGAGAAATGGACCGAGAATATCGGTATCGGTTTCGAGACCGAGAATGAAAAAACCGAGACCGATATTGGAAAAAAGCCGAGAATCTCGGTATCGGTCTCGGTATCGGTCTCGGCTTGTCCAACTCTAGTATTTAGTAGTTTTTAAAAAAAATACAAGAAACCAAAGAGCAAATAAAAATATGAGAGAAAGGTGCAGAATGGTGTTTTTAAAGAAAAAGAACTGGAATGCCTAAATAAAAAAAATTAAAAAAAAATAAAATAACAAACATAAGAGCCCCGGTTGTGTATAGGGAGAGGGGAGTGGGCGAAATAAAAAAATTATTTTTTTAATAAAAAAAAATAAATAAAATAGTAAATACGTGGAAAAATATAGGGAAGATAAAATAAAAAGATTATTTTAATTTTTTTTGAATTAAATTTAAAAAAAATACGAAGATAAGCAATTGACCGTTGGACAATGCTTAGTAGCTAGTAATAACCTGAAACAAAAAACCTGAAACAAAAAACCTGAAACAAAAAACCTGAAACAAAACACCTAAAACATGTTTTAAATAAATTCTGATAAAAATTCTGATTTTCAGAATTTATTTTTTAATGTTTGTAAAACAAGTTTTAAAAAAATTCTGATTTCTTTCTATAATTGTAAATTCTGATTTTTTAATGTTCAAATAAGTTTATTTATGTTTAATTCTGATTTTCAAGTTTATTTTTTACAGTTTGTCAAACAAGTTTAATTTAAACAAAAATTCTGATTTTTCCCTTAAATATCGAATTTAAGTTTATTTAAAAATTATTGCTCTTCAAGTTTATTTATATAATTCTGATTTTATTAAATTCTGAATTAAAGTTTATTTAATATTCTGATATGTAATATACCCTATAAAAAGCCAAAAGAATACATTTTTGCTGCATGCACTGTAAAATATTTTTTTAAAGTTTTTATAATTTTCGGCGTATTTGCTTAATTTTTTTTATTTTTTCTATTCATTGCGCGATGTACGGAATTCAGCTATCCTTCGGATTATTTTTTGGAAGCAAAAAAAAATTATATAAAAAATAGCTAGAGGAGAATGAAGAAAAGTACACAACCAATTTAATTCTCATGTAAATCGAAAAAAATTGTCTGAATCGAAGAAAATTTCAGACGTGTTCTATCGTTATAAACAAAAAAAAAGAAATCTTTATTATAATTTTGATTTTCGGAAATATGTATGACTTAATCGCAAACATATAGCTCTTGAAGAGAGGTGTCGTTATTGCAGACAATCTCTTGATAATAATATCAATAATCAAAACATTAAAGATTTTGTCCGATGCTAATGTTAAAATAAAAAAAAATAATTTTTTATCGAGAATTGAGGTAAAACAAAAACAAATTTAAAAGCCTTTTATCTGTAATGTTTGAAGGAAAAAATGATTGACAGCAGGGATGAGTGCAAGAGACAATCTCAAAAAACGCAAAACGCAAGGCCAAAATTTAACACAAATAACGCAATGCGCTCACCCCTGATTGACAGTAAAAAAAAGAAAAATTAATCTGACTCATAAGGGAAGTGGAGGGGGTGGGGACAAGATACGAACAAAGTACCCACAATTGTTGAGATTCGGTACTTAACAGCATTTATAGTAATAATGGAATGGTCCCGCTCCAGAGATATAATGCGGCAAGGGTTTGTGTTTCAGTTTAATCGTAATGTCGTGTTCTTCGATCTTAGAAGATTTCTTCTCCCCCTTTTTCTCAGGTAAGTACTGTTGCAATTTCTCCTTCACCTCTTGTTTGTCTATTAATTGAAATTTGTAACTAAATATTTCGATGTCGTCAATAATTTGTTCTAATTCATCAAATCCATAAAAAACTTCAAATTGGTCCAAGTGCATACTAAAAATGAAAAAAATATGTGAAAATGGAAGTGAATATAAACTTTTTATTAAACACTTCTACTATAAGAAATAACTGAGTGGTAACCAAGACTGGGCGTAATTGCGGATTACGTGTTTTTCTGATTTACAGATTGCGTTTGCGGATTTTTAAGATTTTTACGCAATTTTTTCCAGATTTCTAGTACCATAAAATAGGGAAATTTTACTCCTTGGTATTCCAAAATTTCTTCCAAAATTTCAAAAATTTTCGCCTGCGGCACTGAAAAAAGAATCAACTCACTAATCCTTGATATTTCTCAAATCACTGATATACTTTGAATCAATATACCACCTTTAATATCTCCAATCACCTTATATTCTCGGATTACCCCTTATATCCTCAGATTGAGTGTTTTTTTGACTTGCGGATTGCGTTTCGGATTTTAAGATAAAAATTGCGTTTGTGGAAATTTTTTTCCAATTGCATCCAGCCGGGTGTTAAGTGTTAAATAATGTTAACAGCCTAACTAAAAGTTAAATTTTTAACCAAGAAAATTTCTCAGACATCACTAAATTAAGAAATACGTACTCATCAGCGGAAGCGATGACCCATCCAGAATCAAAACCTCGTTGACAAGTGCAAGCAAGTCTAGCCAGAAATTTTGTAGCATTATGAGTGTCTATAGCCAAATTAAAATGTTTATATAAGTGTTTAATAGTGCTGGAATAGCAAGCATACGCCTTAAAAATAACAAGAATATCGAAACTAAGATATAGAAACACCACCTTCTCTCTAGCTTGTATGCTGTTTCCAACCCGCATGTAGCCTTTTGCATCCTTGATAAGCTCGAAAGGAGTTCTATAAATCTTTTTTTGAACCTACAAATTAAAATAAGTATTTGACTTGTTTAAGAGTCTATTAGATCTGAATCACAAGAAACAAAAACTCCAGTGGAAAGTCAAAGGTTAATATTTAATATGGTATTAGGGCATATTAAGAGGGATAATTGAGACCTAATATAATAAAGCAGAGCATGACTGCTTTACTCATAGGGGTTAGGTCCCAGGCATGAGGTTCCTGTATAGGGGAGGGCCTCAAAATCCATTCTTAATCCATGCCAGGATGTCCCTTTACCTCTTTTCAGGGGTATTTTCCCGTTTTTAACCCCTTCGCTCCTTTTTATAGCATTGCCACTTTTTTGCCACATTTTGACAAATTTCTACGATTTTGTAATATTTTTCAAATATTGGCTTTTTATGTTAGAATGGGAAATAAATTAGCGCATCTAATTAGCGCGTAGGTGGAAATTTTTGAGAATTTTTCAAGGCTAAGAAATTCTCCAACTGGTCCTGTCTATAATTAAACCATTAAAATATTGAACAATATAAATAAATACCTTTTCACGCCTATACATAGATAAATTGCTGTCCAGACGTCTAAATGGAAACATAGCAGGAGAAGCCACTTTACAAACATTTGATCCGTCCTCCAGTTTACATTGAGACTTGTGGAATAACTAAAATTATTGTGAATTTTAAAATAACCCCGAGAGGGAAGGAGAAGAAAAAGAGGAAAAAATTAATCAAAATAATGAAAAATCTGAAAAAGCATTGAATGAAAAATTCTTGGCAAATTTTGAAAATAAATGTAAAAAAGGAGGGCCTCCTTTCCTAAAAAATCAAAGAAATGAGGAATTCGAAAAGAAAATTTAATCAAAAAATATATATGTAAAATGGGTACACCCCGATGTACCGCGAGCCGAATTTACCGCCGAGCTATAACTTTGTTCAGAATTGTCGAATCCGTGGCGCCCTGATATGGTTCGATTCAGCTGGTCGAGACGCATCGAACCATACTAGGGCGCCACGGATTTGACAATTTTGAACAAAGTTATAGCTCGGCGGTATATTGGGCTCACGGTACACTCCTGCTCCCATGTAAAATGTATCATACAAAGTGAATGTTTCGCTCAGTCTTCAAAATATCAAAATGTTTATTAAATCCATTCTTTTGAAAAATCTGAAATTTAAAATTAATAGTGAGAAAACAAAAAATTTGAGAAAAATAATCTCGCAAACCTCTAGAGCAGCATCGGCAAAGATTTTATCATTTTGAGAATTTCCAAAGATCCGCTTACTAACAATAAGTGAAGCATCATAATCAAATGCCTGAGCAGCTCTATGAGTAAGCTTACGCGAATGCTCCAAGTTAAATGCCAAATCATCAAGGGAAAAGGAAAGAGATTGAAGCTGTTGTGAGAAAGAACTCTGAATTATTTCAAGTTAAAATTAAATGCCGTATTTACTCGATTAATTCCTCTCTCTCTCGAATAATTCCCCCTGCTACGGATGAGTTAGGAAATAATTCCCCTCCCCCAAATACCCTACTACAGGTTCAATTTAAAACTCGAATAATTCCCCTTCCTTGAATAATTCCCCATGCTGATGGGTTGAAAAAATTCCCCAGGGGAATTAATCGAGTAGGTATGTAGAGTATTTTACAATTAGGCACGTGAAAGGAATTCAGATGAACTTGTCTTCTCGAGTAGGGTTTGGGGTCCGGTCCGAAAGATCGAGTCGAGCATCGAATTTTGGCCCGAAAAAGACTCGGACGGGCCGGCCCGAAAAAATGAGACCCGAAAAAAATGACTCGAACTCCAAACATATTCACGAGTAAACAAAGTTAGAACATGAAAATGTGAACAAGCCTCACTAAAATACGTAAAAATTACATTGGGATCAGTCTTAGCCTTCCCTTCGATTGAACAATTTTTAGTTTCATCCAAAGCTCTAGAAGCAAGTCCAATTGCAAATGCAGATTTAGCTGGTCCAATTTTGTCAAAAGTCATCCTTGCGATTTTCATTCCATCGCCAATAGATCCAATAATATTTGTCGAGGGAACAACAACATCCCGAAAAGTAATTCTTTGAGCATTAATACAGCGTTGACCCATTCTCTATATACAAAAAATATCGAAAAATCCAAAAAAAATTAATAAAAAAAAACCTTTTTTCCACGAGACAGACCTTTGGAATTTCCATCAACAACAAAAGCGGTAAATGATTCTTCGATTGGAGCATTAAGATTAAGCTCAGTACGTGCTAAAACAATGAACATAGAAGCAACTCCACCAGTAACAACCCAAAATTCTGAGCCTTTAATCTTTAAAAAATTTTAGAAGGGAAAGGATGCTAAAAAACTGACCACCCATTCACCACCTTTCTTGACTGCCTCTGTTCGAGTCTCCCATTCATCATCTTCCATTACTGTCTTTGTTTTAAGCCGTGAAACATTTTGGCCAACATCATATTCTGACACACAATATGACTAGAAAGAAAGAACTTTTTTAGGCTCTATCTTAGGACATGCGTCTATGAACTTTTATGCGTCCCATGAAAGTATATGCGTCCCATCAACAAAAAATTGGATTTTTCTTGGTGTTGAAAGGTAGGGGTATGGGTCCAAAACATTTTTTCATGTTCGGGATCTACGTCCACTGGGTCTGGAACCGTTCCTTACCCTATCCCTCGAAATTTCTGACAGTTATAGCCAATTTTTAAAAATTTCAGAAAAACGATTTTAAATTTCAGAAATTTCAAGGGATAGAGTAAGGAACGGTCCCAGACCCAGTGGGCGTAGGTCCCGAACATGAGAAATGCTTTGAAACCATACCTCAACTTTGCAAAACCAAGAAAAATCCAATTTTTTGTTGATGGGACGCATATACTTTCATGGGACGCATGTCCTAAGATAGAGCCATTTTTTAACTGGTACTTTTCCGTTATGACGTAACCCCCTAAATTAATGTTGAAAATGTCATATATAGGTTAGAAAAAGGTGCTGAATCGAACGGTCACTCTTTTTTCACGGAGATGTCTGTGGACCGAGATATAGGGCTCGAAATGGTCAAAAACCATAGGAGGGAGTAAGCTAAATTTTGGGGTGAAAAATTGCATTTTTTGAATGATATCTCATTTGAAAGAGCGGTATAATTTCGGAAAACGAACAGATCCGAAATAGGTCAAATTATATGTCATTCGAAAGAGCTCGTCGAGTTATGTCGAATGGTGAAAAAAATTTTGTGCGGACTCATAGAGTGGCTGAGATATAGGTCCGCGAAAATCGAAAAACCATAGGGGGGACCAAGCACTTTTTTGGGGTGAAAAATTCGAAAATGCAAATTATACTTCATTCGAAAGAGCTCGTCGAGCTGAGTCGAATGACACCAAAATCAACGAAATCTGACTTGATTTGACAAAGTTATGATCGTTTGTTTTAGCTCCTTACCTTTGGTATCCGTCGAGGTTTTTCCTGCTACGGAGGAAGCCAGATAACCCATTACAGCGATAATTGGAATAGGATTAAGTTACGAGCCCAGACCCATCGCCCGTAGACTCCCCGCGAGGCGCGTGCCGCAAAACCCCGCGCGAAGCGCGGGGTTTTGCACAAGCGCCTCGCCTACGCCCCATAGGTTTACGTTGACCATTTTGAGACTCTATCTCGGCTCAGAATTAAGATTTCGAGTTGATTTTGGTGTCATTCGACTCAGCACGATGAGCTCTTTCGAATGAGCTATTATTTGCATTTTCGAAATTTTCACCCCAAAAAGTGCTTGGTCCCCCCTATGGTTTTTCGATTTTCGCGGACCTATATCTCAGCCCCTCTATGAGTCCACACGAAAATTTTTTCACCATTCGACTCAGCTCGACGAGCTCTTTCGAATGACATATAATTCGACCTATTTCGGATCTGTTCGTTTTCCGAAATTTTTCCGAAAGAGCTCCTCGAGCTGAGTCAGACGACACCAAAATCAGCTCGAAATCTTGATTTTGAGACGAGATTAACAAGCTCAAAATGGTCAACGTAAACCTATGTGGCGCAGGCGAGGCGCACTCCCCCATATGGTTTTTGACCATTTCGAGCCCTATATCTCGGTCCACAGGCATCTTCGTGAAAAAAGAGTGGTACCGTTCGACTCAGCACCTTTTTCTACCCTATATATGACATTTTGAACATTAATTTAGGGGGTTACGTCATAACAGAAAAGTACCTTTTAACTTTTAAAAAATTTTAAAAAACCGCTAAAACGGGCTCTTCAATCAGCCTCCTCAAATATTTCTTTTTAATCTCATCACTTCCAGCATTAATTATTGGAATCGTAGCGAGATCGTTTCCTAATATAGCAAATCCCATACTAGTGCATTCATAACCAATAGCTTCGCTGATAAGGGCATGGCTTAATACATCCAGTCCCTGTCCGCCTAAAAATACAATTGGTTTTGTTCTGTTTTTCATTCTCCGTGCAATTCGAGTCATAGTATTTATTAGTTAAAAGAGGTATCCCGCAAAACCCACGCGGATTTTGAGGGAAATCCGCGTGGGTTTTTAAAAGTTACTCCCGCATGCGGGATCCGCAAATACGATTTTGCCGGTCACCCCAGATTTATTCACAAGCTAACAATAGGCATTGCGAATAAATGGGGTGTATACCTAAAATAAATAAATAAAAGAGCGAGGCCAACTCGTTAAAATCTAAAAAATAGAAAGAAGAGTCAACACTCCGAATCTGTCCTAGATTCCAATATTTGTCTGTTAAATAAACAAAATAGAAACCGTATTCTTTGGGAATCAGTGTATTCATCAATCCACTCGATTGTGCCTTTTTTATCATATCCACTGGAAATTCCTTCGTTCTGTCATAAAGCGCTACACTTTGCAGAACTTCTTTGGCCAATTTTGATGCATTTTTCTTGATTTCTTGTTGTCTAAACAGAAAATATAAATCCAAGTAATTTTACTTAAAATTTACTTTTGTGAAAGAGCAAAGCTTATTGGCCGTCTTGACGAATACAACGGCAAATTGATTAGCAAACTAGGAGTCAATTTTTTTGAAAAAATCATTGGAAGAAATAAATTAGGCCTGTTAAAGTGATTAATAAGAAATTAAGATGGGTACTTTTCGGTTTTGCCACACTCCTCCCATATATTCGCAGGATATTATTTCTATTTTTCCTTAATTTTTTCAGAAAAGTCAGTCTTCTTTCTTCCTCAATTTCACTCAATTTTCTCTGTGGCATGTTAAAAGAGAGACATTAACAAAGAAATGATTAATTTTTCTTTCCAATGTGAAGTTAAGGAAGGAAGAAGACTGACCTTTCTGTAAGAATTAAGGAGAAATAGAAATAATATCCTGCGAATATATGGGGTGTGGCAAAACCGAAAAGTACCTTAAGAGGATATAAACACACCAACAAAATTACTAGGTTCGATCACACCGGATTAGTTTCCGGTAACGAAAAAAATTATCTTGCCGGACACTTCTAAAATAATTTTGGACTAGCCCCGAGTATTCGCAAGCCAAATAATCGCAAATTATTGGCGAAATGTTTAAAATATTTAAAAATGACATTTTGTCCCAAACTTCCAAATTGCCTAATTTTCTTTCTCTGTTGGCCAAAGAACAACATTAAATGTTTAGGAATTCCGCGTTTTACTTTTCCTCATTTTTTGTTTCTTGTTTATATGTTCATCATTTTGTGATGATACACAATTTATATTTTTTATTATTATTCAACATTTATAGTTTCATATTTTTTTTATTCTCTCTCGATTTTCGTTTTTAATAATTTCAAGAATTTCTTTAAAATACAGTCAATCTCACTATAAGATACTCCTTTTGGGGCTGAAAAATTCGTCCCTTGTAACGTGGGGTAGCTTAACTTGGAAGGAATCGCTTAGACAGCCTTCCCCACTTGCCAACCAAATTTTAAAGAATGTCTCTTAAATAGAGGGTTTTCCTTAAATTGAGGTGTTCTAACGAAGCGTTGATCTTATATTTGTTTCTTGTTTATATGTTCATCAGGGGGGCTGTCCAGGCAATATATCCCCCCCCCCCCCCAGTATCTTATAGGCAAATTTCGACTTATAGCTTGAATTGTGGGTATTAGCTTGGAAAGCTCCCCCCCCCCCCAATCCAGTGACCAACCAAATTTCCAAAAATATCTTTTAAATAGAGGTGTCTCTAATATTGGGTGTCTCTTATAGGGAGGTTCTGACTTATTCTAAGTTGTATTTTAAATAGGGGGGGGGGTATTCCCTGGCAGCTCTCCTACCCAGTAGTAAACTAAAAATTTAACAAGCGTCTCTTAAATAGAGGGGTGCCTAATATCGAGGGTATCGTATAGAGAGGTTTCGAACTTGTATTTTGTTCATAAAATTAAAAAAAAAATTTTTCAAGAAAAAGCTAAAATGTACAGCAAATACGGCGATTTTCACACAATAGATTGGCCTCGAGATTTGGCTAGAGACCGTTTACGACACAAATGTATTCGTGCTTATCGAAGAAAAGACTTCCCTTTTGGTTCAATTTTAACAATTTGGGATGCTGGGAGCGGGTGGATTTGTGTTTTGTTGGTTGGAATGGCTGCTGGGGCAATTGCTGGGGTTATTGATATTGGGGCTAGATGGATGAGTGATTTGAAGGATGGAATTTGTGCAGATAGATTTTGGTTGGATAGAGAACATTGCTGTTGGGCTGCGAATGATAGCGCTTTCAAGGTTTTTCTTTTTAAAAAATTTTTTGGCGAAAATTGGGAGAAAAATTTTTTGGGGAATTTTGGCCTTTAGGCCTTCATTTTTTCATCTTCCTCTACAGGTGTTGGTAGCTGGTTATGTTCGATTTTATCGGCTTGATAGGGGAGTCTTTAGGATTTTAGCCGCTATACAGTAAAAATTATCATGTCGCCAACATCTTTAATTTCGTCCTACGATATGAAAAAAATGATTTTTGAGGACTTTTGGACTTTGGGTGCCCCCATTTATCATTTTCCTCTAGAGTTGGTAGTCGACTATTTTCGATTTTATCGGCTCGGATGGGGAGTCTTAAAGAGTTAAGCCTTTACATGTAAAAATTAATTAGTCGCCAATATCCGTAATTTCCACCTTATGAAAATATGGGGCCTTTTAAAATTCAAAAAGATTTTTTTCTCGTCATGTTGTGTTAGAGGGAAGCCCATTTTATTAGAGGGAGTCCCATTTTCTTGCTTTTTTAAGGAATAAAAATAAATTTAATTTTTAATTAAAGTCCAACCCTTTTTTAAATTTTAAAAAATATTTTTTGAATTAATTAATCATTGATTCCATTCAATCTTTATTTTTTTTGATTTTTTACTTTTATTCTTTCAATTATTTTTGCCCTTTAAAAGAAGAAAAGGAAGCGATTTTTTGCTGTCCTTTCTAGAACTTTTATTTTTATAAAAATTTAAAAGGGTTTGCAAAGTTTGTACTTTGTCTAATAAATTTTTCTTTTGACAATTTTAAGAGGAAAAAAATTTTTTTTAAGAAAAATTTTAAAAATTAAAAAATTTTTTTTTCTTTTAAAGGACAACGACTGTCTTAATTGGCGTTCCTGGCCTGAAGTTTTCCTTTCTAGTGATCGTGGACATCGCGACTGGCTTTACCATTCACTAGATTTTATTTTCTTTGTTTCATGGGCAGGTTTGGATTAAAAAAAATTTTTAATTTTAAAAATTTTTAAAAATGGACATTTCGTCCCAAAACAAAAAAATTGACCATTTTGCAACCTTTTTTTAATTTTTAGTTGCCCTCGCTGGATTAGCTGTAACTTTGGTTAAAACATTTGCCCCATATGCTTGTGGATCTGGTATACCAGAAATTAAATGTATACTTTCTGGATTTATAATACGTGGCTATTTGGGCAAGTGGACGTTTATAATTAAATCTGTCGGGTTAATTTTGGCTTCTGCTTCAGGTTTTTTTTATTATTTTTTTTAATTTTATTTTTTCTATAAAATCCGAACTTGTATATGCCTGGAAAGAACTTATTTTAAGGATTCCCTCTCCCCTCTAAAGTATAAAATATATTTCCTGCGGGCTTATTTTGCTGATTTTCCCCCTTTAGTCTTTATTCTAGCCTTAAAATAAAAAATTTATGCCTTTTTTTTGACTTCATTTATAGGGAACCAGTTTTTCATTTATAGATAGGTCTGGTTCAAATTTTAGATTCGGGACGTTTTAGAGCTTCCTATATGGCTGTTGGGTTTTCTAACTCAATGATTAACATAAAATGAGACTTATGTTACTGAATTTACTCCAAATTCCAACTATAGGCAACAAAAAGTATCCAGAACTTAAAGCCAAGCATTTTTGAGCCCTCTGTATTTTTCTTTGACGGGGGGGGGGGTTGACTTCAGGTCAAATTGTTAAGCTCTCTGGTCTATGTCCGCAAAGTTCAAGACAACATATAAAAATTTGTCAGTCACAAAACCTTTAAAAAAAAATTTTTCCATAGGCCTAAGCCTTGGCAAAGAAGGTCCAATGGTTCATTTAGCCTGTTGTATAGGCAATATATTTTCCTACCTCTTCCCAAAATATGGAAGAAATGAAGCCAAAAAACGTGAAATATTGAGTGCTTCTGCAGCTGCCGGTGTTTCTGTTGCTTTTGGTGCTCCAATTGGTGGGGTTATGTTCAGGTTTTTTGAAAGGATTTTTTGGGAATTTTTTTAAAAAAATTTTTCTAGTCTTGAAGAAGCAAGTTATTATTTTCCTTTAAAAACTATGTGGCGCTCCTTCTTTTGTGCTCTTGTTGCTGGAGTTGTTTTACGTTTTGTTAATCCGTTTGGAAGTGATCAGGTTTTTATTTTTTTCTTTTTTATTTGTTTATAGTTTAGGGATGTCATGGGTTGAGAAAAATATTTGATTTCGTGTAGAGTTATTTAGGGGGATTCGAGCCTGAAAGTTAGGATTTCAGATATCCCGTAACGCGCCCGATAAATGGGAAATTTTGAAATTTCTATTTCCTTTTTGTCCGTTTCGGTCTGATTTCGGGTCGGGTTGTTTAGGGAATTCAGGGAAAATCGGTTTTCTGGCTTAAAAAGTCAGGATTAGTTGGCAAGGGCTTGGTCATGAGGGGCTGAAGGGTTTATACCTCCTGAAATGAGGAAAATGAAAGAATTTTGGGAGGGAAATGAAACTCCGAAAGTTTGGCGCATATCCCAAAAATTAGTCTCCCTAAAATCGACTCCTTGGCTACGCCTTGCTAGTTGGGGAAATTCTGAAATTTTTATTTCTTTTTTGTCCATGTCGGGGATATTTTTGTCTATTTTTAAAAAAATCTTTGGACTTCTCTGTTTTTTTTTGCTTCTAAACCGACACTAATTAAATTATATAATTTTGTTTACAACGGCCTCTTTTTTTCTATTCTCTTTACTCTTACCCATCTGAATCTTTTTGGTTTTTTGTTAGATTTTTTTTAATGTTCTGTCTTTGTTTACCTCCTTTTTTTCTCCTCATTCTCCTCATCTTTCCAAAAAAATTTTTCTTTTTATTTTAAAAAATATTTTCCAACAAAATTAAATTTTTTTATTAGACTTCTTTATTCCACGTTGACTATTCTATGCGTTGGACATTTATGGAATTAATTCCGTTTGCTGCTTTGGGTATATTTGGAGGTCTTCTTGGAAGTTTATTTATATGGTTTTTTTCTTTTTTAATTTTTTTAATTAAAAAAATTTTTTTAGGTCAAATATAAAATGGTGTGCTTATCGTAAAAATACTCAATGGTTAGGGCAAAATCCAATATATGAAGTTTTGGTTGTTTCAGCAGTAACTGGAGCTTTGTCTTTTTTTAATCCGTATACACGCAAAAGTGCTAGTTCTTTGATTAAACAGGTTTTTTTTGAAAAAAAATTTTTTGAAATTTCTTGAGGGTTTGAAAAATTGTTGAAATTTTTTTTAGAAATTTTTCAGAAACCTTTTCGATATTTTTTTTCAATTTTTCAGAAATTTTTTCAATTTTTTAAAGATTTTTGAGAATTTTTCGAAAAAAATTTTTTTGAAATTTTTTTGAAAATTTCTCAAAAAATTTTCCAAAAAATTTTTTTTCTAAAGCTCTTTGATCGTTGCGGACCAGAAGATTATGGACAAAATTTGTGTGATTATAATAGAAATTTTACTTTTGGACAAGTTGTGGATAAAGTAGATGATAATTATCATACAGGAGATTTGGGGAGTGGATTACAGGTTTTTTTTTAATTTTATTTTTAAATATGGGGGGGTCTTCTAAAAATCATAAAATATTTTCTTTTACTCTACAAAATTTTTAAAATAATTTTATATCAAACTAAATTTATTTTTAATTCATTTTCCATCGGTGAGTATCGAACCTTGCCTGTTTTTTTGTTTAAAAAATTTTTTACCCCACTACACCACCATTTTAAAATTTGCTTATTTTTATCCAAAAATCCAGTTCTTTTCCTTTTTAATTGTTTTTTTCTGTTTTTGGGGTAAATTAATTTATTTTTAATTCATTCACTAACGTTAGGTATCGAACTTTGCTCACTTTTTTTATTAAGGAAAAATTTTTTTATCCCACTACACCACAATTCTAAAGGTTGCTGTTCAAAGACTCGCGTTCCTTTTTCTCCCCCATTTTGGCAAATTTCGAAGCCTTGTAACTTTTTAGCTTCATATTCCTAGCTAAAAAACCCGAAAATTTTCTAGAGCAAATCGATGATGCTCTATCGATTGGTGCCAAAAAAATACAAAATTTTGACTCACAGTTTGTGAGTTTCCCCTTGTTAGAAATTCTTTCTTTTTAATTTTTCTTTTAATTTTTTTGTTTAGAAATTAATTTTTTATTAAAAAATTTTTAATTTTTTTGTTAAATTTAATTTTAATTTTTGTTAAATTTAATTTTTTTAAGACAGCAATATTTCAACTTGTTATGGCTTTATTTGCAAAATTACTTTTTACAATTTTTACTTTTGGTGTAAAAGTTCCTTCTGGATTATTTGTTCCAAGTTTAGCAATGGGGGCAATTGCTGGACGTCTTTTAGGAATTAAAGTAGAAGGGTTAACTTATGCTTTACAACAACAATACCCAAAAAGTGATTTGTGGACTTGTAGAATTGGAAGGGATTGTGTTATGCCTGGTTTGTATGCAATGGTGGGGGCTGCTGCTGTTCTTGGAGGAGTTACTAGGTTTTTTTTTGGAAAATTTTTTTGGGTAGTCTTTAGTAGAGTTGGACAAAACGATACTGGTATCGGCCAACCCGAGACCGAGATTGACCGATACTCAAGAACCCGATACCGAGACCGATACCATCATTTTGAGCCGAGACCGATACCGAGAAACGATACTGACCGAGACCCACAGAAATTTTTATTTTATGTCAAAAAATACGTATAGAAATAATTTATTCATTATTTTCATCATCCAAATCATCAGATAAATACTCTTCATCATCTGGATCCGATTCTATTGATGGTTAACATCCTTTTTTATACTAAATACAATAGTAGGATTTATAGGTAAAAGGATTATAGTCTACTTATACAATTATAGTCCACTTAATCCGCCATTAGCTTTCCAAATATAACGATATCTGCCTTACATTCGTTACCCTCCAAATCCATTGATATCCCCTCAAACACCCAAATCCCTCCAAATAACCCAGTATTGTGTTTAAGCCTTTTAATTTTATTAAATTACTGGGACTCAGTTGAGCTAGATAAAAGAGTCGTGCGAACTCAATCGTGAGGGCTTAGATAAATGCTCGGATTTTGTAAGGCAAATAAAGAAGGATTCACTCTTTTCAGCGCCGCAGGCGAAAATTTTTTGAAATTCAGAAGGCCAATGGTCAAAAATCCTCAGTTTTATTAAAAAAAACAAAAAAATTGGGGTCTTTGAGTCAGTATCGTTTCTCGCCGAGAAATGGACCGAGAATATCGGTATCGGTTTCGAGACCGAGAATGAAAAAACCGAGACCGATATTGGAAAAAAGCCGAGAATCTCGGTATCGGTCTCGGTATCGGTCTCGGCTTGTCCAACTCTAGTCTTTAGTGTTGGGTCTGCTCTAGTAATAGTTTTAACAATACCCGGTGATTTTTGAAAAGAGATAGGGATCCAGAAGTTCGAGTGGGCTACCTCATGTCTATGAGGGGTATATTTCGTCAGTTTCCAATGATCTTTTGGGTATGTTTCGGTTATCCAAATTGTGGTGGCCCGTTCGATACAACACCACTTTGTTCCACATGGACTGGGAGGTGGTTGTTAGATCGGAATGTATCCCGTGAGCGTGTAGCGACTTACCCCATTAATTTTCCCTCCACGGAAAATTTATAATTTTTTGATTTTTTAAAGAATGACAGTCTCATTAGTTGTTATTATGTTTGAATTGACTGGCAGTTTAGAATTTATTGTGCCAACAATGGCAGCTGTAATGTTTGCAAAATGGGTTGGAGATGCTATTTATAAAACGGTTAAAAAAAAATTTTTTTAGAATTTTTTTTAAATAAATCCAATCCGTGGAAATGCCTTCGAGCCGCCGAGCTATAGGTCCTTAAAAACCGAAAAACCATAGGGGGAGTAAGCATATTTCTGTGCTTGCTTACCCCTCCTATGGTTTTTTCAGAGTGGGCCACCGGCTAAAGTATATCCAAACTTCCACCTTAAAAATTTTTTTTAATTCTTTTAAAGGGAATATATGATGCTCATATAGAATTGAATGGATATCCATTTCTTGACAATAAAGGAGAATATCCATATTCAACAGTTGCCGCCCAAGTAATGCGTCCAAGTAATGAAATGCGTGTTATTGAACAGAATGGAATGTCTGTTGGAGAATTAGAAACTGTTTTGAGGGAATCTAATTGTAATGGTTTTCCTGTAGTTAATGATGGTAATCAAATGTTGGTTGTTGGATTTTGTACAAGGTTTGTTGTTGTTTTGGAGGGAAATTATGAAAATTTTATTTTATAAAACATCAAATAATGGTATACCCTTTTGGGTCTGAAAAGGATTGAATTTCATGTCGTGTCGGGCTAAAACAAGGAACGGATAAAACATGGAGAAGACAAAACAATGTTTTGTCTGTTCCGTATTTTGGCATTCCTTGTTTTGCCCCTCACGCACTCATGTAACCAGGAAAAATTTTTTGTGAGAGTGAAGGATAATTCTCCAATAGAGCCCCATTTACCCAGGGCTACGGGCCTGAATGTGACGTACTTTAATTATCTAAAGATGAGGTTTGAGAGTATCGGGGTATTGAGTTTCTTCGGGTTCTGAATGGAGAAGACCGTGAATTCTTCGGATCTTTTATTTTCTAAGAAAAAATTTTTTTTAATTAATTTAGAATGGATCTTGGTCAAGTATTAAAAAATGCACGTAAAACAATGCCATATATAACAACAAATTCTCCTGTATATTTTACAACAACAGCAACAAATTGTGATACAAATAATATAAATAGTAGTAGAAATAATATAAATTCTCAACAACAACAACCAGAAACATTTGATAATATTATTGTTGTTGACGAACAGAGAAGAAGAAGAAGGAGAGAAAACAATGAGAGAGTAGAAGAAAATTCTGAAATATCAGAACAATTACCGGGGTCTCCAGCACCGTTGTATATAAATCATATTATGGATGTGGTAAGAAAATAAATAAAATCAGAATTAAATTCGAACATTAAAAGAAAACCAGAATTAAATTTGAACATTAAAGAGAATCAGAATTTACCTAAAACAGAATAATTGTTGCTTCCGTTTTGATAAAATCAGAATTAAATTTAAACATTAAAAGAAAATCAGAATTTTAAATGTTAAAAGCACAACAAGCCCGACACAAAACCAGAATTAATTTCAAACATTAAACAAAAATCAAAATTTTATAAAAACAAAAATTAAAAACAAATAAACATCTAATACAAAACCCAGAATTAAATGTGAACATTTTAAAAATCAGAACTTACAAAAACATGAAATCAGAATCTACTAAAACACATGAACATTTATTCTATTTGATAAAATCAGAATTAAATTCGAACATTAAAATCAGAATTTTCAATATAAAAGTTAAAAAAACATAAATAGCCTAAAACAAAAAATCAGAATTAATTGCAAACATTAAAGAAAATCAGAATTTTTCTAATTAAAATAAATTACCAGCCTAACCCAATCAGAATTAAATTTAAACATTTTAAAAATCAGAATTTAATTCAAACATTAAAAGAAATATATTTTTATAGGCCCCTATGACTGTTGCTGATCAAACACCAATGGAAACAGTAATTGATATGTTTAGAAAATTGGGATTACGTGGAACTGTAAGTTTATAAAATTTCTATATCAAAAAATAATTTTTTAAATTTTTTAGCTTGTAACAAATAATGGAAGGTTATTGGGTATAATAACAAAAAAAGATATTTTGACGTTTATGAAAGAAGGGGAACATAATTAATTATTATTATTAGAGGTTGGACTGAAAGGGCTTACAAAGAGCGAGATCAATTTCATGAAGATCTCGAACGATAACCGAGATTTTTTGACAGCTCTCGTCTCTGTCCAATCTCTCTATTTTATTATTACTGGTGCCTGTTTGGGGATTTTTCTTTGTGATTGCCAAAAAAAAGTTTTTTCAAAACTAAGGCATCACTAATAAAAGTAATAATAATAATATTTTGATCCTACATGAACAGTTTTTGGAGATGAAAATAAAAAATAGGGGTATTTGAAAAAGCATTTAACATAAATGACATTTTTTGACTATTTATTTCAAAAACTTCGCTTGACGTTTTCTCTTGAACTGTTCATTTTTTCAAAAAAATTATTTTTTTAATATTGTCCAAAGAAAGAAAAAAAGCTCATCATTTATATTTCAAACTCTGTCTCCTTCTCTCCTCTAAGGTTGGCGGATAGTTTGAAATCTTCGGTTATCGATCCGAGCCAAAAATTTTGGGATATCCGGCCTTTTTCGGATCCGAATATCCGTCAACCTTACTCTCCTCTTTAAATAAAAAATAAATATAAATTTATATTACTCTATTATTTCTTCTACTTCAAAACACCCTCCTCAGTTTCAGAAAAAAATTTATGGCCATCTTTTCATATAAAATAAATTTTTAATCAAAATTTATATATTCTTTAAAACAATTACCGTATTGTCTCTAATACAAGCCCTGGGCTTTTATTTTTCGATACCCCTCATTGGGTGGGCTGGCATGGACTTCTATTGGGGCATGGGCTTCTAGTGAAGATGGGATTCTATTAGAGACAATAGGATATGTATATTTTTCTCTTAATTGTTTAACTTTTTAAGAAGCAAATTTTTATATTTCCCCTCAGTTTTTTCTGTTGTTGTGATTGCTACGGCCAGTTTTTTTACATACATTTGTACATTTATTGTGACTTTTGAAAAGGTTAAAGAAAATATTGAGATTAAAATAAAAGTTTTTTATGAGAAATTTTATTAAGCTTCTCAATAGAATGAAGAAGTTTTCTTCAAAAATAGGGTTACGGTATTTTCGTTTCGAAAAAAAAGTTTTGTATAAAGACAACTTTAAAATACAGGGTGTCCCAACTAAAAAGCACTATTTTAAAAATTAATAACATTTTACTATCTTGACGGATTTTAATGATTTTTGGTATTTTATATCTATAATTTATGAGAATTTTTTTGACATAAAAATTATGTCTAAATTCGAACCCTAACCCTGTCTTAGTGCATTTATTTTCCTGCGTATGGCGAAGAGTGGATACTGTATTGAAAATCTAGTGTCTATCGCCTAGTGTTTACTCTAGTGTCTATCGCTGCTCAAAAAAAACAAAAGGGAGTAAGAATGCATGTGCGGAAAAAGGGAAAAACAGAACGGTAGAGTACGAAATTATCTCGGGTTAGGGTTCGAATTTAGACATAATTTTTATGTCAAAAAAATTCTCATAAATTATAGATATAAAATACCAAAAATCATTAAAATCCGTCAAGATAGTAAAAAGTTATTAATTTTTAAAATAGTGCTTTTTAGTTGGGACACCCTGTACTATAAAAGCCCTTTTATTTTCTTCTTTCTACACCAGCCGACAAATTTCTTCTTCAAAACAAATTCTTCAAACGACACTTTCTCTACAAACAACAAAGCATCAAGGCGTCATGCTCTTCTGGTTCGACGACGGATCTGGAACGAAAAAGGCGCCATCAACAACTCCACGTTCGGCTACCACCATCTTGCCGATGTTCTTTGCTTCGACTCTCTTCGTTTTTGTGCTGGTTGGACAGGTCAACAGTGAGAGTGGGGATGATCGTATTGGATTCTTCAAGCACACTCTGAAGGATGGTCATGTCACGCTCGCTGATTATTCCGAGGCTGTCGGAGCAGGAGACGACTCCCTTCTTGTCAAATACACAAATCGTTCTGAGTCCTGTGATGTTAAAATCAATGAAGGAAGCATGTAAGTTTCGACATGCTTTTTGCATCTTTGAAACAATTTTCATTCTTTTCAGTGTGCTCTACTACAAGAGGGAAAACGGAAAGAACATAAAGAACAACGGATGCGCTGTGGACCTGTTCACCAGTCATTCGAACAAGATCAAGTTCAAGGCTGGAGTGAAAAACAAAACTGCAGACTGCCTAAAAAAGTGTTCAAGTGCAACAAATACTTTTGATGGTGCTAGTGATAATACGTTAGTTCATGCATAGCTTGAATATTTTAATTCTTTTTAGTCTTCCCTTCGCCTACAGCTACAGTACAACTAAGGAAAACATCACGCAATTCAAGAAACGTCGGCTCAATGGGACTTGCAGAAGGCTCGATAGATGCGGTGGAGATGAACGACTTTGCATGCCTTGGACTTCTCTCGAGGTTGCTTGGAACAAATGCTTCATTGACGACGACGACGACAGCTATTATATTTTCGCTCACACCCATCCAAGTAAGACAAAATAAACCTTTTAATTGTCTTGATTATTTAAATTTTAGTTGGCGAAAAAATGACAAGATGGAGTCAAAAAGTTAATGAATTTGAGCTGACGATAACAGAACAAGGCGGGTTCTATATGGATAAATTGGAAAAGGAAGGTTATAATCCAGACGATGATCCAAAAACCCATCCATACTGCGTTCCTCAAGGAAAAGGCATTGCCCGACCTTTGACTTGGAAAATCAATGGGACGAGTCCAGCTCCAGGATTTGATCATCTGCTTGTCTTTTACATGCTTCCACAGAACGCATCTCGAAAGCACATCAAAGGCGAAATCACGACGGAAAAACCTGATGGTCCAAATTGTACAGAACTCTTCATTGAATTCGTAAGGAATTTGAACTCTTGTAAAATTCTTTCAAAAATTTCCTTTTTATTCAGGACAAGGACCACTACAAACTTTTGTCTGTCGGCGATCCAACAACGACCACCACAACAACGACTACAACACAACCGCCAACTACCACCACTAAGACCACTTCAACGACCTCCACATCAACTACGGCTGCTGTAACGACGACGGAAACGACTACGACAACAACGGAAAAACCTATATATCGGAGCAATGACTTTTGGTTTGCTGTTGCACGTGGTGGATTTCCTGCCGGCATAATGTTTTCCTGCTTTTGTTTGATAATGGTTTTCTGCTGTGAAAAGAGGACCACTCGATTCTGCGGCATAACTTGTCTAATGCTTCATGCAATAAACATCACCATCTTCGCATTAATTGCACTCGGAGTCTTCTTCGTCTACACTAAAGTGAATGATCCAAGTCCGCTCATCGTCCTCATCCTCATTCCAAGTCTTACCTGCTGCTTTATAGTCTCAACATGTTGCCTCGTTCACAAGTACTACAAATACGAAGAAGGGAAGCTAGAAGACCAGAAAAGAAGACAGAGGGAGAAGGAAAAAAAGGAAGAGATGGAGGCGCGAAAAAAAGAACAGGCTTACAAGAAGGAGATGGAAGCTGTCATCGACGACTACCTTGAATCCACCAAGGATTTCGAAGTAAGGAATATTTTTTATTAGATAAAAATAAATTTCTTTTGCTTTTAGGACATCAACCCGGAAGTGATCAAACATGCGAAGAAAGCACAAAAGTTGGGGCCGCGTCAAATGCCTCTTCCACCTTACTGTTCAGTTGGCCTGAGCACGGACTCTGATCGTCATCCGGTAAAAACCTGAATTTTTCAAAAAAATTTTAATTGTATTTTTAGGCTGATCGGGAGAAGGACACGACTACAGCGAATTCACTGATGGGAGCCACGGAGACTTCAAAGATGGAGGAGGGCAAATCGAAGATGGAGGCCGCGGAACATTCGAAGATGGGCGGGAAATCGGAGGAGGCCAAGGTGGAGGAGAAGTCGAAGATGGGGGAGAAGTCGAAAGTGGCGACCACTGCGAATTCGATGATGGAGACCAACTCGAAAATGGAGGAGGGGGACAAGTCGAAGAGCAGCCAGCAGGAATGATGAGAGGACAATAAAAGAAGCTTCAAGTGTTCCAGAGAAGAAAAAAAAGATGTGTGATTGTTGAAGAGAAAGTTCAAAATAATAATTGTTGTTGTTGTTGTTTTCCCTCAAAAATATATTTGTACCTATTTTCCTATATCGCCTCTATACCTATATAATTATTGTTGTATAGTATGTTTTGTTGTATTGTATTTGTTTCCCCCTAAAACCTATATTTGTAGCATTCAATATGTGTTTGTTTGTATCGTTGTGATTGTAAAATAAATTGTTGTGATTGTTAAAAGACTTGAGTAATACAAACATTAAGTCAGAATATTCCACAAGCAAACAGTTAAAAACAAATCAGAATTTAATAAAAACATTAAATGAGCATAAGAAACAAATAAACGGAAGAACAAACATTAACAAAAATCAGAATATTCCAAAAACATTAAGTCAGAACAACTAAAAATAAACAAAACATTTGAAAACAAATCAGAATATAATAAAAACATTGAGCATCAGAAAAACACCACCAAAATCAGAATTAATTTAAACCAAATAAAACATCAAATCAGAATAACACGAAATCAGAACACTCTTATAACAACAAAACATTCAGCAACATAATAACCAGAAGTTAATCAAAACATCAACATAACTGACAAAAACATACCAAATAAAAATCAGAACAACTTTAAAACACCTAAAAACAAATCAGAATTTAATTAAAACATTAAATATATTTAAACTTTAAAATAAAATTTAAACGTCATTAATAAACATTTTTAATAAAATAAAAAGCGAAAAATATAAAACTAGGTGAAAAAAAAAACAAATCAAAACTAACAAAAATAAAATTTAAAATCAAAAAAAAATGTTTTTGAATGTTTATGTCGACAAGATTTTTTTATGTTTACAATTTTTGTGTAGATAATAATTGTGTATAGTCGGACCTCATTTAGAAAAAATTATAATTTTTTACCCCGTAATGAGAGGTGTCTAATAAAAATTCAGGCCAGTGAGATTTTTTTCCTCTGCCCAGTGGGATTGAATGTCTATTAAAAATTGAGAGAAGGGTATACACTGCGGTGCATATGATTATGCACACTTGTTTTTTGTTCATAAGTTTATGCACACATTCAAAAAATACGTTCTATATAGCAATCGAAAGCTCTATTTGTATCTCAGTTGACATGTTTCTGCATTTTCCATGAAAATGAAAATTGGCCGAGATAATCCGGATCTACCGGATATACCAAATCCCATATCCTCGGAAAAATTTTTCGGAAAAAATTTAACAAGCCCATTTGATAAAGCATATTTTTGTGAGTATTTATCACAAAACCGCTTAGAAATATCTTTTTTCGGTCCAGAGATATGATTTTTTGAAAATCGAAAAAACGCGATTTTTTGACGAAAAACGGCAAAAATATGGTGTTTTTTCGATTTTCAAAAATTCATAACTCGGTCAAATCTCGACCGATTTGGATGAATTTTTTGTATTGTATGTAGAATCTGGAGAAGAATCACATATATTTTTTACAGACTTCAAAAAAATTTTTCCGAAAAGTTGAAAATGTAGTACCTGTTAGACCGGTCGAAAATTTTTCGAAAATATCAGAATTTCGAAAAATGCAGAAACATGTCAATTGAGATACAAATAGAGCTTTCGATTGCTATTTAGAACTTATTTTTTGAATAAGTGTGCATAAACTTATGAACAAAAAACAAGTGTGCATAAACATATGCACCGCAGTGTATGCTCACCCAATGGCAGAGGCGGGTCGGAACAGTCAGAGGTGTCGGAAATCGGAAGAGCCGGAAATCGGAACTGGCTCAAAAGTCGGAACTCGGAAATCAAAATTTTTTTTCGGAAATCAGAAGGAAAAAAGTTGGAAATCGGAATTCCGACCCAACTCTTCCCACAAACTTTTAAAAACCCATCTAAAAAATAAAGGTAATCTAGGGGTATTGGGTGTGTATGTTTTATGATGAAGTTTCGACTGCACAATTTAGAAAAGAGAAATAAATAAAATTTTTGTTTTAAAATCAGAGCTAAATTTAGAAATTTTTTTAATTTTTAAAATTTATTTTTTCAAAAATTGTTTTTCAGCTCAAATTTTTTATTTATTAAAAATATTTTTGTGCTTATAATAATGCACTTTTTAAACAAATATATTCTTTAGAGAGAGAGAAAGCTTCTTTTTTTTCTTTTAAATAAAAAATCTTGTTTTAAACCGGGTGAAGTTCTCTTATAAGAGCGTGTGGAAGATGCAAAATACTGAAAAATTAAAAAAAAATTTTATATAAAAAAATTTTTTTCTAGATGCTCATCTAGTCGCATCATTCAAAACTCTTGGTATTTTTTTGTGGAATACAGCCATGATTCCCAGAACGTGAAGAAGAATTGAACCCCAGAACGAGCTCTTGGTATTAAAGCATGGAAAATTTACGGTCTTGAACAGCTCTATTAGGATCTTTAAGGGACCCCCTCATGGACTCATAGACCAATTTAAAAAAGGAAACAAAATTTTCTTGGAACGTCAAAATCTTCGTGAGACCCCTAAAATGGACCAGGGATATGTCCAAATTGAAAAAAAGAAAGTTTGGATATCGGGTCTAAAAATTTGGATTTCAAGTTTTGAATAACACAACCCATCCCTAAGCTAATCTTAAGTGAAAAAAAATTTCCAAAATTTTTTTTTGAAAAATCCTTACCGCGCAACCAACATTCCTGGAGTTAAATTTCCAATACCCAAAGGCCCACCACCCCCACCACTTCCACTTGCATCACTTTCATAATGATCAACAATTTTAATCCAAGGAGAATATTTTTGTGGAATACAGCCATGAGCTCCAGAACGTGAAATTAATAAATTGAATTTTTTGACGTCATTATTAGAATTTGTTGTTGGATTTGAACGTCCATAACGAATTAACATTTGTTTGTCCAATTCTTTAAATATTAATTGGGTAACATTTGGACAGTAGGAAACATCAAGTGTTTTCAATTCCTTTGAAAAATTTTAAAAATTAAAAAAAATTTTTTTCACCTTGCAGTTTCTAATAACCATAATAACGGACATGTTGCTTATGTTAATGCATTTACCTAGTCCAAGAATCTTAAAGAGAGAAAAAAAAATAAATTAAAATCAGAATTTAATAAAAACAAATAAAAACACAAACAAATAAACTTTCTACACAAACCAGAATTTTTTAAAAACATACACCAAAATCAGAATATTAAAAAAACAAACAAAATAAAAACAGAATCAGAATTAAAAATAAAAACCAGAATTTAAGAGAAACATACATAAAATTAAAACAAAAATCAGAATTAAAATCAGAACTTCATAAAAACGAATAAAAACACAGACTAAACAGAATATTTAAACAAACCAGAATATTGGAAAACAAACAGAAACAAAACTGAGAAACTTAAAAATAAATACCAGAATTTAAAACGAACAAATAAACACAAACACAAAAATCAGAATTTAAAAGCAACATAAAAATCAGAATTTTTAATACCAGAATAGAAACACAACATCTTAAAAAAAACAAATAACCAACAAAAATCAGAATTTCAAACGAACAAAATAAAAACCAGAAGACAGCAAACCAGAATAATGGAAAACAAATAAAACAAAACACTCCAAACAAAATCAGAATTTAATAAAAACAAATAAACACAAACACAAAAATCAGAATTTAAAAGCAACATAAAAATCAGAATTTTTAAAAGAAACACAACATTTTCAAAAACAAAACACATAAAACAAAAACCAGAATTTAAAACGAACAAAATAAAAACCAGAAGAAAACAAAATACTCCAGACAAATATCAGAATTCGAAAAACATGTTTTCCCTTACCTTCAACTTTCCCTGATTAGCAATTTCAATAAGAGTTTCATCAGTCAATGCTCTATGTCCAGTTAAGCGTAATTCATTAAGCGAACTTAGAGAGGCCAAATGGCGTAAACCCGTATCAGTAACCGCACGATTAGACATTGACAAATTTAAAAGTTGCAAAGCACGACAGCCTTGGCCTAAAAAGAAAAAAAATTTTCTTTTTCCCTTCTAAAAAAATTCAAAAAAAAAACCAATAGCTCGAAGAACATCATTGTTGATTAACAAATTGTCACTAACATGCATTTCGCGTAAATGGGAACATAATACAAACGAATAAAAACACAGAATAAACAGAATACTTAAACAAACCAGAATATTGGAAAACAAACAGAAACACTCCAAACAAAATCAGAATTTAATAAAAACAAATAAAACCCAACACAAAAATCAGAATTTAAAAGCAACATAAAAACCAGAATTTATAATACCAGAATAGAAACACAACATTCTCAAAAACAAAACAAATAACCGACAAAAACCAGAATTTAAAACGAACAAAATAAAAACCAACAAACAACAAAATACTCCAAACAAAAATCAGAATTCGAAAAAATCAGAACATAATACAAACGAATAAAAACACAGAATAAACAGAATACTTAAACAAACCAGAATATTGGAAAACAAACAGAAACACTCCAAACAAAATCAGAATTTAATAAAAACAAATAAAACCCAACACAAAAATCAGAATTTAAAAGCAACATAAAAACCAGAATTTATAATACCAGAATAGAAACACAACATTCTCAAAAACAAAACAAATAACCGACAAAAACCAGAATTTAAAACGAACAAAATAAAAACCAACAAACAACAAAATACTCCAAACAAAAATCAGAATTCGAAAAAATCAGAACATAATACAAACGAATAAAAACACAGAATAAACAGAATACTTAAACAAACCAGAATATTGGAAAACAAACAGAAACACTCCAAACAAAATCAGAATTTAATAAAAACAAATAAAACCCAACACAAAAATCAGAATTTAAAAGCAACATAAAAACCAGAATTTATAATACCAGAATAGAAACACAACATTCTCAAAGACAAAACAAATAACCAACAAAAACCAGAATTTAAAACGAACATCATAAAAACCAGAAAACAACAAAATATTAAAACAAAAATCAGAATTTAAAAACAACATAAAAATCAGAATTTTTTAATAAAAACACAACATTTTCAAAAAGCAAAACAAATTCACGACAAAAACCAGAATATTTAAAACGAACAAAATAAAAACCACAGGACAACAAAATACTCCAAACAAAATCAGAATTCGAAAAAAACATGTTTTCCCCTACCTTCAACTTTCCTTGATTAGCAATTTCAATAAGAGTTTCATCAGTCAAAGCTCTATGTCCAGTTAAGCGTAATTCATTAAGCGAACTTAATGACGCCAAATGGCGTAAACCCGTATCAGTAACCGCACGATTAGACATTGACAAATTTAAAAGTTGCAAAGAACGACAGCCTTGGCCTAAAAAGAAAAAAAATTTTCTTTTTCCCTTCTAAAAAAATTCAAAAAAAAAACCAATAGCTCGAAGAACATCATTGTTGATTAACAAATTGTCACTAACATGCATTTCGCGTAAATGGGTAAGATTGCTTAATGCAGTTAAATTAGGTTGACCTTCATAAAATTCTGAAAAAATATAAAAAAATTTTTAATTAAAAAGGTTAACTGAATTTTAAAAGTTTTTCCGATTCTGAAAACCTTACTTCCAATTAAAACAAAAATGTCAATTGAAATCATTTTTCGGATCGCAAAAATAAATAGAAATGAAAGAAATAGGGTAAGAGCCTCCTTAGGAGAAAAAAATAATGGGGTTGGGGTTCGAATCGGAAAGATTTATTGGAGGTTTAGGGTACCCCCTGTGACATCTCTCTGATTTTAAACCCAAAAAGAAAGATTGGGGAAAAGAAAATAAAAAATTTTTAATTTAAAAAAATTAAAAAAAAAATTAGACCAGTTCCATAACATTCAGAAAAATGAAGCACAGTTAAGCTTAAAAGAAAAAATTTTTAAAAATAAAAAAAAAGTCAAACTTTTTTAAAGCCATAAAAATATTATTCATTTGTTGTGTTTGTATAGTATCTACTTGATCCATAATTAAAGTTTCTAAATTTGTACAATTTGCTTGAATTCCACTAACTGCAGCAGATTTTAAACGAAAACAACTGCAAAAATGAAAAAAAATAAAATTAAAAAAAAAGTAAAAAGTAGGGGGTGTCAATTAGGAATTAAACTGAAGAAACGAGGATTTTTTCAATTCTGTTAAGGCTATCCAAAGATTCTTCTAAAAAAACGACAGACCTAACAGAAAGATTAATTTTACTGTTTACCAAAGCCCATGACAGGAATGGGACTGATTGAAAACAAAAAATCGAGTCGTATTTTGGATCGGAGTTTAATCAAAATTTAAACAGGTTTTCCAATTTCGGATCGAAAAAAAGAATAAGGGCCCGTCATGCTGGTACTATTAGAGGTTTAGGACACCTCGTCCCATCTCTGGCCCAACCTTCAAAAATGGAAAGACAATGGTTATGGTCCAAATAAAGGAAAACTCCAAAAAAAATGAACTCTCTATATATCTGCAAATCCTAATCCTCGTGGGTCTCCCAATAGAATGCATTTAAAAAGCAAAAAAATTAAAAAAAATATACCAAGAAATATTCAGCTTTTTAATCGTCTTTGGTAACTCTTCAAAACAATCTCCTTTAAGTATTTCATTCTCGCTAACATTTAAAGACTCCAAAGATTGGCAAGATGAAAAAAGCTTGGTAAGACCTTTCTCCATATTTGTGTGCTAAAAATTTAAAAAATTTTTGTCCGCAAATTTAATCCGCAAAAAATTTTCTGTCCGCAAGTCTTGTCCGCAAAAATTTTTTAATCAAAAAATTTAAAAAAACCTTAAAACAATTCCGAAAAGACAAATGTTTAAGTTTCGGTAAATGACGTCCAATTAAAGAAAGAGAAGAATTTGTCAATTGCATGTAGTCAAAATATAAAGTATGCACACTTGGAACAATTTTTAAAGATGAGCAAATTGAATAATTTAATTTTGGATCAAGACGAAAACCAACCAAATCGATAACCTTTAAATGATGACGAGCACGTTTCATAATAATTTGAATCTAAAAAATTAAATAATATGTAGAGGAAAAAAGTCCGCAAATTTTGTCCGCACAAAATTTTTTGTCCGCAAAAATTTTTTTTGAGATTTGCGGACGGAACTTGGAGGAGAATACAAAATTATAATGTCATTTAATTAAAGCTAGATGTTGACAAAAAATAAGAGGATACCCTAAAGTCATCAAAATTCTAGTAAAGCACATTATGAGAATGAAGACAATTTTTGGGACATGTAAAAGAAAAGTTCCGGATTTTCGCTGATTTTTTAAACATAAGCCTTCACCATTGTTTCCCCACTTTTTTTACTTTTTGGATTGATTATTGAACTGATGTCAAAACCAAAAGTGAAAAAAGAGGGGGAAAAACCATTGACTAATTGTCCGCAAAAATTGTCCGCAAGAATTAGTCCGCAAAAAATTTGTCCGCAAAAAATTTGTCCGCAAAAAAAAGTCCGCAAAAATACCTACTCATCTATAAAGTGCCCAAAACTTTATTCAAAGGAATGATATAAGGCTAGAGCCTTAAATGTCTAAAAAATTAAAAAAATTTACATGTCGATTGGTAACCTTCATACACATTGTAACCTTTGAAGCTGGACAGTCTTGGAAAACTTGCGAATAAGATATCATTTCATAATTGTCCCAACTATAGGAAATAGCAATTTGCCTCCAATGTCTACAAATCTTTTCGATTCGAAGATGATCAATTGTATTCAAATTTGAAAAGATTTTGCCCTGAAAAATTTTTTTTGAAACTTTGGGGATCTTGAAGGGTGCCCTACTCCCTTCGTTTTGCTGCCAATTTTAAAAAAATTGGCGGTTCCTGGGAGCTATCCGGTTATCCAAAACCAGAACCCATAATCGGGACAAAAATTTCGTGTCCGGGTTGTACAAGTTCTGAATACACAGAACCGATTTTTTCATTGGATGGGAATAGGACCATCATGGAAGGGGCTCAAACCTGACATGAGCACAATCGAATGTGACTCCATCTGACTCGAATATGGGTAATTTTTATTCTTTCAGAGTGGACTAGAGATCGGCCTGGGTCTGGAACACAGCCTGGGCTTTTCTGTACCCAGAGTCCAGGCCCAGGTATTTTTTAATCTTCTTGGGTTTTTACTGGACTAGAGGTCCAGGATCCTGCCCAGATCGATAAATCAAACCAAGAACCCAGAACAGGCTCAGGCTTTTCAAAAATACCGATCTCTACTGCAGACATAACAAGGCAAATCGAAAAGGCTTTAAAAAATACGGAAAGCTAGAAAGAAAACGCCCAATTTCCAGGAATTGGGTCGTCACCAAGGCCTGTTCCTTGCCGGCTACAGGAACCCCCAGATTTTTAAAAATCTTAAAGCCGAGAAAAAAAGCTATTTAACAAACCAAAACATGTGAAGGAAGTTGATTAATGTGGATGTTCGAAGTATTCAAACTTAAATCTTGAGAGGAAGAGTTGGAGTCATCAATAACCGTCTTTGACTTTCTTGAACGTTTCGACTCGGATTTAGCTGCCTCTTTAGAATTTCGTTTGGTTCCACGTCTAGAAGTTTGCATATAACGAACCATAATAAAATAATTTTTTTATTTTTTTAAATAAAATTGTCTAAAAGATCTAAAAAAGAATTTAAAGTTTAAAGGGGTCTTTTAAACAGAAGAGGAATATTCTAGCCCAAACCAGACTAAGACATGGAGACAGATATTATAAAAATGCCTGCGGATATCCGTCTGTATCCGCCGTAAATATCCGGATACGGATACCAAAATCAGTATCCGTGTCCTAGTCTGGACCAAACAACGCGGGAATAGAAGAAATAACGGCAATTCTGAAGCAGCCGCCCATTTTTTCCTTATTTCTTCCTTCCCTAATATGTTCAGAATCTCGTTTGAATATGCCATAGAGAAAAAAGGAAAAGGGAAATCTGACCATTACAATCTTAGAGAAGGAAAAAATAAGGAAGAAAGGGGGGACCTGCTTCAGAATTGCCGAAAAACACCTTTTTCTGGTTGTTTAAAAGACCTCTTTAAATAATTGAATAAGTTAAATTAATCAGAAGGGAAAAGGGATTGTTAAGGATTTTATATCCAGCAATGGAAAGCGTTAAACATTGGAGGTTTTGACCAAGCAGGCCTAAGCTGGATCGAGAACTTTTAATCAAGAAAGAAATAAGAGAAGGCAAAAGGAGACTAAACTCTTTTCCCCGACAGCCCTCAGGTCATTCAAATTAATCAATCAGAAGCCTAGGACTGATCCCGCCTTCAAACCTCGCAAGTGTGCCTGGACCAGACAGCTTCTGAACCATCATTTGAAAGCAAAATCGCTAGTAAATCGCCCTAAAACCTCAAAGTTTTAACCAAAATGTTCCCTAACACGTTTGAATTATGACAAAACATTAAGATGATTCACCCAAATAAAATGAAAAATAAATAAAAATCCTAACTAAACGGTTTCATAAAAATTTCCAATTTCCCCTTTTTCTCTAATGTCTCTCATCTTTTCCAACGCTATTTTATTAGATGGATAAAGAGATGACCGTTCTATGATGGCAGTTTTTGGGCCATAAATTTTTCTATTATCAATATTATTAAAAATTTATATGAATCTTTCGAAAGATCTCGAAATTCTGCATCTTTTCACAACTGGACTGATACAATATTAGCATTCTACAAAAAGTTATAAGTGAAAAACCATGTTTTAAACGGAAAAAATCAGTTTTCCTGATGTAAAATTTTTTGGAATGTTCGAATCATATCGGACCAATTATGAAAAAGATGTAGCATCTTGTTACCTTTCGAATGATATGAAAACTTTTTCGAATTGATTGATCAAAAGAAAATCGCCCTTTGCTGTTTTTCTGCGATTATGTGGAAGAATTGGGACAAAATGTCATTTTTAAATATTTTTAAACATTTCGCCAATAATTATCGATTATTTGGTCCGCGAATAGATGGGGTTTTTTAAAAGTATTATAAAAGCGATGGAAATGTTTTTTTTCTCATTCATTTCTAAGTTTGTGTTGGATTGATTTTGTACATTTAAAAGTTTGACTAAGAATTAACTAGTAATTTTAACTGACCTAATCTGTTCATATAGGGTTTAATTTTTTTAGTATTTTGCTTGTACTCTTTGTTTTTGATTTAAGGCTTCTCTTATAAGCTTGTATTTAGTAAACAGTTATGTATTCTTTCCTAAAATATTAATTTTCAGTAAATAAACTGTTAAACAAAAAATTAAATTGTTTCTAAAAATGGTTAGAATTGTAGCAAAGAATGTTCGAAAGTTACTGTTGGCGTCTCGTGGAATCACGTCGACAATGAAACTGCCTGCTATTGTTAAGACTACGGCTATGGACGATAAGCCTAAGTTCACTAAGGTTTTTTTCTAAGGAATTTTTTTAAATCTAAAACAAAATTCAGTTATTTATCAACAATCAATGGCGAAATTCGCAGCTTGGAAGGACCTTTTCTATGTTCAATCCTGTGACTCAAACAAAATTTGCTGAAGGCCAGGAGGGTGGGACAGCAGACATTGACTTGGCTGTTAAGGTTGGTTTTTGCTAGTTTAATGATCGTTAGTTGTGTTTGTGGTGTAGTGGTTGTGTTCTAGTATAAGAGTTTATAGGGGTCCGGGTTCGAATCCGGTTGGTGGTCAAGTTGGTTAGTTGGCTATTTTTGAGTTGTTTAAGCTCACATATGTTTGTATAGATTTAATGATAAATGTAAAAAAAATTCCTTAATTCTGAAATGAACTGAAGTTGGGAATTTTGGGGTTCTGGGTTCGATTCCTGTTGGTGTTTAATGATTTTATTTGACTGCTTTTGAGTTTTTTGAACTCTAATGCGTTCGTTCAAAATTTTCAAAAAAATCTTTTAGGCAGCCTGTGATGCTAATAAGTTTGGCTCTGAATGGCGGCGTATGGATTTTGCTGATCGCGGACATTTACTTGATAAACTGGCTTCCTTAATTGAAAGAGATGCTTTTCAACTGTTTTGTTTGCAAACAATTGACAATGGAAAGCCTTGTGAGCCTCGTTATTTAGGTTTCTTATTTTCAATTTTCTTTTTGTTTAAAGTGGGGGTCACCCCCGACCAGGGTAAATCAGTTTCACTTGAACAGGTAGCCTACCAGAGCGTTTTTCTAAATCCCTGAGTTCCCGTCTCCATGACACCCGGCGGGGTTTTGTTGTCTCCAGTTTCCGTATACCTGTCTCAGCTCCGTAGGGTTACACCATGGTTTAAAGTATTGTCCTTAGTTCGAAATTGATTTTCCATTTCTTAAATTTAGTTATTTCGATTGCCATGTATAATTATTATGCATTTTGTGCAAATAAGAAGGCAACTTTTGGAATGGACAATTTTCACAATATGCGGAACGAGGCGGAAGGTGTTATTGGTTGGTTTTTTGATTTTAGACATTTTGAAATTTTTTTATATCTAACTAATTCCAATTAATAGGCCACATCATCTCTCCAAAATTTCCTGTGCTTAATGAAGCAATGAAATTAGGACCGGCTTTGGTAGAGGGCAACACTTTCATCTTAAATCCTCAAGCACCTTTAACCGCTTTATATGTAGCAAATTTAATTAAAGAGGTTAATTTTCTAAATTCATTTTAAAATTTATTTTTTCTAATTGAAGGCTGGTTTTCCTTCTGGTGTTGTAAATGTGGTCCCTGGCTTCGAATCTGCGCATAAGGCACTTTCTTCCCATCCGAATGTTGATAAAGGTTTATTTTTGCTTCCATTTTTAAGTCTAATGTTTTTTAGTTGAATTATTTGGCTTTACTAAAAGTGAATTGCAAAGCGGTTATTTTTCTCAAGCAAATTTGGAAAAGTTAAATTATTTTTTAGATAATTAAAAAATAAATTTTTAAGGATGTCACTTGAATTAGATGGCAAACATCCACAAATCATGTCTGGATATGCCGATTTTTCTCGTTTAGAGGATTATGTTGCGTTGGAAAGTTTCGTCCGTCGGGCCCATCTCGGAGTCTCTCAAGTTTCTAAATTTTCAATTTCTACAATTTTAAATTTTAGATTCTTCGTGAAAATGGAGTCAATTTGGATGTAGATACCGAAGATGATTCAAAAGCCATTCATTCTGTATAATTTTAATTTTTTAAGATTATTATAAAAATGCAATACTTTAGTTAATCAGCACGGCTCGTGATCTTGTAGGTTCTTCAACTGTTGGTGGTAAGCAGCCCGTCCCTTTCCAATTGCTTCGTCGTTTTGAGATTGAATATGCAATTGAAAAGGTTTTTTTATTGTTGGTTTTCACAAAACAAATTTGTTTAATTTTCAGAAAATTTACAAAAATGCATTGGAATGTATCAGCGATGCGGAAAAATGCTTGACAAGTAAAAAGGGGAAAAACGAAGTGCTGGCTTCCGAATTAGTTGGAATTGATTTTGATTTTTTAAAATGTTTTTTTAGATATATAAAGCCTATTCATGTGCCTTGAAGCATTACTACAAGGAATATGGGATTTTTATTGAGACTCACAATGCGTCACGATATTTGCTTTTGTTTGCTGCTGCCACAACCAAAGATAAATTCATTTTGAAATGGGCCAAAGGTGTTAACGGACATGCGAATGCGTATGCTTTATTTAATTTTTCTGTTTCTAGAATTTTTTATAAAATTTTAAATTCCCGCCTCCGAAATTGGGATTTTTTTGTAAAAATCGATAATTGTTGTTGATGAATATTTCATTTTTGGTATCCCTGTATCGAATCATTCTTGATGCTTTCCTGTTATCTGTGTCCATTGTTGAATTTTCTATTATGAAACTTGAGAAACTTAGCAACACTGTCCATTCATATTCGACTAAGATCGACCAACTCATCCTTTTGAATGAGTTCTAGCTCAATCACAAATTACAAAATTAGTCTTTTTCTCAAATTCTCCCATTTTCTATACATAACACTATCTAGTTAGTAAAGTTGACACAGATAATAGCAAAGACCCCATTCTTATTGAAAAGTTTTGCAAATAGTCTATTCATTCACATATTCACAAATCTATTATTTTTAGTATTCACCGAAACTCATTTAACGGCTCGATGGACGAATCAGACATTTGGGACATTTTGAGCATTATGAAGGATTTGGCTGTCACCTTGCCTCAAATTGACAGTAAAAAAGTTGAGTATGAGTTGAATCTTCATGTGCCACATCAGGAAGGTGAACAGAAAATTCTCAAAAGAGAAAATTTGAAGATGGAGATTGACATTAAAATGACGACGATGAAGATTATCAAGAAGCCACTTACCGAGAAGATTTACGGCTTGGGCCCCTTTGATTTTAAGTATATTTGCATTTAATTTAAATTATGTAAAAAATATATATTGATTATCTCAAATTGTGACCTCTTAATTATTTCTCAAAATATTTAAAATTGTTTTTGTTTAGGTAGAGTTTTTAATAAAAATTTTATTTCAAAATTTGTGTAGCACTTTTTTCGAATAGGTTGTTTGCATACCAATTTAGTACTTTTCATGTTTTGATTCTTGAAAATAGGTTTACATTGATGTTGATTTGCATTATCAACGCCACCATCGACATCTGCAAAGGGCTGATTTTCCAAAAATTTTTTACTTGCGATTAAGTGGACAATAGCGATAGCCGGATAAGATAGCGTGTAAAAAGGAGAATGTTAGAGAAAAAGACGGATTTATTAATTAAATTCAGAACATTTTTAAGAGAGGAAAAAATCATTGATAATACAACTCAAAATTAAATCCGTCATGTATTTCGTAATCTTGTAGAGAAATATTGTCCTTGTAAATAATGTTCCATTTTTTGAGAACGATCTTGTCTGCTCTAAAATTGGATTTTTTAGAGAGAAAAGAGAAATTTACAGCTTGCCTTGTTCCAGTTTGTAGTGCTATAAGTTTTTTAAGATCTTCGATTTTATCTGTAGCATTGCCTAGGAAAAAAATTTTTTGGGTTTAAAGCTGAAAAATTTTGACTTACATTTCACGCGCACTTTCTTACCCAATCGGTCATTGACTGTTATTTCAATCATTTTAAGGAAGCTAGGGAGAACAGGAAAGCTTTGGCTTTTAGTTGGATATGCTTGAAAATCTCGCGATTAAGTGGGGTGTCCTTAAGAAGGACTGCCCAAAACGGCGCGCGGCCATAACGGCGCAAAGCCTTAACTTGGTGGAAAATTTCTGGCTTATCAATTTTGGAATGTTGTGACTTATAGGGGGTTTTTTTTGGCTGGACCGATTTGGACAAATGAGGTGTCATTCGAAAGAGCTCGCCGAGCTGAGTCGATTGAGGGGCGAGTGGAGTCGATCCGACAATCAGGGACCGAGATACAGACCCCGGAAGTTTGAAAAAGAGAAGGGGGGAGTAAGCTCATTTTGGGGTGAAAAATTCGAAAATGCAAATAATAGCTCATTCGACACAGCTCGTCGAGCTGAGTCGAATGACACCAAAATCAGCTCGATATCTTGATTCTGAGCCAAGATAAACAGGTTCAAAATGGTTAACATAAACCTATGGAGCGTCGGCGAGGCGCTTGTGCGAAACCCCGCGCTTCGCGCGGGGTTTCGCGGCACGCGCCTCGCGGGACGTCAACGGTCGCTGGGTCTGGGCTCGTAACATAAACCTATTCCTATCTCTCTTGCTCTGGGCGTACTTGGGGCCTCTGTAGCAGCAAAAACCTCAACAATGACCATAGGTAAGGAGCTAAAACAAACGGTCATAACTTTGTCAAATCAAGTCGGATTTTGTTGATTTTGGTGTCATTCGACTCAGCTCGACGAGCTGAGTCGAATGAGCTATTATTTGCATTTTCGAATTTTTCACCCCAAAATGAGCTTACTCCCCCCCCCTTCTCTTTTTCAAACTTCCGGGGTCTGTATCTCGGTCCCTGATTGTCGGATCGACTCCACTCGCCCCTCAATCGACTCAGCTCGGCGAGCTCTTTCGAATGACACCTCATTTGTCCAAATCGGTCCAGCCAAAAAAAACCCCCTATAAGTCACAATACCCCAATTTTGGTACCAATCTCCTCAGCTCGTTGAGAGGAATCGTTTAATACTAAATTTGGTAAGATTAGGCAATCTTGAAGCAAGTTATGGCCGCGCGCCGTTTTGGGCGTGTCCCTCCTTGAAAATTGTTCTGCTTTGTTAAATTTTCTTTTAGACTGAAAAAATTTTGGAATTTTTCCATTTATTTTTTGTGGAAAGAAATGGCAGCCTTGATTAGACATGCCTTAAAATTGCGTTATTGGTTAATTGGAGGAGCTGCTGCTGGTGGGATAACTACTGCTAACGTTTGATTTTCTTTTTTTTTTGTTAAAAAATTTTTTTCAGTGGAAAAAAAAATACTCCAAACAAAAATCAGAATTCGAAAAAATCAGAACATAATACAAACGAATAAAAACACAGAATAAACAGAATACTTAAACAAACCAGAATATTGGAAAACAAACAGAAACACTCCAAACAAAATCAGAATTTAATAAAAACAAATAAAACCCAACACAAAAATCAGAATTTAAAAGCAACATAAAAACCAGAATTTATAATACCAGAATAGAAACACAACATTCTCAAAAACAAACAAAATAACCGACAAAAACCAGAATTTAAAACGAACAAAATAAAAACCAACAAACAACAAAATACTCCAAACAAAAATCAGAATTCGAAAAAATCAGAACATAATACAAACGAATAAAAACACAGAATAAACAGAATACTTAAACAAACCAGAATATTGGAAAACAAACAGAAACACTCCAAACAAAATCAGAATTTAATAAAAACAAATAAAACCCAACACAAAAATCAGAATTTAAAAGCAACATAAAAACCAGAATTTATAATACCAGAATAGAAACACAACATTCTCAAAAACAAAACAAATAACCGACAAAAACCAGAATTTAAAACGAACAAAATAAAAACCAACAAACAACAAAATACTCCAAACAAAAATCAGAATTCGAAAAAATCAGAACATAATACAAACGAATAAAAACACAGAATAAACAGAATACTTAAACAAACCAGAATATTGGAAAACAAACAGAAACACTCCAAACAAAATCAGAATTTAATAAAAACAAATAAAACCCAACACAAAAATCAGAATTTAAAAGCAACATAAAAACCAGAATTTATAATACCAGAATAGAAACACAACATTCTCAAAAACAAAACAAATAACCGACAAAAACCAGAATTTAAAACGAACAAAATAAAAACCAACAAACAACAAAATACTCCAAACAAAAATCAGAATTCGAAAAAATCAGAACATAATACAAACGAATAAAAACACAGAATAAACAGAATACTTAAACAAACCAGAATATTGGAAAACAAACAGAAACACTCCAAACAAAATCAGAATTTAATAAAAACAAATAAAACCCAACACAAAAATCAGAATTTAAAAGCAACATAAAAACCAGAATTTATAATACCAGAATAGAAACACAACATTCTCAAAGACAAAACAAATAACCAACAAAAACCAGAATTTAAAACGAACATCATAAAAACCAGAAAACAACAAAATATTAAAACAAAAATCAGAATTTAAAAACAACATAAAAATCAGAATTTTTTAATAAAAACACAACATTTTCAAAAAGCAAAACAAATTCACGACAAAAACCAGAATATTTAAAACGAACAAAATAAAAACCACAGGACAACAAAATACTCCAAACAAAATCAGAATTCGAAAAAAACATGTTTTCCCCTACCTTCAACTTTCCTTGATTAGCAATTTCAATAAGAGTTTCATCAGTCAAAGCTCTATGTCCAGTTAAGCGTAATTCATTAAGCGAACTTAATGACGCCAAATGGCGTAAACCCGTATCAGTAACCGCACGATTAGACATTGACAAATTTAAAAGTTGCAAAGAACGACAGCCTTGGCCTAAAAAGAAAAAAAATTTTCTTTTTCCCTTCTAAAAAAATTCAAAAAAAAAACCAATAGCTCGAAGAACATCATTGTTGATTAACAAATTGTCACTAACATGCATTTCGCGTAAATGGGTAAGATTGCTTAATGCAGTTAAATTAGGTTGACCTTCATAAAATTCTGAAAAAATATAAAAAAATTTTTAATTAAAAAGGTTAACTGAATTTTAAAAGTTTTTCCGATTCTGAAAACCTTACTTCCAATTAAAACAAAAATGTCAATTGAAATCATTTTTCGGATCGCAAAAATAAATAGAAATGAAAGAAATAGGGTAAGAGCCTCCTTAGGAGAAAAAAATAATGGGGTTGGGGTTCGAATCGGAAAGATTTATTGGAGGTTTAGGGTACCCCCTGTGACATCTCTCTGATTTTAAACCCAAAAAGAAAGATTGGGGAAAAGAAAATAAAAAATTTTTAATTTAAAAAAATTAAAAAAAAAATTAGACCAGTTCCATAACATTCAGAAAAATGAAGCACAGTTAAGCTTAAAAGAAAAAATTTTTAAAAATAAAAAAAAAGTCAAACTTTTTTAAAGCCATAAAAATATTATTCATTTGTTGTGTTTGTATAGTATCTACTTGATCCATAATTAAAGTTTCTAAATTTGTACAATTTGCTTGAATTCCACTAACTGCAGCAGATTTTAAACGAAAACAACTGCAAAAATGAAAAAAAATAAAATTAAAAAAAAAGTAAAAAGTAGGGGGTGTCAATTAGGAATTAAACTGAAGAAACGAGGATTTTTTCAATTCTGTTAAGGCTATCCAAAGATTCTTCTAAAAAAACGACAGACCTAACAGAAAGATTAATTTTACTGTTTACCAAAGCCCATGACAGGAATGGGACTGATTGAAAACAAAAAATCGAGTCGTATTTTGGATCGGAGTTTAATCAAAATTTAAACAGGTTTTCCAATTTCGGATCGAAAAAAAGAATAAGGGCCCGTCATGCTGGTACTATTAGAGGTTTAGGACACCTCGTCCCATCTCTGGCCCAACCTTCAAAAATGGAAAGACAATGGTTATGGTCCAAATAAAAAAAACTCAGAAAAAATGAACTCTCTATATGTCTGCAAATCCTAATCCTCGTGGGTCTCCTAATAAGAATGCATTTAAAAAGCAAAAAAATTTAAAAAAATATACCAAGAAATATTCAACTTTTTAATCGTCTTTGGTAGCTCTTCAAAACAATCTCCTTTAAGTATTTCATTCTCGCTAACATTCAAAGACTCCAAAGATTGGCAAGATGAAAAAAGCTTGGTAAGACCTTTCTCCATATTTGTGTGCTAAAAATTAAAAAAATTTTTGTCCGCAAATTTAATCCGCAAAAAATTTTCTGTCCGCAAGTCTTGTCCGCAAAAATTTTTTAATCAAAAAATTTAAAAAAACCTTAAAACAATTCCGAAAAGACAAATGTTTAAGTTTCGGTAAATGACGTCCAATTAAAGAAAGAGAAGAATTTGTCAATTGCATGTAGTCAAAATATAAAGTATGCACACTTGGAACAATTTTTAAAGATGAGCAAATTGAATAATTTAATTTTGGATCAAGACGAAAACCAACCAAATCGATAACCTTTAAATGATGACGAGCACGTTTCATAATAATTTGAATCTGAAAAAAGATAAAATGATAGAGGAAAAAAGTCCGCAAGTTTAGTCCGCACAAAATTTTTGTCCGCAAAAAAATTTTTTTGGGAAAATTGCGGACGGAACTTAAGAAAGAATACAAAATAGTATAAGGTTATTTAGCTAAAGGTAGATTATCACAAAAAAATAAGAGGATACCCTAGTCATCAAAATTCTACTAAAGTACATTATGAAAATGAAGACAATTTTTGGGACATGTAAAAGAAAAGTTCCGGATTTTCGCTGATTTTTTAAACATAAGCCTTCACCATTGTTTCCCCACTTTTTTTACTTTTAAAATAGGTTATTGTCTTGGATATCGAAACCAAAAGTGAGAAAAGGGAGAAAGATTCTCGACTAGTTGTCCGCAAAAAAGTATCCGTAAAAAAGTCCGCAAAAATAACTACCCATCTATAAAATGCCCAAAATTTTATTCAAAGGAATGATATAAGGCTAGAGCCTTAAATGTCTAAAAAATTTTTTAAAAAATTTACGTGTCGATTGGTAACCTTCATACACATTGTAACCTTTGAAGCTGGACAGTCTTGAAAAACTTGTGAATAAGATATCATTTCATAATTGTCCCAACTATAGGAAATAGCAATTTGCCTCCAATGTCTACAAATCTTTTCGATTCGAAGATGATCAATTGTATTCAAATTTGAAAAGATTTTGCCCTAAAATATTTTTTTGAAGGAATTTTTTGTAACTTTGGGGATATTGAAGGGTATCCCCCTCTTTGTTTTGCTGCCCAATTTCTAATGATTGGCGGCTCCTAGGAGCTATCCAGAACCCTATGCAGTTCCTGGAAGCTATCCAGGTATCCAGAACCTATAACCGGACCGAAAATTTCATGATGTCCAGGTTGTCTCTGTTGTGGATACCCTGGATCGGCAACCTTAGCATTTCATTGGATGGGAAAAAGAACAGCATGGAAAGATCTTAAAACTAAGCACAATCGACTGTGCCTCCATCTGTCTAGAAGATGGGCTTATTCAGAAACTTTCTGAAAATGTGGACTAGAGATCGGCCTGGTGGATCGCAGCCTGGGCTTTCCTGTACCCAGAGTCCATGCCCAGGCATTTTTTGACCTTACTGGGTTTTTCCTGAACTACAGGCCCAGGATCCGGCCCAGATCGATAAATCAAACCAAGAACCCAGAACAGGCCCAGGGTTTTCAAAAATACCGATCTCTACTGTGGACACAAGGCAGGCAAATCGAAAAGGCTTTAAAAAATACGGAAAGCTGACAAGAAAACGCCCAATTTACAGAAATTGGGTCGTCACCAATATTGGCGGCTACAAGAACCCCCAGATTTTTAAAAATCTTAAAGCTCTATTTAACAAACCAAAACATGTGAAGGAAGTTGATTGATGTGGATGTTCGAAGTATTCACACTCCAATCCTGAGAGGAAGAGTTGGATTCATCAATAACCGCCTTTGACTTTCTTGAACGTTTCGACTCGGATTTAGCTGCTTCTTTAGAATTTCGTTTGGTTCCACGTCTAGAGGTTTGCATATAACGAACCATAATAAAATTTTTTTATTTTTTAAAATAAAATTGTCTAAAAGATCTAAAAAAAAGAATTTATAGTTTAAAGGGGTCTTTTAAACAGAAGAGGAATATTCAAGCCCAAACAACGCGGGAATAGAAGAAAAACACCCTTTTTATGGTTGTTTAAAAGACCTCTTTAAATAGTTAAATAAAGTAAATTCAGAGGGGGAAGGAAAATGTTAAGGATTTTATATCCAGAAATGGAAAGAGTTAAAAATTACAGGTTTTGACCAAGTAGGCGTAGGCTGGATCGAAAACCTGCAATCATGGAAAAAACAAGAGAAGGCAAAAGGAGACTAAACTCTTTTCCCCGACAGCCCTCAGGTCATTCAAATTAATCAATCAGAAGCCTAGGACTGAACTTCAAACCTCGCAAGTGTTTGCCTGGACCAGACAGCTTCTGAACCATCATTTGAAAGCAAAATCGCTAGTAAATCGCCCTAAAACCTCAAAGTTTTAACCAAAATGTTCCCTAACACTAGGGTTGCCAAAATGGACCGACTCGGACCGAAAGATCGAGTCAGGTCTCGATGTTTGGCCCGAAAAAGTCTCGTACCGGCCTGACTCGATAAAGTTAGGCCCGAAAAAGACTCGTATCGGCCCGACTCGATAAAAACAAGCCCGAAAAAAAAATGCCTCGACCGTCGGCCCGACTCGAAAACGGCAACCCTACCTAACACGTTTGAATTATGACAAAAACATTAAGATGATTCACCCGAATAAATTAAAAAATAAATAAAAATCCTCATTAAACGGTTCATAAAAATTTCCAATTTCCCCTTTTTCTCTAATGTCTCTCATCTCTTCCAACGCTATTTTATTAGATGGATAAAAATACGTCTCAGAATGGCCATTTGTACGACAGTTTTTGGGCCCTAATTAGTTTTGTGTCCTAAAATTTTTAGAAATTCGGCATCTTCTTCATATTTGGACTGATTTCCCTGAACATTTTACAACTAGTTATAATTTCTTCTAGAGTCCGGCACGGGACGGGACCCCGCACGGGATTTTACGGGATCCCTTCCCGGAATCCCGGGGTTTTCGCGGAAAACGGGATTTACGGGATTAATCCCGCGGGATCCCGTCCCGTACAAAATTTTGAAAAAATCCCGTTCCGGGATCCTGGGAATGCGATTTTGCCGGACTCTAATTTCTTCACTGTTTTTCTGCGATTATTTGGATGTGCTGGGACAAAATGTCATTTTTTAATATTTTTAAACATTTCGCCAAAGATCTACGATTATTTGGCCCGCGACTAATCGGGCTGCCTCAAATGTGCTATAAAAGGGGGATGAAAGTGTTTTTGAAAGTGATTTTACACCAATTAAAAAATTTTTTTTCATATTTTAATTCTTTAAGATATTTGTCTAGTTGTCGAATGATACCTCCTCGTTGTTTCCAAAAGTTTTAGGCCCGCGATTAAGTGGACTTGTAGCCACACCCGGATGGGACACGGACACTTAGTCGCAGGCCACTTAGTCGCGACCACTTAGTCGCGACCACTTAGTCGCAGGCCCACTTAGTCGCAGGCCACTTAGTCGCGAAGTAGCTAAAATGCAGTGTTGCACCGGAACCGATATGTTGACCGGAACCGGAACCGGATCCAGTGAGTTCCGTATCCCGGAACCGGAATTTCGTATTTTCGAATTTTTTCATAAAATTTCGATATTCGGTTCCAAGATTTTTGATTTCTTTTGATTTTCCAGTTCCGATTTTCGAAAATTTTTTTGTTTCGACGCAGCTCTAATCCCAACAGATCTCACTCCAAATCCCATTAATCCATGCAAATTTTTAAAAATATTCTTCATTCCTCTTTAGCGCCGCAGGCGAAAATTTTGTGATTTAGGAAGGCCAAGTGAGAAATGCCAAGTTTTGGAAGGCCAAATCCCCAGATATCCAATCTCTATATCTACTTTACACTACTCAATCCCTCGATATCACATCCAAATCCCTCGATATTACCTTTGGTTTAAGTTTTAAGTGACCTGAAAAAAAGTACCTTCGCGACTAAGTGGCCTGCGACTAAGTGGGCCTGCGACTAAGTGGCCGGCGACTAAGTGGCCCGCGACTAAGTGGGCCGTACCCCACCCGGATAAGTTAGCGTGTAAAAAGAGGAGAGAAAGTTAGAGAAAAAGACGGCTTTATCAATTAAAAACATTTTTGAGAGAAAAAAATCATTGATAATACAACTCAAAATTAAATCCGTCATGTATTTCATAATCTTGTAGAGAAATATCGTCCTTGTAAATAATGTTCCACTTTTTGAGGACGATCTTGTCTGCTCTAAAAAAAGATTTTTTAGAGAGAAAAGAGAAATTTACAGCTTGCCTTGTTCCAGTTTGTAGTGCAATAAGTTTTTTAAGATCTTTAATTTTATCTGTAGCATTGCCTAGAAAAAAAATTTTTTTTAAGTTGAAAAATTTTGACTTACATTTCACGCGCACTTTCTTACCCAATCGGTCATTGACTGTGATTTCAATCATTTTAAGAAAGCTAAAAAGGAAAGCTTTGGTTTTTAGTTGGATATACTTGGAAATCTCGCGACTAAGTGGGGTGTCCTTAAAAGGGTACTGCCCAAAACGGCGCGCGGCCAAACGGCGCAAAGCCATAACTTGCTGGAAAGTTTTTGGCCCTTATCAATTTTGATACCAAACTCTTTAGCTCGATGAGAGGAATCGTTTAATACTAAATTTTGAAACATTCGGACAACTTGAAGCAAGTTATGGCTGTGCGCCGTTATGGTCGCGCGCCGTTTTGGGCGTGTCCCTCGAAAATTTTTCTGCTTTTCTTTGTTAAATTTTCTTTTATTTTAGACTGAAAAAATTTTAGAAAATTTTTTTCATTTATTTTCTGTGGAAAATTATGGCAGCCCTGATCAGACATGCCTTAAAGTTGCGTTATTGGTTAATTGGAGGAGCTGCTGCTGGTGGTATAACTACTGCAAACGTTTGATTTTCTTTTTTTTTTGTTAAAAAATTTTTTTCAGTGGATAGATGATCTCAAAAAATCGTTGCCAGACTTCCCTGCTTGGGCCAAATATGAACACATTGCCTCAACTTTTGACAAATTTAGCCCAAAATTTAAAGGTTTAAATTTTCGGCAAGAGTTGGAGCGTCTTTGGCAATTGAATGAGCATAAAGGAGAAGGTCTTCTTTGGTCTGTTTTTGCACCTCCCTACATTTTGGCAAACGTATCAGGTGTCTCAATTGACTCTACAAGTGGGGCGAATGAACGGATGGACTCGTCGTTTGAGGCGTCAACTCAGAACGGTTTTTATTTTAATTTTTTTGGGACTTTCTAAAGGTTTCTGGATGGGTCCTTTAAATTTGTTGTCTTTTTATAAAAGAACTTTATTTACGTGAAATTAAAAATAAATTTTTTAGACGTTCCAGGAAGCGACAGCAGCGCTAGTGGGGGTGGCAGTTCTCTCCTCTCCCGTATAAAATCAAAATTCTCCAAGGCCGAGGTTATCGATGCTGAAGAAGATGCAAAAATGTCTGAGGTTTATTTTTTATTTAATTTATTTTGTATTTTGTTACTTTTTTCTCAACTAGTTTGGGTGTTGAATCTTCCCTAACTCCATGTCCCAAATCCGCAATTTTTTGCATCTCCAGAATATTTTCCCCCGGTTTAATTCAAAAAAATTGCCCGGATCTCCGTTGGTCTGTTTTTGCATGAAGATCAAACAAGCCGTATAAAATAAAAATTCTCTCAGTCTGATTTTATTGATGCTGAAGGCCTGTCTGATCTTCTCTTGCTTGATCTTCTAACAGATCCTGTTTGTTTGACCCTCACTTTGATTTCCTGATCCTGGAAATTTTTGCTGATGTGAGCTAGTGCAAACGCTCTTGCTTGACATTTCAAGCGTATTTTATAAATTTTGGTGTCATTTTTTTGTGTTTGTCGAACAGATTCGGAGAAATTGTTAAAAAGGGTAGTATAAGGGTCAAAATTAATTTAATCCCAATAAAAAAATTTTTTAATTTTAGATGACTGAAACAGAAAGAATACAAAAATTACAAGAAGATTTGCTTAAAACTCAGGTTTAATACTTTTTTTTTAATTTTCGAAACAAAAATCTTTTTAAATTTCCCCTCTTTAATAGCTTCAATATCAAAGAGAACTTGAACTGCTTGAGAAAGAAAATAAAGTTTTGAAACAGAGAATATTACTGAAAGACGCGGGAGAGTTGAAAAGGCAAAAGAAAATTAAGGTTTTTTAAATTAAATTTTTTTGTTTTGAAAATTTTGGTTGAGAGGAGGAAGACGGGGGTTTAGGCTTCACAAGGGAACATACCAAACTCTGAGTCAAAATTTTGTATTTTTTGGTTTTTCTACCCCATTTTTGCCAAACTTTGAAGCCCCATTACTTTTTAGTTTCATATTCCTAGCCAGAAAAGCCGAAAATTTTCTAGAGTAAATCGATGATGCTCTACCGATTGGTACCAAAAAAATACAAAATTTTGACTCACAGTTTGGTATGTTCCCTTGTCAGATCTATTAATAGTGGTTTTTTGGCTTATTTCTTCTTGTTGACTACGCCCATTCTTCATAATTAACAATAAGTAGCCTACTTTTTGCTTTCTGTTATAAGTTTCCGTGGTGTATTGGTAACGTTCTCGACTACATTAACCTAATTTATTTTGGGGGGAAGTTTTTCAACTTGGGCATTTTTTATTACTAGGGCGTGTCAAAATATGCACGTAAAATCCCAAAATATGCGCATATATATGCATTGAAAAAGTCCAAAATATGCAAAAATATGCATTAATATATGCATTTGTGTTTTGACACGCCCTATTTATTACCTTCCCTTTATTGACTTTTCTTATTTAATTTTTTTAAAAATTCATTCGAACTTTTTTAGCGTTCTCTTATTGAACTATATTCCGATATGCTTGATATTCTCATTGAATATGATTCTTCTTATGGAACAGCAGATAATCTTCCTAGAGTTGTTGTTGTTGGTGATCAATCTGCTGGGAAAACGTCAGTTTTAGAAATGATAGCACAAGCTAGAATATTTCCTCGAGGTTCTGGTGAAATGATGACTAGAGCTCCTGTTAAGGTTTCTTGTTTTTAAAGGAATTTTTTAATTTTGCGAACATATTTTTACTCATTTACTGGGCCTTTTTAATTTTAATGTTTCTGGCTACCCATGGTTTTCGTGGGATTTCTTATTTTTTGACTAAAATTAATGAGTGGGAAAAATAGTGGAAACCCACTACTTGTGCGCGCCGGATCCATATAAGGGATAAGGAATCGGACAACTCTTGGGTCGGTGTCAAACTTAGATTGAATTAACTTATTTGGCCGGATTTTTTTTCGCCTTTTTTATTTGGCATTCAAAATGGGCGCAAATAATGTCCTAACTATGACACCGCAGAGATTACTTTTGCTTTCTTTTATTCTTAATTTTTTATCTTTTTTCAAGGTCACCCTCAGCGAGGGTCCCTACCACATCGCCCAATTCCGTGATAGCAATCGCGAATTTGATTTAACCAATCCTTCAGACCTTCAACAATTACGCAATGAAATTGAATTAAGAATGTTAAATTCTGTTGAGGGTGGAAGAACTGTGAGCAATGAAGTTATTTCTTTGACTGTTAAAGGTTTTTTTGATAAATTTTTAAAAATTAAAAAAAATTTTTAAAGGCCCTTCACTTCCAAGAATGGTATTAGTTGATTTGCCTGGTGTTATTTCAACAGTAACAACAGATATGGCTAGTGGAACAAAAGAAGATATATTTACAATGTGTAAACAACACATGGAAAATCCGAATGCTATAATTTTGTGTATTCAAGGTTCTTTTTGTGAAACTTTTAAAAGAGTTGGTAATAGTCTCGATTGCGTCATTTGTTACTATTTCAGGTACTTTTCGGTTCTGCCACACCCCTCCCATATATTCGCAGGATATTTCTATTTTTCCTTAATTTTTACAGAAAAGGTCAGTCTTCTTTTTTCCTAAATATCACGATGGAAAGAAAAATTAATATTTTTTTTATTAATGTCTCTCTTTGAACATGCCACAGCGAAAATTGACTGAAATTTAGGAGAAAGAAGACTGACCTTTCTGTAAAAATTAAGGAAAAATAGAAATAATACCCTGCGAATATATGGGAGGGGTGTAGCAAAACCGAAAAGTACCCTATTTCCCTATTCTCTCTCATTTTTTTGACTTAAGCACTTGTTGGATTCATATGTCCACATTTACAAAAACATATTCCCTTGTTTTGGAATCAAACCAGCAGTCCACATCAGTAGCTCAATGTGAGTAGACTATTTGTAGAAAAAAATGCATGTCGGCGTTGGTTTCACAACGCTGGTGCTAGTTTGACTTTCGAAAACAAGGGACTCGTTGATTTATATTTTAAGTGCCCCTAACTGTTCTAGACCCTTGATTTTCTATAGAGTAGAGAAAAAATACAATAAGTACTTTTTTGAGAAATTTATTTTTTCGAATTTACATAACAAATTAAATTTTTAAGATGGCTCTGTAGATGCTGAACGTAGCAATGTCACTGACTTGGTTAGCAGTATTGACCCAACTGGACAACGAACGATTTTGGTATTAACAAAGGTTTAGTTTTTTAATTTTAAAATGAGAAAATAAATTTTTTATTAATTTTTCAGGTTGATTTGGCAGAAAAGAATTTAAATAACCCAAATAGAATCAAAAAAATATTGGAAGGAAAACTCTTCCCAATGAAGGCTTTGGGTTATTTTGCCGTTGTAACAGGGACTGGAACAAAAGAATCGAGTATTGGTGATATTCGTTCTTATGAGGAAGAATTCTTTGCAAATTCTAAATTATTCAGGTTTCTTTTAAAAATTTGTGAGTAAATACAGAAGAAAAAAATTTGGGATTTTTAACTTGAAAATTTTGACTGTTATTAGAGGGATTTAAACCTTAATCCCAAAATATCGTTCCGATATTTTAACCTTCGACTTTTGTGGACATCCACTATAAGAAAACGATCAATCGGTAGAGGTATTTCATAGTAAAGCGGCCGAACAAATCCACAAAATAGTTAAAGATTGAATAAACTTGGTCCTGAGAGTTCACCGCTGCAAGGGTATTAATCGCCCAACCATCCTACAACCGACTGATTTCATTCAAATTCCTCTCCCTTGAGGGGCTCTACTTCAATTTTTTTCTCACTTTATTTAACCTTTTAATAATTTTTTTAGAGATGGTATATTAAAAGCTACACAAATGACAACAAGAAATATGTCGATGGCAGTAGCTGATTGTTTTTGGCGTATGGTACGCGAATCTATTGAAGCCCAAGCAGATGCGTTTAGGGCTAGCCGTTTTAATTTGGAAACTGAATGGCGCAATACATTTACACATCAAAGGGATTTGACTCGGGATGAGTTATTTGAAAAGGTTTGTGTTTTTGTAAATTGTTAGAGAGGAAATCCATTCAAGTGAATTTTTAAAAGAGCCAAATTCTAAAAGAGGCCAATTTTAAATTAAATTTCGAGTAGAAGGGTGACGGTCCGCCCTTTATGTCAGACATTGGACAGTCTATAGCCGACCCGATCCCCGATAAACAGGAATTTCCAACGTTTTTTTGGTTGGAAGCCGCGTTTCCCAAAGTCGGTAATCTATTTTTTTGTCATGTAGATTCTTGTGCAGATAGTCAAATTCTGTAGCTCATAGTCGCTATGTCTATTTAAAATCCGCCCACGTTTCTCTAAACAAACCAACTTATGTCATTTTTCTTTTTTAGGCTCGAGGAGAAGTTTTGGATGAAATTGTTACTCTTTCGCTTGTTTCAGCCACAGAATGGGAACAACTACTTAGAACAAATCTTTGGAATGCTATAGCACATCAAGTTTTTGATCAAATTTTAATGCCCGCCTCAGCTGTAGATAATGCTGGATCTTTCAATACTCTTATTGATATTAAATTGAAGCATTGGGCAGAGAAGGAATTGGCTCATAAATCTGTTCAGGTTTTTTTCTTTTTTTTATTTTGAATTATGGGAAGGTGGGGAGAGTAGTCAATTTTAGCTTTCTAAAAGTTTAAAGCTTGGGGTAAATAATTGTAGGCGACCAAGGAGGATGCTGGCAAGGGCCTTTGGCCTTTTTAAAGCTGAGGAGTAGGACTTTCCTCCTTAAAGCTGAGGAAAGTCGCCACAGGGAAAAATAAACTTCGAATTGAACGGTCTCGTGCTACCCTACTGAGGGGGTTAAAGAATTGTACTAGGCGAACCAAGAGGATGCTGGCAAGGGCCTTTGACCTGTTGAGGCTGATTGTGAGAGTAAGGGTAAAGCCCTCCGCTTCCTGTACTTGAGGTAAAGAAAAATAATGTGGAAAGGATGACCGAAAACTGAATTTTTTTCACTTGCGACCTTGTCAAATTTCGACTTTGATCACGCCCTTTAGAGTTCCAAGGGATCAACGGAAGTGTGAATTTTATTTTATGCTATTTCAATTTTCTAAAGAGAATTTTTTTAGGTCGGTTGGGAAACTCTCTCCCAAATATTTCGTCGTCAAGTAGAAAAAGGTAGTGGAACAATAAGCAGTCATACAGCAAAAAAGCAGCAAAGAGACCACAAAAAATCAGGCGAATTATTAACTTCTTTAAAAAATGCTTTGGTTGAAACAGCACTTTCACAGCATAAATGGGAGCCTAAAGCACTTGATTACTTGGTTTTTTTAAAAATATTTTTGGGTTAAAATTTTCTAAAAAATTTTTTTCTAGCGTGTAATTCAACTCAATTCTGTGGCTGATCAAGTCGTCCCAGACAGACGGGCATGGGAACAATCCTGTGAATTTATGCAAAAAGCGTGTTCTGACCGTTTGGAGGAATTGAGGAAAACTTTGGATTGTAAGGGATTAAAAAATATTTTTGAAATTTTTGGAATTTTAAATTTTAGCGGCAAGAGGTCCTTCAGGCATTTCTGGTTGGATTTCTTGGAGTTCACCTACGCCAGAACAACAAATAAATAAGGCAATACAGGATGAATTATTTTCTATTCTTTCTACGAATCCTGTAAGTTTTTGTTGAGGAATAATTTTTAGACGATACACCTTAGTCCCGTACCCTATAACTAATGAAGGGATGGAAATTTTTTTTGCTCACCAAAAACATTAAAAATTATCAACCCGTACTTGAGTTATAGGGCCGGGACCTGCTCCGATTTTTAGAATTTAAAAGAAAAAGTAGCTTTGGCGCAAGTTTTTTCCGCGTCTTATTATTATATTTAGTTGTCCGGTACTTTAAATGACCTGCTTTAGGTTTTTCTCCTTTTTAACGTCTCGAACCCGTCTCGAACCTCCTGACTTTTTTTCGACGCAAAACTCGATCCGTAAAATTTTAGAAAACATGATCGTACACTTTTTTTCTAAACCAGCGACATTCTTTTTTTATATGGACAACCTTGTTCGTTGTTAACTTGCGGACAAAACTTGCTGATACTTTTAGGGTCTTAATGAGAAATAATAAAAATTTTTTATAGGACCATAAACAATCATTACTCGATGATGACTTGACTGTAGTACGACGTAATTTAGATTCAAAAAATGTTTTGACAGCAGAAGTTACTCAAGAACAAATTAGACAACAATGGAGGCTTGTTTTTAGACAACATTTTTTGGAGAAATTATTACAGGTTTTTTTGGAATTAAAATTTTTTGAAATTTTTTTTAAATAGGCTAGCCGTGATTGTCTAAGTTTTTATCAAAATTACAAACAAGGAATTCGTTTGGATTCAGATTTGGACTGCCAAGCTGTTGTTTTTTTCTATAGAATTAATCGAATGCTTGAATTAAGTTGTAATGCTTTGAGGCAACAAGTTGTTAATACGGAACAAAAAAGATTGGAAAAAGAAGTTAAGGTTTGTTTTGAAGAAATTTTTTGTTTTAAAGTTTATGTAAAAAATGTTTTTCTATTTAAATGAAGGGATTTTCGTAATTTAAGTAAAAAAATTTTGTGTAACTCCAGCCCTCTTAAAAATTCTAAATTAATTTTAAAAATTTGAAGCTCTATTTTCACAATCAATTCGCATATTTTATTTTTAAATTTTCGGTCACTTGCTGAAATCCTTGGATTTTCAGCGGATGGCTCTGAATTTTTCAAAAAAATTTATAAAATAAAAGATATCAAAAAAAAATTTTTTTGAATACCCAATAAAATTTTTTATTACATATTAATTCTTCTGTTAGCATCACCTTTTCTAAGGGTTCTCTTTTTCTTTACTCCCTGAACCTACGGGATGGATTCATTATGCGTTTAGCAATAACTTTCCTTTAAATTAAATATTAAAATTAAATTTTTTAAGGAAATTTTAAATGACTGGTCTCAAGATAATGAGAAAAAGAAGCAATATTTGACTGGTAGACAAGTTGAATTGGCTGAAGAATTAGGTTTTTTTAATTTTTTTTCTAAAAAATATTTTTATTTTTAAGCACAAGTTCGGTTTATTCAAGAAAAATTGGAAGAATTTATAATTCAATTACATCAAGAAAAACCTTGAAAATATTAAAGGTTTTTTTAAACAAATTTTAATTTAAAGAAGAGAAAGAAGGCCATCTTCCCTCTCCTTATTTTAATGACGCTCAATATTAATTTAAAAATTTATTTTTTTTAAAGGACTTACACCCTCTCTTATTTTGCTTTAGATAATCCCCTAGTACTTTTTTTTAGCTTTGGTATAGTTTATGAATCCTACCGAAGTGTTTGTTTGGCTAACAACTTAATTTCGAAAACTTGGTTGCGCTATTAACCTGTACCAGAGCCTTTATTTTTTTTGTTTGATATTTAAACTTAATTTTATGTCAAGTTTATATGAGGAAAGATTTTTAAAATTTGCGGATTTTTGTAAATAGCTTTAATTTTTTTCAAGTCTAGTTGTTTGTATTTATTAAGAAAATTATCCGTAATTTTTGTCCGTAAATTTAATAAGACCACTTTTTCCTCTCGCCCTCCTCTTTCCCTAATTTTAATTTTTTTTGACTTTTAATGTCAAAATAAAAAAATTTTAATTTGCTATTATTTAATTTGTTTAAAATGTATAAAAATTATTAATTTTTTAAAAAATATTTTAAATTATTTGTTCAACACATTTTTAATACCTTTTATTTTATTTTTTTTTGTTAATTTTAAATTCCAAAAATTTCTCATTTTTAACGATTTAAATTATTTTTATATCGTTTTTAAATTTAAAATTTTATTCAAAAAAATTTTCTGCTAGCAAGTGTTCGAACCTGCATACTTCAATTAATTTAAAAATTTTATTCTCCCAACGAACCCACTTAACCACCAAATCTACTTAAATTATTTTTTAAAAGTTTCGGCGCAAATTGATTTGGCGTGGTTAGCGCCTTATAGGAGTGCGCCGAAATTACCTACAAAATTTTTTTTAATTGTTAAAAATGAGGAAAAATTAACAGGATTTAGATTAAAAATATTTTTCAGATATAAAAAAAAATATTTTAAGAAAAATGGCTCCTTCAATTGATCTAACTGTTAAAGTTCATCCAGTTGTTTATATGTCTATTATTGATGCTTATGAACGCAAATCTTCTTCAAATATTGGGAAGACTGTTTCAACAACTGCAATGTCTGCCCAACGCCAAGAAAGAGTGGAAAGTCGTGCTTTGGGGACTTTACTTGGATTTTATGAGAAGAATGTTGTTCAGGTTTTTTTAAAGTTTTTTTTTCTTAATTTTTTGGGGGGGGGGGGGGGGTTTAATTTACTTTTTTGGTTGTCCAAAGGTTCGATAAATTCTGGGCCAAGGCATTAGTGAGGGGCTCTTTCCTTTCTCTAACAAGAGGCCTTTTTCAATAAGCAGTTTTTTCTAACTGTTTTTGTTCGGGCAAAGACGATGACCGAAATTGGATCATCATGGAGCTTAAAAATGCCAAAACATTGACTGTTATTGACAAACAATAAATTTTCAAATTAATATTCAGCAGGGCCGGTTTTCGATCAGCGGCTTGTTATTTCCCGATATCCCCATCATTGAGGACCTTATGGGGGTTGTAGGTCATCTCTAATATTCAGTTCGGATGGTCTTTTTATTGAAAGGATTTTCCAGGCATAAATACGTTCTTTTTATTTTTTGGGTTTAGGAGAGGAAAATTATAACAATTTTTCTCTAAAATTTTTTACAAATTTTAAATTAATTTTTCATTCAAAATAGGCAACCAATTGTTATGCTATTCCATTTTCTGATGCTGTAATAGACAATCCTGAAATTAATGATAATTTTAATCGTTCAATGTGGCAAATGTGTAAACGTTCTTCTCCTACAGAACAAATTGTTGGATGGTTTGTTGTTAAAAATTTTTTGAGAAAATTTTTTTGAAAATTCATTTTCTTCTTTAGGTTCTTTACTGTTCCAGATTTGCCTGATTCGTGTTTTCATTTCAATACATATTATAGCCAGGTTAATATTTTTTCTATTTTTTTATTTTATTAGTCTTTATCTTCGTCGTTCTTTCATTTTTTTGATAACATTTTTCTTTAAAAAATAAAAAAATTTTTGTTTGCGGATAGTAATTTGCGGACTTTTCTGCAAGCGAAGATTTTGCACTTTTTTTATTTTCCTAAAATTTTTCATTATTTTTCTCAACGAAAAGTAAGGGCGGTTTGGCCCTATTACATAGCTCTCCTTGGACATATCCTTGCGGAATTTTGTATTTATGGTAATAATTACGGACTTGTACTGCTAGCGAAAATGAATTTTTCATTTAATAATTATTTCCCAAAAAATTTTATTTTCCATTTTAGGGAGCAGAAAAGGATTTCGATGGGACTGGGGTGGGGCATTCTCCTTCCTCTTGGTACGTCCTTGAGATCCGGGTGAAAATTGCGAAACTTTATTTGCGGATATAGATATACTTGTGGAAACTTTTTTTGTCAAAATTCTGAACCTCTGTTTTTTTTTATTCTATTGACTTTTTTAAATAGAAATTAAAATTAATTTTTTAAATTTTTATTAAGTTAATGGCTCGCGAAGCAACTAAAAAAGAACTTCCACCAGTTATTTTGCTTACTATGGATTTGTCTTTTTCTGGTTCAACAGCAAATCGTTTGCCTGTTAAAGCTTTTACTATGTTTATTTTTTAACTAAAAAATCTAAAAAAATTTTTATTAAGGCGTGATGGAGCTTTTTGCCCTCTAAATGTGGAAATGGATGCTTTTTTGGGAGAGGCTGTTGCTCTCAATTTTATTACGGTTTTTCAACTATTAGAAAATTATTTTTTAATTTTATTTTAATTATTTTGGTTTTTACAATTTTTATTAGCCTAAAAACGCCTTAATTTAATTAATTTTCCTCGAGCGGTGTCGAACTCTGCACCCCCTAAGTCACTAAATCTAACACATTTGCACTTAACCAAGAATGCTAATTTCCCAATTTTTGAGGGGAAAATGTTTTAAAAATATTTTTGATAAATTAAAAATTTACTAAAAAACATTAATTTAATTAATTCTTTCTGAGCGGTGTCGAACCCCTATCCTTTCTTTGCCCTTTTCAGCTATTAACCCTAGCACTTGCACTTAACCAAATATGCAAAGTTTGCTTAATTCCCTCATTTTTGGAAAAATATTTTATTAAATTTCTATAAAAGAATTTTTTAGAGAGGAATAGACTCGGAACGTCGTGAAATTGAATTGGGAGATGAACAGGAACAATTATTAGAATGTACAGAAAATATTTTGACCTGGTTAGAGCGTATAATGCGTTATGTTAAAAATGTATTAAATGGAAAAGAGGAAAATCCTAATCCTGAAGTTGGGAGAAGATTGATGGAGGTTTTTTTCATTTTTTAAATGTTTTTTTTGGATTTGCGGACAAAATTTTAATCGCAATTTTCGAAAATAAATTTGATTGTCCGCAAAAAATTTGCGGACAAAGTTAGTTAAGGGGTTTTGTCAATTTTGTCCACAACTTTTTTTGGTACTTATCGGTTATCTCCCCACACATTATTTTTCTTTTATTTCCCCTTCTCTTTCTTCCCATAAGTTACAAAAATGCCATATTTTCTTTTCCTTTTCCCCTCTTCTCCTTCCCAAAAGTTACAAAAACGTCACAGGCAAATAATTGTAATTAATAAATTTATTTTAAAAAGAAAATGTAATTTATAAACATTATTTAGGGGGGCCAAAAATGTACTATTTTCTTTAAAATCCATTCGAAAATACAAGTACCAGGACTTATATACTTGCTAAAAGGTGTGACACATAAAAACTGTGACATTTTGTAACTTTTGGGAAGAAGGAGAAGAGGGGAAAATGTGGCATTTTTGTAACTTATGGGAAGAAAGAGAAGGGGAAATAAAAGGAAAATAATGTGTGGGGAGATAACCGATAAGTACCCTTTTTTATATGTCACTTTTCGGGTTAGAATTTTCTACTCAAAAGGCAGACAAAATTTCTGATACTTTTGTCAGCATTTTTATAATCTTTTATTTTCCCCCACAGATTGTTGAATTGGCAAATACTCAATTACCTTCAGCTCGTCTCGAAAGTCTTTCTAAGCATTCTTTGCGTGATTATTTGATGGTTTCCTTATTGGCGAATTTGGCAAAGACCCAATTATCGATTCAAGAGAAATTAGTTACTGGCTAATAAAAAATATAAAGTTTCTCTAAAAATTAAAAAAAAATATTGTTAAAAATGTGAAGATAATATAAAGGTTGTTTTGTGTTTTTTATTTTTTTATTTGATTAGATCGTTGAAAAAAAATTTTTTTATCCGCAAAAAAATTTTTGTCCGCAAGTTTATTTGCGGACATCTGCAAATTTAAAAAAATCCGCAATTTTAAAAATCCGCAAATTTTTTAAAAAATATTTTTTTGACTTTTTCGCAAGCTTTCTCTCTAACCTTTTTTTTCTAAACATTTTCTTCGCTTCTCTTTTTTAAAAAAATTATTTCCTCTTAGTAACGCTAAAGCTTTTTTTATACATTAAAGCTTAACTGCTTACCAACTGTTTCGTCATATATATTTTTTATTTCTTTTATTTTATAAATAGGGATTTATTAATTCTTTTATTACTCATATATCTTTGATTTTACTAATAATTTGAATTTTTTTTTTAATTTTTAAAAATTTTTTTATTGAATTTGTGTTCGTAAGCTTTCTCTCTAATCTTTTTTTTAATAATTTTTTGATTAATACAAAAATGAAATTTCCTATTTAATACAAGATTAAAAGAAAAAGATCTAACAATAAATAATTTGTGCCAAAATTGAACGACGAAAACAAAAGCCCACAAAAGAAATTTCAAATTTTAATTATTTTTTGGCGTTCTGTCTTTGTATACTTTTTTGGTTTAAAATAATTTTGAACTCTTGATTTTCCTTGAATTTTTCCTAATTTTTTCTTCATTTTTAATCTTCAAACTTTAGTCTCTTTTTTAATCAATATTTTTTCAAGTATTCTTCTCTAATTCTTTTTTAGCAAAGATTGCGAAAGCTAAAAATTGAAAGGCTTTCGCAATTTTCTATTTCATCATTTTTACTGAACAAACAATAAGCTAAAACTAGTTGATTTAAATATGTACTTTGAATTTTATTTCTTAAAAATTTAAAATCTCATTTTCCAACATTTCCTAAAATTATTAAGAAATAAGATGTGTGTGGCTGAGTGGATGTGTTTTTGGTTACAGGGAGGTGTGGGGAGGGTTCGAACCCCGTCGGAGGTTTTTAATTTTAATTTTATTTTGTCTAATATTCTTCTTTTTATATTTTTTCTCTACTCCTCCACTAACCTAGTTGTTCTTAAAAATATGATTAGTGTGGCTAAGTGCGTGTGTTTTTGACTACAACAGGGGAAGGGGGTCGGGGTTCGAACCCCTTCGCGGTTTTTATTCTTTTTTCTTTTAGATTTTTATTTTAATTATTTTTGTATGTTTTTCTGCCACCTAGTCATTTAAAAAAAATTTTTTCTGGCCTCATTTTTAGGGGTTTTAGTTTAAAAAAAACAAATAAAATGGACACCACACATCTCAAATTGACGGAAAATGACAACAACGACAATAATTCTATTTCATCATTAAATGAAGAGTCTTCTTCCTCTTCTATTTCTAATAAAGCGGAGGATGGTAATAAACTTTTGAACAAGACAGACAAGACAAATGGGAAAAATGACGAAATGGGGAAGAGTGGAAATGAGGACAATTTAATGGAAGATAAGGTTAGTTGTTTTTTATTATTTTTTTAAATTTATTTTTGAGTCTGAGGGGGGTTTAGGGTAAGGTTTAGGCGTCCCCGATTCACTCGACAATCAGACAAGTCGACAGGAAATTGGATTAAACGAAAAAAATTTTTAACCCCAAAAGTGTCCGATCTGGTAAGTTAGGCAACGGTGATGAGAAAAAATCGAATATCCTGATATTTAACCAGTTTTGGGGGTTTAGAGTAAGGTTTAGGCATCCCCGATCCACTCTACAATTATAAAAGTCGACAGGAAGTTGGATTAAACGAAAAAAATTTTTAACCCCAAAAGTGTCCGATCTGGTAAGTTAGGCAACGGTGAGAAATAATTTCTCTAATTTCCTGATCTCTAATCAGTTTTGGGGTTTCAAAATAATTACATCCTAAATTATAATTATTTTCCTTATTTTTATTACAAATTATTGATAAAATTAATATAAAAATTTATTAATAATAATTCCTTTAATTTGATAAAATTCCTTTTTTTTTAACAATTTGTCTTTGTATTTCACTCATTTTTTCGTGAAAAATAATTTATTTTAGGGGAAATTATTTTTGGGGACATTTTAGGATTTTTTTGTTTATTTTCCTTTTTTTCCTAGTCCATTTCTATTTTTTTTTTGAATCAAAAAATTTTTTCCCCTCAAAAACAGGGTCCGTGACCGTTAGTGATGGTCGGGATTCCCGGTCTCGGTTCCCGAGTCGGGAAATTTCCCGGGTTTTTTGAGCTCTCGGTCTCGGTCTCGGTGTTTTAGTCTCGGAAAACGAGACTAAATTTACACTCCTAATGACGGAAATTTTTTGAACTTTTTGAAGGAAAGGGGAAAGAAATATATTTATAATTTCTCCCATTTGCTTTTGATGGTTGATGGTTGAGTGGTTAAGTTGACTGACTTCACTCTCTTAAATATTTCTTAAGTGCTGGGTTCGAATCCTAAGGTGGAAATGAGGTTGTGAAAATTTTTCTTTTCGGAAATAAACGTTTTTAAACTTTGATTTTGATTTTAAAATTTTTAATTTATTTTTTCTTAATTTTTTAAACTTGAAAAAAACATTAAAAATTTTAATTTAATCATGAATTTTTCAAAATTTCCTCCTGCGGCGCAGCGTTTTCGCCTCCGGCGGTAAAAAAGAAAGAAATCTGGCTATTGGCCTCCCAAATTTTTCAAAATTTTCGCCTGCGGCGCGGGAAATGGATGAAATAGGAGGATTTATGGCTTCAAAGCCTTGCAACGTTTGTTGTATGGTTTGTTGTGTCACATGTCCCGTGGGACATGTGAGACTGAGAGAGGGTATCAATCCTAATCTCTTGGTCTCGACTCTCGGTCTCGACTCTCGGTCTCGACCCGGGACTCGGTCTCGGTGTCGATTCCCGGTCTCGGTCTCGACTCTCGACTCTCGGGTTTTTTTAACTCCCGACCATCACTAGTGACCGTCTCCACCTTTACCCCCACAACTTTCGAATGAGTCAGCCTTTCAAAATTCTTTAGGTATCATTCGATAGAGCTTAAAATTGGCTATTAAAAACTGTTTAGAACTAAAATTTTGGGTAACTTGAAAAAAATGTTAAGGCCGAAAAACTAACAAAAATGGGCATTTTTTGATTAAATTGACTCAGATTTTTACCTTTATCGCTTTAATTTTTTTATTTTTTCCTTTACTTCTTTTTTCTTTTTATTATTTCTATCAGATTTATTTTTAAAAAATTTATTTCTCGATTGTAGAGTAAGAGTGACATTTGATCCCATTTTTATTTTTAAATTTAATTCGAATTTTTCAGTTATTTTTTTTTAATTTTTAGATTGATTTCCAACCTAATACAACGATAAGGCCAACAGAAATGGATAATAATTTGAATGCTTCTTCTCCATTATTGGATAAAAATCAATCGGTATTTTTTTTAAATTAATTGGGATTTTCAGAAAATTTTTTTTTATTTTTTGGGTCATTCTCTCTTTAATGGTATTTTTGGTTAAGTCGGTAGTCAGTTTGATTTTATCGACTTTTAGGTTTATGGTTCGAGTCCTTTTGATGGATTTTGGGGTTTTTAATATTTAAAAAATTCTGAAAATTTTTTTGAAATATTTTGGACACTTTGAGACCTCCAAAAAATTTTTTTGGAAGATTTCTCAATGATCTAAATTTCTAAAAAAATTTTTTTTTCTGGCATTAAAAATAAATTTTAAAAATTTATTTAAAAAAATATTTTATTTTAAGCAAAAATCATTCAAAAAATATTTAAATCCTTCACCACCAACAATAATTCCAACACCAACACATTCTTCAATTAATTCCTCCATCGACTCTTCACAACATTCTGATTGGCGTTCTTTATATATTTGTACTTTTTTGACTTTTTGTTCTGCTGTGCAATTTTCTCTTTATTTTTCTTCTATGCGACAATATTTACAAATTGTTTGTTTTTAATTTTTTTTAATTTTTAAAATATTTTTTGAGGGATTTTATTTCCATTTTTCACTAGGTTACCATGTTTTGGTGGTTGCGTTTTTTGTGGTTTAGCGGGTTAAATTCACCTGTTTTTGAGGGTTAGGCTGAAGGTATTGGGTTCGAATCTTTTTGGAGCAAATTTATTATTTTTGGAGGTTTATTTTAATTGTCTAAATAGGGTTGAGTCCATAGAGATCGAGTTAGGCCTGGACCAATGCCTGGGTTTTTCCTGTACCCAGAGTTCACGCCCAGGCATTTTTTATACCTTCCTGGGTTTTTCTTGGACGCCCAGGATCCTGCCCAGGTCAAAAATCAAACCCAGAATCCAGGAACAGGTCCAGGCTTTTCAAAAATCTCTATTTCTAGTCCTGGATGCTTCTGTGGTTAAGTGGGTTAATTACACTTTATTTTTCTTAGATGATTTTAGTAATACTGTTGCTGCATTCGTAAAACAAATAAACAAATTAAAAAATAACTTTTCCCAAAAATATAAATAAATGATAAGAGTTGACCTTCATCTCAATTAAAGAGATTCCCGACTTTCCCAATTTAATATTTATTACTGGCTAAACCTTATCTCTTATTATTCACATTCTGTATTAATATTTACCCATTTCTCGACTCTGCCCATCTCAATAACAATATTTGTTTACCCAAATTCCCACTATATATATCCGCCACATTCTCATCTATTTTGTCTTATATTGAACTTTCACTCCTTTTACTTATAATATTTTACCCCTTGAATAAATTTGTATATTCCAATTTGACCAAGGCTTAGAACCGAGGGTATTTAGAGTGAACTTACAAACAGTTCATTTTGGTGCCACTTAATCCGGGTAAAAGCCTTGAGAGAAAAAGAATTTGTTTGAAGGATATTTTGATCCTGAAAAGAGCTAGTTTTAGAGAGTTGTGAAAGAAATTGTGGGAAGAAAATACCCCACGTAATTAATTAATTTAGAAAAACGAGGTAGACTGCTTGGTGCTCTATCCTCCTGCTGTGTGCTACGGTTAAAGTAGAGGAAATTGCTGGGTGCAATCCTCAGTTTAAAAAAGAGAGGAACTGGATTTTCCACTCTCAGAAAAGCTCTATAAAGGATTTCCTGCCCCTGAAAACATTTTCTGGAGTATCTTAGAAATGGATAAAAATCAGACACAGACAACAGGATCAGATTTTGCGAATAAATTTTTTACGCCTGAAGAAGGTCGTCATTGGAATAATTTGTTATTCCGATTACGCAGCTTTGAAGAGGCTGTTTGTAAAAATTTCCGTAAAATCGAGTCGAAAATTACTGAAGGACAAAATTTGACACTAAATTCGTCCTCATCTGAAATTGACAAAATAAATGCTTTAATAGATGGAAAATTTGAAAAATTAGAAAATCAATTTAAAAATTTGAAACAAATTGTAAAAGAAGAAATATCAAATTTAGGAGTTGATAATGATGTAAATAAAGAAAAAATTAAAGAAATTGAAAATAAAATTGAGGATAGAGAATTAAAAGATGAATTAGTCTTTTTACGCTCTAAAAATATGGAAATAGAAAAAGAACAAATTTCACAAATTCAACGCCTAAACATCCTAGAGGAAGGGATGGAAAAAGTTGAGGATAATTTAACTAAAAGTGAGCAAAAAATAGCAGAAATTATTGCTAAAAATGCGCGTAAACTAATTGATAAAATTGAAAGTCTTGAGGCAAAAGTAGAAGTCTTAGAAAATGGATCGAGAGGATCCGGATTTTCCTGGAATGGTCACGGAAGTAATGAATCTGTTGACCTAAATCTCAAGACCAAACCTCCGGAAAAAGAGCCTGAAGATGTTAAGAAACCCATTACTGGAGAAAATGTTGAGATTATGATCGGAGACCCATTCTTAAATGGTCTAATGACCCCTGTCGGAGTCTATGACGGAAACCCGACTAGCTCATTCTCGAAATTTTTCCAGCGATTCATGGATGCTCTAAATTTAATAATTACTCCCCTAAATGAAGCACAAAAGCTTAGTCGTCTAAAAGTATGCCTGGGAGGTCGTGCTCGTGCTGAACTTGATGCTAAAGTCCCGCAACCAGCTACTCTGCAAGAAGCTATAGATTTTTTGCAAGAAAAATTTGTAAATGGTCATTCTCGTACGGTAGCTAGGCAAGCCCTATCTATAATTAAACAAGCACCTGGAGAAAGAGTTTTTGAATTTGCGCAGCGATTAAACGACGCAGTACGTGCTGTAATGATTGGATATGAAGAAAATACAATACAACAGCGATTGCTAGATGAATTTTTGGATAGGCTTTTGCCAGATCTCCAATTCGAAGTAAAAGCTGCTAGACCTGAAGACTATACTAAGGCATTTGAAGTTGCCGAACATTTTGAACTATTATTAGGAGAAAAACGCCAAAAATACCAAAATAATCATTATGTGGATTTGGCAGAAAAAATGGAAGCCCTAGCAATTAATCGGTCTAGAGAAACAAGACGCTTATGCTATTACTGCCATAAACCTGGACACGTTATAGCGGATTGCCGAAATAGAGCAAGAAATAATTATAAAGCTCGCCAATATAATAATTATGAGCGAAGAAATTATCAAAATAATTTTTGGGAAGACAGAAATAATTATAGAAATGAATATAATAGAGATAACCGCAGATATAATGATAGAAATCGCGAAAATTATAGAGAAAATTCGCCAAATAATTACAGCCAGTCACCCACTAGAAATGTGAGATATAGTGAAAGCCGAGTTGCAAGTCCACTAAGGATATCTAGCCCATACTTGCTAACTATATTTGCACTTATTGCTATTATAAGTCCCACTTTGGCTAGCTCTGCACCACAAATTGAAATGAATTGTCCCGCTTACTCACCCTTTACCTTTAAAGAGAAAACAATACTGGACAATTGGAAAATAACAAAATTAAATAATGAGAGCAAATTATCTTCAAATTATGCGAGTTTGCTTATAGTAAATCAAATTTGGATATTTCTCGCCTTTTTCTTTGCTAGCACAATAATATGTTTACTGATGTTTATTTTAAAGCAAAGTGCATTGAAATTAACCGCAAAATCGCTAATTAGAAATAATCATAATAGTGAAAAGGCGAAAATAAAATTAATGGAAAATATTGAATTTAAAAACAATCACGAAATAAATAAAAATAATAATTCACTAAAGAATTGTGGCTTGAGAATAGACACAAACCTAACAAGCCCAAGCCAAAAACATAATTATCAGAAAAATAGTCCCACAAATAAAAAAGTAAGAAAAAAGTGGGTTGAGGACAAATTCATGATAAGGCCCCCTAACTTTAAAATGGGAGAATCGGCAAAGAAAGCAGGACCATCAGAGATAGACCACATCCAGCATCAAAAGATAAGACTGCCAACGTCAAAACAACAGACAGGACACACAAAGGTAGAGGAATGGAATCGGCAAATGAATGGACAAATGCCGAAATGCAAAAAGATAAGAATAGCTGCTTATCCGTAATATAAAAAGTGTTACTTGTACAAAAAAACACCAATTTCCTTACCCCATTTCCTTTTAAATAATTAATCAAATTCCCTAAAATTTTTTTTACTTTTAATAGTTTAATTTTTTAGTTTGTAATCCAATTTAAATATTTTTCTATACCCCTTTAACCTAATGTCGGAGAAAAAAAAAATTAATCCCATAATGGGAGAAATACTATAAAATTAAATAAATTAAAAAAAAAGATAAAATAAGAGGAGAATTTAAAAATAATAAATTTAAAAAAATCCCTCGATAAAATTTCAAAGCTAAAATGGAACCTTAAATGGCTTCTAGAATAAAATTTTTGTTTTTACAGAATGCGATTTGTAGCAAATAAACAAATTAAAAAATAATTATAATCTCCTCCGTTTATTTTAATCATGACGTGGACGTCATCTTAATTAAGGGGGAAGGAATGCTGCATTCGTAAAACAAATAAACAAATTAAAAAATAACTTTTCCCAAAAATATAAATAAATGATAAGAGTTGACCTTCATCTCAATTAAAGAGATTCCCGACTTTCCCAATTTAATATTTATTACTGGCTAAACCTTATCTCTTATTATTCACATTCTGTATTAATATTTACCCATTTCTCGACTCTGCCCATCTCAATAACAATATTTGTTTACCCAAATTCCCACTATATATATCCGCCACATTCTCATCTATTTTGTCTTATATTGAACTTTCACTCCTTTTACTTATAATATTTTACCCCTTGAATAAATTTGTATATTCCAATTTGACCAAGGCTTAGAACCGAGGGTATTTAGAGTGAACTTACAAACAGTTCAACTGTGGTTAAGTGGGATAAACTCAACCTTATTTTTCCCAACTCATTTAATTTTTCTAAATATTTCCCAAATATTTTTAATAAATTAAAAAAAAAACATTTTTAAAGATGGATTCTTCCGCCTCAGAAAATTTTTACGGGTATATTGTTGCTAGTTATTCACTTGGTCAAATGATTGCTTCCCCTATTGTTGGTTATTTATCTAATAGACTAAAAAAGGTTTTTTCTTTTAAAAATTTTTTAACTTTTTTAAATTTAGATTCGACATTTATTGTATATTGGCATTTTCCTTGCATTTTTAGGAAATGCTTTGTACTTGTGTGTTCATCTATTTCCCATTGAAGAGCGTAAATATGCGTTGCTTATTGGACGTTTTGTGACGGGGATTGGCTCAAGTATTTTTTCTTAATTTTTTTTGGGGATTTTTTCGACTTTTCCGATTCTGTTATTGAATTTAGAAATAATTTTTGTTTAAGAAAGAAAATTTTTTTAAAGGTAACATAAGTCTGTTGAAAGCATATGCCTCTAGCGCCAGCACTCAACGCGATCGTTCACGTGCTATTGCATTGGTAACTGGTGGTGTGGCTTTGGGTATGACTATGGGGCCAGGTTTAGTTTACTTTTTATTTTACTTTTATTTTCTATTTTTTGTTTGTGGGATATTTAGCTCTTAAAAAGATTGTTTAGGGGGTCGTGGGTTCGAACCCGCTCGGGTCCCGGAATTTTTTAACTCGGACTTTTTGGCATAAATATTTATAAAAATATTTTTAGACATTATTAAAACGTTTTTTAAATTTTTACTAATAAATTTTATTATTTTTTTCCAAAAAATCTCATTTTGGGGGTCGTGGGTTCGAACCCGCTCGGGGCCGGAATTTTTTTATTCTTCCTAAATTTTAAATAATTTTTTAAAATTTTAATTTTCTTTAAAATTTTCCCATTCTATTTTATTTTTAAGCTTTCCAACTACTTTTTACTCCAATTGGTTATCCAGGCCCAAATATCCTCATTTCTGGTTTAATGCTTTCAATGTACACTGCCCCAGCATTAATGGCTTGTATAATGAATGCAGTTAATGCTTTTTGTATTTTTGCCTATTTTCGTGAAGTTTATGCTGGAGTAATGAGTTCGGTTTGTTTTTTTGTGTAAATTTTTAACTTAATCGGAAATGGCCAAAACTCCCGTCTGGGGGAGGGGTCGCAGGTTCGAACCCGTATGGGGCCGGGAATTTTTAATTTGGATTTTTTGGCTTAAATATTTATAAAAACATTTTTAGACATTATTAAAACGTTTTTAAATTTTTTAACCTAGATTGTAATTTTATTATTCTTTTTTCCAAAAAATCACATTTTGGGGGTCGAAGGTTCGAACCCGTTCGGGGCCCGGAATTTTTTAACTCAAATTTTCTGTCATAAATATTTATAAAAATATTATTAGACATTATTTAACGCTTTTTTAATTTTTTTACCATAGACTTTTTAAGTTTATTATTCCTTTTTTCAATAAGTCACATTTAGGGGGTCGCAGGTTCGAACCCGCTCGGGTCCGGGAATTTTTTAACTTAAATTTTTTGATTTGAATATTTAAAAAATATTATTAGGCAATATTTAACGTTTTTTTTAATTTTTTTACAATTTTTTTTAAATTTTATTATTTTTTTTCAGAGAAGTCAAATTAATCGTAATGAACCAGCTTTACCAAAAATTGACAAAAGAGCATTATTTTTGTGTTATTTTACTCGTTTTACTCAAATGTTTATAAATACAAATTTGGAAACGTTTGTTTATTTTTGTTAAAAAATTTAAAAAAAATTTTTCTTTTTCAGTTTGGGCGCTTCTTTAGCAATGGTTTTATTTGCATGGACACGGACTGAATCTGTCAAATATTTTTCTGCAGCGGTTAATTTTTTTTGAATTTTTTCTAATATTTTTTTTTGTTTTTAGCAAGCAATAATGTCTCTTCTAGCCTTTTTAATTTATGTTGGCTTTATTATGTTCAGATTTGATAGATTGTTTGTTTATTTTCTTAATTTTTGGGGGTCGTGGGTTCGAACCCGCTCGGGGCCCGGAATTTTTTTCCTTCCCTTTTCTTTCTCAGATTCATAAAAATATTCGAACCACCTTATTTTCTGTTGTTTTTCTATTTCCTAAAATAATTTTACAAATGTTTGTAAGCTTTTATGACCGTCATTGGAGGTCGTGGGTTCAAACACGTTCGGGGCCCGGAATTTTTTTTTCTTTCTTAAATTTATAAAAATGCCTCACTTTCTATAATTTTTATTGTCTTAAATAATTTTAAAAAATTTCTTTAAAGTCTTCATGAACGCTGTAATGTAATTGCCTCGTTATTTGCTTTATTACTATTTCATGTATTGACTTATTCTTATCCGTTTCTACCTGGACATCTTACAACATATTCTAGTGAAGGTTTGTTTTTTATTTTTTTATATATTTTTTCTAACTTTTTCTTGATTACTGATAATTTTTTGATGATTTAAAACTGTTTTAAAAAATATGGGCACCGAGCGGGTTCGAACCCGCGACCCCTCTTGACCCATAATTTTGATTTTTAATTTAGCCTTCAATTTAAAATATTTTTATAAAAGTCTAGAGTGTGTTTTTTATGTTTTTTAATTAAATATGAACTTAAGCTTACATTTTGTAACTTTTTTGGTCATTAGAAAATAATTTAAAATGTTTAAAAAAATATGGGCGCCGAGCGGGTTCGAACCTGCGACCCCACTTGCCCCATAATTTTCCTTTTTAATTTAGCCAAAAAATTTTTTAAATAAAATTTTCTATTTAATATATTTAAATATTTATTTTATTTCCACTTTTCATTTAAAAAAATTTCAGATTATCCATTTAATAGCACCGATATAGACGATGATGGTAGTAATGAAGAAATACAACATGTTGGTTGCGATACTTCAAAATTTTCTTGGTGCAATTCTGTCCGTTCAATAAATCCATTTTATTTTTATATTTGCTATATTTTATTTATTGGACTAGCTTTTCCAAGTCTCAATGTTTCTTTAAATACTCTATTTTCTAAAATTATTGGACCTAGAAGACAAGGATTTCAACAAGGGTTGTTACAAATGGCTGGTGGGGCAGCTAGAATGGTTGGACCTGTTGTTATTAGGTGCTTTTTTTGGATTAAAAAAATTTTTTTAATTTCGTTAATCATCAAAAATACACGAAAAATGATGTCTCTGATTAGAAATATAAGGTTATAAAAATATGGGCCCTGAGCGGGTTCGAACCCACGACCCCCTCTCTTAACCTACCCCACCCTACCTTACCTCTCTTGACGATAATTATCAGATAAGCTCATTGGAATGATCTTTATGTATTATTCGAAATATTATAAGTCTTAAAAAGGTTGTCAGGGGAAAGATTTTTTATTTTTGGTCTCCCATGGTTAAGTGGGTAAGTGTTGGATTTATATGTATAGAAGGTATAGCGGTTCGAATCCTTCCTATTCTCTAGCCTTTCGACAATGTTTAAAAACAAAATTCCGATCTTTCCTTTTTTAGGAAAATTTTGAATAAAATTCTATACGAATTTCGACTATATTTTAACTTTTTTTCAGTGTTTTATATTCCGCATATGGTCCTCAAAGTGCATGGTTAATGGAAATGGGAGTTATCTCTTTAAATTTGGCACTTCTTTTTACTTGTTGTGGAAGAATGATACCTCTAACTATCCCACCAATAAAAAGAGCATCAACAGCAACTCTAATAAATTCAAGTAATGGAACAACAATAATTAAAGAAAATGGAGGAGAAGAAAATTTTAAAAATGGAAAAACAAATGGAGGAATAATATTAAATTTAAAAAGTGACGAAGAAATTAAAAATAAAATAATTAATGAGAGGACAAGATTAATGGAAAATAATAACGGTGAAAATGTTGGGAAAGAAAAAATAAAAAGGTGTGAAAAAATTAAAAATAAAAAGAGGAATGTTGGGTTAAATAGGAGCGGGTCGTGGGTTCGACCCCGTCCGGCGCCGGAATTTTTTAAGATGTGGAAAATTGTTTTTGATGATCAAAACAGTTACAAAAATGTATATTTCAGTTCAGATTTTATCAAAAATAATGCTTAAAACTTTTTAAAAAGAGAAATGATGGATCAAAAGGGGGTCGTGGGTTCGACCCCGCTCGGGGCCCGGAATTTTTTTTAAAATTGGAATAAATTTTTTTTAATTTTTAAAAATTAATTTTTAGCACGGAAAAGTCAAAAGGAAACGAAAATAAAAATATTGAAGAAAATAAAAGTGAAGAAAATAATACAATTAATAGAATGGCTAGTTTAGATTTGGAATAATATTTTTATATTTTTTTGTATCTAATGTCAGGTGTATTTTTTGTTATTATTTTTGATGGGGAAGTGGAGGGGAAATATTTTGAATATTTTTTGGGTAGAAATTTTATCACAGAAAAATTTTTATTAAAAATTAGGAAAATTTTGTGGGTGACCGCCATTAAGGAGGGTCTCGGGTTCGAACCCGCTCGGGGCCCGAAATTTTTTAAAAGTTAAAAAATTGTTTTTAATAAGCTAAGAAGTAACAAGAAATAAAAATTCAAATTTTTAATGGTTTAAAATCCTAAGAAAAATAAATTTAAGCGGAAATTAAATGTTTTCGAGGGGGTCGCGGGTTCGACCCCGCTCAGTGCCCTTTATTTTTTAAACATTTTAAAATTGTTTTTAGTGGTTAAAAAAGATACAAAATCGAATAAAACCCAAGAAAAAAAAATTTTGTGTGTGGTTTCCGGAAACAAAAAATTTTGGGCCCCGCCTACTTCCTTCTCTATTTTTTCTCAAGCAATTAAAAATGACTGGTCATTTTTTACATATCTTTAATATATGTAGATCATTTTTTATTTGATTTTATTTTGTTGCTTTTTAAGCATTTACCTTTTATTTATTATGCATTTTTAATTTTAATGTTGCAATTTAATTTAATAATAAATTAATATTTTTATAAAAATATTTTTTCCTATGATTCTTTTTAAACACGTGGATTTAATGTTTTTAATATTTTGATTTGTTTTAATGTTTTCTTTTCAGATTTTGATGTTTTAATGTTTTATCTGCTTTCTGGGCGGAGATATCGAGGGCTTTCGAGTGATATAAGAGTTCTTCCGGTTGAGTTCCTTAGCTATATTTTACCCTATAACTTTTAGCTGTTTCAACCAATTCGAATAAATCTTTTATCATTCGAAAGCTTAAGATGTGTGGATTATTTTCGCCAACAAGATTGATTTGATCAGAACGTCCTACAAAAGGTTACAGGTAAATAAGCGCGCAATCGTGATTTTTGATTTTTATTCGGCTGTAACTTTTTTTATGTTGATCTGATCAAATCAAGCCTGTCAGATAAAATAATCCTTACATCAATAGCTTTCGATTGATATATTAATTATCCAAATCGATTAAGAATTGAAAAAGTTATGGCCAAAAATATGACTCAAGGACCCCAGGCCCAATTCTCTCGGATTGCCAAATTTGAGACTCTAGTGTCATCTAAAATATAAAATGCCAAAAATATTTTTTCAAAAAAAGACGCGCTTTGAATAAATTGTTTGAATAAACAAACGTCAAGAATTGATTGTTTTTTGTTAGTCTTAACTCACATTCAGTCTAAAATCAATAGAGATTACTTTTTTTCTGAAGACTCTCATTATTGTGTGATTGTTTAATTAAAAAATAATTTTTTTTCAGATTTTTAAAATTTAATTATTTAAATAATGGAAAATAAAGAGAATAATAATTCAGAAAATATTTCATCTTTAAATAAGGAAGAAGAAAATAAAATGGAAATTATGGAGACTGAAAATGTTGAAAATATTGAAGAACATGAGCCTTTGACTACCAAGGTTTTTTTTTGAAAAAATATAATTTTTTTCCTTGGCCTGTGTTCATTTTAATTTTGTTCATTTTCATACGTTAATGAATATTATTTATAATTTTTTGGGGGTTAAGTTGAAAATAGACGAACAAATCTGCTTAAAATCTATTAAAATGTAACTGCTTGTTTCCTTCTGAAATTTTAAGAATTTTTTTATTTTATAGTCAAATTATATATCATTCGACTCAGCTTTAAATTCTGAGTCGACTGACACCAAAATCGTCTAAATCTGACTTGTTTAAGCAAAGTTATGGTCATTTATAGTAATTTGAGGAGTAGTTGTCACTTTGGTTCAGTGGGATATGTTTCGGTTTTATGTGTAGGGTTCGAATCCTCGAGTTGGAATTCTTTTTTATTTTCATATAGCAACAATAAACAATCGAATTTGAACTAAATTTAGTACATTTCCCTTCCATTCTATTTTTTTAAATCAAATTTTTTAGGTCTATTACTATGTAGATGATCAAAAAATGCCTTATTCAACAGAAGTCCCTGTTCCACCTTCAAAAATTACTTTGTATGATTTTAAGAATTGTATAACTAAACGAAGCTATAAATATTATTGTAAAATTGTGGATGCTGAATTAAATGCGTTTGTTTTTTTTTCAAATTTTTGTTTTTGATTTTAAAATTTGGTTATCTTCTGATTTATTGGTTTTAGAAAAAGGAAGCAAGATGTGCTTTTCTATTATTTTTTAGGCTGACCAGAGTAGGTAATTGACTGTGTCGGATCCGAATTTGAGTTCAAATTTTATTCATTTCGAATCCCGGACCCGAATTCGAGCTGTCAGTTTAGCCTTAAATTTATAATTTCTAAGCTGAATCTGATCGGTTCTAATTCGCGTCTGAGATTCAAAGCATATAAAAATTTAACTCATACTCGGATTTAACACACTTAATTCTCTGCTTACAAACCTCGAAAAAGCACTTTTTCATTTTTAAAGTCAATCAAAAATAAAAAAAAGGTGTCATACAAACTAACTTCTACCTTATTTTTGAATTAGACTAATGGGTAATTCTTCGGTTCGTATTCCCCCTCTCTTTTTTTTCTGACCATTTCTTCATTTTTCCTTCCCTTTTTCCCTTATTTTATGAGGAAAGTAGGGTTGTTGGCGACCGGTTAAGAACCGGAACCCTCGGTTTTCGATTGACCCCTGGTTTTTGGTTAATCGAAACCGGTTTATGCTTTTATTTGCCATACAGAATATTCAATTCATATTTTATCCCATTATTAGTGTTTCACTGGAACCGAAATTTTGACAGAAACTGGATCAAATTTAAGTTCCGGTTTCCGGAACTTGAACCGGAACTTTAAAATATTTTTACTGGCAAATTTTAGATAATTTTATTTTAATTAGGGGTGTCATGAAAAATAAGGGATAAAGGGAAGGAACAATGAAAAAATGGTCAGAAAAAAGAAGGGGGAATACGAACCGAAGAATTACCGACTAATGTCGAGTCAGGAACTGAATTTGACAAAGTCTAATCCCTGACACGAATTAGAATCCGGAAATTCGAATCCCGGATTTAGAACTTGGCAATTAAAAATGTAAGGCGAATATGCCATCTCTCTTTTTGGGTTGTGTTGAGTTGTTCTTCTTGCTCATTTTTTCTTAAATTTTGCCTTTACTTCTTTCAAAAAAAAATTTTTTTTTTCAAATTTTAGAGAAGTCAAAGCTGAGATTCGTGATGAATATGAATGCTTAAAGCCTTGTGCAAATGGACGCTTTGAGTTATTTCTTTTGTCGGATAATGGTTGTGGGAGAACGATTCAGCGTCAAATAGATCAGAAACATCATCATCACGGATTTGCTCAAAGACAAGTTTTGGCTCCAACACATTTTCAGGTTTTACTATTAAAAATAGTCAAAAATCCAAAGAAAAATTGAGAAGAAAACGAAAAAAATTTTAGGTGACATTAGATCCCTAAACTGATTTTTGAGACATTTGATCCTAAAAAAGATTTTTGAGACATTTGGTCCCAAAACTGATTTTTGAGACATTTGGTCCCAAAAATTTTTTACGACATTTGGTCCAAAAAAATTTTTGAGACATTTATCCCAAAAAGATTTTTGAGACATTTGGTCCCAAAACTGATTTTTGAGACATTTGGTCCCAAAACTGATTTTGAGACATTTGGTCACAAAATCTTATTTTTGGCCTTTCTTTTCTAATTTTTCTTTTATTCTGTCATTTTTTAGTCACAAAAGAATTGTGGAGTTCGTGCGTCAATGATGGCAGGAAAACGTCCAGCATCTCACTATATTATGGAACATTCAAAATTTGTTGAAGGGGACAGCAGTCCAGAAGAGGAAAATATAACAAATAATCAATTGTTTGGAGAATCTAATTTTGCTAGTAGTCTGTCCGATGGAGATTCTCAGTTTGTTTTGCTTTTAAAATTATTTTAAAAAATTAAATTTCCCTGAACGGGTTCGAACCTTGGTCTATTTTTGACTCATCTCCACAACCAAACGCACAAAATTTTCTTTTTTGGTTCTCTAATTTGATTTTCTGTATTTTTGTGCTAAAAATCGAAGAGATAAATTGGAATCTGACTTTCTAGGTACTAAAAAAATTTTTGAGACATTTGGTCCCATAATGATTTTTTGAGACATTTGGTCCCAAAATTGGATTTCTCCTGAAAACTTTATTTTTCCCCATTTTTAGATACACAACAGACTTTACTAGTGTTTCTCAACAAAATCATTTTGCTTCTCGTTATGCTCTTCAAAATCAACATAATAAAGGGGCAAATTCAAAGCCTTATTGGACTCGTGAAAAACGTAAACGTTATAGACGTCAACGCTCACCTCCATCATCTTTTCTTTCTTCTACTTTTGACGATACGGAAGTTTCTATGTCGGTGGATGTGATCACGGTATTTATTTTTAAATTAAAAAATAAAAATCCCCGAGCGGGATCGAACCCGAACCCTTGAATATTTCTGAAAACTCCACTTAACCAAGGAGGACAGTTTTGTAAAAAAAATTTTTGGTCACTGTATTTATTTATCAACAATTTAAAATTAAAAATCCCCAAACGGGTTCGAACCCACCCCCTTAAATTCTTTTGAAATATCCCACTTAACCAAAGTGTACATTTTTTCCAAAATTCAAGATAATTTTTTAAATTAAAGGTAACATTTAATATGGATACTCGTCGTCCTTTTGGAATGTCTGTTGTTGTTAAACGAAATCGTTATTTTTATGGAATTGTTGTTCATGAAGTATCTCCAAGTTTGTTTTTTGAAATTTTTTTAAAAATTTTTATAATTAAAATATAAAAATCTTCGAACGATTTGAACCCTTCCTTTTTGAAAATTTTTGAAAATCCCACTTAACCAAGGATTATTTTTTTTTAATTCAAACTTTTGATCGGAAAACCCCATTTAACCAGACTATGATATGTATATGGATACAGATATTATAAAAATGTCTGCGGATATCTGTCTGTATCAGCCTGTATCTGCCGTAAATATCAGGATACAGGCAATCCAGGAGAATTGGGGTTTCTTCGAATAAAAAGTTTAAAAATAAGAAAAAGGGTTTTTCTAGGGGAAAAAAATATGCTGATTACGAATCTGAGCTCAGATTTTGAAAAAGTCGAATCCCGAACCCGAATTCGGAATTTGACTCCGGACATTGTCGGACATTGTAAAAAATGGTCAGTACAACATTAAAAAATAATTTTTTTTCTTCTTCAAGATAGTCTAGTGGCTTTGGACGGTCGAATTAAAAAAGGATTTATTTTGCTTGAAATTAATGGAATTTCATTAGACGAATATGAAACACCTGAAGCTGCTGTTAATGTTCTTTCAACTGCTGTTCGACAAGCTGTTGAAAGTCGAGGGTTTCATTTTAATTTTAAAAAATAAAAAAATTTTTTTTCTAAAGCCAATTAAAATTAACTTGTTCTCGTGGAGATGTGCTTACACCTGCAAATAATATTTTTCGTCCACCACAATCGGAGCCTGTTAGACCTATTGACCCTACAGCTTGGGTACAGCATACTAACGCTGCGCGTGGTTTGGATGCTTTGATGATTGGTTTTTTTTTTTAAATTTTTTTTGGGACTTGTAGTGTGTGAAGGGTTGTTTCTTTTTTATTTTTTGGAAAATTTTTTTAAAGATTTTTTCTTTGGGTTTTGGACTTTTTCCCTATTTTCTCGCCTAATACGAATTAATTTTTATATTTTTTTGTGAAGCAATTCCAAAGACATTTGAAAAATAGTCCGAAAAAACAACGTTCCACTCCATTTTCTCCAATTTCCCATTAAAAAATATTTTAAAAATATAGTAATTTTTATTCTTTTTCAAGCACCTCCAGTTATATCTCCATCTATGCTAATTCCTACAAAAACTTCAATTTATGCAAATGCTATGGCTGCTGCAAACAATAATAATAACAACATAATTGCTGCTGTTGGAAAAGGTTTTTTTTAATTAAAAAAATTTTTAATATTAAAAATTAGTTTCTAAATCGAAAATTAAAAAAATTGCAAGAAAAAATTTTTTAAAAATTTTTAAAACGGCAGAGAAAATTTTTTAAAAATTTTTCTCTGCCGTCTCTCTTTTTCCCATACTATTTTTTAAATCTCTCACTTTTACAGCAGCAGTAATAAACTCAACAAATTACCAACAACAACAACATTTTATTCCTCAACAACAAACACAACAACAACAACAAATAATTACGTCAGACGGCCTAAAACTTATTAAAAACCCGTCGACAGAGATAACAACATCTTCCGGAAATAGTTCGTTAGAATGTTCGATTGGGCAAAAACATGTTGAATTAATAAAACAACAACAAACACAACAACACGAACAACAACAATTAAATTTAATCCAAACATGTTCCGGAAAGTTTTCCGGAAAACAATTAAATTTAAAAGAAGAAAAGAAACAAAGAACAAAAACAATGTTTGGAGGAGGAAAAAAAGTTGGTAATGGAGGTGGGGGAGGGGGAATTGGTAATGTTTTGAGACGTTTATTGTGTGTACATTCAAGTGCGAGCCCGCAAAGCAGTAGTGATGAAAATAAGAAGAAGAAAAATATTAAAAGAAGTGCTTCTAATAAAGAAGGAAAAGGGAAAAAATAAAAATTTAAAAAATAATTTTTTTTTGGCAAATTTTAATTTTTTTTTAAATTTATTTTTTAATTGCCATATAATTTCTATATATTTTTTGTAATTTTGTTTTTTTTTTGAAATTATTTTTTTTTTCAAAATTATTTTTTTTTGGTATTATCCCAATTTTGTCAAGATTTATGCCATAATTTTTGATGAATCTCTTTCTCTCCCTTCTATTTTTTATAAATAGTATTTTTTAAAAAATATCAGGAAAAAATTTTTTGAAAGTCTGAGGGCTTCCATTAAAAAAAGAAAAATTTAATTTTAATTAATTTTAGAAATTTTTTTTTTCGAAAAAATTTTTTTAAGTTAAAAATTATGGGGAATAACCATTGCGCGTCTTTAAAAACATTCTCTTATATTTCACTTATATTTTTGTTTTTAAAATGAACATTAAACTCTTAGATAAATTTGTAAAACATTTTGTGTTTTAATTGTGTTTCATTTTTTAGAGATAAACAAATGAAAAACATGCTGAAATTCCGGAAACAACAATAGATAAAACATATTAAAACATAATACAACTTTCCGGAATAGAGAAATTGTAAAAACATTTGTTAGTTATAAAACATTCCGGAAGTCTTTTTAAATCTTTCCGGAAAACATTTTAAAGTTCAGTAAACAATTTACAACTTCCCGGAAAACGTTTAAAAAATTGTAAAACCTTTAAAACTTGTTAATTGTAAAACATGCTGTTTTTTTTACAACTTTTCCGGAAAACATTAAAACACTTGTTTGTTTTGTTGTTGTTTGTAAGTTTTGTGTTTGTGTTTATAAAGTGGTATTGCAGTTAGAGTGAATGTTTTGAAAAACAAAACAACACCCCAAAAACATGATACAACTTTCAAGAAAACATGTTAGAGAAACATGTTCGAGAACAACATCCCAAAACTTTTCATATAAAAGCCCAATGTTTTTCTCTCCAAAACTTCAAACCTACATACACAACTCTTACAAGTCGTCAAACAAAACGCTCTCTCTTCACATCCTCTCAACGTGCTCGTTCAAACAACAACAACAACGCAACAATAATGTCGCCATCAAGGACTTTGGTGCTTTGGTCGCTTCTGCTGCTGCTGCCGATGATTGTTTCTCTCCCATTCGACAACCTGAACAAACAGGGGCTTGAACTTGCTGAAAATGCAGAGGGACCCCAAATGGACGCTGAAGATGAAAAAGTAATGGGCGAGGTGGAGTCTGCGGTCGACAACTTCAAGGTGCCATCAATTCCACCGAAAGTGATACCTGCTGGTGCTAGGAAGGGCCTGGGAAAAGCAAGGAAGGCATTTGGAAAACATCTTGACGAAGAACTTCAACAAGACGAGCCGCCGCCGCAGAATCCACAACCGAAGGAAGACCCAGCAAAGAAGCCTGAGGGGGGGCGGTGATCAACCGAAAGTGCCTGAAGGAGAAACGACGCCACCTGTAGATCCAACGGACCCGCCTCCATCAAATAAGACAGTGGGGCCAGGAGGGGTGAATTTAAACTTTTCTTTCTAATCCTAATCTAATTTTTAATTTTAACAGGGCGGAAATGATACAGAGACAACGCCACCAGTTTCGGGCAACTCTACCACGTCTGGGCCTGAGACTACATCAGAAGGCGGACCGGGAAGTGACCCGTCAGTCGAGCCAGACTCGTCGCCAGTCGTGCCAGTGGTGGGGGGATCTACGAGTGATTCTGGTCCTAAGCCTTCTTCTGGCAAGCCTCCATCTTCTTCAACAACAACTACCACTACACCTGCTCCAACAGAGAAGGGTGGTTCGGTGATAGTCATTGTCATTATCGTTGTTGTGTGAGTTTCTCAATAAAAAATTTTTCAAAAATTTTTTATTTTTTAAGACTTCTGTGTTGCATTGTCGGAATTGTTGCTTTCTTCCTTCTCTCAGGCAAAAAATCGGAGGATGAAGGGAAGGAAGGGGACGCTGAAGCGGGGACCAAGTCTAGTGCTTCTGCTGCTGGCGGCGCGGAATCGGAGGCGAAAACAACCGAAGGAGCAGATAAGAGCGCAACGGAGGAAGGCTCGAAGAAGGAAGACGACGAGAAGAAAGATGGGGAAGGTGAAGAAAAGACGGCTGAATCTGCTGCTGATGAGGGAGGTGCTGGAGGGACGACTGGAGAGGAAGGAACGGCAAAGGAGGCGGGAACTGATGCTGAAGATGCTGCTGATGATTCCAAACCTGCAAGCACGGAGGGTGGCGAAGATGAGGGAGAGGGAGAAGGCGATGAGGAAGAGGTGAGTAAACAAAACTTTGTCTGAGTGTTTTCCGGAAAATACAAAATAAACATAACAGTCTGAACAAAACTTTGTTTTTCCGGAATGTTTCTGAATGTTTTCCGGAATGTTTTGCTAAATGTTTTCCTGGATGTTTTTGAATGTTTTTCGGAATGTTTTTGAATGTTTTCCGGAATGTTTCTGAATGTTTTTCTGGAATGTTTTTGAATGTTTTCCGGAATGTTTCTGAATGTTTTTCTGGAATGTTTCTGAATGTTTTCCGGAATGTTTTGCTAAATGTTTTCCTGGATGTTTTTGAATGTTTTTCGGAATGTTTTTGAATGTTTTCCGGAATGTTTCTGAATGTTTTTCTGGAATGTTTTTGAATGTTTTCCGGAATGTTTCTGAATGTTTTTCTGGAATGTTTCTGAATGTTTTCCGGAATGTTTTGCTAAATGTTTTCCTGGATGTTTTTGAATGTTTTTCGGAATGTTTTTGAATGTTTTCCGGAATGTTTCTGAATGTTTTTCTGGAATGTTTTTGAATGTTTTCCGGAAACTGGAGTAACCCAAAACCTTTTAATACTTCCCCTTGTTTTTCTAGTAATGGTTGGACGCAAGCTGGGAATGGCGGCAGCGCGAATCATCTACAGTCTGAAGAGCAAAAATTGGCACATCCACATAAATCTGAGGGAGAAAAACAGGAATGAGGAAATCAGAAAGATATATATATATTTTGCAAAGATTTCCCTCTATAATATATCCAAAAACCCCTCTCATATCCCTTATATATTTTTTCCCTCTAATATATCCCTCTCTTCCCTATGATTTTGTTTGTGTATGTATTAGACTCATAATTACTTTGTTATTCCTCATATATATGTAGTTGTTTGTATTGGATGCGCGTATTGTGATAATATTCTCTACCCCTTAAATATTGTTGTATTTGCGCATATTTTGTATTGTCGCTGCCTATTGTATATATGTTGTGTTGAATAAAATAATTAAAACTTTGTTTTTGTGTTTTTAAGGTTTTAGTGTTTTCCGGAAAGTTGTAAATGTTTTAATGGTTTTAATGTTTTTAACCTTGCTTTCCGGGATGTTTTAAGTGTTTTGAGATTTGTTAGATAACACTTAAGTTTTTGTATTTTTAAAGTTTTGGTGTTTTCCGGAAGGTTGTAAATGTTTTAGTAATTTATTTTTAAACTTGTTTTCCGGAAAGTTTTGAATGTTTTGAAGGTTGTTAGATAACTCTTCAGTGTTCTGTTTTTAAAGTTTTGGTGTTTTCCGGAAACAAATGTTTTAGTAACTTGTTTTTAGATTTGTTTTCCGGAAAGTTGTAAAACATTTCTCCAATGATTTAAACAAGTTTTAATGTTTTCCGGAATTTAAGTTTTTCATTATGTTTTTATCATTTTAAATAGTAATGCTTTGTTTGTGTATATATCGAACACTTGCAATTCTCTTTTTCTTCAAGTTTTTAATATCGTTTGTTGTAATATAATGTTTGACTGAACATGTTGCGCATAACGAACATATTCCAATAACGAAAACAATTGCTAACAATGTTATAAGAAGACCTTAAAAATTAATTTTTTTTTGAAATTTTTTTAAAAATAAATTAATTATACCAAAATTATTTTTTCTTTCAAAAAATTTATTTCCATCCCAAGGTTGAATTTTGCTTATTTTTTGAGTATTATTTAAAGTAATATTATCGCTTCCATAAAGTATAGTTGCCAAAACTTGAATAAAAAACATGTTTTTGTGTTTCTAAAGTTATAAATGTTTTCCGGAATATTCTCTCGAATTTCCGGAAAACATTTTAAACACCTTCGTTTTCATTAGAATTTATTTTTTGTGTTGAATTAATAATTAATATTTTTAATAAAATTAATATTTTAAATAATAATTTAAATTTTTTCATAATTTTAAAATATTAAAAAAAAATATTAAGAATTTTTATATTAATAAAATTTGAACAAGACATGTAAGCGTATTACTCATATAAAGTAGCGTTTTAAAGTTAGTCATAATTTTAGTTATATGTTTAGTAATGTTTTCAGGAAAATCAATTCTGAACATGTTTAGATTATAAATGTGTTTTTAGATGTTTTTTTTAAATGTTTAGATGTTTGTGAAACTTTGAAACTTGTTCATTTAATTAAACTTTACGGAAGACGTTTTCCGGAAAATTGTTTTTTAATTTTTCCGGAATGTTTGACTGATATTTTTCCGGAAATGTTTGTCTGATATATATAAAACACCTAAAAATTGTCTACTATATGGAAAATTTTTTAGATGTTTCTGGAATGTTTGTAAAGTTTAATTTTTTCCGGAATGTTTGTTTGCTGTTTTGTGAGACTTACTAAAACATGTTTAATATATAAAAATGTTTCCGGAAATTAAACAAAACTTACTTGATGTTTTTCCGGAAATCTATTTATGTTTATTTAAAATGTTTTTTTCTCTTTTTCTCTCTATTGTCATTTCTTGACTTTTACTTTAATTGTTTTAATAGCATATGGTGCAGAAATAATGTCAAGACGAATAATGAGCGCAAAGGTGCTTTAATTGCCCATAAATCGACACAATTCCACAATACAAAAATACCATCAAAATTTATTCTATCGTCGAGAAAAAAATTTTTTTGGGGGAAAATTTTTTTAATTATTTGATTTGAAGAGATGATAATGAAAACAACAAGCAAACTGTAAGGAAGAAAAATTCACAATATTTTTTTTTGTTTATTTGACTCGTTTATTTACACAATTAAAACATTGCGCAATCTGTCCTCTTATTTCTCGACCTCATTTTTTATTTTTATTTTATTTTTAAAAAATGGTAGATGATTATGGGAAAATGGGTTTAATGACTAAAAATTATTTTTTTTTAATTTTAGAAAAAAATAAAAAAAATTTTTTTTAATAATTTTATTTTAAAGTACAAATAAAAAAAATAATTTTTTTTGAAGGACGACTTTTTTTAAGATGTAATAATATAGTATTATTATTATTAGCTGCTGCCATATGTTTGGGGTAATATTCAAAAATATTTAATATTTTTATTAAGTAAAGTGAACCGCGCACATTTTATTAAAACGAAGGATGTGTGAAATAATATAAAAATATATAATTTAATAATTATTTATTAAAACTAAATTAATGAGAAATTGAACAGCTCTAGAAGGTCAAAAGGGGATAAAGAAGGAGAAAAAATGTGTTGTTTTTAATAGTACATTTTATTTGTTTTGTAGAATGTTTAGAAGGTTTAGATGTTTTCCCGGAAGATGTTTTTATAAACATTTATAATGTTTAGATGTTTTTCCGGAAAGTTTTCCGGAACATGTTTTTATAAACATAATTTATAATCTTTTCCGGAAGATGTTTTTATAAACTTGATTTATATGTTTTAATGTTTTCCGGAAAGTTTTTCTGAAAATGTTTTTAAGAACGCGATTTATATTATTCGAATGTTTCCGGCAATGTTTTTCCGGAAAAGTTTATAGTATAAAGAAACTTTTCCAGGTTTTAAATTTATACACAGTATTTTCGTTTGTTTATTCTATGTATTTCACATTATAAAACAAAAACTTGATGATACAATGCACATTAAAAAATACAAGAAAAATACAAAATACAAAAAATACAAAGAAATACAAAAGTTTTACAATTATTTATTAAAACATTTTATTAAAGTTTATTTATTTTATTAATCTAAACTTCCTCTTTTGCAACTTTTTTTACAATTTCTTCACTCTCCTCATTTAAAACATGTTTTCGCTTTCCAAGTTTTCCAGTGAAACTCGAAGCATTTTCTTCTTTTAATTTTTCTTTTTCTTTTATATTTAAATCTTCTTCATTTTTTATTAATCCAGAAATTGTTTTTATTTTATTTTCATCAATTGTTTCTGTGTTTGATAAAGTTGTTGTTGTTGTTGAGGTAGATAATGTTGAAGAAGTACTGGCAACAGAAGAGGAGGAATTAGTAAATGGGGAATTGGAATTAATTGATGTTGTTATTGGAATATTAGGGGTAGAAAGAAATGCTGGAAGTAAACGATGCATTAAATAAGGATTGGAAGCAAATTGTGACAATAATGGAGCCCAGTAGAGAGGGTCACTGCGTATTAAGTTTTGCATCTAAAATAAAATAGAGAAAATTATAGGAAATATAATAGGTATATAAAACTTTACGGAAAACAAGTTTTAATTTTACAAATTGTAATAATTTTCCGGAAAACAGGTTTTAACTTTAAAATTGTAAAACTTTTCCGGAAAACAAAAAATAAACTTGAAATACAACCTTAATTATTATTACAAATTGTAAAACAAAACAAATGTTTTCCGGAAAATGTTTTGTAAATAAATGTTTGTTTAAAAAACAAACATTTGTTGTTTTACAAATTCTACAAAAACATTTTCCGGAAAACAAAATAAATTTGATCATCGTTCCGGTAAAACATTTAATTAACAAAAACATTAATTAAATAATAACCATTATAACTTGTTGCTGATCATTAAGCATATCTGCACTAGTTTGTTCTTGTCGCTTCCACTTTGTTCTGAATTTTTTTTTATAAAATTCTTATTAATTTTGAAATTAAGATTTTTTGATTTTTAAATTTATTTTAATAAAATTTTCAAAAAAAAATTATTATTTTAATATTTTTTAATTTTTAAAAATCCTCCCCTCACTCAAATAATCACTCGTTAAAAATCCAATTTTACCCCCAAAAAAATAAAAAAAATCTGAAAAAATATATAAATCATCACCTAATCCCCTTTTGACATGCAATTGGCCCTACGATGGCCTTTTCACTAAAAACACAAATTTATTTTTAAGCCTAACAATTTTCTAATACCAATTTGTGCTTTTAGAAGAGTGTGATGATACTCCCCTCTCATCCTAACAATTTCCTCCTATTTTTTGACTAATTCAAATGACAACTCTCAAAATATATTTGTGTTTTTGCTTCAATGCTTTTTAAACATGGTGCCGCAAAAATAGGTTTATTTATTGAGAAAGGAAAAAGAAAAGAGAATTAATGATTTACTCTAAAACATCACTTAAATTATAGAAAATAAGAGAGAAAGAAAGTTTGTTTTAAAGAATTAATTGTTGTAAAACATGAAACTTTCCGGAAAACAAAGAAAAATAAATAAAACAAAATAAACTTGGAATACAACACTTTCCGGTTACTATCCGTTAAATAACACAAACATTTACAACTTTCCGGAATAATATAATAAACTTGAATAAATAAAAAATAAACTTGAAATACAACTTCCGGTTATATTACTAAAACATGAAACTTTCCGGAAAACAAAAAATAAACTTGAAATACAACTTAACCCAATTACAACTTTCCGGAAAACAATACAAACATTTTTACAACTTTCCGGAAACACAAATAAATAAACCTGGAATACAACTCCTTCCGGTTATAATACTAAAACATAAAACTTTCCGGAAAACACAAATAAACTTGAAATACAACTCATCCCAATTACAACTTTTTGGAAAACAGAACAAACATTTTTCCGGAAAACAACTTTCCGGAAAACACACAATAAACTTGGAATACACCCCTTTCCGGTAATATGTATTATAATAAAAGAAAAAGGAATTGAAGCATTCTCATTGAAGCATTAATATTTATTTATTTTAGTCATTAACGATTCAGACATCTTTTTGGGGATGCTTTTTCTTGTATTATTATTTTAGTGAATAAATTAGTGAAAAGAAATAAAAGAATATAAATTTCTCTCACTCAAAAAGGAAACAAGCGGGAAGTTTATTTGAAGCTTATTTGGTTAAATAAAAATAAGATTACTGTAGAAATGAGGGAAAATAAAAGGGAAATTTTGTTAGAATAAATTTTTTAATTTAAAAAATTTTTTAATACCAAAAAAAAATTTAAAATCCAAAAAAAAATTTTTTACCTTCTATTTTGATACCATGTTTTCACTTGAGTATCGCTCAGATTCATTCTTCTAGCCAACTCCATTCTATCAGTAACAGACAAATAACTGAAAATAAAAATAAATTTTAATTAAATTAAAAAAATATTTATTAAAATTAATAAAAAAAATAAATTAAAAAATAAAGTCAAAAAATAAAAAAAAATAAAAAAAAATTTCAAGACTCAAAAAATCACCCTTACCGCTTATGTTCAAACATTGTTTCCAACTCTTGTAATTGTTTGTCAGTAAATATTGTTCGCGCCTTTCTTGCCTTTTTCCCTCCGGAAACACAACATGTGTTTGTTGAGTTTCTTTTATTTGGTGTTAATGTTGTTATGGGTGTTGTTGTTGTTGTTTCACTAGAGGATGAATGGGGGGATGTTTGTGAGATTCGCATGTTTTCATAAAATTGTTGTTGTTGGTTTGTTGATGTTTGTTGGGATGGGGAAATGTTGCAATTAGTTTCTGAAAAAACATTCAATTTAAATGTTTTGTTTAATGTTTTTTTTCAATGTTTGTTTTAATTCAAGTTTATTTTGAAGTTTATTTTCAAGTTTTGTTTTAATTCAAGTTTATTTTTAAGGTTTATTTCCAGGTTTGTATTTTCAAGTTTTAATCCAAGTTTATTTTTTTAATTCCAGGTTTATTTAATATAAAGAGAAAATACAAGTAAAATACAAAATAAAAGAGTTAAAGACACACGACAAAACACAAACAAGTTTAATTACAAGGCGGTGTTTATTTATAAACATTAAAAAAAGAAAAACAATTTGTTTGTTTCTTTTAATGTTTTTAAGGCGGCAAATGTTTTAAACAGAAAATTAATGTGTTTAAATACAAAGAAAACAACATAGTAGTTGTTAGGAGAAAATAGATAGGGTAATAGGTAGTTTACTGGCTGCCAGCCAATAAAAAAAATTTTTTAATAAAATAAATTAAAAAAAATTTACCTAAATTAAATTTTAAATTAAAGAACATATTCTTAAATTTATAAAAAAATTAAAAAAATAATTTTTATTTAATTCAAAAAATAAAATTATCAACAAAAATCAACCTAAACCTTCCCATATTTAAAAAATTTTCTAAAAAATTAAAAAAAAAATTTTCCAAAATAAAAAATTATTTTTACTAAATAATCCAATTTGCACTGTATTTATTTCCGCCATTTTTCCATATAATTTTGAATGACTTTTTTAAATAAAATAAAAATAAATATACACGCGTCATCTCACTAACTAACTACCTCTCTCCCCTAAAATCCCCCTAACTACCTAAAATCCCCCCACTCCCTTCTCCATTATATCCAAATAAACAAAATAAATACACACTTATATATCCCCCTTTTTAATATTTAACTAAATATATATAATTTTTGCGAGCTAATTTTACGCATATTACACCCCTCAGAAAAATAGAAAAGAAAAATTTGTCCATTAAAAAAATTTTTTTTTGTTATCCACAACTAATCGGCACACAAAATATTTTGATTTTTCGTTGAATTGAAAAGGATTTTCTTTCTCAGAAAAATAATTTTTCTAATAGTTAAATTAAACTATCAAACCTCTAATACAACACACACCTTTAGAGCCTTGTTTAACTAATTAAGTAGAAAATTGTTCAGGTAGGGGAAACAACTTAGGCTAAAAAAGACGTCCTTAGAAGCCGATTTGAGTTGATACAAGAGGAAAAACGAGACGCAAGAGAGTGGAGTCGTAATACAGGGATTGATCCAACAAAATTTGTCCAAAAAATTTTTTGTCCTATTTTTTCGTTCCTTCTTCAATCGTAGAAAAAAAAAAGTTTTTTAGGGTTCACGGAGCAAATATAACAAAAAAAAGACATGCATAATGTGGGAAAAAAGGAAGACAGGTGTCTCAAACCAAAAAAAGTATTTATTACAATAACTGTATTTTTTTTGTTGATTTCTCGAGAATAATAATAATAGTAAAAACATTATACGAGCAATTAAATACTTTAAAAAAATAATTTTTTTGAGGGAGAACAACGAGGAAAGAAAGAGTTTAAGAGAACAGTTAAATATAGCTATAATAATAACTGATTTTTTTGTTACCCATTGTTTTTAGGGGAGGGGGATAATAAAATCCAAATCATTATTATTTTAAGTATTTTAGAGGAGAGGTCAACTAGAAAAACAGAGGAGGAAGGGAACCCCAAAATTAAAAATACAATCTATGTATTTTTATTAACAAATCTTTTTTGGTTAGATGCAAAAGTGGGTCGGAATTCCGATTTCCGAAAAAAAATTTGATTTCCGATTTCCAAGTTCCGACTATTTATTTCCCTCCAAAAACAATGGTAAAAAAATTAGTTATTATTATAGGTATACAGTTCCAATTTCCGGCTCCTCAGATTTCCGACACTTCAGACTGTTCCAACCCAACTTTGGTTAGATGTACCGTTTATCCCTCAAAAAAATTTTTGAATTTTTTTAGAAAATCCCAAGCCTTAAAAAATTATTTTTCAAATATTGCTTGAGGGCATTTAAGTAAATATTAGCTTAATTAATCCAATTATTTTTAAAATATGTAATTTTTTCTTCGTCATTTATTTGCAAAAGTTAATCCCTTCCCCTTCCCCCAAATCCCCTCCTTCCCTCTTTCCTCTCTTAAATCCTATTAATCACCTTTCCTACCTCTTCCCTCAATTATTATTTAATTTGTTACTAATTCCTCTCTTCCTCTCCCTCTCTAAAATATCCTTCAAAAATTAATATTTAGGTAATTATTTTTTTACTATAATTTTATTTTTTAAGTGGATTTTTAAAAAATCATTTACTTGTATTAAATTAAAAATTAATTTTATTTTTAAAATTAAATTTAAAAAAATCCAAATCCTATAGACTTAAAAGCCTATACAAAAATTAAATTTAAGTTCAATTCCAACCTCCAAAAAAAATTTTTCCCCCTGAACATAGGTATAAAATTCCTTTTTTCAATTCCCTTCATTAAGGATGACGGTACCTGGGAAATCTTCCGGATATCCGGATATCCGGAACCGATATCCAAACTGAAGATTTCAGATATCCGGGGTTTTTTCGGTTTGGGATATTCGGAACCGCCAACTTCTCCCTCTATTAATCACTCCCCCCCCCCATTTCACTTTAAAAAATCATTTTTTATTTTTAATATATTGTTCACCTTCCCTCCCTTACCTCTCAATTTACTACTATAAAACACCCTAATTTATACTCAATTACTTGTCTCCTTCTTTCTATTATACCCTTGGGAATTGGATTAATTGGGGGGATTTTCTTCTTAAAATTGTATTTATATATTTAGATAAGCCGCCCCAAAATCCGTGTGTCTCCCCTTCCCTCCCTCCCCTACCCCCTCCCTTCCTTCCCTTCCCTCCTCTCTCTTCCCTCTCCTCCCTTCCTTCCCTTCCCTCCTCTCCCAATTTTTCTTCCTCATTGATACAAAATTAAAATAAAAGTGTGAATACTTAAGAAGTTTGTGGAGGTAAGTAAAGAATAAAACAACCAATTAGCCCTAAGGCAATTTAAAAATAATTGAATGAATTGAGGGAAAATTGAGAGGAGAGGAGGGGAGGGAAAGAAAATAATTAGAAATAAAAAAAAAAAATAATGGAAAAGATTTCCGCTAAAATGGGTCAAAATCGTAGTATTTAAAAATATAAAATGTCTTTCTTTGTTATAATTACAGTAATTTATTTAGTGAGAGAATTAGAATAAAATATAATGAAAATTAATAATATTTTAGTGTTCTGATTTTTAAAAATATAATTCTGGTTTTTAATAAGAAAATTCTGATATTTATAAAATAAATTCTGGTTTTTAGAAAATAAATTCTGATATTTAAAAATATAACTCTGGTTTTTGAAAATAAAATTCTGATTTTTAAAGGCGAAATTCTGATTTAAAAAATATATAATTCTGATATTTAAAAATAAACTCTGATTTTTTCTGATTTTAAAAAATAAAATTCTGATTTTTAGAGATGAAGTTCTGCTTTTTAAAGACAAAATTCTGGTTTAAAAATAAAATTCAGATTTTAAAAATATAAATTCTGATATTTTTTGTGATTTTTAAACAAATATTCTGATTTTAAAAAATATATAATTCTGATATTTAAAAATAAATTCTGATTTTTTTTCCTGATTTTAAAAAATAAAATTCTGACATTTAAAAATTAATTCTGATTTTTCTACATTAATATTTTCAAAATTCCCCCTCACCTTCATTATCCTCCCCATTCGCCAAATTAAAAGCACTAGAAGGTACAAATTGTTTATCCAACATTAACATCATTCCTGGTTGTTGTTGTTGTATTCCCCCAGTCATTTGGGCAAGTAAATTTTGAACTGAAACAAATTGTTGTTGTTGTTGTTGGAAGGAAGAAAATAAAAAATTGTTTTTATTTTTGTTTTTACGTTCCACTAATTCCTCCCCCTCTTCCTTCTCTTCTTCTGGTTTTTCTTCAGAATTTTGTTGTTGCGTTTCTTTGTTTGAAATAATTGTTTCTATACGAAAAGAACTTTTTTCATTTAATAACGATGTTTTTAATGCTGGTTGTTGTTGTAAATATGGATCAGAACAAGTTGGGAAATGTTTTGTTGATATTCTGAAATTTAAAAATTAATTGTATTTATTTGTTCTGATTTTTATAAATAATAATTCTGATATTCTAAACTTTCCGGAATTTTTCCGGAAAGATATAATTCTGATATTTTAATTCTGATAATTTCAAATTTTCCGGAAAGTTTTTAATAATTCTGATTTTAATAATTCTGAAAATAATTCAAGTTTCCGGAATTTTCCGGAAAGTTTTAATTCTGATTTTAGTAATTCTGAAATAATTCAAGTTTCCGGAATTTTCCGGAAAGTTTTAATTAATTGATTTTAATAATTCTGGTCATACCAAGTTTTCCGGAAAGTTTTAATACGTAATTCTGATCTAATTCTGATAAGTTTTCCGAAGGTTCTAATTAATTCTGTTAATTCTGATAAGTTTTTCCGGAAGGTTTTAATTAATTCTGATTTAAAAATAAAAATTAAATCTGATTTATATAAGATAATAAAAAATAATCAGAATATATAAAAATCAGAATTATAAAATATATTCTTCTGATTTTATAAATTTATAGTTATAAATACAATAATTCTGATTTAATCTACCTATTAGCATTATTTGCATTTTCTGATTTAATTGAAAGCGGTGGCGATAAAATTAATTTCTGACCAGTTGTATTAGAAGCAAAAAGTCCATTTACTAAAAAGATTAATTTTTATTCATTTAATTATTTTTTCTACCATTTAATTGATCACAAAAAGAATTATTATTATCAGAATTAGGCGGAGAAGAAGACATTAATAAAGCAGCAGCAGCGGCCATGCGCGGGTCGAAAATCATTTTTTTTTAATTTTTTGAAGCCTTTAAAAAATTTTTTTTTGAATTTTAAAATTTAATTTTTATTTATTATTAATAGAAATTTTTTTTTTGAAATTTGAGAGAAGGAAAAAAATTATTTTTGTTAAATCCACATAATAATTCACATTCATTCTATTATTAATTTTATAATAATTAAAGAAGGAAGGTCAAAAAATAAAAGAGATTAAATAAATAAAATTTATTTTATATTTAATTGTTGACGGATTTGACTTTATGGGAAATTTTAAAAATAAAAAAATAATACAAAAATTGTGTGTTTTATCGAGAAAGAAGAGGAGAGGAAATCAGAAACTTAAATTTAATCAGAAAAAATTTATTTAAAAATCAGAACCAAAAAAAAATAAATTCTTTAAATTAAAAAAAAATTCTCTAAAAAAATTGACAGAAAATAAAAATATATATAAATGGAAGCAATTCATGAAAGGCACATAAAATAGACTATAACTATTTAATGGGTGGAGTAGAAGGCGTGGCCTATTCGCTTTTTTTCTATTTTAATAATACTGTCAAATGGTGTAAAAGAGAAAAAATGATTAAAAAAATCAGAATTAATAGAAACAAATTAGTAATTCTGGTTTACAAGTAATTCTGACTTTTAGTAATAATTCTGAAAAAAATTCTGATTTTCTTAAAAATTGATAGAAAATAAAAATATATATAAATGGAAGCAATTCATGAAAGGCACATAAAATAGACTATAACTATTTAATGGGTGGAGTAGAAGGCGTGGTCTATTTGCTTTTTTTCTATTTTAATAATACTGTCAAATGGTGTAAATGAGAATAAATGATTTAAAAAATCAGAATTAAAAAATCAGAAAAAATTTAAAAAATCAGAATTATTAATTAGAATTCTGATTTACAAATAATTCTGGTTTTCTTAAATTTCTGATTTAACAAAAATTCTGGTTTAAAAATAATCCTGGTTTTTAATAATTCTGATTTTTAAAAATAATTCTGATATTATTATTCTGAGTTTCTGAAATAAGAAATATTCTGATAATTAATAATTCTGATAATATTCTGGTATAGTCCCTTAAAATAGTATAAATATTCTGATATAATTAAATCATTTAATAATTCTGATTTTTATTAAATAATTTTATTCTGATATTCTATAGTGCTATAAAATAATAAATATTCTGATAATATTAAATTAAAATCAGAATTATTAGTTTAATACACCAATAATTCCTCTTATTATTAACTTTAATTGGTTAAAAAAAATTTTTTCTTCAATTTTAAAGAAATAAAAAGGGTAAAATTACATATTTTTAAATTCACACAATTTTCTTCCGAACAAAATAAAATGCCTTTTTAAAAATAAATATTTCAAGCAATTAAGTAGAAGAAGGCGGAACCAACCCAAGTCCTCTTTGTGACACAATAAGAAAGGAAATTTTAGGAAAGAAAATTGGTTGTTTAATTGGATTGAGGAGAGTTTTGGTTAAGTTAAGGTTGTGTTTGAGTGAATAAATTTTTATTTTATTTCTTTAATTGTTGAAAATTTACTTTTATAGGAGATACATATACTTGGAAAATAAATTGACGCATTTTTCGCGTGAAAATTAGAAAAAAAAAGAAAATAAAGAGAAAAATGGATTTTAAAAATTTATTCAAAGAATTTAGTGTTTAAAATAAATTAGTAAATAAAAAAAAATAAAAAATTAGAATTTTAATTAATTTTGTGCAGGCAAAACAATACCATTAGTTGACGCAAACAATTAAGTATTAGAATGCGGAGAAGAAATTTCGATTTATGAATTCTGATTCTGATATAATTAATTATATTCTGACTAAATTATATTCTGATTTTAATAAATTAATAAAAATTCTGATTTCAAAATTCTGATTTTCCTAATAATCTGATTTTTTTAATTCTGATTTCTAAATTCTGATTTAATAAAAATTCTGATTTTAATAGAATTCTGAATTTAATACAGATTCTGAAGTTCCAAAATTCTGATTTTCCAAAATTCTGATTTCTAAATTCTGGACTTTTAAAATTCTGGTTTAATAATAATTCTGATTTTTCAAATTCTGCTTTTAATATCTGAATTCAATATTTAACTAAATAAATTCTGAAAATAAAATAAATTCTGATTTAATTTAAAATTGCCAACTTTAAAAAACTTAAAGCATTATAATACCGTAACATTGTCGCTAGCATATTTGTTGCTTATAAAAATATAAAGCAGTCACACGCAAAATTATAAAACAAGAGGAGAAAACAAAATTGTAGCAACTCTAATTGTTTAGTAGATGAATTGACAAAACAAATAACGGGAATAAATAAATTTCTAGTTGACCAATCTTTTTTTAAATTTAATAAAAAAAAAAGAATTTGTCAAAGTTTTATGCCTCAAAAAACGTGTAAAAAATTAAAAAAAAATTTCTTAAATAAAAAATTTTAAAAATTAAAAAATAATTTTATAAAAAAAAATTATTTGGGGCAGAAAAAAAAAGAAAAAAATAAAATTTTAAAAATAAAAAGAAATTTTTTTGAGTAAATTAATATTAAATGAAAATATATTAAAATTCCCCCTATGGGGTAATTACATAAATTACAATTCAAATAAATTAAAAAATACCCAAAAATAATTTTTAAAAATTATAAACAAACAACTAAAATTTAAATAATTTCTTTTAACTCCCATAAAAAGTCAAAAAAATTTTTATTTTTCAAATTTTCACAGGTGCAACAAATTGCCGCTCAAGTATATTAATAAATAATATTTATTATTGTTTTGCTTTTTGTTGTTGTTTTTTTAATTTTAGTTTTTTTGCTTATTTTTGGAAGCATTTTCCCAGTAGACTAGAGCAACCTTGGGGGAAGAGTCAAGTCCCAGGGAAAGTTAGAGAAAAAACATCCACGCCCCATTTGTTTTCCGGAAAGATAATATTTAGTATATTATTTAATATAATAGCTATAAAAATATAATTCCGGAAATTATATTTCCGGAAAAATATTTACAACTAAAAATATAAATAAATAAACTTAACAGAGAAAAAGAATATGCATATAAAACTGAATGGTACTCGATATCCATTCCGGAAAATTATTAAAACTTGGCAGAGAAAAAAGAGCATAAATAATTGTTAGAGATACAATCTAGAATATATTTTCCGGAAATATAAAAGTATAGAAAAAGAAATGAAAATAAATATTCATTCCGGAAAACTTTCCGGAATATATTAGCATATTACTAAAACCTGAAATAGAATTAGAGAAACTTATTTATATATTCCGGAAAGTTTATTTTTTTAATATTAATGTTTTCCGGAAAGTTTATTTAAATATATTACATTGTTTTCCGGAAAGTTTATTATAAAATAAACGACTATTAAAACATGGAATAGAAAAAACAGATAATGTGGGAAAATAAGACAGACACACAGATCATTTGTTTCCCGGAATGGTAATAATAATTATCTTGTAGTATGAGAAAACAAAAAAGAAACGAGTTAATGTGAGAAAACAACTAACTTTGTCTCTATTATTTTTTTTATTAAATAGTTTTTATAATGCCCCTTCCGGGGAAGTTTTTGGAGGACACATAGGGGAATTATTAAAAAAAATTTTTTTAATTTTTTAATAGCTCAAAAAATAAAAAAAAATTTTTTTTTAAATCGACAGTTCATGGATCTTCAAAAAATAATAATTATTATTTATTATTTTAAGAAATATGCCGGCATCTCTCTTACTCGGATTGCGCAAGCCCTTCCACAAAAAAATTAATTTATACACATCTCACCTTTCCTCTCTTTTTTTATTCTGCTGGATCCTTTAATAAATTTTCTTATTCGGCAAAGTTCAAAAATTAATAAAACAATAAAATGACTTTAAAAAAGAAAATTGGTGTTTAAAAGGGGAATTCTTGAAGAAAAAAAATTATTTTTAATGGGAAATAAAAAAGGTAGTGAATGGCACAAAACAAAAGAGAGGACTAAATAAAAGCGCATCCCAAAAAAAAATTAGAAGAAAAAAATAAAAAATTGTTGAAGGATGTGAACATCAACAATTGTGTTTTGTTTTAATAATAATTATTTATTTTATAAAAATAAATTTATTGTTAAAATGAGAAAGATAAAGATTTTAATGAGAGACGTATAGGTTTAAAAAGAAGTAATTTTTTCCGGAATAAGTATATATTGTCCTTTTTTTCTCTGTCAAGTTTTATTAATATTCCGGAAAACTGAGTTTCTGAAACTTTTTTGTGTCTACCCTATTGCTGCTTCCAACTTTTTTCTATTAAGTTTAATAAAATAGTAGATAAAATTCCGGAAAATATATTTTATTCCGGAAAATGTTGTGTTTTTTTCTCTGACAAGTCTTAATTGAATAAATTCCGGAAAATACATATATATTTCCGGAAAAAAGCTGTGTCTACCTCATTGCATTTTCAAACTTTTTTTCTCTTCCAAGTTTTAATAAAATTCTTTAAAAATAGCTTTTCCGGAATTCTCTGAGTAATCTCTTAATTATGCTACATATTTTTTCTTCTCAATTTTCAATTTTATATGAACGGCAGATTAAAGAAGCATTTTTAAAAAAGCTCAAAAAAGGTCATTATCATTATTATTAACTCATTTATTTTTTTTAATCGTCCGCGCAAATTGCAATTTTGCTTGTTATTTAGTTAGAGAGACGATAATTCCCTTACATAAAGATATATCTTCCCTTTTGATACACCGCCAAGTCATACAAAATCCAAAAAAATCTATGGTAATAACTATGAAATAAAAATAATTATGTGTGAGATGATTTTAATGATCGGAAATAGAAAAATAATTTTTCATAATAAATAAAGATCTCAGGGAAAGTTGTGTGTCTAATAATTTATAGAGGAAAATGGACTACAAACTTTTCCGGAAAAATAAAAAGTTTTCCGGATTTTTTATGTCTAACATTCTTTTAATAAAATAAAATAGCTTTCCGGAAATGACTATCTATCTGTAACATTAAGAGAGAGTTCCGGAAAGTTTGTGTCTAACCATCTATAGAGCAAATTGTAATACAAAGTTTTCCGGAAAAAAAGTTGGAAATTAAATATACATAGATTCCGGAAAAAAGTTGGAAATTAAATATACATAGATTCCGGAAAAAAGTTGGAAATTAAATATACATAGATTCCGGAAAAAAGTTTTCTAGATTTTTTTGTCTAACATTCTCTTAAATAAGTTTTCCGGAAAAGTCTAACTATCTGTATAAACAAACATTAAAACAAACTTTTCCGGAATTGTTTTGTGTGTCTAACAACAAAGTTTTATTGCGCACATTCAAACATATAATCCTTTTAAAGATGCTCTTTCTTTTCTCTTATTTAATTATTCTACCAAATTTTCTTGAATTTAATTATTCGAATATTATTTTGGTAATTTTCTAAAATACAGGTCAAACTAGTTATTAGAGTGCGTGTAAACTTTTTATTTTCTTTAATTTTTAATTGCTTCTCAAAAATTCAAAAAATTGGAAAAAGGGGCACTTGAGTCTTAAAAATTTTCTAAATTATTTTTTGCCATTCTCTTAAAAATTTTCCAAAAAAAAATTTTTTTATTTTTGTATTTTTTGGCATTTAACAAAAAAAATACAAATACAAAAATAATTAAGAAAAAACAAAGTTACCATAGCAATTCTTCTAATTTTTACCTTTTCTTAATAAATTTTCCACCCAACTTTTCTTTTTCTTTTGTTGCCGAAAGGCTTCTCTCTATCTCATTATTATTTTATTTAAAAACAATATAAAAAAAAACTTTGTGTAACTAAGCATTTTTATTTTGTTTTAAAAAAACTTTAAAATAAATTTTTTATAATTTTCAACAAATTTAATTATTTTATTTAGTTCCAAGTTTTAAGTTTTCCAAGTTTATTTTCAAGTTTTAAGTTTTCCAAGTTTATTTTCAAGTTTTAAGTTTCCAAGTTTGTTTTCAAGTTTACTTCTAAGTTTATTTTTTCTAAGTTTATTTCCAGGTTTATTTTTCAAGTTTTAAGCTTTCCAAGTTTATTTTTTCTCTATCTAATTTAACAAAAGATCGTATACCCAAAAATAACCCATTTCGTCACAACTTCTTTACATCTCCTCTCCCCCTCCCAAAAAATTTTAAAAAAATAAAAAAATTTTTTTTGTTAAAATAAAATTTATTTTAATATAATTCATTATAAATAAAGAAATTTTTGATAAGATTTTTTAAAAACAAAAAAACTAAAACAATTTTACAAGTGCCTGTCTTCATTAATATCAAGTTACCCCCTCTCCAGACATCCTTAAAAAAATTTTTTTGTTAATTTCTTTTTTCAATTCAATATTTTTATTTTTACATTGGTAATTTTAAACGTCTGTAAATTATTTTAAAATTATTTTAATTGTTTCAAAATTTCTCCACCTTCCCTTTCTTTTTCCCCTTCATTTTCCTCATTTAAACACTCCCTCCCCTCCCCTCTCTCCCTCCAAAAAAAATTCAATTTTCAATTAAAAAAAAGAAAAAAAATAGAAAAATGATTAAACAAGAAAGAAGATTAGCAAAACAAACAAAAAAATAAATATATCAAAATTCAAAAGTCAACATTGAAAAAATTTTTCGATTAAATATAAGGAACGCGTGAAAAAATAGGAGACAGAATAGATTGTCACAACGGCTTATTTTTTTCTTGTTGATATTTCACTCTCTTCTAAATAATTTTCACTATCACATTTTTAAAAAATAATCTTTAGGAATAAAGGATAGGTTATTTTATTTTTTAATTCTTCATTTTTCCTATTTTAAATAGGTCCAAAAAAATTTTTTTATAAAAATTCAAAAAAAAAATTTTATTTCAGAAATTTTTAAAAATTAAAAAAAAATCCAAAAAATTGCTAAAAATTAAAAAATTAAAAATAATTTTTTATTAAAAAATTTTTCAGAAAATTTTCAAAAATTCTTCAAAAAATCCTTTTTTCAAAAAGATTCTCTCGAAAAAATTTTTTCCGTTTTAACAAAAAATCACACACACACACAGACACATATTTATATCACCTATTTAAAATTCACTTTTTTTAAAAGTTAAAAAAATCATGTCATCTTCCCCTACCAATCAACAACAACAACAATCATCATCCCCAACACCACCCCCTCCACCACCACCACCAACAACTGCAGACACACAACAAAATAATTTACTTATAGCCCCGTCAACTTCATCTTCTTTAAATACAGAAAATAATATTAAAGAATATAATATTTTATTAATTGGAATTAAAAGGATTAGACAAATTTTGGTTTGTTTCTTTAATTAAAATTTCTCCCTCTACAAATTCCCCCTCCACGATAAATTAAAAAAAAATATTTTTTAAGATCCAAAAAAATTAATATGAATTTTTTAAAAGAAAAAAAAATCAAAATAATAATTATAAGCAAAAATAAAATTAAATTAAAGTCGATAGAAAGTTGTAGGAATCGAACCTTTGCCCCCTTCCGGAAAAAATAACAGGCAATGCGGGGCCCATAACGACTTAACCACAATCAACACAACTTTTCATTTACTTATTTTAAATTTAAAATTTATTTTCCCCTCTCAAGTTTGATCAATTAAAACAATCAGCACAAAAATATGAACAACACAATCATTATACTGATATTAGCTACCTAACCTTTGAATTTAAACAAGGAGAATTTTCTACTTTGGAATTAATGCAAATTGATCCTAGAACGGTTTTTTAATTTTTTAAAAATTAAAAAAAAAAATTTTTTTTTTAATTTCGAGAAAATTTTTTTGGATTTTTTTTTTATTTTCAAAAATTTTTTGAAAAAAAAATTGGGAAAAAAAATTTTTTTTGAAATTTTTTTTAATTTTTTAAAATTTTTTAAAGACACGCACAGGAGCTCACTTAATGGCCATTAGAAAGTAATTTAAATAAATTTCAAAAATTTTTTTAAAAAATTTTCAGAGCCCACGCAGCTATTATTTGTTATGCTGCACATATACCTTCTTCGTTTCATGTATTAACTGGATTTTCTGAAGATTTTAATACTAGTCAATCAGCAGAGGAAAAGGGAGGGAAAGGAAAGGGAAAAATAGCAAAAAATACAGCTAGGCCTGTAAGTGTGATTTTAAAATCTTAGAAAAAATTTTTTGAAATTTTAAAAATGAGTAAAAATTTTTAAAAAAATTTTAAGGCATTAAAAAATTAAAAATTACACACATTACAATCCCAAAGGTATCAAACCATGCCCCTTTCCAGAAAATAAAGACACAGTAGGCGGAAGTAATACCAACTTAACCACAGAAACAAGCTAAATGAATCCTTATTTTTATCATTTTGTTGGTCTAATAAAATTGTTAAAAATGAAAAAATAAGCAAATTAATAAATTGGCCTAAAATTTTTTTAAAAAATTTTTTGAAATTTCTAAAAATTTTCTTTTGAAATATTTTAAAAAATCTTGAAAAATCAAAATTCTCTTTAAGTCAGCCTCTTTATTATTATGTGACAATGATGTATTAATTGAAGAGGATGAAGATAAAAATGAAAAAATAGGGGAAGAAATTGAAGAAGAAAGGGATTTAAACAAACCATTAATTTCAAAATTAAATTTAAATGGAAATTTAAATGAAAATGAAGAAGAAAGTGAAGAAAATATACAAGAATCACCCAAAATAAATACTAATAATAATCAATCAACACCTAGATTGAGACGACCATCAATGGAAAAAATGGTAAAGGAATTGGATGATGGAAGAGATGAAGATTGGTTAATTACTCGAGAAAAGGTTAAAGAGAAAAAAATTTTTTGGCTGTTATCCAGAATACGCGTCTAATCGCACTTTTACACAGTTTAAACAAATTTATATGCGTTTAATCTATAACAATAGGTATTCGGTCTGCGTGATAGGATCTATGGCTTCTTTTTCTACATTAAAAGCTGAATAGAAAGCAGTTGACAATAACGCGTGTGAACTATAACACTGGGTGAATAGAGCTTTCTATTCTATAGATTTTATAGTAAGAAAATGCAGACCCGGGTACTTATCGCCATTTAATTTTTATTGGACATAATCAAGTGCGATTGGACATGTAATCTGAAGAAGAGCCAAAATTTTTAAATTTTAAAAAATAAAAAAATTATTTAGGGAGAACAATTAGCTACAATGTTTGGACCCGATTGCCAATTTAAATGTTTTTCTTTTTCTGCTTTAAAAGCTGAACAGGAAGCAGTTGAAGCCGAAGGGTTAAATGACAATACATTTATTGTAACGATAATTGATCGACTTATAAAAAGGGCTGAGGACGTGAAAAGGTTTGAAAGAATTTGAAAAAAATTTTTTTCTAAAAATTCAGAGAAAATACGAAAAATTAAAAAAATTCAAAATTTTCAACAAAAAAAATTCAGAAAAATTTCCAGAAAAAATATAAAATTTTTTTTGAAATTTTCAGAAAATTTCAAAAAAACTTAAAAAATTTTCAAAAAAATTTCTTTTTAATTTTAAAGTATTTTCGAAAATTTCAAAAAATTTTTAAAAAATTTCGGAGAAAATTCTTTTTATTTTTTCAGTGGAAAAAGCACCAAAAACAACACCAATAATTCAACTAATAATCATTTAAGAAGACGTAGTAATTCCCCAACAAATTTAAATAGTCGCCGACTTTCCCCTTTAAGCACAAATTTAAAGAGAATGTTGCAGGGAGGTACTAATCATTTGAAAGGAGGGGGAAATGCTGTTGTTAAATTAATTACAAAGAAGAAAAATAATAATACAAATGAAGAAAATAATACTACAAATAATGCTGCTACTAATACAAATGTTGAAAATAAGAAGACAAGTTTGGGAGGAATGAGACGACTTTTTAGCAGACAAAAATCTGAGGTGTGTTTAAAATTTTTGAAAAAAAAATTTTTTTTTCATTTTCTATAACCGAAAAAATATATTTTTTTATTTTTTCTGAAAAAAATAAACAATTTTAAAAATGTTAGGGGAGCAGAGGAATCGAACCTCACATCCCTCAAGAAAAATACATTAACAACGCGCAAGTTATACCAACTTAACCATCGACGCAATCGCTCGTTTTATTAATCTAATAGGGAAAAATCAGAATTAAATCAGAATTTTATTTACAACCAGAATTATTTAATTAGAATGAAATACAAATAAAATCAGAATATATGTATTTTAGGCTTTCCGGAAAATACAAATAAAATCAGAATAAGTTGTGTATAATTGCGTTTTTAATAAATCAGAATAATTCAGAATTTTGTGTTTTAAGTTTGCGTTTCTTTCCGGAAAAATAAAATGTTTTCCGGAATGTTGTATTTTTCAGAATTATTTGTATTTTTCCGGAATATTGGATTTTTCCGGAATATGTATTTTTCCGGATTATTTGTATTTTTTCAGAATTATTTGTATTTTTCCGGAATATTGTATTTTTAGAGTTTTCCGGAATTATTTGTATTTTTCCGGAATATTTGTATTTTTAAAATGTTTTCCGGAATTATTTGTATTTTTCCATAATTATTTGTATTTTTTTCAGAATTATTTGTATTTTTCCGTATTTTTCCAAAATTATTTGTATTTTTTTAAAAATCAGAATTAAAGGAACGTAATATCCCAGTGAAAAGTGGAAGTACTCTTTCTCTACCAAATTCACAACAACAACAAGAAACACAACAACAACAACCAACAGAAAATGGAAAATCAAACCCTCCTCAATCAACATCTACTAGTATTTTTGGAAACGCTTATCGTGCAATAATAACAAATCCAAGAGAACGTTTAAAACAAAGAAATAATAAAATAGCTTCTACAGTCCCTTTAGCTGGAAATGATGGTATTAAATAAAAACTTTTAAAGAGAAAGGGGGAATAAAAAACAAAAAAATAAGGGGAAAATAGAACTAAAAAAAATTTTAAAAATTTTTTTAATAAGAAAAAAAATTATTTTCAATTAAAAATAAAAAAAATAAAAACGGAAAATTTAATAAAAAAATTTAAAAAAATTTTATTTAAAAAATTCATTTTTCTCCTCTCATAGTTGACAACACAACAACTACAATAGTACAACAACTACCTAGAAAGTCGTTAGCAGCCATATCTACTACAAAAAACAGCAATTTTGATATTGTACAAATACAACCCCCAACAGGGGAAATAAATGGAGAACCTTTTAATTTTAATAATGAGGAGAATCAAGACGAGGAAGAGGAAGAAGAACAGAAGGAAGAAAATAAAGTCATCGAACAAAAAAATGATGAAGAAAAAATTGAAAAAGAGGAAGAAGAAAACCAACAAATACAACAACAACAAACAACCTCACTACAAGAACCTCCTCCTCCAACAAAAATTAATAGATTTAAAAAATTTGCTAAACAATCATCAACTGCTTGTATCATTCAATAAACAGAAAAATTAAAATTTTTAAATTACCCTTTCAAATTTTATATTTTTTTTTATAATTTTTAACACATTCAGTAGCTAGTATAGGAAAATCACATAAAATTCGATTTAACTTAAAATTTTGAAAAAATTTTAAAAGAAATTTAAAAATTAAAATAATTTTTAATTAAATAAAAATTTATTTTGAAAGTTTTCGGGTTCGGGTCGGTTAACCGTTTATGTATGTCCAACCAACATTTTTGAGTAAAAATTTAGAAAAAAAAATAAAATTAAAATAGGCAAAGATTTTCAAATAACCGCGGACAGGGAATCTTGAGAAAACATACGACTCCCTTGCTCTCTTAATAATTACAGTTAGAGGCTTCGACTAGATCTAAACGCAAATGAAAAAAATTTTTTTCCGCAGCCAAATTCTGTCAAGAAACCGCGCAAGCTACGCAATTAGAAAATGCGTCCAGCCCTACTCCAAATTCGTTTTTATTTATATTTTTTTTTAAATTAAACGAAAAAATGATACCTATATTATATCTTATATTTCTTTAACAAAATAAAATAATTATTAAAATACCCCCACCTATTTTTAAAAACACACACACATATTCTTCATCTTTTTTGAATATTCTCCAACAAAATTTAAGTTGTAATAAAAACATATAGGTAGTAGAAGAAATAAATTATAGCAAACAAAGCAATTAAAAGAAGAAAACCACTTAAAGACAATCGAACTAAAAAAAATTTTTTTGAGGGTAATTTAAAATTTCAAAAAAAATTTTTTATCAAGAACAACAAGAATGAGCCCATTTTGAAGCCCAAACAAGAACTAGCTCCCCAGAGCTACTTTTTGTTGAAAAATTTTTTTATTATTGAAAAAGGAATGAATAATGTTTAAAACAATTAGATAAAAAAATAGAACCCAAAAAAGAATCGAACTTTTTAGAGAAAAAGGGTGAGTCAAGCACACTCACCACTACACCACAACGCCAACAAAATTAACCCGTTATTTAATGTTTATATTTGAGGGGGGAAAATTATGCCAAATTTTGGGACTTTGGAGGGCCATATCTTGGCCAAATCAAAAAACGGGCAAAAACGGCAAAAAATCCTTGCTAGAAAGGGCATATTCTCTATCGAATGAGCCCGGTCTCGACCGTTTTTAGCTCGGACACCTCGCAACCTTCCCATGTTAATATAGTTAAGGGTAAAAAAAGGTATTTAAACGGGCCCAATTTATATAATCCGCAAAATATATTCCCCTAAAACCTCAAAAAAATTAATATTAAAATAATAAAAAAATTTCCTTACCCAAAAAATAAAAAATCTTCTTGTAAAAATCCCAACTAGATGAAATGGTTACTTCTTTCTTGTTCTTTTCAATTTGTTGTAAAAGGTCTTCAATAACTGTACTCTATTTAAAAAAAATTCATTTTTTATATAAAAATTAAGGACAAAACTCCCAATAAGATACATCTTTGGATTTGGAAAAATCATCCCTTATAATAAGGAGTATCCAAAATAATCCAAAGGTATTGTTCAGCAAGGGCGAAGGGACTAGAGCTTAAATTTGGCGTTCCTAGCGAAAATTTTTTTGAGCCATATTTTTTAGTAACAGAAGCCCTCCCCCCAACCCCCCCTCCCCTCCTCTCTGGCTACGTCCTTATCGTTCCCTAATTGTAAGTGGTAACCAGGAATGGGTCAGTTACTCGAACCTATGTACCCAAATTTTTTCGACCAAGAATCCAATCCAAAAAATTTTTTAAACCCCTAAACCCGATCCAAAATTTTAAAAGGAGTCGTTTAAACGTTACCCTCTATTTAAGGCACTTCATTACAAGACACAAAATTTTTCCACCCCCAAAAGGTATCTTATATCGAAACTTTGCCTATACACATTTAAAATTACTAAAAAAACCTTTCTCATTCTCAAACCATCTCCCTCCTCAAAATCAACATCTTCATTGTCAACATCTTCTGGATCATCTTTCCATTTATCAAAATCAAATTTTAACCAAAGCTTTGTCTCCAATTTGTGGTCTGGATTTACCAGTCCATTCTTCCAAAATCCAGCATTTTGTTTTTTTAATGTAATATTTAAACCTTTTTCAATTTCTTTGCATTCAAAACTTTCCTTAAAAAATAAAATTTTTTTAAATTTTATATTTGATTTGGGGAGGAGGAAAATCCATTTTCTAGGGTGATTTTTCCACGTCTAGATCAGCTTGGACATTTTTGAGTCTTCTTGGTTTCCCGTGACTGTAAAAATTGGTTGATTCGAAAAAAGGGCCAGAAAATAGTTTTTTATAAATTACTTTATTAGCAGCAGACGGACTTCTATTTAAATACTCCCCCTCCCCCTCTCAGATTTTAGAGACACCTAGTTTTTAAATTCATACCGAGAAAAGGCAGAAAACCCCATGCACAAGATTCGAAAAAGTTCGATAAAAGGGTCAAGAAAAGGTTCAGACACAAAAGGGGTTACACAGAACTTATTTCCAACAATAAAAAATTAAAAAAAAAGCAAACCACAACAGCAGAAGCCAAAAAAAGTTGAAACTCAAATTGAGACAAATCAGCCATATCACCTGGAGCAACTAAAGGAATACCCATCCCTTGAAATATTAAAAGTCTTCCCCCATTTGCAACAGTCAATTGATAATTCTTTAGAAAATAAAAAAAAAATTAATTTAATAAAAAATTAAAAATAAACCACAAGACTTTTAATTTCCACTCTCAAAAAAATATTATTAACATCTTGAGCCCAATAAACAAAAGGATAATATTTATTCATTTTGTAGATGTTTTTTTTAATAAAGAAAATATTTTTAAAAATTCTAAAAAATTAAAAAAAAATTTTTTTGTTAAATTTCCCCATGCTCTCCAAAAGGTAGGGAAGACATATCCGGACGGAATACCGAGATTGCTCTGAAAAAAAATAACTTTTTGGGTATTTACGTTGGTTCTAAAACATAAAAACTCTTTTCTTAACAGGACAATGTACTTAAAAAACCCAGCTGCAATAGGTTGCGGAATCAGCAGAGTAGCTGTTCGTACCTTGTAATATCCATATGTCCGTCCTTATTGTCAGGCTACCCTTCAAAAAATCCGCAAGCTTTATCCGCAAATCTGTCCCTTTTATTTTACAAAAAGTAATCTAAAAAACATACTTTCAATAAAAAAAATAACCTCGTCAAACTTTTCCTCCAAAATAATTCCTTCATTTAAATAAACAGCTAACGACTTGCGGACAAAACCTGCGGACTTTTTTAGAAGAGCACAAAGAAATCCCAAATCATGAAAATATCATCTAAATCAGCCAGAAACGCTTTTAAAAAGGTATAAAAAATGAATAAACATTTTTGAAAATTTTTTTAAAAATTATTAAAAGAATCAAAAAAATTTATACAAAAAAAAATAAATTAAAACCCAATTTTTGCACACAATAAAATCAAAAAAAAAATTCTAAAAATAAATAAAATTCAAAAAAAAAATTCTTCAACCTTTTCAAAAAACGTAATGATCAAATATTTCTCTAACTTCTTCATTATCCAAAAAATCTTTAGTTGTTTCAAATCCTCCTTCTTCTGTCTTTAATACTAAACGACCAAAAATCTTTTCGAAATCTTCTCGTTCTTTCAGTGTAAAACGTCTGTCTTTAAATAATTTGTCATAAAGGTAATGTAGCCAATAATGATTTGTTTTGCGATGGAATGTTGACCAATCATCACTAGAAAATTGACAAATTGAAAAGAAAAAATTTTTGGAGAGATAAAAATTTTGTTAGACAGTAAAAATCTCATTATAAGATACAATCAATATTGGACACCCCTCTATTTTAGAGACGCTTTTAAATCTTTAATTGACTATTGAATCGAGAAACTACACAGCTATAAGCCCCTAATTTATTTAAGATGATATGACAATAACACAGGAGAGGTCGATTTCAGGGGGAGGGGGAAGTGCTCTAAAAGTTTGGCGTTTACTTTTCGTTGCCCCTCCTAAAATTTTCTCCATTTTCCCATTTAAGGGAGAGGGATATAGCCCTACGCCCTTGCTATAATATAAAATTTTTTAAGTCTTAGGGGTGTATCTTACGCATAATAAGGTTCGACTGTAAAATTTATTAATTTTTAATAAAAAATAAACAAACTCATTTAGTTTTTTCATCATTGGGTAAATTTTGAATTGATAATCATCTCCTTTTTTATATGGTTTAACAGCAAATTTAACAAAAACAGACTGTCTTGTAACATCATCTGTCATCCGAGAATTGTTGAAATCGATTAATGAAGCATGTACACCATGAGAACGGACTTCAATTTTTTCACCATTGTAGTAATAACTGAAAATGAAATTTAAAAATTTCCAAAAAAAAATTCAAAAAAAAACCAAATTTTATCTCGACGTTCTCTTTCTCTAGTAGTAACTTCGCTGATTAATATATTGCTGTAATGTAGATCTCGATGCTCAAAACTATATCTTTCTTCAGCTATAGCAAGGGAAAGGGCGACTTGGTAAAAAATTGAAAAACGTTGTTTCTTGGTGGCCTGGAATTTAAAAATATTAATGCCAATGGAAATCATCTCTTAATTTTTGTACTACATCCTTATACGAACATTCATATTTTACCCCCCCCCCCGAAATCAACCCCCTGGCTACGCCCTTGGGATTAGGAGATATGAAAATAAATTTTAAAAATTGATTAAAGACTGGAGAAGCGGGACTGCCGAAAAAAACTATTTTATGTGTATTTTCTTAAATCCAAAGGGTTTCTCCCCGACTCTATTTTCCTCACAGTCCAATAAAAAGAAAAAATAAAGTTATAAATTAAACCTTTCTAGGTATATGCAAATATAGTTCTAGATCGACTCCACCATTTGCCATAACTAGGACGACATAGGTGTTGTCTTTGCGCTCAGTTGGTTGTTTATTTAAAGCAATCTTCGGGTTTTGTTTTTTGTATTTTTTCCACGCCTTTATAAGAATATCCGGATAGATACCTTTTAAAAGCAAAAAAATTAGAAAAAAAATTTTTTTTATTAAATTTAAACCTTTGACTACATTAGCACGGACAAGAGGTATATATGAAGGAGTTGAGAAATCACCGGCATTGTTGAGTTCTGATAAATGCCGTGTGATGAAAACTTCAGAAAAGACGGCTGGTATCGGATTTTCCTCGGTAACTTGAATGACCTAGAAACAAATTTTTTTACTTGAAAACTTTTCAAAAAATAAATTCGAAAGTTAAGCAGTTTTTTGACAAACTTTAAAAAAGAGAAAAAAATACCTTCATAGCATAAGTCCCTTTAGAATCGGACATTTCGTAGACCTCTCCATAATCTCCTTCACCGAGTTTACGAATACATTCAAAATTAGTGCGATCAAGGAACTCATCCCAGGTCATAATATAGCCGTTGTTACAGTGTTGCAAAACATGTGTAAATTCTTGTGGCTGCCCTGTAAAATTATAAAATATATAAATTTTTGTATTTTTGCATTATTTTCCGAAAAGTAAATTAACTGTTTTGATGAACACATATTTCCGAAAAAACATAAAAAGTGATTAAATAAAATTATAAGCCTTTCCGGAAAAATATTTCAATAAAACAATAAATTCCGGAAAAGATTATAGACCTATTAAACTTTTCCGGAAAAAATAAAGAATGTATTTAAAACCTCCGGAAAACACCAAAAATCAGAAAAAATCATAACGGAAAATATTTCATATAACTTTTCCGGAAAACACAAAAATATTACTAATACCTTCCGGAAAAATAAATCAAGGAAAATACGAAAAATCAGAAAAAAATAAATTCCGGAAAATTGTATATTCCGGAAAATACACAACTATCAATAAAACTTTCCGGAAAAATAACAAGGTGTTACGAAAAATTAAATAAATTTCCGGGAAAAATACAAAAATCAGAAAAAAAAATTCTCTCCGGAAAACACAACCTTAATACTGGTATAAAACCGATTAAATAAAATTTTAATTAAAAAAATAAAACATACTCCATGGAGATAATGACAATCGTCGAGAATTTCGAATTGAAGCATTTCTATTTAAATGTTCTACTGCTCGTTGTCGAGGTTGATGTTGTTGCTGACTTGTTGATGGTGGTGGAGTATTTTCTAATTCTTCCAAATTCCTTGTAGACAAAATTTTTGAATGGCTTTGGACTTTGCTTCTTGTAGAAATTTCTAAAAAATAAAAAAATTTTTGAAAAAGTTGAAAAATTCCAAAATTAACAATTGAAAAAAATCATATACAAAATTAACCAAAATTAAATAAAAGAAAAGAAATTTTTTTTCTTTCTCAATAAAAATTTAAAAAAACAAAAAAATCCTTAGAAAAAATAAAGGAAATAAGGAAAAAAAACTTCCGACTCGTCAGCTCGAAAAATTTTCAAAATTAAACCGAGTATAAAACTTGGAGGAAGAAGAACCCAAGTACTATTCTAACACAAATATTATTTTATTAATTGAAAAACCTTTGGCTGTTGAGAATGATTTTTCACCAGATTTGGATGTTCCTTCAATTCCTTCTAAAATTTCAACAGATTTTTGTGTTCGAGAAGCATCACAAATTGGTTGTGACTTTTGCAAAGTTTTCGGAGAAAAAATATAAGGCATTGTAGATGAAGAAAGCTTATTTGAGGAACGTTGACCAAGAGATTTTGAAATTGCTTCTTTTTCAATAGGTTGAGAAGAAATGTTCTTGGCAGTGTTTAAAGATGATTTTTGGTGAATTGAAGAAGCTTCTATAATGAAAAAATAAAAAAAATTTTAGAACGGAAATACGTATAAGACTTAATTTTGTCACAAAAAAATTTCTAAAATATTTTCAAAAAACAGATTTGACTTCAAAAAATTTTTCAAAGAAAAGTTTCAAAATTTTTTTAAATTCATTAAAAAAATTTTTTTTGCATACCTTTGGCTGTTGAAAGAGATTGCTGAATTCTTGAACAAGATTGTTGTTGAATAGAAGAAACACTATCCAATTGAATAACATCTTCTTCTAGTTCTTCAATCTCAACTTCGTGACATTCTACTTCTTTTTCATCGTCTTCCACTTCTTCCTCCTCATCATTCACTTCTTCCTCTTTATCATTCACTTCATTTTCTCCCGCTTCAATTTCCTCTTCATTCTCTTCCATCTCCACCTCTTGATCTTCCATTTCTTCTTCTTCTTCATCCTTCAATTCATCTTCTCCCTCCTCCATTTCCGCTCCTTGCTCTTCCACCACATTTTCTTCCTCATCCAAAACATATTCTCCTTCCACTACTTCCACTTCTAAATTGAATGATGAAGACTTTTCTGAAGATTTGTGTTCTTGTTGGCCTTGAGAAGTTGAAAAATCTTTCTGGGACAAATTCTTCTTTGAAGCAAGAGAGTGTGGAACAGTTTCATCTCTTGGAATGTTTTCGACAATGCGTTGACCACGAGATTTTGAAATTGCTTCTTTGCCAATAAGTTGAGAAGAAATGCTCTTGGCAGTGTTTAAAGATGATTTTTGGTAAATTGAAGAAGCTTCTATAAATAAAAATTAAAAAATGAAAAAAATTTTAGAACGGAAATGCGTATAAGACGTCACACTTTGAGCTAAATTTTGTCACAAAAAAATTAAAAAAAATATTTTCAAAAAACAGATTCACTTTAAAAAATTAAATTTTTCAAAGAAAAGTTTTTCCAAAAAAATTTATGTTTTCAAAGTCTTTTTTTTAATTCATTAAAAAAAATTTTTTGCAAACCTTTGGCTGTTGAAAGAGATTGCTGAATTCTTGAACAAGATTGTTGTTGAATAGAAGAATCACTATCCATAACATTCTGTCCTTCTTCCACTTCCTCAAATATTGATGAAAAAATTCTTTTAGATGGCATATTGGAAGAAAGTTTCGAAGATTTTCGTGACAAATTTTTTGAGGATTCTAAAAAAATATTTTTCATTTTACAAAAAGATTTGTCAAAAAAACCTTTGGCTGTTGACACTAATTGAATTTCAACAGATTTTGATGGTTCTTGACATTCGACATCTTTTTCTTCGTCTTCCAGTTCAACTTCTTCTTCATTTTCTCCCGCTTCTATTTCCTCTTCATTCTCTTCCATCTCCACCTCTTGCTCTTCCATTTCTTCTTCATCATTCACCTCATCTTCTCCCTCCTCCATTTCCTCTTCTTCCTTTTCCACTTCATTTTCTTCCTCATCCAAAACATATTCTCCTTCTTCCACTACTTCCACTTCCAAATTGAATGATGAAGACTTTTCTGACGATTTTTGTTCCTGTTGGACTCGAGAAGTTGAGAAAATCTTTTGAGATAAATTCTTCCTTGAAGCAAAAGAGAGTGGAACAGTTTCATCTCTTGGAATATTCTCTTCCATATGTGAAGGACTTTTAGCTGTATTTAATGACAAAGATGTTTGATGGTGAGATTCCCTCATAGAATCAAACACATTAAATTTTGATTGAACAATAGACGAAGTATCTTCTAGTTGAATAACTTCTCTGGATTCTTCCTCTTCTTCGTTAATTGACGAAAAAATTCTTTGAGGAGGCAATAAATTAGTAATTGATGAAATTGCTGAAGATTCTTGTGCCACATTTTTTGAAGATTCTTTTTTAAAAGAAAAATTTAAAAAATTTTTTAAGAAAAAATTTTTCAAGAAAAAAAATTTTTTTCGTTAATCCTAGGAAACCCCAAAAGATTTTCTAAAAAATTTAATTTTGTGGCGGATGTTTTTTTTTCTTTTAAAAAAAATTTTTTTCGATAATCCTAAGATACCCCAGATTCTTTTAAAAAATTTTTTTTATTAAAAGAAAAAAACCTTTAGCTGTCGAAAGAGATTTATTGATACTTGAAGATTGCTGCTTAATAGAAGAATCTAATTGAATAACCTCCTCTTCTTTGTCTTGCATACTACCAGAAATAGAAGAAAAAATTCGTTTAGGCAACAAATTGGATGATGAACAGATTTTTGAAGATTCTTTTAAAAAAAATTTTCTTTTTAAAAAATATTTAAAAAAAACCCTTAGCCATTGATCGCGTTTGGATTTTTGATGAAGTCTGTTGAATAGAAGAAGCACTATCCAATTGAATAACATCAACAACAGCATTTCCCTCTTCTTCACAAATTGAAGAAAAAATTTTTTTTGGAGGCAATAAATTGGATGATGAACAAACAATTGAAGATTTTTCAGTTGAATTTTGTGAAGCTTCTTTAAAAGCAAGGAATTTTTTTTAAATTTTTCAAAAAAAAAATGAAAAAAAATTTTTTGTTCGAAAAAATGCTTTTTTGGAAAAAATTTAAAAAATTTCAAAAAATTCTTTAAAAAAAATAAAATTTCCATGAAAAATTTTTTTTATTCCATAAAAAACCTTTAGCAGTAGACAATGACTGCCCATCAACATTTTGTACAATTCCATCAGATTCAGTTGAGTCCAAAGTAAAAACTTGTGGAGGAATAGTTTTTTGAGTAGTTTCTTCCAACAATGTTGGAGATTTTAAAGAAATTGAAGCAAATTGTTGTTGTTCTTGGATATCTTTGAAAATTGGCGAATTGTTTAGAATCGGTGATTCTGGCACAATTTCATTTTCATCAGAAATATTTGCTGACAAATTTTCTTCTTCTTGTTGTTGTTGTGGTGGAAGAGGTGTGTTGTGCAAAGTAAATTGTGTTGAATCTTGTTTAGAAAAGAAGAGAGAAGATTCTGCTGGAACAACTGGTTCTATAATTAAAAATAAAAAATTTAATTTATGTTAAGAGGGTTAAGAAAATCAAACAGGGACAGATTTCTCCCAACAATAAGCCTATTATTCAAACGACCGTTTAAAAGTATTAATAATAAAGGAATTAATAAAAGAAATCACTACATGTCAGAAACTCTTAAGGAATGGAAGCTGTTCATAGGGAAGGGAGGCCACCGAGAAGCCTAAATCCTACCCTCAAGTAGTTGGTAGTGTTAAGAAACTTCCCATAAACTCGTACTCCCCTAAATCACTTCCATTCTTACAAAGGCAAAATTCAACCCAAGGGACGTTATATGGAAATTGTGGCGATACGCTCTCTAAACGTACATCAAACGATACCAGGGAACTTGAAAATGTACCAACAAGCAATTCCTTTCAAAAGAGTCCTTTAAGTAAAGGCACCCCACCCCCAGAAATCAGGAACCATTCCAATATTTAGAAAAGGAACATCAACCCTGGAAACTAAAAAAACATTTAAAAAAAACCATTAATTTGTTGCAGCTCCTTCGGAGTTGTCCTCTTCCGTTTTTTAATAACATAAAAATCACGTGGCGCCTCCTCTGTCAACAATTGAAAGTCATCAATTTCATCAAACTAGTAAAATAAAAAATGTTTTATTAAATTATTTAAGACTAGATGATTGCCAAAAAGAAATTTTAACTTCTTAGAAAAGGAAACCAAATTTCTTAAGAAAGCAAAAATCAATCGTGTCAGAAACTCTTCTCTAGAAAAGAGAGAATCTGGAAACAGTTAACTCTCGATTTCAGGTACTGATCTTGAGCTAGCAAGGATTTTGTCAAGATCTAGACATCGATGTCTAGATTTGAAACAGAGCTGTATTGGGGTAAGATCTGAGAATCTTCTCTGAGGTCCCAGAACTTTCAAAAGTTTTTTATAGTTAATTGGAGTTTCCTGGGACTGTTTTTTTGAATTACAAGTTCGGAATCACATCAAGGTTAGCGGATCCAAAAATGGTTAAAGGACCGAAAAATGGTTAAAGGAGCGAAAATGAGTCATATCCCAGGTCGTGATTTCTATTTCTCGCCAAAATACGGACAAAATGTTATCAACAAAAAAAAAGCTAGGTAACTTCAAGCTTCGTTCCCCTCACATCCCTTCTTTTTTCTTTCCTTAAAAATAAAAATAATGGAGAAAGACAAACCTCATTATTAAATCTTTGCAATTCTTTAGCAACAGCTTCGTCTTCCGCCCAAGTATTTTTCGCCTTTTTCTTCGATTTTGTTTTATTTCTAGGACGTTTAAGCAGTTTTTTATTTTGATCAGATGAAGAATATGAAGACAATGAAGATGAGTTGCGTTCAATTACTTTTGGCGTTTCAACAACAATTTCATTTGAAATGTCAAGATTGTAAGCTAATGCACGCTAAAAAAAGAAAGATTTCAAAAACACAAAGAAATAGTCTAATCTAGGCACAATTTGGGGCACATATAAAGAGATGAGTTGGTCTTTTCCTCCAACCTTTTCTAACCAACTATCCTTTTTTAAAACAAATGATTCAAGACTTCAAGATTCTTCCCGTTCTCCTATTAGCCTATAACAAAATACATTTATGATGATATGACACTTAAACCCTCTTTAGTGTCTATCCTAAGGAAAGAAGACAAGACGACAATTGCAGCGGTTACGGCTTTGTAATCGGAAAAATCAGCTTTGCAATCGAGAAACGTCCAAGTAGGCGATCGACCACGTAGGCGCAAAGTCATAATTAGCTGGAAAATTTCTGGACCTTAACAATTCTGGTACCAACTCTTTAGCCCGATAAGAGGAATCGCTTATTACTAAATTTTAAAAGATTCGAAAATCTTGAGGTTGGTCGCACGCCTACTTGGGCTGCGCCCTTTGTAGTCTCCTTAACCCGCAAACCCAGTTATCGTCGACACCTCTCCTGACAGACAATACATATCAAAAACAACCCGGCTTTTAAATAAAAATATTTTAAAAAATCAAAAACCTCAAATCGAAGATCTTCATATGTTATAGGCTTTCCTTCCAATAAAAAACCAGCCTGACGAATGTCTCGAGGACGTTCTCCAAAACGAGTAACACGCCTTCGCAATTTATGAGTCAACATTTTAAGGCTCTAAAAATGATAAAAATGAATTGGGTTAAATAGCCTAATAGATATACGCGAAGGTTTAGAAATGGCGACAGGTCCAGGACGGGATTTTGCGCGTGGGATTTTGTGAGATAACGCTCCCGAATCCCGCAGTTTTTCGGTTTGCGGAAGTGCAGGATTATTCCCGCGGAAGTAACTCTCGCAAGCTTACTTAAAGCTTACAATTAGTTAGACCCCCAAGTTACTCCCGCATGCGGAAACACGCAAACGCGATTTTCCCAGTATGCGTTTTAAACTATCTTAAGAAGCCTAATGTGGACCTGACTCTCTTTGTTTAGCGCTAATTCTAAATCTTGGAAATGTGTTAAATACGCACTAAAAAAATTGAAAAAATCGAACAACAAAATTAACAAATAAAAAAAATTACCCAAGTAATATTCGACAAAACGAAATTACCAAAACAACAATATCAAAGTGGTAAAAACTTTTTTGGACAATTGAGAGCGGCAAAGTGAGCGCCTGGCAATTAATTGATCGACTGTAACTTTTTTTAGCCTTATCCAAATAGAATGATTCTTATATCATTCGAAAGCCCTTGATAAGCGGTATCTTTTCTCCAAATGGATAGATCAAGCCTGATCGATTATTAAAAAGTTACAACTCGATAAGTGTAAGAAATCGTTGTTTTTGACAGTCATCGGTTTGTAACCTCTTTGATCAGACTTGATCAGTTCAAGAAAAGATAGCGCTTATCGAAGGCTTTTAAATGATTTAAGAGTTATCCGGATTGGACTAAGAATAAGAAAGTTAGCCGACCAAATTCTTTAAAACATTTAAATACAAATCGGAATTTAATAGATATTGATATTGCTACACCCTATGGCTAATGGGTGAAGAAACCAATAGGTATTAAAGATCGAGATTTTTGAAAAGCCTGGACCTGTTCCCGGACTCTGGAGTTCGATTCTTGACCTGGACTGGATTTTGGGCCTGTAGTCCAGGAAAAACCCAGGTCCAGGAAAAGCCCAGGAAGGGTAAAAAATTCCTGTACCTGGACTCTGGGTACAGGAAAAACCCAGGCCTTGGTCCAAGTCCAGCTCGATCTCTAAAAGGTATAACACAATTTTTTTATTTCCAAGGGTGTATTTATAAATACGGTTTTCGACTATAATTTAAAATAAATTTTAATCATTTTCTTTTTGCTGTTGATTATTCATATTTTTTATCCATCCACAAGGCATAGAATTATTATTTCCCACATCTCTTGACCCTCTTCTAGAATAAATTCTTCTTTGCATTGAAGTTGTTGGTTTTGATGGGGAATAATAATAATTATAAAAATCTTTTTCTTCTTCCTTTCCTTCTTCTTCCTCTTTTCCCTGTTGTTGATCAGCCCAACGAAGTAGCAACCCTTTAGCGGACAATAAAAGTTGATGATGTTGATTTTCTTCCTCCTCTCTTTTATTTTTAATTAAATTTTCTTTAATTTTAACATTTTCAATATTTATTCTTTCATTGTCTATACTTGTTCTTCTTTTATCTAATTTTATAACATTTTTGTTTTCGGTAGAAGAAGCTCCATCATGTGATATAGTTGTTGCTCTTTTACGCATATCTTATAAATTAATATAATTTTATTGAAAATAATTAAAAATTTATTTAAAAAATTTTAGAAAAAAATTTCTAAAAAATTTTCAAAAATTTTTGGAAGTTAAAAAATTTTTTAAAAATATTTGGGAAGCAAAAGAAAAAAGTTTACAACCAAAAGGACTCGAACCTCCCACCTTCTAGCTTGAAAGGCAAGAACGTTACCAATCAACCAACTCAACCTCTGTCATTCCTTTTTTTTATTTTCAACAAAATTTGGTTAATTTAAGCTCCAAAATTAATTAAAAATTTATTAATAAATTTTTCTGGAATTTCTAAAAAAATTTTTCTCACCCCCGGGTGCTCTATTTAATAAAAGCTGTCCCCCATCTTTTGACATTCTTCTTCTCTTAAAATTATTAAATTCTGTTGTTCCCCCCACATTAAATGTTGACTGTCTTGAAATACGTGGGGAAGTTGTTGCTGCAGTCATTACCCCCAATGTTGGACGAAAATTTGAAGCTGTAGTTATTGTTGATTGATGACTTTCTCTTTGATTATATTCTTTCATCCTTCTATCCCCAACCGCATTCATTGACTTTGAACGACAACGTTTATGTCTTTGATTTGTTGTATTATTCAGATTATTTTGTTGTTTTTCATCTTGTAAAAAATTTAAAGGAAGGGCTGTAGCCAAAAACTTGAAGAAAAATTTTCAAAAATTTTCTAAATTTTTTTTCCTGAATTTTTTTTCAAAAATTTTCTCTGCTTTCTACTTGTCTCTCTTATAAATTACTACAGCGTTATACAGTCTCTCGCTTTTCTCTGACAAACTTTTCCGGAAACTTTCTTTCCGGAAAAATAAATTAAATTAATTTAATTTCGGTTAGACAAAGAATGAAATAGTACACGTCTATGTACATTTACATAAGAGAGACACAATCTGAATATCAAAAATTTTCTTAAAAAAATTTAAAAATTTGCCTTAATACTCGGAGCGAGTGATATAAATGTAAAATATCCTTCCAACGATTTTTGGTTGTTATATTGAATTTTATCGAGAAAATCTTCCAAACAATCCATTATTGCAAGAAAACGGTTTTGAAGGCGAACATAAATCTTGGAAGGGAAAAAATTTTTTGAAGGAAAATTTTTTCTTTAAACATACAGTAGAGTTAACTAGACTTAATAGAGCAAGTCCTGCAAGAAAAAGAAAGGCCAATAAGGGAGTATACTGCAAATTATAAGGCATAACATCACCCAAGCCTATGGTAGCTAGAGAAAGGAAGCTGGAAAAGATGAGGGGAAATTAAAAAAAAATTTTCAAAGATTTTCAAAAAAATTTTTTTTGAAAAATCCCGAAAAAATCGAGAAATAAAACAAACGAAAAATAAAAAGCATCTCCAAAACCTAAACCTCCAATTAACAATTTTCCATCCTTACTCCAATCTAGAAGAGAAACTATAGTTGAAACAAATAAAATATAAATTGCAACAATGGGTAGTAATAATGAAAGAGACAATTCTTCTTCTTCCTCCCCTTCCCCTTCTAATTTATTTTTTTCGACAATTTTTGATTCAATATCTTCTTCAATAATAATATCAGAAACATAGGCGCGCAGTAACCAACGACTTTAAAAATTTCTTTTTAATTTTAAAAATTCAATAAAAATTTTCTTTTTATATCAAAAATAGAGCAGAATCCGGTCTACAAATTATTATTTAATTCCAACCAAATTTATCAAAATAAACGTCAAAAACAGCCTAAAAATAGTCTAAAATCAAATTAAAAATTATGACCTCAACTCATATAAAAATTCATAACTTGACGAAAAATGAACATTTTTGTCTCATTTTTGAGGTAATTTGTAGCCAAGATTCTGCTCTATTTTTTGATATAAAAATTAAATTTAAAGCTTTTCTTAAAGAAAAGTTATTAATTTTAATGTTAATTAATTTTTAGTAAATTTTTAAATAAAAAATTTTATGGTTAAGTGCAAACGTTTTTTCCTATAAGGGAGAAATTAATAAAATCAGTTGAAGGTTCGAATCCGTTAGCGCCCAAACACTTTTTTCTGTGTTATTTTGCAAGTTAAATTAAAAAATAATAAAAGAGGCGATTTAAAAATATTCTTGAATTTTTTGCAAGGCCTCACAGAAATTTTAAAAAATTTTAGGAGGTAGAAGGTTCGAACCCGTCCGGCGCCCAAACATTTTTTTCTGTGTTATTTTGAATTTTTAATAAAAAATATAACAATTACTAATTGTAAACAAGAAAAATTTATTTCCTACCGATAATATTCTCTAACACTTTTACGGCAATACAAAAGAAATCCAAGTATTAATTGCCCAACATCCCCAAGTACCATTAACATCATTGGAATGCCAAACAGACTTTAATTTTTACAAAATTAATTTTTCGAATAAAATAAAGTATACGCATAAACGATAGAAGCCTGAAAATTAAAAAAAATTAAAAGTAAAAATTTAAAATTTTTTGAAAAAAATTTTCAGGGGAAGGGGTCGAAGGTTCGAACCCGCTCGAGGCCCAAACATTTTTTTTCTGATTTATATTTAAAGTATAATAAAAAAATAAATAAAAGAGACGATTTAAAACATTTTTTGAATTTTTACAAGGCCTCACAAATTTTCTAAAAAAAATTTCTTACAAATTTTCCAAGAGCTGTTTGACAGGCAATTGTTCCATAACCTAATTTAGGGAAAAAAATTTTAAAAATTTCAAAAAAATTTTTTCAATTTACCTATAGTTGTAAAAAGTGTCATAGCTGTTTTAAAAATAAAAATTTTCTTTAATTAAAAATTTTATTTAGAAACCGTAAAATACAGAAGACCCAAAATACCAATTTAAAACATTATTAAGTGCCAAAGTCTCGTACTTGTGAAATACTGAACCAATATATCTTCCTTCAATCTAGGAGGGTTTTTTAAATAATAGAAAAAAATTTCGAATTAAAAAAAATCTTCAAAAAAATTTTCAAAAAAATGTCTCTGTCTTCTACTTGTCTCTCTTATAAATTACTACAGCGTTATACACTCTCTCGCTTTTTCTCTGTCAAAACATTTCCGGAAAACCCTTTCCGGAAAATAAATTTAATTAAATTATGGTCAGACAAAAAGGGAAATAGTACGCGTCTATGTACATTTACATAAGAGAGACAAACTCTGGACATCTAAAAATTTCCTTTAAAAATTCCAAAAAATTTTCAAAAAAATTTTTTAACAGTTTACCTTCAACATTTCAGTATATCCATCACTAAAATTCAAAAAATATTTTTTTTTCAAAATTTAAATACCTACACAATAATTTCATTAATTTTTTCTGATTGTCTTGAAGTTGGTTGTATAAAGAAAATCATCGAAATATTCTTTAAAAAAATTTAAAAAATTTCTAAAAATATTTCCTACATTTTTAATTTTAATAATTAATTTATCAATTATTTTTGTTGTTGTATGGACATTTTCAATTTCATTATCACGCTCTATTGCCTTCAAAAAAAAATAAAAAATAATTTATTAAAATTTAATTATTGGCTAATTTCCACTCAAATTTGAATTTTTTTTTCAAATTTTTTTCTGAAAAATTTTTTAACAAAAAAAATTTGACCCTAAAAACTTGAAAAAAATCCAAAAAAAATTTTCATAAATTTTTAAAATTTTTCCTACAAAAATTTTTTCCTTTTAACCACCTGAAACATTATACCACCAAAAATTGCATACAGCACTAATAATAAAATTAACAAAACATGTCTTATTCCAAATTGATTGTGGAACCTTTAAGAAAAAAATTTTTTTGACCCGTCATCGCCCCAAAAGTAGTAGAAACTCCTTAAGAGCCCCTGAATCTCCAAAAAGGGAAACCTCAGACCCCCCCTCATTTCTTTATTAAAAATTAATAAAAAAAACACCTAGCATATTGCTGAAAAATTGTAAGGCTTTTTTGTTGGGACATAATGTCATCAAAATATTTTGACCGCTCTTTTATGTTGTTATTTATTAAATTATTAATTAATTCCCTTCCACTGTTATTTTTATTTTCTTTAATTATTGGTTGGGATTGTTCATCTTCTGATTTTTGCAATACAAATCTGCCAATTTTACGTAAATCAGAATTTTCATTTGAATTTTTAATTGTTGCCTAAATGAGATTAAAAAATTTTTAAAATTTTTTTTGAATTTTTTAATAAAAAATGTCTGCCTTCTACTTGTCTCTCTTATATATTACTACAGCGTTGTGCACTCTCTCGCTTTTTCTCTGTCAAAACATTTCCGGAAAATATTCTTTCCGGAAAAATAAATCTAATTTAATTAATTAAATTTTAATTAAAATTTGGTTAGACAGAGAATAAATAGTACACGTCTATGTAGATTTACATAAGAGAGACAAACTCTGCATGCTAAAATTTTCTTTAAAAATTAAAAAAAATTTTTTGAAAATTTTTTTGAAATTTTCCTAAAAAATAGAAAAAATTTTTTATTCACCAATTCATTATTATTTACAGAAACACCCGCACCACCACTCCATGTTTTAAAATTTCCTTCTCCTCCTTCTCCAAAAATATTAAACGATGAGGAGGGCAAAAATTTTAAAGTAAAGATCGGAGGAGTTGAATTAATATTTGTTTCATTCCATTCATATCCATAATTAATTCTGTTTTCTGGAAATATTTATTAAAAATTGAAATTTAAAAAATCACAATTTTTGCTTAAAATCAGAATTTTTAAAAATCAGAATTTTAAAAGTCAGAACTTTCATAATTTAAAAATCAGAATATTAAAAATAATCAGAATTTCTTTTAAAAAATCAGAATTTTAAAAGTCAGAACTTTCATAATTTAAAAATCAGAATATTAAAAATAATCAGAATTTCTTTTAAAAAATCAGAATTTCTTTTAAAAAATCAGAATTTCTTTTAAAAAATCAGAATTTCTTTTAAAAAATCAGAATTTCTTTTAAAAAATCAGAATTTCTTTTAAAAAATCAGAATTTCTTTTAAAAAATCAGAATTTCTTTTAAAAAATCAGAATTTCTTTTAAAAAATCAGAATTTCTTTTAAAAAATCAGAATTTCTTTTAAAAAATCAGAATTTCTTTTAAAAAATCAGAATTTATTTTAAAAAATCAGAATTTATTTTAAAAAATCAGAATTTCTTTTAAAAAATCAGAATTTCTTTTAAAAAATCAGAATTTCTTTTAAAAAATCAGAATTTATTTTAAAAAATCAGAATTTATTTTAAAAAATCAGAATTTCTTTTTAGAATTCAGAATTTTCATAATTTAAAAATCAGAATATTTATTACCTCCCATATAATAATTTGATGTCTGTTGCTGTTGTAATTGTTCCTCCTCCCCTTCTGGAAGACAATCAAAATAATAATGATATTTGTGTTGGCCAATATTTTGCATTCTTATTTATTTTCTTTTAAAATACATACACAAAAAAAAGAATTTTTTTTATTAAAAATTAATTAAAAAAAATTAATTACCTATATAAATTTAGTTAAAAAAGACAAATCACCCTTCTCTCTTTTTTAAAAAATTTTTCTTATCTTTTTTATTATTTGTTTACCGAAAAAAAATTTTTTTAATTATGAAAGAAGTGATTTCCTTTTTTTATTTTTTTAAAAAATTCCTTAATTTATAGGTAAGCCAAAAAATTATTATTTGCAGAATATTTCCTTGAAATCAGAATTATTAAGGTAAAAACATTACTGAATAATGCTTGAATATCCATTTTTCTTAATGAATATCCAACATTATTATTAACTTTTTTTTAATATTTTTTATAGAATTCTGACCCAAAAAAGACCGAATGAGGCCCAGAAAAGAATGACTCGACCGTCGGCCCGAAACGAAAACGGCAACCCTACTTTTAAAATATTCATAAAAAATTTAAGCTTTTGGCCTTTAATTTCTTTTTATTCAGATTTCTTTTATTTAATACAATTTTTTGAAACAAAAAATTAAATAATGAATTTACTTACGTCCACAAAAAAAATTTTTTTGTTTTTGTTTAATTTTTAAATCCTTTAAGGAGATCCTCCTCCTCGTTCTCCTCCCCCACTTCCACCACTACCACCCATTCCTCCTCCTCCTCCCAAATAAAATCCTTCATCTTCATTACCGCTAATTATACCTCCAAATATTCCATCGTTTCTTAAATTACTTGCTCCACCACCATTATTTCCTCCTCCAACAGTCATTGAAGTAGAACAACCTCCACCACCAACACTTTTAGATCGTTGAATGCCTTTCTCAATGCTAAAAAGAAAAAATTTTTATATGTCAAATCAGATCCTATCCTATTTTCCGGATTCGGAAAAGACAGGATATCCGAAAAATTTTTCGGTTCGGATATCAGATATCCGGGGGATTTCTCTGGATCCGAAAATAATCGATTTAAATATCACATATCTGGGGATTCCCCTGGATCCGCTAACCTTAGTTTAGAAGGATCCCCTACGCAATACACCGAGAACTCTCAGAAATACAATTCTTTCTAGCCTCAAAGGTATATATGTCGACGACACCAAATTATACATTTCAGGCCGAATTCAACTTGGCCGACCGAATTAAATTTGTTCTGAAATGGAATTTGGCAGCCGACATATACATAAGTAAGGTCAGCCTTAAATACTTCTTCGAAAAATAACAAAAAAAAATTCCTTACAAATTTGGATTAAGTCTAATAACATCATTAAATGAACGTATAATTTTAGATAATTCAATAATTTCATTCATTGCCTCATCTATATTTTCTTCATTTTTATTTTCATTATTTTCTTCTTCAAATATGACAGTTTGTGTCAAATCATCAATTTGAGCATTAATTTTATTTTTTAAACGAAGACTTAAAATTAATTGTTCAACATTAGTTATTGCAGAGCCTTTTAAAAAAAAAGAAAAAAAATTTATTTTTTAAGTTTGAGAACCACACTATAAAAAAAATAAACCCATGGGGCCGAAAAAATATTATCTTATGTGTATAATAAGGTGTATTAATAGAGAGGTGTATTGCATGGATTACCCAAAACTGGATTTTTTTCAGGACCTAAAAAACGATTCGAAAGAAAACCTTCCAAAACCTTTTTCCTCTTTTAATCCCTCTCAGACATAATCCAAAGAATTTTAAAAGAATGTGGCTTAATCCCTTTAAAAATTGAAGGGAGGGAAGCTAAACAGTTCCACCTAATTTTTAAAAAATAAATTAAAAAAAAAATAAACCATCATTGTTAAAATTAGACGGCATATGAGCTAAACGGCAAACATCATTCAATTGTAGAGAAACAAAAATCTTTAAAAAAAAATTTAAAAAATTATATCACTACAGATAGTATACTTTTTATCTATAAATTTTTACTCAAAGTTCGAAAAGTTACTTTGTAAACCGAAAAAATTTATTTCAAAAAAAAAATTTATTTCCTTTAAAAAATATCAAAAAAAAACCCCAAAATTCTTTAAAATAAAATAACTCGAAATTCGTTGAGTTGGAAAAAATGTTTAGTTTATAGGGTAAAGGTTCGAACCCGACTGGTGGAAAAAATATCTTAAAGGTGCAAAAAAATTTTTAAAATAAAAATAATCAAAATTAAAAAAATTTTTATTCTTGAAAATAGACAAAATATCCCTTCTAAAATTCATCCAAAACCAAAACTTCCCAAAAAAATTTTTCTTTCTTAAAAAGCACAAAAAAATATCCAAAAATAGTCCCAAAAATCCCTTAATAAATTTTTAAAAAAATTAAAAAAACCCTCACATTTTCAAGTCGTTTCAATGCATTTTCACGGGAAACATTAATAAGCACCTTCATAAGACCAACATTTTGATCCTTTAGAAAAATTTATTTAAAAAAAATTAAAATTAAAAAATAAACCTTTGAAAACACAGCAATTTTATCATTCAAAAAATTTTCCAAAACAACAACCAAATCTTTTTTGGCTTCCAAAGCTTTCTCAATTAAATGGGGTAAACGAATATAAACTAGAGCATAATGATAATAATTACGATTTAAACTTGGTGTTCGGTAAGAGGGCAATAAACTTAAAAAAAAAGAATTTTTTAGAAAATTTTCAAAAAATGAGGAGCAGGGGTGAGCGCAGGAGGCAATCATGAAAAACGCAACGCAAAAATTTAATAGGGGGGGATATCCGCAAGATTTTCTAAAATCTATTAAAAAAAGAGAAGGGCGAAAGTAGCGTTTTGACCGACCAGTCGGTAGTGCATCTATATCTAAGTACGTGATCAGCAAAAACTCCTAGCAATAACTGACATGAGGTCGTAGAATCATTAAAACTGTTAATGATTCGTCGTTGACCTGTAACCTCACCCACCAGAGTTATTTTGCTAAGGAGCTTTCACTCACCAAGTAAAAGTTAAAGTGGCAACCCATCCAACTTGCCCCCAAATTACTCTGACAAATTAATCCAAAAATACAATTAAAAGTTCACTTAAAGAGAAAACAATCCAAAATTCCCTATAAAAAATTCTCTCAATATTCGTTGGTGTAGTTGGAAAATGTTGAGTTTATAGGGTAAAGGTTCGAACCCGCCCAGCGTAAAATTATTTTAAAAGGTCCAAAAAAAAAATTTTTTTTTGACCCTAAAAAATTTCAAAAATTTTTTAGGGTCCAAAAAAATTTTTTAAGGTCCAAAAATAAAAAAACAAACTCCAAAGGTTTTTTGCGTCCAATAATTAAAGATATAATTAAATATTTTTTCAATCCTTCCAAAATAATTGAAGAACATCGTTTTGACGGCAAAGTAATTAAATACTCAAGAAATAAACACGAATCTTCCCATTTTTCCAAAGCTCCATAAATTAAAGCACCATAATAAAAATATAATAGAATTGAACGTCGATTGAATAAAACAACTGCTTAAAAAATAAAAAAAATTTTATAAGGCTTCACGAGCTAATTGTCACAGAGTCTAAAACCTTGGATAAGATTTTATTAGCCTTGTTATAATTTCAATGCTTCTCATAAATCTGAATCGGCCCATAGTTTAGGATTTAAAAATTTTTACCAAAGGAATAGGCTCTGTGATGAAGTGGAAAAAACATTGAGTGGGCATGCAGATGTTCGGAATGTACTCATTAAAAATAGGGCAGAAGGGAGTAGAGAGGGGGGGAAGAGAGGGGGCTCTCCTAATTCTTTTCTTATTTTTCATTATTCCTTTTGATTTAGTCAATTAAAAAATGACTAAATTTATTACTTGCAATTTTTAATATTAAATTAAAAAATATCCATTTCTTCTAAAGAGCACGTAAATGCTTGTTGTAAAATTTATTTAGTGGCCAGTGCCATAAAATCCAAAAAATATCTTTTGACTAGGGAAAAAGTCGGAAAAATCCAGTCAGCAAGAAATCCCCACCCCTTTAAACAGCCCCAGAAATTAAAAAAAAACAAACTTTGAAGAGTAGGTTTATTGCAAGGTACATCACTTTTTGGATTGCCAAAAGTCCCAGAAACCGTGTTGACAGCTATTAGAAAAATAAATTTTTTAAAAATTCTTTGCAAAAAAACCTTTTTGTAAGAAAGAAACAGCAGTCGAAGTTAAACTACTCGAATTTGTAGGAGCTGCTGTTGTTGTTGATGATTGTGGCGGTTGTTGTTGTTGAGTTGTAGACGTATTCGAATTATCAGTCGAAGTCACCTTTAAAAAATTTTTTTAAATAATTTTGAGGATTTTTGTGGAAAACTCTTCAAATAAAATTTAAAAAAATACACTTTCCAACCACACCAATATTTCCCCAGTATTTCATACTCACGGATATGGCCAGATTTTTTCGGATTAAACCGGTCCTGACGGAGATCGCGAAAAAAAGACGGATTTGGGATCCAGACTTCAGAGAAATCCGGCCGGATCTGGCCCAGCACATCGCATTATTGATGACTCACTGGGGAGATTAAAAAAGGAAATTATACATAAAGGAGAAAAGAAAGGATAAAAAAAATTTTTAAAAACTTTAACTCGAAGCTAAAAATGAGAACTCCATCTTCAAATGTTGTCGACTTTTATGAAAACTCTAATAGTACTACAAAATATCAAAACTACATAATGAGTGATCTGATTGTTTGGATTCACTCTCTGTCTTGCTGTATTTTTTTTTATCTTTTTGATTCTTCATTAATTTTTGTTTTTTTTTAAATTTTTCCTTAAAATATTTATAAAAATTAAAACATTTGGTTTCTGATTTATTTTATTCAGATTATTTTATTTAATACAATTTTTTGAAACAGAAAAAAATTAAAAAATACTTACGTCCACAAAAAATTTTTTTTGTTTAATTTTTAAATCCTTTAAGGAGATCCTCCTCCTCGTTCTCCTCCACCCCCACTTCTACTACTACCCATTCCTCCACCCAAATAAAATCCTTCATCTTCATTACCACTAATTACACCTCCAAATATTCCATCATTTCTTAAATTACTTGTTCCCCCTCCACCATTATTTCCTCCTCCTCCTCCAACAGTCATTGAAGTAGAACAACCTCCACCACCTTTAGATCGTTGAATGCCTTTCTCAATGCTAAAAAGAAAATTTTGAAAATTTTTAAATTGAAAAAAAGTCTTAAGGCTATCCGAGTACTTCCTTTCACTCATTTATCCTTCTTTAACTAAAAAAAATTTCAACTGGTCAAAGACGCATAACGGTCAGATCAATCAGCTCTTACCATTATGCGTCCCTGGCACTTAATAATTTTTCTGATAAAAGACAGACGGAAGAAAGAGGAAAATATGGAATATAATCGAATTGAAAATCTCACTTATTTGTACCCACAACAAAATATGTACACTCTAACTTAGAGCACGTTTTCATTCACATCATCACGATTACCTACTTACTGTGTCCCGAATCCGAAAAAGGCCGGATAACCAGAAATTTTCGATCGAATATCAGATACGGATATCCGGAAAAGGCCGTATATCCGAAAATTTTCAGTTCGGATATCACATAACTGGGGATCCGGTAACCTTATTTCAGAAGTATCTCCTAAGCAATACCATTAGAACTCACAAAATACCATTTTTAGCCTTAAAGGTATATATTTATGTTGGCAACCAAATTATACATTTCAGGACGAATTCAATTTGACCGTCCAAATTAAATTCGGTCGGTCAAATTGAAATTGTCCTGAATTTCAATTTGGCCGCAGACATATACATAAGGTCAGCCTTAAATAAAAAATTAACTACACTTACAAATTTGGATTAAGTCTAATAACATCATTAAATGAACATATAACTTTAGATAATTCAATAATTTCATTCATTGCCTCATCTATATTTTCTTCATTTTTATTTTCATTATTTTCTTCTTCAAAAATAACAGTTTGTGTCAAATCATCAATTTGAGCATTAATTTTATTTTTTAAACGAAGACTTAAAATTAATTGTTCAACATTAGTTATTGTAGAACCTTTAAAAAAACAGGGGAAAAAATTTTTTTTCAATAAATTTTTATATATAAAGTCGAATCTTATTATAAAAAAGGAACCTCATGGAACTGAAAAAATAAAATAAAATCTTATAATTAAGTGTCTCTTAAATAAAAGGGTATCGCTTATTACTAGGGTTGCCGTTTTCGAGTCGGGCCGACGTTCGAGTAATTTTTTTCAGGTTTCATTTTTTCGAGCCGGCCCGACAGAGTCTTTTTCGGGCCAAAATGCGATGCCCGACTCGATCTTTTGGACAGGACCGGGCCGGCAACCCTACTTATTACATATATTAGGTTAACCCTCTCCACAAAACACCCAATAAATTTTAAAGGAAAAAAATTTATTTGAAATTTTTAAGGGTATCCTATAAATAGAGAGGTGTATTTATTATATAACCAGCTCTCCAAAGGCCAATCTACCTTTTAAAAGAAACTATAGTTTTATCTGACATTAGGTGCATTTTAAGAAATTGTATGAGGTTGACTAATCAGTTTCACTCAATTTTTAAAAAAATGCCTTAAATGGAGGTGTTTCTAAATTTATAGTAAAGTCCCGACTATATTAAAAAATAAAAGTAAAATTAATTTCAAAACAAACCATCATTGTTAAAATTAGACGGCATATGAGCTAAACGGCAAACATCATTCAATTGTAGAGATACAAAAATCTAAAAAATTAAAAATTCAATTTTTAAAAATTAGAAAAATATCCCCAAAAATTTATTTAAACAAAACAAAAATCTTAAAAAATCTTCCCTTAAAAATAACATAAAAATTAAGCTTCCAAAACTCTCTAACAGTTTTGAAAGCAAATCTCCCTATAAAAATTTCTCTCCCATATTCGTTGGTGTAGTTGGTAAATGTTTAGTTTGGAGGGTGAAGGTTCGAACCAAACTAACGGAAAATTATTTTAAAAAGCACAGAAATTAGTCAAAAAATTTTTTTAATTAAAAAAATAAAAGAAAAAATTAAAAAAAATTTTTTTTTGTCTCAAAAATGAGACAAAATATCCCCAAATATAGACAAAATTCATTTAAAACAAAAACTCCCCGGAAAAAATTTTTTCTTAAAAAGCACAAAAAAATATCCAAAAATAGTCCCAAAAATCCCCTAATAAATTTTAAAAGATTAAAAAACCCTCACATTTTCAAGTCGTTTCAATGCATTTTCACGGGAAACATTAATAAGCACCTTCATAAGACCAACATTTTGATCCTTTAGAAAAATTTATTTAAAAAAAATTAAAATTAAAAAATAAACCTTTGAAAACACAGCAATTTTATCATTCAAAAAATTTTCCAAAACAACAACCAAATCTTTTTTGGCTTCCAAAGCTTTTTCAATTAAATGGGGTAAACGAATATAAACTAGAGCATAATGATAATAATTACGATTTAAACTTGGTGTTCGGTAAGAGGGCAATAATCTTAAAAAAAAAATTTTTTTAGAAAATTTTTTTTTTACTTTTTATTTTCTTGAAAAAAATTTTTTTTTGAAAATTTTCAAGAAATGGGAAGATCCACTAAATTTTTATAAATCTATTAAAAACAGAAGGACGAAAGCAGCGTTTTGACTTCTCATTGTCAGTAGTGCATCTATATTAATAAGTGATCAGCGAAAACCTTAGGAGCAATAAAACTGACATGAGGTCGCAGGAGCAATAAAACTGCTTAGTGGTCACTCCGCAGTCTCGGTGGCCTGTAACCTCACCCACCGTCATGACGCAAAAAAAACAGCAAAAAACGAGAGTAAATTAATCCAAAAATACAATTAAAGGTTCACTTAAAAGAAAATAATCCAAAATTCCTTATAAAATATTCTCCCCAATACTCGTTAGTGTAGTTGGATAATGTTGAGTTTATAGGGTAAAGGTTCGAACCTGCCCAGAGCAAAATTAATTTAAAAGGTCCAAAAAAATTTTTTTTGAAAATTTAAAAAAATTTCAAAAATTTTTAAGGCCAAAAAAAATTTTTAAGGTCAAAAAATAAAAAAAAACAAACTCCAAAGGTTTTTTGCGTCCAATAATTAAAGATATAATTAAATATTTTTTCAATCCTTCCAAAATAATTGAAGAACATCGTTTTGACGGCAAAGTAATTAAATACTCAAGAAATAAACACGAATCTTCCCATTTTTCCAAAGCTCCGTAAATTAAAGCACCATAATAAAAATATAATAGAATTGAACGTCGATTGAATAAAACAACTGCTTAAAAAATTAAAAAGAATTTTATAAGGCTCCACGAGCTAATGGTCACAGAGCTTAAGATTCAAAAATTTTCCGTAAGTTATAGGAGTGGGCATGAGATGACCGGTTTGTACTCATTAAAAATATGGACAAAAGAGAGGGGGGGGGGTAGAAGAGAAGCAGTCCAACTCACTGAGAGCCCAACTTACCGCAGAGCTATAACTTCGTTTAGAACTGTCGAATCCGGGACGCCCTGGTATGGTTTGATGCGCCTCGACGAGCTGAATCGAACAAACCCAGGTTGTACCGGATTTGACGATTTTGAACAAAGTTATAGCTCTGCGGTAAGTTGGGGTGTACCCGGGTAGAAGGGAGGGGAAAAAGAGATCCTAATTTTAATTAGGACCCCCCGCCCCCTAATTTTTTTAGTTACAATTTGCAATATTAAATTTAAAAAATATCCATTTCTTATAAATTTATTTTTTTCACCTACAGAAGAACACCTAAATGTTTGCCATAAAATTTATTTATTTTAAAATCCGAAAACAAATTATTTTTTAATAGTGAAAAAGTCGGAAAAATTCGATCAGCGAGAAATCCCCACCCCTTCCTTCCCCCATCTTTAAACAGCCCCAAAAATAAATTAAAAAAAACAAACTTTGAAGAGTAGGTTTATTGCAAGGTACATCACTTTTTGGATTGCCAAAAGTACCAGAAACCGTGTTGACAGCTAGTAAAAAATTAAATTTAAAAAATTCTTTTAAATTAAAAAAACCTTTTTGTAAAAAAGAAACAGCAGTCGAAGTTAAACTACTCGAATTTGTAGGAGCTGTTGTTGTTGTTGTTGATGATTGTGGCGGTTGTTGTCGTTGAGTTGTAGACGTATTCGAATTATCAGTCGAAGTCACCTTTAAAAAAATTTTTTTTTAATAATTTTAAGGATTTTGTGGAAAAACTCTTCAAAAAATTAAAAAAAAATACACTTTCCAACTACTAAAAAACATCAAAAATTTGTTATAATTTCTTGCTGCGACCTTAATTTAGCGAGGTATTCTCGGATCGAGTTGAGGATGTAGAATTCAAAAAAACCCCCCATTCCCTTCAGTCAAATCCATGGTTTGTCCAATTCCATCCATCCAATCCCATAATGATTTGTCCAATAATTCATCCCCTTTAGGCTTATAGAACTACGAAATTACGGGGACATTTCAAAGGTGGGTCGGAACAGTCAGAAGTGTCGGAAATCGGAACTGGCTCAAAAATCGGAAAACGGAAATGAAAATTTTTTTCGGAAATCGGAAGGATAAAAACGTCGGAAATTGGAAATCGGAATTCCAACCCACCTCTAAGACGTTGTCGACTTAATTAAAAATACCCTTATTTCTTAAGCTTATAATTCTCCATTTTTTAGCATTTCCTATAACTAGATAAAAATAAAAAAATTATTTTGTTAAATAAAAAACCTCACTAACATTTTGTTGTTGCTGTTGACTTGTTTGAAAACTAACAGCACTATATGATTGCTTCAATAATTGCGTTACATCAATTTTTAAGAAAGGTTCAATATTATCAAAATAACGAGCTTTAAGACACAAACAAAACAAAAGTGGATGAATATTTGTTAACCAATTAGAATTTCCTTGTGTAAAAATTAAAATTGATGTTTTTAACAAATTTATTCCCCAAATTGCAACTTTCTTTTTTATTAGCAAATCTGTTGTAAATTCGAGAAGACGAGTATCTTAATAAGAAAAATTTTAAATTTTAAACAAGAAAAATAGTTAAAAGCAGAAAGAATTTAAAAACTAACGGGCAAGGACGTGGACATGGGGTCGATTTCAATGGAGGCTAATATGGGATGTATGCCAAAATTCTGGCGTTTACTTTAGCGTTAATAAATCCTATTTTTTGCCCCATATTTTTATTTTTGAGCGCCGCAGGCAGAAATTTTTTAATTGGACGGTAATAGACGAAAAAATTCCACTTTTTTTTGCTTTTTTTGCTCAATCCCCTCCTCAAATTTTTCTCTTTTCGCCATTTCGAGGGGAATGGGGGCTTAGCCCAAGAAGCCCCTGGTACGCCCCTGCTAACGGATAACTAAAATTGATGTTTATTTTCAACTTCGACTACCCCGATACTTCAACACTTGACGAGATATTGGACGGGTTGAGAAAGAGTCAAGTCTGTCCAAATATCTTGCCAAGTGAGAAGATAGAATATAGTCAAGGAAGTTAACAGAAAACAAGAACAGGATTAAGGGGTTTCTAAATTCCTAAATTTTTCTAAATTTCCCCAACTCCATGATCTTGAAAAACTCTCAAAAATCAAATTTTAAAAATTAAATATACAAATATCCGGCGCCCAATGCAATTGTTGAAGATCAAAATTTGGAAGAACCTCATCAAATCCAATCAAAAAATCTTTCAATTCATTTTCCGTCTTTACCTTTGTCACCTAACCGAAAATTAAAAAAATATTCTAAAAATTTTTAAAAAAAACCTTGCAAAACAAACCACAAACAATTGCCAAAGTAAAAGACGTTGAAGTCTGAGAAGCTACCAATTGATTTAATAAACGATCAGCTTCAACAAAATTGAGTTTGTCGTTGTTCTCATCAAACCATTTACGGCAAAAATGAACTAAATCGTTACTCGTACCTAGAAAATTAGGAAAAAATTGAAAAAAATTTTTTAAATAAAAATAAACCGTCTCCAGTCAAATTTTGTACAGAAGCTATAAATGCTTGAATATTGACCATAATTTTCTTTAAAAAACTTAAAAATGATTAATTAATAATAAGAAATATATAAAGCAAAAAAATGCTATTTAAATAAGAGGATCAGAAAATTTTGTAAAATTTATTAAAAAAATAAAATAGTTAAAATAAAATAGTGTGCTGTAAATGTACAGACTTCGAAAAAAAGAGAAATTCCAAGAAAGAAACATGTAAAAAATCAGTAGGACACAAGTTTGATTAATTTAAAACAAAAAATAAATTAAAATAATCTCTGTCAACAGAAAAAGGAAGCAATTAAATTTAAAAATAAATGTTTAAAACAAACGAGATTGGCTTTGGTTAGCTAATAAAGGTACTCTATGGATATATCACCCCTCCTACCCCCCCCCTCCCACTTATTTTGAGTCTCAGAGTTTTCCTTATATGTACGTAGAAAATGGTCAGATTATTTTCTTTTCCATGCAATCATTTTTTTCCTTCAAGCAAAATAAGTGAAATGTGGTAAATGTAGAAACGAAATGAGTGAAATGTTTCAAAAATATGTGAAAAGGCAAAATAAACAAGCAAAATACTTGAAGAAGAAAAAAATGATTGACATGGAGAAGAAAATCTAAGACTCAAAATAGAAGGGGGTGACACATCCATAAAGTACCCTAATAAATTCAATAAAACAATAATTTTACAATTCACGATAATCACTAGCCTCATAAATAAAAGTGTCAGGTCCATCTCCATCCAATTTTTGAGACTTCTTTTTTAAAAAGATATGACGGAATTTTATTGGTTGATTGTCTATAGGAAGGAAACGATCAAGTTCTTTTTTAAAAGCCTTCTTATCAATTTGATTAAAATATTTACAAAAGTCTTGGACATATATTAAAGAATTATATACTTCTTCCGTTGTTCCATACCCATTGTAATAATTATTAAGACAACTGAAAAGTTATAAAATTAATTAGAACACAGAGCCCGTAACCTGAAGTGTAATAATAAAAGTAGTATTTCAGCCTTCAACATAATCAGGATTTTTTCGGGAGAGGGAGGGCAAGGGGGAAAATTTTCTGCGCCGAATTTTTAACACTGCAGGCGAAACTTTTAAGAATTTTCACTTTTTTCCTCAATCCCCTTCCAAAATTTTTTTCCTTTTACCCATTTCGGGAAGTCGGTCACGGGCCTGAATACAGAGGATAAATTTAAAAAATACCGATTGATGTGATCCATAAGACTTCTGAAACATGTGCGAGGGAATTGATCGGGGAATCGTTTATAGTACCATTCAGCGGCATATCGTGCTAATGTTTGCAATGATTTATGCCCTTTAAACAATATACCAAATTCTTTGAAAAACAAAATAATTTCAAGAGCAAAAGCTGTCCATGCCTAAAAAATCAAAAAATAATATTTTAAAAATTAAAAAAAAACCATTTCCGATGTCAGTCCCCCATCACCTTCTTCCAAAAATTCCTCAGCTATATCAAGAAACATTTCAGATAATTCATATTTCATTTTTTCAACACGACATTTCTTTGAATTATCTTCAGTGACTAAAGTAAATTGAAATTTTTCTAGAATTAAAGCATAAATTTTCTCATAAAAATTTGCGTCTTTTTTGATTAAAATACGTGCCCCATCTGCACCCAAAATATAATTTGGTTTATCAAGTAACTATAAAGTATAAGGTTAAATGGATAATAAACCCAATATTCTTACCCGGGTTTCTTTTAATTGAATATATTCTTTTTCCAATCCTTTCCATTTTTTTAAGTTAGCTTCAGCAATTGAAATTTCTGGCTAAATTTTAAACAAATAAATCACATTTTTGCTAAGATTAAGGTCGACTCGAAAATCAAAAGAACGATTAGAGCCGGCATATTTCTGCTCAAAAAAAACTCAAACACAGACCGAAAAGAAACCCAAGCTTAATAAAAATGCGTAAAATGTCGGCTCGAATCGAAAACGGCAACCTTTAAAAAATCCACAGGAAACAATTTCAAAAAAAAAAGCTTTCATTTACTAAAACGACAACCATAAATAAATTTTTATATTTGGTAAATCTTTTCCAAGGGAGACCCCAAAATAGACAGAAATAAACAAAAATTTAAAAAACCTCAGAATTGTTTTCATTTCCTAACAATTTGAAATATTCCTGAGTAAATAAGGTAAGCTTTTCAGATAATTGTTGTGGAGAACAATTCATTTCATCTTCTCCTTCTTTTTCAAGTAATTTGAGAAAATGTTCTTTATATAAAACAAGTTTTTGATATTCTTCTTCATCTATTGAAATTTGTTTCAAAGGCTGCTAAAATTAAAAATATTGAATAAAAAATAGAAAAATATTAAAAACCTTTCCAGCAGAAGAACCAACACTAGTGTTTAGACAACCATAACTTTCATGAGAAGTAGTCTTCTTTCCATCATTATTTTCTCTAGCGTTCAACTAGATATAAAGACAAATTTTTGGCGCTGGTCTAGTTTATGCGTCCAATAAAATGTTTATGAGTCCAATCAACAAATAATTGGATTTTTCTTAGTATTGCAAAATTGGGGTATGGTTCAAAAGCATTTCTTCATGTATGGGACCTATGCCCACTGGGTCTAGGACCATTCCTTGCCCTATCCCTCGAAATTTCGTAGTTGTTTTTTCGAAATTTTTAAAAATTGGCTATAACATACCGAAATTTCGAGGGATAGGGCAAGGAATGGTGCTAGACCCTGTTGACATAGATCCCGAACATGAGGAAATGCTTTGGAAACATACCTCAATTTTGCAATACTAAGAAAAATCCGATTATTTTTTGATTGGACTCATAAAGTTTGATTGAACGCATAAACCTAGACCACAGCGCCAAATTTTTTAAAGGTCTAAATTAAAAAATTACCATGTTTTTCGATTTTTCAAACAAATTATCAGCTTCAACAAAATCAAGTTTGTCGTTGTTCTCATCAAACCATTTACGACAAAAATGAACAAGTTCGTTAATTGTGACTAGAAAATGGGGAAAAAATTTTTTTATTTTAAAATAAAATCCAAACCGTCTCCAGTCAAATTTTGTACAGAAGCTATAAATGCTTGAATATTGACCATAATTTCTTTAAAAAAGCTTAAAAATGATTAATCAATTAAGAAAAAATATTTAAAGCAAAAAAATGCTTTATTTACGTAAAGATCAAATGAAATTTAATTATTTATTTAAAAAAAAACAAATTAAATTAAAAATAAGGCAATTAAATTTTTAAAAAATGATTGTAAAAATAGAGCCCGGATTGAGAGGTTTCTCTGACTAAAATTTCGGTTATCGAGTTTTGTTCGAAATCAAGATTATCGAAAGATGATTTTTCTGGTTTTTTGAGATCTCAATTCTAATTCAATTTTTTCCAATCCGAGCTCTAATTAATATACATGCCGAGAATTAAGTGAAAAAAAGTAGAACCAAAAATATAAGAGAAGTTCTAAAGAAAGAATCATGTAAAAAAATAAATGCCAAACAAATTAGAAAAAATCATGTATATATGTATTAATTTGAAACGAAAAATAAGCCAACCTCAGAGAAACAAAAAAACATGGGAGACAAATATATGTATTCAAAATAATTTTAAAAAACCAGATTAACCTTGGTTAGACAAAAAATCCCGTTAAACAATATCATTAAAATTCAATTTCAGTAGCCTTTTTAAAAGCTTAACAAGATCATCTTCCTCCTCCTTTTTTAATTCCTCTACTACCTCCACGATTATTCCAACCTTTATTTCCTCCTTTATTGTAAAACCATTTATCTTCCTTATTTCCACTGCCAGTTAAACCACGTCCTCCTCCTTGTCCACTCCCAGTAGTCATTGAAGTAGAACAACCTTCACCATCTACACCTTTCGATTGTTGAATGTTTTTATCTTTGCTAAAAAAAAGTTAAATTAAAAAGTTTAAGTCATCGCCCCTAAAATTTTCTTTTTTTAACCCCCCTCCCCCTTCATTATACTTAAATGGAAAATTCCAAACGGTCACTGACACATAATGGTCCAATTTTTAAATCAAGTCTGTTTACCATTATGTGTACTATGGCCTTCACTTAAATATCCCCATTGTGTAAACTAATTAACATTGATAAACCAAGAAATTCTATAAAAAAAAATAATTTTACCGTTTTCTATCAGTTGCCTCGTATTTAAAGTGATGAGGTCCATGACCACCAATTTTATAATCTTGATACCATTTATATATAAATATATGATCCATTTCTTTTGGTTCTTTGTTTGTTGGAAGAAATTTTACAATTTCTTCTTTAAAAACCGCTTTATCAATTTTTTTAATATATCCGCAAAATTTTTCTACGTATGATAAGTAATTATACACTGTTCGCGTTTCTTCATTCCCGGAGTAGAAGTTTTTATGACAACTGAAAAGTTATTAAATCAATTATAATATTGAGGACGGTCCTAACTACACACCCCTAAACCGACTCAGATATAATTTGCATTATTAATATAACATTAAATAACTATCTAAACTAATAAAATCTCAAGCTAATGTATAAAATAAATTTAAAAAATACTGATTCAAGTTATCTATAATGCTTCTGAAAAAGGTGGGATCGGAATCTTTATAGTGGGATTCGACAGCAAATAAGGCAAGTGTCTGCAACGAACTATGGCCAACAATCAAAATGTCAAATTCTTTGTAAAATAACGCTACTTCTATTGCAAATGCTCCCCAGATCTAAAAGTCAAAAAATAATTTTCATTACATAAAATTAAAAAAACTGCTTCGGAAGCAAAACACTCGTCACGTCTTTCTTCGCCTTCCAAAAACTTAATAGCTCTTTTAATATACATTTCAGAAGACATATACACAAGCCTAGGCTTTTTTCCTTTTTTGGATAATTTAACTTTTGTCACAATTAAATCTCGGATTTTCTTAAAAAAGTAATCCTCATCTATCTCCACTAATTCCTCAAAAGGTTGGCCAGTAACATCATCCCTTCGAAGCAACTATAAAGTAAAAATTTAAATGAATATAAATAAAACACTCGTACTTTAAATGCATCTTCCAATTTAATATATTTCTGCGGTTTTTTTTCAGCAACAGCAAGCTTTGTTTTAACAACAGACAAATTCTCCTAAATTTTAATAAAAAATAAATTACATTTAGATAAACTATTCTTATTTTTGTTCGACATTTTGCCCAAAAAAGGGACCTATTAAAAAAAAAACCTTTAATTTTTCCTTCTTTTTAACCAATTTAAAATAGCTATTAGTGAATACATTAAGCACTTCTGATAATTGTTGAGAAGTACAATCACTCTTAACTTCTTCTCCAGATAACTTTGAAAAACTTGCGTCATATATGTCAAGTTTTTCTTTTAAAACTTTTCTTGGAGGCTAAAAATAATTGATGAAATCATAAGAATAAAAGATTTTAGAAAAAACCTTTCCATCAGAAGTATCATCAGAACCACCACTTGTTCCAAAAGGTCGACTATTTTCTTCAGAAGTCGAAGGAATATTTCCTTTATCACCCAACTAAAAAGAAAAGAATAAGTCCAAAAACCAACAGTTAATTTAAAAATTACAATGTTTTTCTGTCGATTTTTTCGTTTATTAGATTCCTTATTTTTTATTGCCAAATTAGAATTTTGAGATTTCTAAAAATAAAATATAGCATAATGGAGGACAGATAACAAAACCTTTAAATCCAAAAAACTGCCTTCACCAGAATCAATATTAACCTGAGTAATTACTGAAAGTCCCTACAAATGTTTAAGATGAAAATAAAAGAAATTTTAAATCAAAAACCTCTTCTGTAGGCATACTTACAACAATGCTAGCTCCGCAAGAAACACTTTGGGTTGAGTAACCAATATTCTCTTTGTTAGATAACTAAATAAAACGAAAAGTAGATTTTAAACAAAAATAATAAACAAAAACCTGTAGATCCATTGAGGAATCAAAATTTAATACAGGCTCGATTAATTTATTTACACCACTTTGTTTCTCAATTAACTATTAAAAAGAAACATAATTTTAAACAAACATATTAAAATAAAAACCTTCTCGGCAACAAGACAATTCATTTCTTCAGACTGATCGGCTTGTGAATTGGAAGGCTCATTCACTTGCAAATCAAGTAAATTCTCACTTCCATCCTCAGTCCCCTAAATAAAAAAGATTAAAGACTCAGAAATTAGAGTACTTGTGGGTTATCTTAATCCTGCGTGCTAATAAGCATAATGGTCTCGTAATAGTAAGAGCGTCCATAATTACCCTTTCTCAGTCCAATGTATCCTAGAAAGTTTTTTCGGACAATTTTTGCGAACATTTGGGAGAAATATAGGAAGTTAGGATATTTCCTTCTCATAACAGACAAGTATAGGCCACCAAAAAATGTCCGCAAATATTTTTGCGGAACGTATTGTGGTGTGGGATAACCCACGAGTACCAGAATTAGTCATAAATCGAGTACAAAAAATATTTGACTTAACCTCGTTGTTTAAACAAGCATTGCCTCCTGTAGAATCAACAGAAATTCTTGGAGGCATCTAGAAATGTTTTAAATTGTTAACAAAAAAATTTTAAACAAAAACCTCCTCTTCATTAACACTAGCTTCAACAGGATCCGGACCAATTTCAACATGGTCTGCACCACTTTCCAATTCACCCGTCTGAGGATCGTCTTGTTCAACATCATTAATAGTAACTTCGTTTAATAACTAAAAAAGGAAAGTATATTTAGACAATCTCAATTTAGCTACAAAAATAAAATAATAACAAAGAACCTGTTCATCCATTGTGGAATTATTTTTTGCCTTTTGTTTTTGCTTTTTCTTTTTAGTCTTTTTAGCCTTGCCTTTTGTAGAATCATCTATAAAATCAGGTTTATTTAAAATTCTACGCCTTCTAGTAGTCTTAAAATTAAATTTTATTTTTTCTTCCACGAATATCAAATTACCTTGCTACTAGCACTTGTAAAAACAGGAATAATACTTGCAGCACTAGGCATTTTTGAAAGAAATTTTTTTTCTAATTTGTAATTACTAATTGGTCGGTTATAAATTTAAAAAAAAAAAGAAATTTTTTAAACAAAAAAATATTTAAAAGAAATTCAAAGTTTATAGAAACTTTGAGGGGAAAAAAGAATGGTAATAGTTCGGTTCGTACCCCCCCCCCCCCCCCTTCTTTTTCTTTCCTAAAAGTATTAAAAAATGGTCAGTTATTCTTAAGTTATAGAACTCTTCGAGCTGTGTCGAATGACATCAAAATCAACCCCAGATCTTAACTTTGGGCCGAGATACAGACTCTAGAAAATTGAAAACTAACAGGTTGGACAAAGCTCATATTTTTGGCTAAAAATTCGATTAAACATAAATTAAACAAATAATAGCTCTTTCGAAAGAGCTTGTCGAGATGATTCGAGTGACATCAAAATCAACATAATTGAACAAGATTTGACAAACTTATGACATAAATAATCCATTTGTGTAGGCGAGACACTTTTGCAAAATCTTTCGCTTTGCGCAGGTTTTTGTATGTATCTCGGCCCAAAGTTAAGATCTGGGGTTGATTTTGATGTCATTCGACACAGCTCGACGAGTTCTATAACCTAAGATTGACTGACCATTTTTTAATACTTTTAGGAAAGAAAAAGAAGGGGGGGGGGGTACGAACCGAACTATTACCAAAAGAATTAATATTCAAGACTTTATTCTTTAAAATTAAAACAGAAATTTTTGGGTACCCAGTCTGCGTTTTAGTTGAAATACAAAATGGTCCGACATTTCTTCCTTCATAATTTACAAAAAAAAATTCCCCGTAGTCACATTCATTCAGTCACTTTTCTTTCAATTCAGACATCTTTTTTCGTTTTTGATTGCCTCACACATTTGCCCTTGTTATTAATGACTGAATAAATCAATGTTCATTTTATTATATTTTTAAAAACGGTTAAACGTATGCCAAGTAGGCGTAAGGACAGGTATGCGCAAAACGGGGAATGTCGTTCCAACAACGGGAAATAATCTAAGGAATGGTGAAGGTTGTTCCTTGCGTTCAAACCACGAGTAAAGTTGGCCTATTAAAGGGGAACTTTATTACAACAAACAACATTCCTCATTGGAAAACGATACAGTCATAAAATATTTTTAAACAGAAACTTTACAAAAGGCTCAAAAACAAAATTCGAAAAAAAATCATATACCTAATTTCTGTTTAACAACAAAAACATTTTGAATTGATAAATGAATTTTTGATTGAAAAATTCTTTAAAAAATCATCTGAATCTATTCTAAATAATTTGTAAACATCCAAATCTTTGACCATTAAATTGATCATTCCATTATTGAATAATTTTATTCTTGGGTTAAAAATACCCCATTTGCAAAGTTTTGCTTCCATAAGGTTGAGGAAATCTTTAAAATATTTTTTTCAAATTTGTACATTTTATTTAAAAAATTAAAATATAGCCGGACCTCTATTTTATGTATATACCCGTGAGTCAGAAAAATTTTTATAATAAAAATGGGGTGGCTAAAAGTTAATATACCATATAGGCAGCCCCCCTTTCCCGTGATCAACTTAATTTAAGAAAAGTATCTTAAACCAATTTTATGGGTGTACATAAAATTGAGGGTAGTCTGACTTATAAAATCTAAAAATATTGAAAAAGAAACCTGAACCAGAAGATAAGTTGAGAAATTTTATTCCAAAATTAATTATAGCATTACGAATAGAATCACGAAAGCCTTCTTGTAATGTTGCTACTGGAACTTTGAAAAAATTGGCATTTTCTAGAATTTCCAATTTTGGGATTGACAAGGAAACTGAAAGAAATTTTTTTTTCTTCATTTTAAAAATCAAAAAAAAATTTTTTTAACCATTTTCCACTCCAATATTTAATTCAATAATTGTAAAAAATGGAATTTGAGCAATTGATTGTCCAGAAGGATCACGAGCCAAAGAGAATATTCCAACGCCTGATAATGAAAGTGTTGCCAGATCTATATAAACGAGAGAGAAATTTTTTAAATAAATTCTAAATCTTCAAAAAACCTTCAGTAACATTTATTATTGGTGCTTCCGTTGGATAAATCTAACAGAAAAAAATTTTTTTAGAAAAATCCCCCCAAAAAATTAAAAGAAAACCTTCAATTCCAATTGCTCGTTTGGATATATTTCACTAGCTTCAGGTATTGTATCCCCCAAACAAACATTGTCTAAATCACAGCTAGTGCGCAAAAGGGGACCAAATAAAGGAGAGTTTTGACCAACATAAATGCTCAATAGATTGGCCCTAAAATTTATTTAAAATAAAATTAAGTAGGAAAAATCAGGAAGGTCTCAGAAACGAGCAAATTTCGACCGATGATTAAAAAATCTTTAAAATTTGAAATTGGTGCCAAAGCACAGTCTCTACGACGGAGTGTATACCAAGGCTTATGAATGTTGGAACTAGTCAAGTTACTCGGTATGACTCGATATATGTCAGCAAGGCCAACATAAATTAGTTCTTTCCAAAAGAAAAATGAAGGAGAGTAAAATTCTGATTTATATGTCATCAAGGCCAACATGGACTAGTTCTCCCCAAAAGAATTTTTAAAAGAAGGTATCTCCTCTCTGGATGAAAAAACCTCCGGTATACTAAACAGTAAGCTTTTCCCCCTCAAAAACATTTTTAAAAAAATTTAAAAAATACCTAAACGCCTTTAAAAGAAGATTATTTGCTGTTTGCTGAGTAAAAACAATTTCTATACTTCCTTCTCTTCTCCATTCAAAATTATTAAAATTATTAGAAATTGAAGTAATATTTTGTAAATTGTCATCAAATAAATTATTAATTTCTAAAACAGAATTGTCAACATTTTCAGAAACAAATAAAAGATCATTGTCATTATTAGTTGATGTTTGTAGAGAATTGTTGTTGTTTAATTTATTAATGTTTTGCTAAATGTTAAAAATCAGAATAATAAAAAAACATGTTTTAAACATTTTTCCGGAAATGTTTTAATAAAATTCTGATATTTCCTTGAAAATGTTTTAAATAAATTCTGATTTTTCCGGAGTGTTTTAATAAAATTCTGATTTTTCCGGAAATGTTTTTATTAAATTCTGATTTTTCCTGAGAATGTTTTAATAAAATTCTGATTTTTCCGGAGAATGTTTTAATAAAATTCTGATATTTCCTTGAAAATGTTTTAAATAAATTCTGATTTTTCCGGAGTGTTTTAATAAAATTCTGATTTTTACGGAAATGTTTTAATAAAATTCTGATATTTCCTTGAAAATGTTTTAAATAAAATTCTGATTTTTCCGGAAATTGTTTTAATAAAATTCTGATTTTTCCGGAAAGTTCTATTACATATTATATATTCATTAACGTCTATTATTTTTCCGGAAACTATTTATATTTCCGGAAAGAGAATATAAGTACTATTTAAGTTTAATTTACCTTGTCAGAACCATCTTTAGCTATAAAAACATCTCCCATCAAACCAACAGAAAAATAATCGTTGCCTGCAGAAGAATCGAGAAATTCCAGATTAATAAGTACATGTTTGAGAGCATTCTAAAAATTAATTTTTTATTTTTAAAATAATTTTTTAAATTTACCAAATCCAAAAAATCCAATATTTTATTTAAATTATAGTCATAAAAGGTAGTCGTTGTTGATGTTGCTGTCAAGTTACACCTAAAAATGACTTAAAAATGAATTTAAAAAATTTTTAAAATTTTTTAATAATTTTTTACCCATTTTTAACACATTCCTCAGTTCCTCTAAAATTTTCAAAAAGAGTAACCATAATATCAGACACACTCAAAAATTGCGGCAATTTTGAAAGAACTAAATTGACGCGTTCTCTTATAGTTTTAAAAATCGTACTACATATTGTACTGGTAATTAAAGCTTTGGCTTTGGATAAAATGTCATCCTTAAAAATTTGAAAAATTTTTAAAAATAAATTAATTTTAAAAAAACCTTATATTTTAAATTTATTGAATCAGTAAATAAACCAAGATCAGTAACCTTTGTATTTATAATTCCGTCAATTAATTCACAGTTGACCATACGTAGAGAAGGAATCTAAAATGGAGGGAAGAATTTTAAAAATCTAAAAAAATGATTTTAGGTAAGGATTTGAAGGTAAATGTCCAGTTGGCGGTCTACATGTCCGCAAAGAGAATCTGCTCTTTTCTTTCCTTTTCTTGCATTTTTTGCGTTGGGAGAAGTGCTCCCTCCACTCATTATTCCTTTTCTGCCATTTTCCTTCTCAATACAGTATGTTTTCCTGTTCATACTTGAAAAATAAAAATACCTTTTATCAGAAAAAAATTATTTATTTTACAAAATACCCAGTTTCCGGACTACCGGGCCCGGAAAACTCGGTCCCGGCCCGGGTTAGAGCTCTAATAAAAACTATGAGGGGGAGGATGGATGTAAAAACTGGGCCCATGTCTTTACTCAATATCGATATCCTGAAACAAGAAAATCAGCGTAGAACAGGTTATGTCTCCTTAAATATTATTTTGAAATTTTTTAGATCATTATTTTGGGCTTATTAGAAAGCCATAGATCTATTATTTGTAAATCTAAATCTATCGTTTGTAAAATATTTTTTTTCTAATTAGAGGTATTTTTATTTTTCAAGTATGAACAGGAAAACATACTGTATTGAGAAGGAAAAATGGAAGAAAAGGAAAAATAAGCGGAGCATTTCTCCCACCGCAAAAAATGCAAGAAAAGGAAAGAAAAAAGCAGATTCTCTTTGCGGACATGTAGACCGCCAACTGGACATTTACCGGATTTGAATTGTTTAGATTAATTGGCAGGGAATAAAAAATTACTAAATATTTATAGAAATTTTAATAATTTCAAAAGGGCGTATCCAAAGAATTGTCCCTCTTCTTTCAAAATCCGACCTATGGTTATGCCCTTGTAATTTCAGATTTTTAATCCATCCCAGTTCACGTTGCCACTCAATGTTAGCGGACATACATATTTTCGTAACAGACTAAGGGAAGTATGGCGAACAGAGTTTTTGGCAAACTCAAGATTTTTTTCCCAAAATTTCTCCCAAAAAATCCCAAATTTCTTCTAATGAACCCCGAAAGTCTCCAACTTCATTTTCGAGGCAGCTTTCTTATTTTATAATCTTTCCGAAAATCTAGTAAAATTTGATTTTTCAACACCCCAATAGTTCTAGAAACCCTTAAAATTAATTTTAAAAATAAAAACCTTTTTTCCATCCTTCTGTAACCCCAACAAAGCTTTAATTGAAAGTTCTTGCGCATCCACATAAAAATTACCAGAAACAGGCATTGGCGTAAATAATAATAATTGAATATTTCCACTCAATAAACTCTCAATATTCAAATCAAAATTGGCAATGTTTAAAAGTAACAAGTTTGGCCCTAACGGGTTCACTGTAAAAGTTTCAGGCTTTTGAAAGTTGACAATTTGAAAAGTGTGGAGTCGAAAACAGCCTTCAGGGAAGCATTGCTTTTGAGGTGGAATTTGTAAAGATTTTGCTTCTTCGCTAAAAATGTTGTCTGGAAAAAGAGAATATTTATTTAAATTCACAGATATGGGTCAAATTATGAAGTTTTAGTTAAAGTCAAGCCCTGGAAGATCAAAAATACCTGATATGAGTCATGGATTTGTAGTTAGAGAGAAATTCAGACCTAGGAAGCGGGAAAAGACCTGAATTGGGCTATGGGACAGGAAAAACACAGGAAATGGTCCAGACCTGGGGTGAGCGCATTGCGTTAAATTTTGGCCTTGTGTTGCGTTTTGCGTTTTTTGTGATTGTCTCTTGCGCTCATCCCTAGTCCAGACCCCGAGAAAAAACCCAAATTTGTGGCGCCGAAGGGGCCAAAAATTTGGGTTTTCAGCGCCGCAGGTGAAAATTTTGAGAATTTTAGAACCCCCTGGCTACGGGCCTGACCCAGAAAACGACTAAAACCAAATAACTCTTATTAAATCCATAACCCTATTTAGAAAACATACATAAAAATAAACCTACGAAAGAAATGAGCAACATTGTCAAATACTGGAGGATTGAATCGAACCTTAAAAAATAATAAAAATCCACAATTTCTCAAAAATTAAAAAAAACCTTAATTCCAGCATGTCTAGAAAGAACAAAACCACTTTTAGACCTTCCATCCTCTCCCGTCACATTCTTCTCATTTCCTTCCAGTCCCTTCTCCACCACATTCTTCTCATTTTTCGGTGTCGCAATCTCCGTTCCAAAGGGAATTAAAGGCGGAAAACCAAAAAATGAATTTGAAGCGAACATTTGGTCGAGTGTTGGTAATTGCCAGGAAATTTCTGGTGACGAAAAAATTGAAGTTATTGAAGGTGTTGGAGGCAAAGAAGGAAGTTGAGGTGTTGAAAATGAGGTAAAATTATTGTTTTCTTCTACGACAGGAATTGGTAAAGGAAATTCTTGTTGAGTGGACGAAGGTAAAAATAAATGGATTGTCCACAGTAGAAAGGAAAGGAAGGGCTAAAATATGGGAAAAATAAATTTAAACGAAGGCCACTAGTCTAGTTTATTTGCTGGTCATTAAAAATGAGCAGAAAGAGGCTTTCGATATTTTTGAAGTCTGCCAAGCCAAAAGGGGTAATCGAGAGTCGGTCGAGAGTCCGGTAATCGAGAGTGCTGAATCCAAATATTAGCTTTCGGTCTAGCTCAATCAGGGATTTGCAAAAGAACAAGTTCTAACAGAAGCAATTGGGCTATAACTATTTCTATCCTTCAGCTAGTGCAAAACTTTATTCGGGGCGGCTGGGAGCGAACCAGCATCTTTAGTAGACCGGACTGATTTGTTATCAATTACACAACGCTGCCTACTGCACAGCCTTTAGGAATTAAATAGCTATATGCCTTTACAATAAGCTAATATTTGGATTCAGTAAACTTGATGACCTATTGCATACCTCAAAGGATTAGAAAGAAAAAAACCTCAAAGCAGACCTAGCAGACCTCAAAAATGTCGAAAAACTTTCTGCTATAATTTCTATGGGCCAGTAAACCAGAAAGCTTCCCCAAAAACCAATAAAAAAACCTTCATATCCAAACTTTAAACAAGTGGACCAAATCTTGTGTTTAACAAACAATCCAAAAGGTTGAAGTTGACATCCATACCTTCAAAGATAGGCAAAATGACCCAAATAAGGCAAAAACAAAATTTAACTGAAAATTAAAAATTAAACAAAAATTTAAGTAAAAATTGTTTCAAATTCTCTCCTTAAGGAGATTAAAAAGTAAAAAATCGTTGAGGAAATTTAAAAAAGAATTGCTCGGCGTAGGAAAAACATGTAGAAAAACACAGCCAATTTCCGCGTCAAAAATTAATGCGCTAATTTTGTGGATAGATGAAAATTTGTTTTTTTGTACAATTCCGGGAGAAAATGCAAACTTGCGTGAATTATTGGGTGTAAAAACAAATAAGGATTTAATTGGATTAGAAAAGTGAAATAAAGTCCAATATTGAAGAGAATAAAATTGGAGTTTATGTAGTAGAGATCGAGCTGGGTCTAAAGCAAGGCCTGGGTTTTTCCTGTACCCAAAGTCCGGCCCTAGGTATTTTTTGACCTTCTTGGGTCAAGACATAAAGTAGCACTACTGTTGACTGGGGCTTCGACCAAAATTTTCTTCTGTTCGAAAAAGTCTTGGTATAAAAGCCGACTTTAAATAGAATACTATAAAAGCCTTCTACTTTCATCATTCTACACCAATCAACATAATTTCTTCCTCACAGCAAGTCTTCGAGCATCTCTACAAACAACAACAAAGCATCAAGGCGCCATGTTCTTCTGTTTCGACGACGGATCTGGAACGAAAAAGGCTTCGACAAATACACGTTCGGCTACCACCATCTTGCCGATGTTCTTTGCTTCGACTCTCTTCGTTTTCGTGCTGGTTGGACAGGTTAACAGTAAGGAGTGCAATGGTCCTGTTGGATTCTACGATCACACTCTGAAGGATTGTCATGTCACGCTCGACAAAGATTCCGTCGCTGTCGAAGCAGGAGACGTCTACAACCTTACAAGGTACACGAATAAGTCGGGATCCTGTGATGTTGAAATCAAGAATGGAAGCATGTGAGTTTCTTCACGCTTTTTTACATCTTTGAAACAATTTTCGTTCTTTTTCAGTGTGCTCTACTACAAGAGGGAAAACGGAAAGAACATAAAGGACGAGGGCTGCGTTGTGGATCTGCTCACCAAGCTTCCGAAGATGGTCAAGTTCAAGACTGGAGTGAGAAGTAAACCGGATGACTGCCTAAAAAATTGTTCAGGCCATATTTTTGATGGTGCTAGTGCAAATCTGTTAGTTTTCATTCCTTCAGTAATTTGGCAATATATTTTATTTCTTTTTAGCCTTCCATTCGCCTACAGTTTAACAGAGAAGAAGAACGTCACGAAACTTAAGAAAGGACAGCTCTCTGAAAGAAATAAAAAGGATTGCAATAACCACAATTTTTGTGGCGATGAACAACTTTGCATGCCATGGACTTCTCTCGAGGTTGCTTGGAACAAATGCTTTTTTGAGGATGGCAAATATCCTATATTTGCTCACATCCATCCAAGTAAGGCAAATAAATCCTTGTTTTTTAAGCATTTGTTTTTTAGTTGGCGAGAAACTGGCGAAATGGAATATAAAGGATCTTAATGGTTCTGAAGAATTTGGGTTGACGATAGAGGAAGGCGGCTTCTCCATGGATTTGAAAGGAAAATCGAGCGGCGACTATAATCTAACCGATAAAGATCCTGAAAACCATCCATACTGCGTTCTAAAAGGAAAAGGCTTTATCAAACCTGTGGCTTGGAAAATCAATGGGACGAATCCGGCTCCAGGATATGATTATCTGCTTGTCTTCTACATGCTTCCACAGAGCGCTTCTCGAAATCACAGCAAAGGCGAAATCGTCAAAGATGATCCTCCTGATGGTCCAAAATGTGAAGAACTCTACATTGAATTTGTAAGGAATTTGAACTCTTGCAAAATCCTTTAAAAAAATTTTCTTTTTATTCAGGACATGCAGAACTACACTCTTTTGTCTGTTGGCGATCCACCCACCACTACCACCACCACCACAACGACTACAACACTGCCAATGACCACCACTTCAACTGCCGCCACATCAACATCGACTACTGTAAAGACGACGGAAACAACAACGACGGAAAAGCCTAAACCTCAGGATTCTCTCTTTGGGCCTACAGTCATCTTTATCGGAATTTTTGTCGGAATTGTTGTTATTATCTCTGGTGCAGCTATGGGCATCCTTCTCTTCATGAAGGTAGTTTGTGATTATAGAGTGATTATAGTGTATTTCTTATATTTTCAGGCTAAGAAAAATAGGGCAAAATGGGAGGACGATGATAATTCGAAGATCAGCTCGGAAAAATCAAAGATGGAGGAAAAGTCGAAGATGGGGGAGAAATCGAAGATGGAGGAGGACAAAGCAAAGACGGAGGAGGACAAAGCAAAGATGGAGGCCACGGCAAAGGCAGATGGGGGAGAAATCGAAAATGGCGACCACTGCGAATTCGATGATGGAGACCAACTCGAAAATGGAGGGGGAGGACAAGTCGAAGAACAGCCAGCAGGAGTGATGAGAGGACAATAAAAGAAGCTATAAGTGTTCCAGAGAAGAAAAAAGATGTGTGATTGGTGAAGAGAAAGTTCAAAATAATAATTGTTGTTGTTTTCCCTCAAAAATATATTTGTACCTATTTTCCTATATTGCCTTCTATACCTATATAATTACCCAAACATTTTGTTGTATAGTGTTTGTAATGTTCAATATATAGTTTGTTGGTATTGTTGTGATTGTAAAATAAATTGTTGTGTTTGTAGAAAAGACTTGAGTTTTATTCGATTTTGTATCTTTCCTGATCATTTAAAACAATTTAAAAATGTTTTAAAAATAAAAGGCACTGAGCGGGGTCGAACCCGCGACCCCCTCGAAAACATCTTTAATTTCCGCTTAAATTTATTTTTCATAGGATTTTGAACCATTAAAAATTGGAATTTTTATTTCTTATTACTTCTTTGCTTATTAAGAACAGTTTTTTAACTTTTAAAAAATTCCGGGCCTCGAGCGAGGTCGAACCTACTTTAAAGCATATAGCTATTTAATTCCTAAGGCTGTGCAGTAAGCGGCGTGGTGTAATGGCTAACACATCAGTCCGGTCTACTGAAGATGCTGGTTCGCTTCCAGCCGCCGAATAACCTTTTGCACTAGCTAAAGGAGAGAAATAGCTATAGCCCAGCTGCTTTACTCTACGACCCCCTTTTGATCCATCATCCCTCTTTTTAAAAAGTTTTAAGTAGTGTTTTTGATAAAATCTGAACTGAAATATACATTTTTGTAACTTTTGGTAAGACTATCGCTCATCAACACAACAAAAAACATGTTTTTCTAGTGTAATAAAATGCGCTGAGTTCAAATATCACTATAAAAGTGCTCAAAACGGTCGGCAATAGCATTTTTTCTCGGATTTTCAGACCCATGAAAATCGAAAACCATAGGGGGGACCAAGCTGATTTTTGGGGTGAAAAATTCGAAAATGCAATTTATACCTCGTTCGAAAGAGCTCATCGAGCTGAGTCGAATGACACCAAAATCAGCTCGATTGGATGATTTTTTACAAAGTTATGACCAACAGAATCTTCGCTGGAAAAACTGTTTTTGTGCTGCTACGGAGGGTAGGCCGGGCATGGTCTTCGCTACACGATGGCCGTGCTTCGCTGCGGTCGTGCTCGCTACGCTCGCGGCGACCGTAGCGAAGCGGCGGCCGTCGTTCCGCTCGACATGCCCGGCTTCCTCCGCAGCGGCAAAAACTTTTTTCCGCGAAAACCTTGTGGAAGTGGTAAAAACAAACGCTCATAACTTTGTCAAATCAAGTCGAATTTTGTTGATTTCGGTGTCATTCGACTCAGCTCGATGAGCTCTTTCGAACGAGGTATAATTTGCATATTCGAATTTTTCACCCCAAAAAAGTGCTTACTCCCCCCTATGGTTTTTCAATTTTCGGGGATCTGAAAATCCGGGAAAAAATGCTATTGCCGACCGTTTTGAGCACTTTTATAGTGATATTTGAACTCAGCGCATTTTATTACACTAGAAAAACATGTTTTTTGTTGTGTTGATGAGCGATAGTCTAGCCTAACTTTTTAATCATCAAAAACAATTTTCCTACTTTAAGAATTACGGGCCCCGAACGGGGGCCCCGACCTAGATAATCGTCCTTTTCCTTACGATACAGAAAGAGTTTGGCAAAAGTTCAGCCACAAGGCATAATTCGAACCTGCGACCTCCTCGTAGTTATTGCTAGGCTCGTTCGCTCACCACATAAATGTAGGTTCCAAAATATAAAAAACCACTTAGCTACCGGGGCTTCAACTAAACCTTTTTTTCTGTTCGAAAAAGTTTTGGTATAAAAGCCGACTTTAAAATACTATAAAAGCCCTTTATTTTCGTCATTCTGCACCTTCAACATAATTTCTTCCTCACAGCAAGTCTTCAAACATCACTACAAACAACAACAAAACATCAAGGCGGCATGCTCTTCTGTTTCGACGACGGATTTGGAACGAAAAAGGCTTCGACAACTCTACGTTCGGCTACCACCATCTTGCCAATGTTCTTTGCTTCGACTCTCTTCGTTTTTGTGCTGGTTGGACAGGTCAACAGTAAGAGTGGCAATGTCACCGTTGGATTCTTCAATCACACTCTGAAGCATGGTCAAGTCACGCTTGACAAAGATTCCGTTGCTGTCGAAGCAGGAGACGTCTTCAACCTTACAAGGTACACGAATAAGTCGGGATCCTGTGATGTTGAAATCAAGAATGGAAGCATGTGAGTTTCTTCACGCTTTTTTACATCTTTGAAACAATTTTCGTTCTTTTTCAGTGTGCTCTACTACAAGAGGGAAAACGGAAAGAACATAAAGGACGAGGGCTGCGTTGTGGATCTGCTCACCAAGCTTCCGAAGATGGTCAAGTTCAAGACTGGAGTGAGAAGTAAACCGGATGACTGCCTAAAAAATTGTTCAGGCCATATTTTTGATGGTGCTAGTGCAAATCTGTTAGTTTTCATTCCTTCAGTAATTTGGCAATATATTTTATTTCTTTTTAGCCTTCCATTCGCCTACAGTTTAACAGAGAAGAAGAACGTCACGAAACTTAAGAAAGGACAGCTCTCTGAAAGAAATAAAAAGGATTGCAATAACCACAATTTTTGTGGCGATGAACAACTTTGCATGCCATGGACTTCTCTCGAGGTTGCTTGGAACAAATGCTTTTTTGAGGATGGCAAATATCCTATATTTGCTCACATCCATCCAAGTAAGGCAAATAAATCCTTGTTTTTTAAGCATTTGTTTTTTAGTTGGCGAGAAACTGGCGAAATGGAATATAAAGGATCTTAATGGTTCTGAAGAATTTGGGTTGACGATAGAGGAAGGCGGCTTCTCCATGGATTTGAAAGGAAAATCGAGCGGCGACTATAATCTAACCGATAAAGATCCTGAAAACCATCCATACTGCGTTCTAAAAGGAAAAGGCTTTATCAAACCTGTGGCTTGGAAAATCAATGGGACGAATCCGGCTCCAGGATATGATTATCTGCTTGTCTTCTACATGCTTCCACAGAGCGCTTCTCGAAATCACAGCAAAGGCGAAATCGTCAAAGATGATCCTCCTGATGGTCCAAAATGTGAGGAACTCTACATTGAATTTGTAAGGAATTTGAACTCTTGCAAAATCCTTTAAAAAAATTTTCTTTTTATTCAGGACATGCAGAACTACACTCTTTTGTCTGTTGGCGATCCACCAACCACTACCACCACCACCACCACAACGACTACAACACAACCGCCAACGACCACCACTTCAACGACAACCGTAAAAACCACGCAAACGACGACAACAACGACGGAAAAGCCTAAACCTCAGGATTCTCTCTTTGGGCCTACAGTCATCTTTATTGGAATTTTTGTCGGAATTGTTGTTATTATCTCTGGTGCAGCTATGGTCATTTTTCTCTTCATGCGGGTAGTTTGTGATTATATGTAGAGCGATAATAGAGTATTTTCTTTTTCTTTTCAGGCTAAGAAAAATAGGGCAAAATGGGAGAACGATGATAATTCGAAGATCAGCTCGGAAAAATCAAAGATGGAGGCCGCGGAACATTTGAAGATGGGCGGGAAATCGGAGGAGGCCGAGGCAAAGATGGAGGAGAAGTCGAAGATGGAGGAGGGCAAAGCAAAGATGGAGGCCACGGCAAAGATGGAGGAGAAGTCGAAGATGGGGGAGAAATCGAAAGTGGAGGAGGACAAAGCAATGATGGAGGCCACGGCAAAGGTGGAGGAGAAGTCGAAGATGGGGGAGAAATCGAAAATGGCGACCACTGCGAATTCGATGATGGAGACCAACTCGAAAATGGAGGAGGAGGACAAGTCGAAGAGCAGCCAGCAGGAATGATGAGAGGACAATAAAAGAAGCTATAAGTGTTCCAGAGAAGAAAAAAGATGTGTGATTGTTGAAGAGAAAGCTCAAAATAATAATTGTTGTTGTTGTTGTTTTCCCTCAAAAATATATTTGTACCTATTTTCCTATATTGCCTTCTATACCTATATAATTACCCAAACATTTTGTTGTATAGTATTTGTTTCCCCTCAAAACCTATATTTGTAGCATTCGATATATATTTGTTTGTATTGTTATGATTGTAAAATAAATTGTTGTGTTTGGTAAAAGGACTTGAGTTTTATTCGATTTTGTATCTTTTCTGATCATTTAAAACAATTTAAAAAATAAAAGGCACTGAGCGGGGTCGAACCCGCGACCCCCTCGAAAACATCTTTAATTTCCGCTTAGATTTACATATTTTTCGTAGGATTTTAAACAATTAAAAAGTGGAAGGAAAAATTTCGGAAAACGAACAGAGCGCAAATGGGTCAAATCATATGTCATTCGAAAGAGCTCGTCGAGTTGAGTCGAATGGTGAAAAAATTTTCGTGCGGACTCATAGGGGCTGAGATATAGGCCCCCGAAAATCGAAAAACCATAGGGGGGACCAAGCACTTTTTTGGGGTGAAAAATCCGAAAATGCAAATTATACCTCATTCGAAAGAGCTCATCGAGCTGAGTTGAATGACACCAAAATCAACTCGAAATCTTAATTCTGAGCCGAGATAGAGGCCCAAAATGGTCAACGTAAACCTATGGGGCGTAGGCGAGGCGCTTGTGCAAAACCCCGCGCTTCGCGCGGGGTTTTGCGGCACGCGCCTCGCGGGGAGTCTACGGGCGCTGGGTCTGGGCTCGTAACTTAATCCTATTCCAATTATCGCTGTAATTGGTTATCTGGCTTCCTCCGTAGCAGGAAAAACCTCGACGGATACCAAAGGTAAGGAGCTAAAACAAACGGTCATAACTTTGTCAAATCAAGTCAGATTTCGTTGATTTTGGTATCATTCGACTCAGCTCGATGAGCTCTTTCGAATGAGGTATAATTTGCATTTTCGAATTTTTCACCCCAAAAAAGTGCTTGGTCCCCCTATGGTTTTTCGATTTTCGCGGACCTATATCTCAGCCCCTCTATGAGTCCGCACAAAAATTTTTTCACCATTCGACATAACTCGACGAGCTCTTTCGAATGACATATAATTTGACCTATTTTGGATCTGTTCGTTTTCCGAAATTATACCAAAGTGGAATTTTTATTTCTTGTTACTTCTTTGCTTATTAAGAACAGTTTTTTAACTTTTAAAAAATTCCGGGCCCCAAGCGGGGTCGAACCTACGACCCCATTTTGATCCATCATTTCTCTTTTTAAAAGTTTTAAGTAGTGTTTTTGATAAAATCTGAACTGAAATATACATTTTTGTAATTTTTGGTCATAAAAACAACCTTCCACATCTCCCGAGCGGCGTCGAACCCACGACCCCCTACTTTTTAACTCAACATTTTCACTATTATTTTCCATTAATCTCGTCCTCTCATCAATTATTTTATTTTTAAATTCTTCTTCATTTTTTAAATTTAATATTACTCGAATCGAAGGAAAAAAAGAAGGTTGTGTTCCAAAATATGGCCTAGATAATCGTCCTTTTCCTTACGATACAGAAAGAGTTTGGCAAAAGTTCAGCCACAAGGCAGGATTCGAACCTGTAACCTCCTCGTAGTTATTGCTAGGCGCTTTCGCTCACCACATATAGGAGCTCTACCACTGAGCTACCGGGACTTCGACCAAAATTTTCTTCTGTTCGAAAAAGTCTTGGTATAAAAGCCGTCTTTAAAATACTATAAAAGCCTTTTACTTTCGTCATTCTATACCACTCAACATAATTTCTTTCTCGCAGCAAGTATTCAAGCATCTCTACGAACAACAACAAAACATCAAGGCGCCATGCTTTTCTGTTTCGACGACGGATCTGGAGCGAAAAAGGCTTCGACAAATCCACGTTCGGCTACCACCATCTTGCCAATGTTCTTTGCTTCGACTCTCTTTGTTTTTGTGCTGGTTGGACAGGTCAACAGTGAGGATGTTGGATTCTTCAAGCACACTCTGAAGGATGGTCAAGTCACACTCGCTAATGATTCCAAGGCTGTCGAAGCAGGAGACGACTACAATCTTAAAAATTACACAAGGCTTAATGGGTCCTGTGATGTTGAAATCAAGAACGGAAGCATGTGAGTTTACAAAGTTTTTGCATCATTGAAATAATTTTTATTTGTTTCAGTGTGCTCTACTACAAGAGGGAAAACGGAAAGAACATAAAGGACGAGGGCTGCACTGTGGATTTGTTCACCAAGCATCCGAACATGATCAAGTTCAGGACCGGGGTGAAAAACAAAACTGCAGACTGCCTAAAAAAGTGTAGTGGGACAAGTATTTTTGATGGTGCTAGTGCAAATCTGTTAGTTTTTTCTATACACAATTTCCCTATATTTTACTTTTTAGCATTCCCTTCGCCTACAGTTTAAAAGGGAATAACATCACGGAAATCAGGAACAGATCGCGTTTTGGAAAAGGGCAGGATTGTTTAGAGAGGTGTGATAATGGTAATTGCATGGAATGGACTTCTCTCGAGGTTGGTTGGAACATATGCTTTTATGAGAAAAAACGCCAAGTCATTGCTCACACCCATCCAAGTAAGACAAATAAATCTTTTAAACTGTCTTTATCATTTATTTTCTAGTTGGTGAGAGCCTGGCTATATGGAGTCGATCAAAAGTGTTTAACAAATTCAATGAATTTGAGCTGACGATAACAGGTCAAGGCGGGTTCTACATGGATGAATCAGTAAAGGAAGTATATAATCCAGAAGATAAAGGTGCAGAACATCCATACTGCGTTCCGGAAGGAAATGGCACTGTCAAACCTGAGAATTGGGAAATCAATGGGAGTCCGGCTCCAGGATATGATCATCTGCTTGTCTTCTACATGCTTCCACAGAGCGCTTCTCGAAATCACAGCAAAGGCGAAATCGTCAAAGATGATCCTCCTGATGGTCCAAAATGTGAAGAACTCTACATTGAGTTTGTAAGGAATTTTGAGATTTTACAAAATCCTTTCAAAAATTTTCTTTTTATTCAGGACATGCAGAACTACACTCTTTTGGCTGTCGGCGATCCACCCACCACTACCACCACCACAACAACGACTACAACACAACCGCCAACTACCACCACTACAACCACTTCAACGACCACCACATCAACACCGGCTCCTGTAAAGACGACAGAAACGACGACGACAACAACGGAAAAACCTATATATCGGAGCGATGACTTTTGGCGTGGTGTTATTTTTGGAGGATTTCTTGCCTTCATAATGCTTTCCTGCTTTTGTTGTATAATGACCACCTGCTGTAATAAGAGGACCAATCGATTCTGCGGCAAAACTTGTCTAATGCTTCATGCAATAAACCTCACCATCTTCACATTAATTGGACTCGGAGTCTTCTTCGTCTACACTATGGTGGATAATCCAAGTGGACTCATCGTCTTCATCCTCATTCTAAGTCTTACTTGCTGCTGTATGGTCTCAACATGTTGCATCGTTCACAAGTACTACAAATACGAAGAAGGGAAGCTAAAAGACCAGGAAAAACGAAGGAGGGAGAAAGAAAAAGAAGAAGAAAAAGCAGCAAGACTGAAGCACGCGCAATACAAAAAAGAAATCGACCAGGTCATCGACGAATATATTGCAGCGACCAAGGATTTCGAAGTAAGGAAAATTTTTTATTAAATAAAAATAATTTTTTTTGTTTTTAGGACATCAATCCGGAAGTGATCAAACATGCGAAGAAAGCTCAAAACCTGCGGCCGCGTCAAATGCCTCTTCCACCTTACTGTTCAGTTGGTCTGAGCACGGATTCTGATCGACATCAGGTAAAAACCTGAATTTTTCAAAAAAAAATTTAATTGATATTTTTAGTTTGATCGGGAGAAGGACACGACTACAGCGAATTCACTGATGGGAGCCACGGAGACTTCGAAGATGGAGGCCGCGGAACATTCGAAGATGGGCGGGAAATCGGAGGAGGCAAAGGTGGAGGAGAAGTCGAAGATGGGGGAGAAATCAAAGATGGAGGAGGACAAAGCAAAGATGGAGGCCACGGCAAAGGTGGAGGAAAAGTCGAAGATGGGGGAGAAGTCGAAAATGGCGACCACTGCGAATTCGATGATGGAGACCAACTCGAAAATGGAGGAGGAGGACAAGTCGAAGAGCAGCCAGCAGGAATGATGAGAGGACAATAAAAGAAGCTATAAGTGTTCCAGAGAAGAAAAAAGATGTGTGATTGTTGAAGAGAAAGTTCAAAATAATAATTGTTGTTGTTGTTTTCCCCCAAACTTGTTTTCCCCAAAAAATCTATAATTGTATTGTTCAATATATATTGTTTGGTATATTGTTGTAATTGTTTGGTATATTGTTGTAATTGTTTGGTATATTGTTGTAATTGTTTGGTATATTGTTGTAATTGTTTGGTATATTGTTGTAATTGTTTGGTATATTGTTGTAATTGTTTCGTATATTGTTGTAATTGTTTGGTATATTGTTGTACATATAATTGTAAAATAAATTATTGTGTTTGTAGAAATGACGAGTGAAAAACAAAAAATAAAAATCAGAATATTCCATAAACATCAAAAACAACAGTCGAAAATTTAAAACATCTAAAAACAAATCAGAATTAAATAAAAACATTAAATGATCATAGGAAAAACCAATGAAAAACATCCAAATAAAATCAAAACGAACATTCAAAAACATCAGAATTTAAAACAAACATCAAATTTAAAACAAACATCAGAATTTAAAACAAACATCAAATTTAAAACAAACATCAAAACATTTAAAACAAACATCAGACAAACAAACAATACAAAAAGTTACTTTTTTCTACGCGATCTGTTTATTGCAAAAAGGAAATTTAATCAATCAAGAAGGAAATGGAGTAGATTGGAATGTTTTTAAAGAAAGAGAAAATAAAGTTGTTTTGGATGTTGCGCAAAAATTTTTTTCTTTTTTACATTTCACTTTTAGAGCTCTTCCTTTAAAATCTTCATTTTACTTAATAATTTAACTGTATTATACATCTAAATTTTTTGTAAAAAATTTCTTTTATTTTTAGGACCCTAAACTATCTCTGTAAATTTGTTCCTATTGTTCTTCTTCGATTAATAAAAATTTTCAGAAATTTTATGCTCTTTTGCCCCCCTCTATTTCGAACTTTTAATTCATTTTTCTTCCTATTTCAACCCCCCCCCCCCTCTTTTTTAGGTTAAATCATTTTATAGTTTTTTTCTATTCTTTTTTGTCACCCCATTTCTTTAATTTCTTTTATTTTTTTATTGTGGAGTTGTTGCAAAAATAGGGTATAATTTTCTTATTATTTTTTTCTACTATTCACACGCTTCCAACACACAAAAACTACTCATATTTTTTAAAGAGAAACCTAAAAAAACTTTTTTTTAGTTTAATGTAATCCAATCCTAAATAAGTCTCCAATAACAACAATAATATATAAAATAAACTTGCCCATTTTTTTACTCCTTTTAAATAAATACACACTTGTGTTTGGGGGTGTTTAGGAGTGTTTCTGGTTATTTTTAAAAATGATATTATTTTTAGGCTTATTAAATGACTATTATTTTTTCTTTCCTTTCTTATCGGTGTCATTTAATTTACCCAAAATTATTTTTTCTAAAAAAATAAAATTTTTTATGATTATTTTTATACTAATCGGACACCTTGTGTAGATTAGAGACCGGACTGAGACTAGATTTCAATCGAAATCTCGGTAATCGAGATTGTGAATTTTTTCGAGAGCTTGATTGTCGAGCAACACATTCAGTCCGGTCTCAAGTATAGCTACCCCAAATATGTTTTTGAATATCCTAAATTTAGTATAGGTTTTTTTTAATTTGTTTGGCCATTGAATCTGTTAGGTATGTGTGGGTCTAGTATAAAAGGAGTCATTAGAGATCAGTCTTGGTCGACACCTGGGTCGACCGGCGCCGTCTGTCCTTCATCATTCTTGCCTTTTGCCACCTTCACTATTATTGTATTTACCATTCGGATAAACGTCATATTCTATTCTTGTGTTAGTCTGTTTGTCACTAGGTAAGACCGCTACTTAGGACATAACAGTGGCGCGGTCGCAGTAGTGAACTTTGATTCACAATTCGGACTATTCGGATTATTCAAATTTGGGGGATGTATTCGGACAATTCGGAGATTCGCAGAGCACATCAGATTCTTATTCAGAGGAGACGGCGTCATTTGAAGTGTGGCAGGCATTCAAGCCGATCGAATTCATCTATTCGACAAGGCCTAGCAAACCTTAGTCAAATTTAGTCGGACCAATTCAAGTTTCGAAAAGATAGTTGTGATTATTCGGTCCAGAGGTTCAGTATTTTGTTTAGAAGATTATTCGATGAATTCGAGCTTGACATCAGGAGCAAAGTGAAGGAGCATGTTGTATTCAGTATTTTGATTATATGAGGAACCGCAGTCATGGGCAAGATGTAAGTCCCGATTATTTGTTTATTCAAGGCCGCAATGAGTAAGTCGGTCAAGTGGACGTAAGACGGTCAAGTATTATTCAAGTCTGAGTCAATTATTTAGAAGCTCAACAGAAGTTTGTAGATAGAATTTTATTCGCTCCATTGATGAATTCATATGGCATTATTCAGTTAATTATTAAATTATCCAGTTATTCGAGATTAGTGATATTATTGAGATTATTAGAGAGAATTTTAAGTTAGTCAAAATGCCATTTAGTTATTCGCCCAAGTAGTAGAAAATAGGGCAGGATTATTCAGGGAATTAGTGAAAATCCCTACCCAGAGTTGGGTTGATTCAAATTATTCGATGTGCTTCTGCTTGGTTTGATGATTAGAAGATAGATGTTTGATGAGATGTTATGGGACGTTTGTAATAATTGTGATTTTTGTTTGTTTGTTGTAAATTTTTTGTTTTGTTTTCCCCCACTGTTTGTAATTTTTGTCCCATTTGTATTCAAGGCGGTGTTATTCAGTCATTCGATTCGAGAAGTTATTCAATTCGGACCCAACCTAACAATTCAATTCAGTAGCAAATTATTCAAGTTAGTCCCTAACTTTTTTAAAGGAGGGAGATGTTAGGTATGTGTGGGTCTAGTATAAAAGGAGTCATTAGAAATCAGTCTTGGTCGACACCTGGGTCGACCGGCGCCGTCTGTCCTTCAGCATTCTTGCCTTTTGCCACCTTCACTATTATTGTATTTACCATTCGGATAAACGTCATATTCTATTCTTGTGTTAGTCTGTTTGTCACTAGGTAAGACCGCTACTTAGGACATAACAGAATCAGGGTTCACGCAACTGCTGATTGCGGAATTTTTTTTCTTTATTTTCATGAGCATCTTTTATGTCTAGAAAAACAATCATAACAATAATTTTGTTTTACTGTGACCTCTTATTTTTTTTTATTTACTGGGAGATTTTTAAGAAATGTTATTAGCTCTGTTAATTAATTATTCTAAATAACACACTAGAAAATTAAACGTATTTTTGCGCTTTTTATTTTTTTTAGGATTTTTTTTTGGTATTTTTGTAGTCCATATCAATAAAAATTTTTTAAGGGGAAAAAAGTAATATTTATTTAATGGGACCTTTCCCATTAAAAAATAAATTTTTTTTTGTATTTTTTAAAGCTTTTCTTAATATCGGCTTCTTTTTTTTATTAAATATTTTTATTTTTTAACCCATTTATTGCTATGGAAATGCAAATATTTTTTTTATATTTTACAATCAGAATTATATTGAAAAGAAATTTTATTTTTTTATTTTTTGGGCCCTAAAAAAATTTTTTTTCTAAAAAACTTTTTATTTCTAAAAAATTTTTTTTTCTTAAAGTGTTGCCAAAAATAAACAAAAAAATTAAAACAAAACTCAAAATAAATTAAAAAATTGACTAAAAAAATAATTTTTTGACCTAAAAATAAGTTGAATTTGAGGCCTTCAAATTTTTATAAAAAATTTCTATTTTTTTTAAATTTTCTATTTTTCTTTATTTTTTAATTAGGGCACTAATTCAAGTTATTTTTAGGGTTAAAAAATTTTTTATCCAATTATTTTTAATTTATTTTAAATTTTGTTTTAAAATTTTCTGTTTATTTTTAGCCTTATTTTTCACCAAGATTTAATTTAAATATTTATTATTTTCTGTGTGTGTGGCCTCGCGCTTCTTCTTTTATTTTAAAATAAGCAAGTCAACAACAACAGCTTTATTTAAATCTTCTTTTTTTACATCTTCTTTTTCCCCTCTTTTTTAAAGGCCTACAAAAATATTTATAAAATCCTCCGAAAATTAAGAAAAAAAAATTTTTTTTCAATAAACTTTGTAGAAGCTCTTCTATATAAATTTTTCTTTTCCCCCTAATTTCTCCCCTTTATTAATTGTTTATTTGGGACTTTGTAGAATAAAATAAATATTTATTTTTAAAGGGGGGTCTATGAAAAATTTTTTTTCTTCTTCTTCGTCTTCTTCATAAATGTGCTCGCGCAATTTTCCTTCCTTCCCTTCGTTTTCCTTCCCTTCATTTTCCTCCTCCCTTTAAAAGCAACATATACTAGCACGTTTTAATCCCCACGACATCCTCAACAACAACTAAATGAAAGAGAGGGTCGTCTGTCCTTTACTTTTTTTGTTTTGTTTTGCACATCATCATCAACTCTATTATTTAAATATAAATCCTTTCCTTCATCCTCCTCCTCGTCATCGTCCTTTACCCTTTTGTATATGTCCTCCTCTATTTATTTTTATAATTTGTATTTTTGTTGGTGATTGTTTTTCTGTTTTAAAAATTGTAATTAATTGGTTATTTTTGTAATGGAAATTTTTTTGTTTTTAAATTTTTTTGAACAAGAATTTAGCTGATATATTTTTTATTATTTTCTTTTGAAGCCAATTTTGAATCAAATTTTTGCCAGAAAAAATTTTTTTTATTAAAAAATTTCTAAATTTTTTTATTTCCAAACAACTTTTCGTTTTTTAGGGTTGCCGCTTTTTAGGAATTTTTGGCTATCCGGAACCGAACCACAAAATCAAAGAATAAAATTCTCGGATCCATGGGTCAGTTCATAATTGACAACAACAACTTATTTTTTAAATGAAAGAGAAAAAAAATTTTTTAATTATAAAGATTTTCCAGTTCTGTAAGGTTCAATACTCACCCAAAAAATCCAGAAATTCATTTTTATATTATTTATTTTAATTTTTTATTTTATTTTCTTTATTAAATTTGTGGGAAATTATGATTTTTTAGTATATTTTTTATTAATTTTTTGACAATTTTTAATTCAAAAAAAATTTTTTTTAGTTTTTATTAAAAATTAATGGAACGACAACATAATTTAATATTGTTAGGACAAGGAATACAACTTTGTAATTTAAAACAAAAACCAGAAGAAATAAAAGTTGTTGCACTTGAAAATAATAATAATAGTGAAACAACAAAAATAAATGGGGAAGAAAATAAAGGGGAAACAACAACAAAAACAACAATTAACATAATAAATATTAAAAATAAAAATTTTATTATTAAAAATGTTGGGGAAGAGAACAAATGTGGAACGGAAATTGAACAACAAAAACATCAAGAAAAACAATTAAATAAAAATAATTTGACAAAAACATCAGTAAAAACATCAACTAAAACATTAGAAACACAAAAACAACAAAATAAATCAGAAAACAAACAAGAGGAAAACAACAACAACAACAACAAACAATTAATTAGTGAAAAACATGAAGAAAAACAAACAAAACATCAAGAAAAACATGAAGAAAAACATCCCGAACAACAATTAAATAAAATTAATTTAACAAAAACATTAAAATCAATAAGAGTGCAACAACAAGAAATACAACAAAAACAACAAGAAAACAAAGATAAAAACAAAAACAACGAACAAATAAATAGACAAAAACATCAAGAAAAACATCAACAATTGGAAAACATAGAAGAAAACAAACATCTAGAAAAACAACAACAACAACGTTTGCATCGACGTTTTTCTCTTGTAGAAGCATTAAATAATGGTGCTATTGATATGCCTGTATTAACGGTGTGGTTTAAATTTTTTATTTTTTTAATTAAAAAAATTAAAATAATTATTTGAATGATTTATTAAAATAAGGAAAATAGGAACACTTTTTTATAAAAAAATTTTTTTTTAATTTTTTCTAAAGAGTTTTCTTCCTTTTTTTATGTAAGCTTTCAGAGAACCTTCTTCCTTCTATTTTTGGAGGATTTCTTTTATTTATTTTTGGTGATAGAATTTTAATTTTTTTTTTCATTTTTTCTATTTGTTTCCTCATGGGTTTGAGAGGATCCGCTATTTTTTAATCTCGTTTTGGGGTTTATTAAGTTGGAAGAAAAAAAATTTTCTTTTGAAGCAACTTTGAGATAATCACTTTACTTATATTTTTAATTTTTATTTTCCCCTTTAAGTTTTTTTCGTACTTTTTCTAATTTTTCATTAATTTTCTGCTTGATTTAAGCCTTTTAGCGACAACTAATTTTTTTAAATTAATTAATCTGCTAAATAATGGAGATTTTACTTTGTGCGTTAAAATAACATTTTTTTGTAATTTTATTACAATAATAGTACACACATTTTTTAAACAAAGAAAAATTTTTGGAGATTTTATATGTTTTTTAAATTATATTTTCTAATTAATTATATATTTTTTCATATATGGGGACAGTCTTATTTCAGTTACTATTCACAATTTTGGATACCTCTCTCTTTTAGATTTGTATTTTATAAATTTGTTTGGCTCCCCTAGGTAGGGGAAACCAATACTTTCTGGGTTCCGTGAACCTGTTCTTCTAATGAAGGTTCTCGGGACAGAAGCAACTAAGATCGAAATTATGGAGTCGTCAAAAAATTTAACTATCAGGGAACAAAATCAGAGGACCATTCGAAAGGGGAACTTGGGAAGTATTGGCCATACCCTTAAATTTTAGATGTCTCTTTTTATATAAATAACTAGCGATGGGTTTGACCACTGGGGTGGATATCAGGACACTGTGGCGGTTAAATTTTGCTTTGGGTTTAAATTTGGCTCTGCCCGTTCGAAAGCCTACGGCTTTGGGGGCGCGCTTCGCGCGCCGCTAGCGATTTTTTATTCCTGGAACAAAAGATTAGCCTTCATTGGGACTCATCCTTCCACTTAGAGTCACTTCGCCTTCGGCCCTCGTCTTCTCTTTTAGATGGGTGTCAGCTTGGGCCTTCAGCCCTCGTTGTCTCTTTTAGATGGGTGTTAGCTCGGGCCTCCGGCCCTCGACCTCCCTCTTAGATGGGTGTCAGCTCGGGCCTTCGGTCCTCGCCCTCTCTTTTAGATGGGTGTCAGCTCGGGCCTTCGGCCCTCGCACTCCCTTTTAGATGGGTGTCAGCTCGGGCCTTCGGCCCTCGCACTCCCTTTTAGATGGGTGTTAGCTCGGGCCTCCGGCCCTCGCCCTCTCTTTTGGATGGGTGTCAGCTCAGGCCTCCGGCTCTCGCCCTCCCTTTTAGATGGGTGTCAGCTCGGGCCTTCGGTCCTCGCCCTCTCTTTTAGATGGGTGTCATCACGGGCCTTCGGCCCTCGCCCTCTCTTTTAGATGGGTGTCAGCTCGGGCCTTCGGCCCTCGCACTCCCTTTTAGATGGGTGTTAGCTCGGGCCTCCGGCCCTCGCCCTCTCTTTTGGATGGGTGTCAGCTCAGGCCTCCGGCTCTCGCCCTCCCTTTTAGATGGGTGTCAGCTCGGGCCTTCGGCCCTCGCCCTCCCTTTTGGATGGGTGTCAGCTCAGGCCTCCGGCTCTCGCCCTCCCTTTTAGATGGGTGTCAGCTCGGGCCTTCGGCCCTCGCCCTCTCTTTTAGATGGGTGTCAGCTCGGGCCTTCGGTCCTCGCCCTCTCTTTTAGATGGGTGTCAGCTCGGGCCTTCGGCCCTCGCACTCCCTTTTAGATGGGTGTTAGCTCGGGCCTCCGGCCCTCGCCCTCTCTTTTGGATGGGTGTCAGCTCAGGCCTCCGGCTCTCGCCCTCCCTTTTAGATGGGTGTCAGCTCGGGCCTTCGGCCCTCGCCCTCCCTTTTGGATGGGTGTCAGCTCAGGCCTCCGGCTCTCGCCCTCCCTTTTAGATGGGTGTCAGCTCGGGCCTTCGGCCCTCGCCCTCTCTTTTAGATGGGTGTTAGCTCGGGCCTCCGGCCCTCGACCTCCCTCTTAGATGGGTGTCAGCACGGGCCTTCGGCCCTCGCACTCCCTTTTAGATGGGTGTTAGCTCGGGCCTCCGGCCCTCGCCCTCTCTTTTGGATGGGTGTCAGCTCAGGCCTCCGGCTCTCGCCCTCCCTTTTAGATGGGTGTCAGCTCGGGCCTTCGGCCCTCGCCCTCCCTTTTGGATGGGTGTCAGCTCAGGCCTCCGGCTCTCGCCCTCCCTTTTAGATGGGTGTCAGCTCGGGCCTTCGGCCCTCGCCCTCTCTTTTAGATGGGTGTTAGCTCGGGCCTCCGGCCCTCGACCTCCCTCTTAGATGGGTGTCAGCACGGGCCTCCGGCCCTCGCCCTCCCTTTTAGATGGTTGTCAGCTCGGGCCTTCGGCCCTCGCCATCCCTTTTGGATGGGTGTCAGCTCAGGCCTCCGGCTCTCGCCCTCCCTTTTAGATGGGTGTCAGCTCGGGCCTTCGGTCCTCGCCCTCTCTTTTAGATGGGTGTCAGCTCGGGCCTTCGGCCCTCGCACTCCCTTTTAGATGGGTGTTAGCTCGGGCCTCCGGCCCTCGCCCTCTCTTTTAGTTGTGTGTTAACTCGGGCCTTCGGCCTCGACCTTCATTTTAGATGGGTGTCAGCTCGGGCCTTCGGCCCTCGCACTCCCTTTTAGATGGGTGTTAGCTCGGGCCTCCGGCCCTCGCCCTCCCTTTTAGATGGGTGTCAGCTCGGGCTTTCGGCCCTCGCGACTCCATTTAGATGGGTGTCAGCTCGGGCCTTCGGCCCTCGCACTCCCTTTTAGATGGGTTTTAGCTCGGGCCTCCGGCCCACGCCCTCTCTTTTAGTTGTGTGTTAACTCGGGCCTTCGGCACTCGACCTTCATTTTAGATGGGTGTTAGCTCGGGCCTTCGGCCCTCGCACTTCCTTTTAGATGGGTGTCAGCTCGGGCCTTGGGCCCTCGCGACTCCTTTTAGATTAAGAATGGTAACGTAAACCTATGGAGCGTTGGCGAGGCGCTTGTGCAAAACCCCGCGCTTCGCGCGGGGTTTTGCGGCACGCGCCTCGCGGGTCGTCAAAGGTCGCTGGCTTCTGGGCTCGTAACATGATCCTATTCCTATAACTATTATGTTGCATGCCGGGCTTCCTATGCAGCAGCTCATCCACTCACGCAGCTCATTCAACTCGGGCTTCTGCCCTCGCCCTCTCTTTTGAATGGGTGTCAGCTCGGGCCTTCGGCCCTCTCTTTTAGATGAGCGTCTGATCGGGCCTTCGGCCCTCGCCCTCAATTTTAGATGAACGTAAACCTATGGAGCGTAGGCGAGGCGCTTGTGCAAAACCCCGCGCTTCGCGCGGGGTTTTGCGGCACGCGCCTCGCGGGGCGTCAAAGGTCGCTGGGTTCTTGGCTCGTAACATGAGCCTATTCCTATAACGATTAGGATGGAACTCATCCTTCCAATCAAAGGTTCTGGGCTCGTAACATGATCCTATTCATATAACGATTAGGATAGGACATCCTTCCAATCAGAATCACATTATGCCGTCGGCCCTCTTCTTCTCCCAGTTGGGACTTCGACCCTCGTGTTCCCTCAGTTGGCACTAATTCAACTACCTAATCAAAATTTTAAAAGCTGAAGCAAAATTGCTTCTAAAATCAAAAATAAAAAACTTGAAGCAAATTTGCTTCAAGTTTCAAAAATTTCAAAACCTGAAGCAAATTTGCTTCAAGTTTCAAAAATTCAAAACTCAAAGCAAATTTGCTTCAAGTTTCAAAAATCCAAAACCTGAAGCAAATTTGCTTCAAGTTTCAAAAATCCAAAACCTGAAGCAAATTTGCTTCAAGTTTCAAATATTCGAAACTGAAGCAAAAATGTGAAGCAAAAGCATCTTCTGCTTCGGATCAATAACAGGATCCAGCTTATCCAACCTCAAAATTTTTCTCTATATACAAAATTCACCTTTAAACTCTTCTACGGTTTGCCCCGTATGGTCAGAGACGCAGAATAATTTTGCTTCTCTTCCAAACATTTCACCTGTCAATCATTTTTTCTCCCTCCCTCCCATCATTCTCTGGGTACGGTACTCCACCCCACAAATTTTCGAACCTCTGTATGTTCGTTAAAATGTACCGACAAAATTCGAAAAAAATATTTTTAAAGTCATCACGATGAGAGCTTTCGAATGATATATCATTTGACATATCTATCTTGATTTTTGAAATTATAATTTTTTCCCCGGAAATTTTGGCCGAAAAAAATCCTTAAAATTTTCAAAAAATCATAACTTGCTTAAAGTTAGCCTTTTTTGAAAATTTTTAAATTCTATCCGATGCAGAAAAATCTGCTCAATTCAGGAAAAATATAATCGGCACGAAACAAATGCAAAAATCCCCAAAATTTTTTAAAAAACAGAAAAATTTTGGGTTTTTCGAAATTCGACCCCTATACCCCAAGTTTCGACTTTTTTCGAAATTTTTTGGGCTAAAAAAATTTCTAATTTTTTGCTCTATTTTATAATGCAAACCCTATCCCAATACAGCCATCACACAAAAAGTTATGGCGATTTAAATAATCCCGAAAATCCCCCAAAAGGGGGGATTTTCGGGGGGTGGGACAATAGGGGGTGGGACAAAATTTTCAAATTTTGACCCAAAAAACGACCTATATGGTACTCTGACATGCGCTGAGTACGAATCCGGCGTCAGAAAAATTTTAAAAAATTTACCCAGGAAGTTAAAATCTCATGAAGTTTCGCGACATTTGCGAACATTGACCATAACTTTTTGAGACTCAAGTGGACCCCCAACATATTATACCTTTTTCGGAGCCCCTCATTATCCCCTCTTGAATGACTACTCAATCACCGATATCCACTTCAATCTCAAATCCCAAAAATCCCGGATTTCGAAGTTCGAACTCCGAACTTCGACTTTTCGGCTTTATCCTTTATCACATTCAACTCCACTCATTATCCCCTCTTGAATGAGTACTCATTCATCCTTATCCACTTCAATCTCAAATCCCGAAAATCCCGGATTTCGAAGTTCGAACTCAGAACTTCGAATTTCGACTTTATCTTTTATCCCATTAGACTCCCCTGATAATCCCCTCCTGAATGACTACCCACTTGCGAATATCCCCAAACCCCGAAAATACCGGATTTCGAAGTTCGAACTCCGAACTTCGAATTTCGACATTATCCCTTATCACATTAGACTTTCCTGATAATCCCCTCTTGAATGACTACCCACTTGCAAATATCGCCAAACCCTGAAAATACCGGATTTCGAAGTTCGAACTCCGAACTTCGAATTTCGACATTATCCCTTATCCCATTAGACTCCCCTGATCATCCCCTCTTGAATGACTACCCACTTGCCCATATCCCCAACCCCTGAAAATCCAGGATTTCGAAGTTCGACTTCGAACTTCGACTTTAGCCATGATCCCTTATCCCACTGAACTCCCCTCATTATCCCCTCTCGAATGACTACCCTCTTGCCCATACTTCCCAACCCCGAAAATACCGGATTTCGAAGTTCGAACTCCGAACTTGGAATTTCGACATTATTCTTTATCTCATTATACTCCCCTAATCATCCCCTCTTGAATGACTACCCACTCACCCATACTTAGAAATCCCGAAAAACCCGGATTTCGAAGTTCGAACTCCGAACTTCGACATTCGGCGTTATCATTTATCCCATTAGACTCCCCTCATTATCCGCTTTCGAATGACTACTCATTCGACCATATTCGAAAATCCCTAAAAATCCCGAAATCCCGGATCCCTAATTTCGACCTTGCTTCAAATTTCCCCCATTTGCTTCAACTTTCCCCTACTTGAACTTGAAACTTGCTTCTGCTTCAAGTTTACACTTGCTTTTGCTTCAAATTTCTCCTATCAATCAAAATTTCTCTCTCACCTATGAGATTTGCCCCCAGGATTTCCTCAATTTAGAGAAATCCGACAGTTATCGGTCGGACAGTTTTCTTACCAAAATTTTTATAGAGGCATATCGACTTTCGGGTTTGACTTTCGACTTTGAAATTTTTCCTACCTATATCTACATATCCCAACTTAAAATCCTACCAGCAGAAGTTTTTCGGTATCTTTATCCGTTTTCGAGTTATTTTCGAAAAACTCGAATTTTAAATACCGACACACCCGACAATTCACCGGAAATGTCTGAATTTTGTGTCAAGCATAAGTACCCTCCAAATTCGAATTTCGACTTCGAGTTTTTTGCATTTGACATCGTCTATTGATGCTTCAGTGCCCTCCAAGCAGAAATTTTCCTCTAAGTCCACTCAGTCCCGAGATATCCCCGGTACCTCTATTATTTAGGTACCATGGGGGTTCCAAAATTTTCCGTCCGTATTTTTCCCAGATGCGGCATAAAATTTGACCCCGGACATGTAAAACTTTCAGCCCATTATCTCAACTCTGTAAAGAGCTTTAATTTTTCCGACACTTTCTGCCAAAACTTTTATATAATGTATTAAAATACGATATCTTCAGTATCAAAGTTTCCGTCTTTTTTGGTCAAAATTTTATTTTTTTTTTCTAATTTTTTTTTCTATTTAGCTTGAAATCCTTCTCTCCTTTCTTCTCACTTTTTATTTAAATTACTCCAAAATTTTTTTATTTATTTTCTCCTAATTTTTAAATATACCCCCACCATCTCAAACACCTACTACATACCTGCATTTCTCTTAAATTGAGTGCTTTCTTTTTATTTTTTAGTTGCCGTGTCCACCCTCTTTTGATTCTTCCTTCCTCAATTTTCCCTCAATTCCTTCAATTTTCAATGCCTCCTAAAAAGCCGCCACTTGTTTTAATTTTTTTTATTTTTGTTTTCCTTTTCATAAATTTATTTTTAATTTTTCCCTTCTTTTTTTACCCACCTTCTTCTATTTTTCATCAATTTATTTATTAAAAATCTCCAAGGTTTTTTTGGGGAGAAGAGGGAGGGTTTGGAAGGTGTAGGATATTTTGTCCCTTTTATTTATTATTTGCCATCTGCTTTTCTTTCTAAACAATTTTTAGCAGTTGTTGCTTTTTTTGACATTTTTTCTATTTAAAAATTAAGGAATTTTGTGTAAGAGAGCCTAAAAAACGTTTATAAAAAATATTTTATTTTTTGTAATTATTTTTAGGGAAATTTCTCGAAAATTTTATTTGCTTAGGTTCAAGTAATTTCTTCTTAATTTTTTTATTTTTTTAATTTTCAGTGAATTTTTTAATCGAAAAAATTTTTTTTCTACTCATTTGTTGGAGAGAGCACCCTTTAAGCACTAGTGATCGAAATTTTTGAAAAGCCGGGCCGGCTCCCGGGTTTTGGTTTTGATTTATTGACCTCCTGGGCCTGTAGCCCAAACTTAGGTCCAGGAAAACCCCTCAGGAACGTCAAAAAATGGCTAGGCCTGCTCCCAGGCTTTGGTTCCAAATCCAGCTCGATCTCTATTAAGTACACACATTCCTTTTATTTTCTTCCCCTTTTTTTAACTTGATCATTTTTTGCTTCTTTTTTTTTCTACTTCATTTTTGTTCTTCTAATACTTTTATTTTCTTTTTACTCTTATTTTTACCCTTACTTTTATTTTTATTATACTTGTACTTCTTCTTTTCATTGAATTTTTTTCTTCTCTCATTATTTTATTTTTTTTATTAAATTTTTTAAGAGATACACAAGTGGATATATTAGTGGGGATATATCTCTCAAATAAAGAAGAGATAGGTATATTTATTACAATTTTCAATCAACTTTTATTTTTTCTTTTCTCATTTTTCATCTTCAGGAAAATAAAACAACAACAAATTTCTCCAAAAATTTTTTCTATTTTGATAAAATTGGTTTCTTTAAATTTTTACCCCTTATTTAGGGACTGGGGGGGCATGGGGCCATTAGGATAAACCTAATTTTTCGAGGTCTATCGACTATAACTTCAGAAATATTTGATGAAAAATTCTGAAATTTCTGGAGGAGGTAGTCAATGATGTTAAAGAATTTTGAGAAAATTTTCATAAATTTCGGTTTCGCTTAAGTGTCAGTTTCTAGTGCTGGCGCCCTAATGGCCCCGCGCCCTTATGACCTTAACCCCTAATTTACCTTAATTTTTACGAAAAAAAAATTTTTTTTGTTAATATGTAGTATATCAGAAAACCACAAATTATTAAGTCGGAGGATAATAATTTGAATAAAATTTAAATAAAAAATTTTTTTGGTGAAATTTAAAAATTAAAATTTTTAAATTACATCTCTTTCTCAATTCCTCTTACTGATATCCCATCCAATCCTTTTTTTCCAGTATTTTTGAAAATATTTTTTAATTATAAAAAATAATAATTTTTTTTTAAATTTTAAATATTAAAACCTTCAATTATTATTTACCCCTCTTATTCCCTAAAATTTTACAAAAAAATGTTATTAACAACAACAACAACAAATATAGTTGACAACAACAATAATAAACTTATTGAAGAGCCCTTTCAAACTTTAATAGGACAAAAATTAAATAATTCGTCAATTGTACATATTTTACCAATTTTAACTAAATCTACAAGGGAAGAAGCAACTGTTGAAGATTTAAAAGAGGAAAAATCAGAAGAAGATTTAATAACTAATAAAAATAAGGAGAAGAAGCGTTTGTCGAGTTGTTCTGATTTTTTATTAAATCAATTGGATGATTCGTTAAATGCTTTAGAAATGGTTAAGGTAAAAATTTAGGGGGAGAGAGGGTATTGTGAGGGAGAAGCAGACCTGTGCATGGACACGGATTTTCGTATCCATATCCGAATATTTACGGCGGATACAGGCGGATATCAGCAGGCATTTTGAACTCAACTGTATCCATACCCGTATCCATGCACAGGTCTGGGGAGAAGAATGATTTTTGGTAGGAAGGAGGCAGAGGTGGGTCGGAATTCCGACTTCCGAAAAAAAATTTTGATTTCCGGGTTCCGACTTTTGAGCCAGTTCCGATTTCCTTATCTTCCGATTTCCGACACCTTTGACTGTTCCGACCCACTTCTGGTAGGAGAGACAGTTTGTTTTAAAAAAGTGATTTTTGGTAGAAGGGGGGGGGGTTATTTTTGCAATAATCAGATTTTTAATTTTAATTTTTTTTTATTCTCAATCATCAATCATAATCAATCAAATTTTACTATTTTTATTATTTTTCTTGTAATAGATTTTACTGCAAATTTTAATAAATACATTTATATAAATTAAAAAATGGTTTAGAACTTTAAAATAAAATGTCTTATATTTTTAAAAAATACTTTTTTTTTTAATTTTTTTACACGTTTGCTTCTACAGATTTTTTTTTACTAATTTTAATTTTTCTATTTTTATTTTTCCATTTTTATTTGGCACTAGTGCAGTTCACCAAAAGTTAATTCACCATAAAGACAATTGAAAAAACGCCAGTTTGCCACAAACAACCAGAATCTTCGCTGGAAAAACTGTTTTTGTGCTGCTACGGAGGGTAGGCCGGGCATGGTCTTCGCTACACGATGGCCGTGCTTCGCTGCGGTCGTTCCGCTCGACATGCCCGGCTTTCTCCGCAGCGGCAAAAACTTTTTTCCGCGTAGACCCCTATGTAGGGGATAAAAACAAACGGTCATAACTTTGTCAGAACAAGTCAGATTTCGTTGAATTTGGTGTCATTCGACTCAGATCGAGGAGCTCTTTATTTGTATGTTCGAATTTTTTATCTAAAAAAACAGCTTGCTACCCTTGGCAAACTGTCGTGTGCTTAATTGTCTTTATGGTGAATTAACTTTTGGTGAACTGCACTGACACGTTTTATTTTTAAATTTTTATTTTTTTAAATTTTTTAGCTATAATAATTTAAGCTTTAAACTGACTCACAAATAGGTACTTTTTTTCTCTCATTATTTTCTTGTTATAATTAAATATGTAGCTAATCTTTTCTTAAAAAAATAAGAGGTTGGACTAGTATGTATATAGCAAGTACTAAATCGAGAATTATAAAGAAAATAAAAAGGTGTTGAGTTAAAAATTGAATAAAAAAATATTTTTTTTTCAATTGTATTTTTGTTTTTCCTTTGTGTGTTTACTTAGCCCCCTTTTTCGGATCATTCTCATTTTTTTGTTGTCCTTTGCTCTTTTATAAAATAATAAATTTTTATTTTTTATTTTTTCATGGCCACAAAGCCTTTTTATTGTTTAAAAAGAAAATTTGTAAAAAAAAATTGGGGTTACCAATTTTTGTCTGTCCATGTTTTGTACTTCAGATTTGGACTGACAAATGAGTAATAATTATTTTGATGATTTTATTGCATTGATTTTGAGACTAGATTTTTTTTTAGAATTTTAAAAAATATTTTTTTTTGGTTATTTTTTTACTCAAAAAATTATTTATTCTGTGAAATCTCTCTCAATTTTTGAAAAATCCTTTGACCCGAACTTTCATTGATCTAACAAGGGAACATCGCTTACTGTAAGTGGGAATTTGATATATTTTTTGGTACCATTCGATAGAGCACCCTCGACTTCCTATTGTGAAGTTTTTTTGCATAATGAGTTTAAAGGAAGTTGAAGGCGTTCAAAGTTATAGTATTTGGGGTAGTCGTTGTCAAGGCGTCGTTACCACTATTTTTAAAATTTTTTATTTAAAGTTGCTTCCTTAATTTTCTTTTTTTTATTTATTTTTTAACCAAAAATAAAAAAATATTTTTTTTATTCATTCATCCAAAAAATTTGCTTTTTTTCGACTTTTCTCCCTCCATTTTTTTATATTTTTATTCCTCTTTTGTATTATTTTAAATTTTTTTTTCATTTTTATTAAATAGCAACGGAAAAATTGTTAATAGTTGTTTTGTATTGACTGTAAAGGGGGGGGGGTTGTGTGTCGATCGGACTTTTATTCTTAATTTATTTTTATATTTATGAAAATGAGGGCATGCTCTTTTTTTTTAATATTTTTATTTAAATATTAAATTCGATTTTTAGGTTTAAAAAATAATTTTTAAAAATTTTTTAATTTGAGTTGAAAAATAAACTTAGATTTATTAAAAATACCTGTTGCTCTGAATAAATTATATTTTTAAAATATAGGCTATTTAAAATTATAGGGGTATTGCTTATTCAGCTCCCTCCCCTTCCCTCGTCCCTGTTTGTCTAACAATTTTTTTACAGAATGTAAGGGGTATTTAAAACCCCCAATATTTTTTCGGAATTTAAAAATATAGACGGCTTGGGAGGTTCGTACGAGAATCTAGATCTCGAAAAAATACTCGTTCTCGATAACCGGAATTTTTGATTTCGTCTAGGTCCGGTCTCTAATTAAAAATTCTGATTTTTGAATATTTTTTTTAATTAATTAATTTATTTTTAGTACTCCAACTACTTTTTGTCTAATCAACAACAAAATTTAAAAAAATCTTCACCTTCACCTTCACCTCCACCTCTTTGGAACGAAATGTTTCTTCCATCAGTTTCACCTTGTAATACCAACACAAGAAATTTAAAATTATCAACATTCTCCCTCAACAAATAATATTCGAGATAATGCTAATAATTGTTTATTAAAACCTGGAAAATTTCCTGTTCAAAAAGTAAGAGGAAAGAAATTTTTATTTTGAAAAATTCAAGATGAAAAATTTTCTTTGAAAATTTTTTGAAATTTTTGAAAAAAAATTTTTTGAAAAATTTTTTCGAAAAATTTTTTTTGAAAATTTCATGACGAAAAAAATTTTTTTGAAAAAAATTTTGGATATAGTGTAGTGTACCGGTGGTAAAAGTTCGGGACGTGACATATGTCATTCGATAATTTTCGACGAGCTGAGTCGAATGGTACCACTCCCTACTTTAGGAAATGATTCTGGGCCGAGTTATAGGTCCCGAAAAATTGAAAAACCATAGGGGGGAGTAAGCTCGATTTTGGGGTGAAAAATTCGAATATGCAAATAATAGCTCATTCGAAAGAGCTCATCGAGCTGAGTCGAATGACACCAAAATCAGCTTGATTGTAAAAGTTTGGACAAAGTTACAATCGAAAAACTAACAGCATAAACCTATGGGGCGTCGGCGAGGCGCTTGTGCAAAACCCCGCGCTTCGCGCGGGGTTTTGCGGCACGCGCCTCGCGGGGAGTCTACGGGCGTTGGGTCTGGGCTCGTAACATAAACCTAGTCCCATCTCCCTTGCTCTGGATGTACTTGGGGCTCCAGTACCAGCAAAAACCTCCACGGGCGCCATAGGTAAGGAGCTAAAACAAACGAGCATAACTTTGTCAAATCAAGTCAGATTTCGTTGATTTTGGTGTCATTCGACTCGGCTCGACGAGCTCTTTCGAATGAGGTATAATTTGTATATTCGAATTTTTTACCCCAAAAAAGTGCTTGGTCCCCCCTTTGGTTTTTCAATATTTCGGGATCTATAACTCGGCCCAGAATCATTTCCTAAAGTAGAGAGTGGTACCATTCGACTCAGCTCGTCGAGACAGATCGAATGACATATGTCACATCCCGAACTTTTACCACCGGTACACTACACTACAGCCAAAATTTTTGAAATTTTTTGAAAATTTTTTCAAAAAAATTTTTCGAAAATTTTTTTGAAAATTCAAGATGAAAAAAAAATTTTTTTTTGACTTTAAAAAAATTTTCCGAAAAAATTTTTTTTTAATTTTTGAAGGAAGATATTGTTGCTGCTTCAGCTTCTTCATTTTCCTCTTCTTTTGCTTCAATGGATACTCTTCGACAGAAAAAACGTTCACGATCACAACCGGGAATTTCTCTTATTTCAACAAATCAACAAAATTCTGAAAAAAATTTACTTCAACAAGATGTTGATTTTATTGAAACAGATTGTTGTTGTTTAGCAGAAACTAGCCAAACTAACGCTACGTTGCTTTGGTCTGCTTCAATTGAAGCAAAGGGAGAAAGGAATTCAATAATTACAATATCTCCACAAAATAAAATTAATATAAATGGATTAAGTAAAAGTGTTGTTATTATTGATAGAAGAAAAGGGGGAGGAAATGATAGAAGAAATAAAGATGAGGAAGAAGAAGATAATGGAAATGGGGGAAGTTGTTGTTCACAAGATAGTGGGGTTAGAAGCAGGTTGGAAAAGAAAAATAATAAAAACCAGAATTTTCCGGAAAAAAATAAATAAAAATCAGAATTTACAATTTTCCGGAAATATATTTAAAGTCAGAATTTGTAATTTTCCTTAATAAATAAAAACCAGAATTTGTAATTCTTTATAACGAATATACATAAATCAGAATTTGTACTTAATTCATGGAAAAATAATTACAAACCAGAATTTACAATCTTCCGGAAAAAAAAATTAAAAATCAGAATTTGTAATTTTCCGGAATGAATATAAATCAGAATTTACAATTTTCCGGAAATATATTTAAAATCGGAATTTGTAATTTTAGATAAAAACCAGAATTTGTAGTTTTCCGGAATAATAAAATCAGAATTTGCAATTATCTTTAATGAATAAAAACCAGAATTTGTAATTTTAAATAAAATCAGAATTTGTAATTTCCGGAATAATTAAAAATCAGAATTTTAATTTCCGGTCATATTAACTATAATTTAAATTTTACAATTAATAAACCAGAATTTGTAATTCCGGAAGATTTATGCATAATTAAATCAGAATTTACAATTTTTATATAACAAAATTACAAATCAGAATTTTTAAAAATTAAAACCCCCTCTTTTTTTTTAAACAGCACTCATTCTACCGGCAGTTTAACAACAGCTAGTAGCAATTGTGGTGGATGTATTATTGAAGAAATTGATTCTGGAATAGCTAATTTAAATTGTAATGGATCTGAAGATAAACAAATATTAAATCAAAAACAACAATGTTTTTGTTCAAATATAGCAACAACATCAAAAGTATTACCGCCTTTTCTTCATCTAATTTCTTGCAATAGTAAGGAGAATGGTTGTGGTAGTGTTGGTGGAGTTTTGTTTACCGCAGAAGCAGTTTTTGAAAATGTGGTGAATAAATAAATAATTTAAGAAAATCAGAATTTAAATGTGTAATTTTCCGGAAAGAAATATTAAAATTACAAATCCTGAATATTTAAACCAGAAGTTTCCGGAATAAATATTACAATGCGCAAAACCTACTATTTAAACAAACCAGAATTTTAATATTCTTTATTAAGAAAGAAAATCAGAGTTTAAATAATTTTCCGGAATTAATATTACTTTTCCGGAAAGTTTATATAAATCAGAAGTTTTAGAATTTATTAATCAGAATTTGTAAATTTTCCGGAAGAATATTACAATCCGGAAATTATATATAAATCAGAATTTGTAATTTTTCCGGAATTTAGTATTACATTTCCGGAAAATCTAAACCAGAATTTTTTAAATTTATTAAACTAACCGGAATCAGAATTTGTAATTTTTTGTATCAGAATTTTTTATTCCTTTTAAGCAAAAAATCAGAATTTACAATTTTACAAATTCACTAAAATCAGAATTTGTATTTTTTCTGGAAGGAATATTAAGTATAATCTGGAAAATCTAAACCAGAATTTTTTAAATTTATTAAACAACCCGGAATCAGAATTTTTTATTCTTTTAAGCAAAAAATCAGAATTTACGATTTTAAATAAATATTACAATCCGGAAAATTTGTTAAATAAACAAGAATTTTGCCGATTTTTTAGAGACATAAAATCAGAGTTTACAATTCTTTTAAAAATAAATATTCTGATTCTTTAAAAAATAATTCTATTTAATAAGGCAATGCTTCGCGATGAATTACCATTTTCGCCTGGGGACGAAGTTGCAGTTCTTGATTGCCCTTCTGATGAGTTATGGTATGGAATTTGTGGGCCTAGAAGTGGGTGGTTTCCTGCGGCATATATTCGAGTAATTTTTATTGAAAAAAATTTTTTTCAAATTTTTTAGCCCAAAAATCGCGATTTATGTCGTCTTTTTTCATCTGATTGTGGAAGTGATAGTAATTGTTTAATAAATAATTCTTCAACCTCTTGTGATTTTCCATCTAATGAGATGCGTAAATTAAGGAAAAGAATAATTCAAGAATTGGTTAATACTGAAAGAGAATATGTTCGGTTACTTGAACATCTTGTGATGGTAAGTTTTAAATTAAAAATTTTTTTTTTAATTTTTATTTTGGTTTTTGCAATCCGGAAAACCCTAAAATTTTAATTTGAAAAAAAAATTATTGAACTAAAAATTTAGAAGAATTATTTTTTGGAAGCATTTATACTAGAGATCGAGCTGGATCTGGACCTAAGCCTAAATTTTTCCTGTACCCAGAGTTTAGGCCTATGCATTTTTTGACCCTTCTAGGTTTTTCATGGGCCTTGGGTTTTCCTGGACTACAGGTCCAGGATCCGGCCCAAGTCAATAAATCAAACTCAGAGTCCAGGAACAGGTCTAGGCTTTTCAAATACACCAATTTTTAATTGAAAATAATCCTTTATGCTTCCAAAAAATATTATTTTTGAGAAAAAAATATTTTAAATGTGACTTGTGGATAGAGGCATAACCGAGGGGAACAGTTGTATTTTTCTACTTTTTGGATTCTAATTTTGTTATTTTTAAAAAAAATTTTTTTTTCTTGAGGGCTTCCTAGAGCAATGCCGTCGCCGTCGTGAATTATTCCCAGAAGAAAGAATTTTACGAATTTTTGGAAATTTGGAGTTAATTTATTCTTTACACACAAATATATTTAAAGAATTATTAAATGTAGTGGATGAAGAAAAGCCTGAATCGACTTGTTTGGCTAATGTTTTTCTTAAAAATGTGAGGGAGGAAGCAAATTAATTTAAAAAAATTTTAATTTTTATAGAGCCAACAATTTGGAATTTACACAGATTATTGCAATAATCGAACACTTTCGTGTACTGAACTTGCACAGCTTGAACAACAATCACAATATTTTCACTTTTTTGAGGTGTGCTTTTTAATTAGAAAATTTTTTGGGGAAAATTTTTTTAGTAAATGCACTTTGGATCTCACTATAAAATACTCTAGATGTTAAATACACCTCAATCTAAATGGGGTTTTCAAAAAAAAAACTTGAAGCGAAATTCTAGATTTAAGAGATTCAAGATACCAAAGACGTCAAGATTGATACCAAAAACCAGGGGTCGGGTTTTGGGGGACTATAAAGAAAAAAAAAAACAGAACACATAAAACAATGGATACGCTCTTGTAAGGTACCCTCTCTATTTAAAAAACTTTTTTTTAATTTTGTTGACTATTTATTGGGTGGAGAACCAAGCGATACCCCATCTCTTTGGATACACTATTATAGGACACAAATTATTTTTCACTCTCAGATAGGATATCTTTAGAGAGCGAGCTGGATCTGAATCTAGACTTTGATTTTTTCTGGATTCAGAGTCCAAGGTCAAGGCATTTTTCAGCTTTCCTTGATTTTTTCTTGACTCAAGGTCAAGAATCTGGTCAAGGTACCCATTCGAAACCAAGGTCAAAGACCAAGGTCAAGGTTATTTGAAAATCTCGCTCTCTAGATATCTTTTTTAAAGTCCGTTAAAAAAAATTTCTTTTACGTGCCTTGCCAAAACTTTCATTGGACGCATTTTTATTAACTCCAGTTCAACGTATCTGTCGTTATCCTCTTCAACTATTGGAACTTTTAAAAGCCACACCTCCAAACCACCCGGATAGATTAGCATTAGAATTAGCCCAAAGAACAATGAAATTAATTGCCTCAAAAGTTAATGATGGAAAAAGAAGAGTTGATGCTATACAGAAAATTTGGTTATGGCAAAATAGTGTACATGGATTTAGAGTAGAATTTTTTTTATTTTAAATTTAGGGTTGGGGGCACGATCCGGCCCGGTCCGAAAGATCGAGTCGGGCCTCTAATTTTGGCCCGAAAAAGACTCGATCGGGCCGGCCCGAAATAAATGACTCGAACGTCGGCCCGACTCGAAAACCCCAACAAAAAACCCCCAAAATTTTACCAAAAAAAATTTTTTTGGTAAAATTTCTGGTCATATTCCCTCTTCTTTTTTTCCATTTTTCTCCTTTTCAAAAAAATTTTTTTTCTATTTTAGAATAAAAACATTTTTAAATTATCAGACAATACTCTCAATTATGTTTGGGATTTTTTTCAAAAATTGGATTGTATAGGGGGGGGTTAATTGTAAATTTTTTAATTCTCTTAAAAAAATTTTTTTATCGCCTTGTATTAACCAAAAAATTGCTTCAATAAGTTTGAAGTCTTTACCTTTTAAAAAAATTTTGGGAACGGAAATTTTAAATAAATTTTAATTTGCGATAGAAATTGTTATGGAAAAATTGCTTTTTCAATTTTTAAAGAAAAAATTTTGTTTCAGGGCCCTAACCTAATAGAAAGTAATCATCGTCTTTTAATTAACGGAGAATTACAATGCCGTGCTTTATGGAATGGACAATTACAATGGTCAAAAAATGGATTAATAATTTATTTATTTGATCAAACAATTGTTTTGTGTAAAAGGGATGTTTTGAGAAGAAGTAATTTAATTTTTAAAGAAAGGATGGGTATGGGTGGAACTACTTTGTATGATTTACATGATGGAAAAGGTGTGCTTGCTTTTTTGTGATTTAAAAAAAATTTTATTTTTTTTGGGAGTAATGCTAGAGACTAGGCATGGACCGAGACGGGATCTCGATCGAAAATCTCGGTTATCGAGAGTCGAGATTTAAAAAATTGTTTTTTAGGGGAGTAATATTAGTGACCAGAAACCATGCCGAGACGGGATCTCGATCGAAAATCTCGGTTATCAAGAGTCGACTCCCAGTCCTGACCAGGCCTCTACTAGTGACCATACCCTGGATAGGATCCTCCTGGATTTTTCCAGAACCGGGTCCAAAACCGGGGTGTTTTTTCTCGTGATCTTCAGATATTTCCTGGGTTAATCCTTCAAAAAATCCGGGCGGGTCCAGTCTGGCTTTACTTTCAAATCCGGATCTGGAAAATCGACTTTATCGGCCACTAGGTGATAATACAAGATTGAGGATCTCTCTCTTTTATTACTCACTTCTCTCCATCGTTCTCCTACGTTTTACCCTTTCCTTTTTTGTACGGTAACTCTATTCGGTGCAGAAGACCACAAACAACACCCTAAAATGAAGAAAAAAATTTTCTCAATAGAGGGTATCTAGAAAAATTTTTTTTCTGAATTTTTCTCCTTTAAAATTCTCTTTCATTTAAAGATCCCTTAACTGGTACAACATTAAAAAATGCTTTTAAATTGTCTGGGCCAGCACGAGAATATATTTTTTGTTGTCAAGATGCTGCTACAAAAAGTTTGTGGTTAGAAGCTATACGTAATAGACCTAGACCACAACCACCTAGTCAAGCTGAAAGGCGTTTAGCTATGTTAATTTAGAGGGAATTTAAAAAAAATTTTTTTTGGAGAAGAAAAAAATTTTTTTAAATAATTTAAATTTTGAAGTAAGAGTGAGAGAAGAAAGATATGTAAACAAACAAAATTATAATTAATTTTTTTAACTGCCATTATTTTTTTTTATTTTTTAAATTTTATTTATTTTTGTAAACCTCGTTTTTAAGATACATATTCCAAAATTTAATTAAAAAAAAATTTTTTTAACTAAAATTTGGTTGGTTCCATAGGGAGCAGAAGTGGGTCGGAACATTCAAAGGTGTCGAAAATCGGAAGGAAAAAACGTCGGAAATCGGAATTCCGACCCACCTCTGATTGGGAGGAAAGATAGAGGGGGGAGGGGGAAAGATAGAGAGATTAAAAACACACACAACTCGAAAGGTGAAAAAAATTTCAGTTAAAAGAAATTTAGGTAGAGGGTATAGTATAAGTGGGTGAGGGGCAACTCAATTAATTTCAAATCACGGACCTTGACTTGTCGTTACTTGTCCTGTCCGTCCCTTGAGTTAATTCGACAAACGAGCAGTATTCATAAGCTAGTACCAAAATTCGTACTCATACTTTGGTACGAGTACGAGCAATATTGAAATTTACGAACATTGTTTATGAGACCCTACTCGAATACTTAAGAAATATCCCCAAAAAGGGACGTGTATCTAAAAATTAGGTTAACTCTGTATTTTAAAAATCTTCAATAAAAAAATATTCCTCAATTTTTTCTTGTGCCTTTCATTTTAATTTTTCTTTAAATTTTCTTTCACATAAAAAAATATTTTTAAAAATACATAATGTAAATTTTCACGTTTTTTTTTATTTTTTAAATAAATTTTAAAAAATTTTCTAGTGATGCTCGGGAGAAGAAAAAATCCGGGAAACGGGAGTCAGGTCGAGAAATGACCTCGGGAGTCGGGAGGCCAAAAATCGAGAAATTTTCCCGAGTCGTGATTCGAAACCGGGCATCATTAAAATTTTTTTCCCATCATTAAAATTTTTTTCTGACGAAATGGACATTCAAAAATCTTTTTTTTAAACCCGCAGTTTGTCCATTCTCTCTCCTGGGGTCAACCCTGAAGACCTACACCCTCAAGACCTACACCCTGAGGACCTACACCCTGAAGACCTACTGACCCTGAAGACCTACACCCTGAAGACCTATTTACCCTGAAGACCTACAACTTTTTGATCAACTCAAATTATTTAAAGTAGTGGATATCGCGGATATCAGAAGATCCTTTTTATCCCGATAAATCCCTCTATACACTTTAAAACCTCAAAATCCTCGGTATCACCCTTAATCCACATTTTTCCCATTTAAAACCTTCAAATTCATCGATATTTCCCTTAATCCCTTCTAGTTCCTCTTTACCTCCTTTAAATCCCCCGATTAGACTTGTAAAGAAATAAAAAATAAAAATTGTGTTGATCAAAAAGTTGTAGGTCTTCAGGGTAAATAGGTCTTCAGGGTGTAGGTCTTCAGGGTCAGTAGGTCTTCAGGTGTAGGTCCTCAGGGTGTAGGTCTTGGGGGTGTAGGTCTTCAGGAGTGGACTCCTCTCTCCTTATTCCACTTTTAATAAATTTATATATTGATTATATTGGGTTGAGCAGCGACCGACCTAACACAAGTACCACCACCAACCATCAACGCTATTTCCCCTCTTCAAAACCTCTTTAAAAATTATATTCCAATTGCCGCGCTCTAGTTTTTAATTTTTTTTATTATTAGGGCAGCCCCCCAAATGTCGATATTATTGAATAGCTTTTAAAGTATTTTTGTGTGTGATTGCTGGGTGCTGCAAATTTGTTGGTGATGTTCATTCAAGTATGGGGGGAGTGAGAGTTGTGTTGGTTCATATCGGCATACACAACTATTTATTTATTTTTAGTTGTGTATTTTTAACTTCCACACACAACATTATACGACTTACACACAATTTTTATATTTTATTCTTAACTAAAAAATTTTTTTTGCGCGAGTTTTGTCGATTTTAGTATATCCCCCATTTTTTTTAAATTAATTTAAATTTAAAAATTTAATTTAAAAAACCGCCTTTTAAAATTTAAATTTTAAAAAAGTTTGTCTATTAAAATACATGTGTGTGTATTGATCAACATAATATTATAGAGAAGCATCTGTTTTGTTTACAAAAAATATAAAACAAAGTTTTGTTGTGTTTAGTACATAAAAACATATTGTTAAATAAACATGTTTATACTATAGTAAAAATCAGAATTTGTAATTTTAAAATTAATAAATCAGAATTTACAATTTTCGGAATTAATATTAAAAATCAGAATTTGTAAAACTTAAGGAGCATTTTATAATCAGAAAATAAACTTGAAACAAGTTTATTTTTAAAAAAATAAACTTGAAGCAGGCGGAATTTATTTTTCCAAGTTTTATTTTTTAAGTGTGTTTTAAATAAGCGCTGTCCGCAAGTTTTGTCCGCAAATTTTTTAATTAAATTTTTTTTACTTTTTTATAGAAAGTAGAATATTATCAAATTAATTTATTATTTAATTTATTTTAAAAAATGCTTCGCCGACTTTTATCCAGTCCCTTGTCTATGAATGGAAAGGTGGATGAAGATTTGTATGGTGCTGGTGATGAACCAAAGGAATATGTAAGGGGAATTTTTTAATTTTTTAATTAAAAATTTTTTTTCAAAGTTTCTTTTATCAAAAATGCAACCTTTGCCTCCCGAAGACTTTGATCAGGGAGATTTACAAAATTATTGGTATTCACAACCAAATTTTGGGAATAATCAACAGCATCATCAACAAGGTTTTTCAACTGTGGCAATAGAAAATGATGTTTATTGGCCAAAGTAAGTGAAAATAAAATTCTTTTTATATTTTCTTAGAGATGAGTAAAATATTTGGAGAAAATTTGCAAAAATTTAAAATGTTGTATTTTTGGTTAAGTGGTTTAATTTTTATTTTTTGATGTTGAAAGTTCGATTCCTACTGGAAGCTACAATTTTTATTTTAGCAAAATTGGAAAGTATATTTAGGAAAATTGTGCGTTTTTTGGATAGCAAAAAAATTTTCTGTCCGCAAAAAATTTTTTTGTCCGCAAACTTTGTCCGCAAGAATTTTTTTGTCCGCAAGTTTTGTCCGCAAAAAATTTTTTTAATTAAAAAATTTTTTTCTAATTAAATTTCTTTTATAAAAAAGTTTTATTCCTCTTGACCAATGCAATAATGGAAATGCTTCTAATATTATTACAATTAATTCAACAAGTTTACCTCCACCAACACAACCTCCTCAACATTTATTTTATTCTACACCTCTGCATATTCCTTCAACAAAAAATATTTTGGAAGAAAAAAATTTTCAAAATGACGATAATTGTTATAAAAATAATTTTGTTTTTGAATCTACTCAAGGTTTTTTAATTTAAAAAATTTATTTTTTTTGCGGACAAATCTGCAAAAAATTTTTTCTGTCAATTTCTTGGTCATAAATTTAAAAAATACAATAGAAACCTCTTTAAAATATGTTTTGGAGTTAATAGAAAATCAAAAAAATATTTTTGGATAGAATTTTATTTTAATAACCCTCGTTCTTTGAAATGTCCGCAAAAAATTTTTTTTGTCCGCAAAAATTAAAAATTTTTGTAAAATTATTATTACACTTTTAGACGGTCTGCAATTTAAACACGACTCAGAAACTATAAGAAAAATGTCTACTACATCTTATAATAGTTATGGAATAGAGCGAAATGGAGAGGTTTGAAAATTTTTTTGTTTTTTAATTTACTTTATTTTGGCTGTTTCTTTTTATTTATTCCTACTCAATAAAAAAATTGGTAATAGTTCGGTTGAGACCCCGCACTCTTTTTTCTGACCACTCTTTTTTTCTGACCACCTTTTTTCTGACCACCGAGATATAGACCCCTGAAAATTGAAAAACCATAGGGGCGAGAAACCAAAACAACAAAAAATAAACAAATGATAGCTCGTTCGAAAGAGCCCGTCGGACTGACAAATAAACGTCTAACAATGTTCAATTCTACATTTTTTTAAAGACTTACCATTTTTACATATTTTCCAAAAAATTGACCGGGGGGAGTAAATAAGTCCTTTTCTCATTCATATATGTATACATACATGATCCTTTTTAATACTTGCCTCGTGAAAAATAAAAGGGAAAGGGAAGGAAAAATGAAAAAATGGTCAGAAAAAAGAGTGCGGGGTCTCAACCGAACTATTACCAAAAAATTAAATTCGGTGGAAAATTATTTAAAAAATTCTTAGAAATTTAATTTTTTATTTTTTACACCTGAAAAAATTAATTTACCCCCAACGGATTCGAACCTACACCCCTTTACCCCTAAAGTCAAAAACTCTAACCAAATGACCATTATTTTTCTAAGGGGAAAATTAATTTGTTTTTGCTTCCCTTAAATTTGTTAATTCTTTCAAAAATTGATAAAATTGTTCAAAAATACTTAAAAATTATAAAATCTATTTTTTAGAGTCCACTACTTGATTGTGACCCCACTGACGTTTTTTACTGTCATTATTGTAAGTTTATTTTTTAATTTTAAAATTTTCTAAAAAAATTTTTTCAAGGCAGTCGCTCATTTCCACGCTCTCGTATAAGTCCAACACGTCATGTAGCACAATGCAGACGTTTAAATACGAATGAAGATGGTGGTGGAGGTTCGTCTTCTTCCTGTAGTGGTGCTTTGATGGAAAATTTTGGTTTTTTCTTTTAATTTTAAATTTTTTACAATGCACTGGAGCTCCTCTAAAATTTTTCAAAAAAATTTTTTTGTTCAAAAAATTATTTAGAACCTTCTTAAATTCATCTTTACATTTTTCTACACTTAAAAATTAATTTGCCTCCAAACGGGTTCGAACCCACAACCATATCTCCCTAAAGTCAAGAACACTAACCACTTGACTATCTTTTCTAAATTGTGAAAAAAATTTTTGTAGGGTATTTTTCTGAATTCGGACCATTTGTTTACCTTTATTTATGTTAGAGTTTAGGCAAAATTTTCCCTGGATCTTCCCATTTTATGTAATTGTCCGCAAAAATTAAATTTGCGGACGACTTCTCCACCTTAAGGAGATTAACTTAAAATTTAATTACGTGCCAGGATATGGAATTTTTGGGAAGAAAATAGGTTTGTAAAGGGCATTTTTGTGTCCATTAGACGTATTTGTCCGCAGAAATAATTTTGCGGACGACTTTTTTTTAAAAATCCGCAAAAGAACTTTTTTGCGGATTTTTAGAGAAAGGACTCAAAATGGTCAATTTTCAAAGTTTTCAATTTAAAATTAAAAACTAACTGTTGTTTAAAGGTTCAAATACTCAACAACGACAAAACACTCCAACTACAACAATCGACTTTTCTTCCTTAATTAATACCAATTCTTGTTCTTCAACCTCCCCAGCACCTGGAGGAATTGGTAGTGTAGACCCTACTGACCCGTATCAATGTAGTTGGTGTCAATTTAATACTTTGTACAAAGGAAATATGAAAAGACATTTAATTTGTTGCCATCAAGGTTTTTTTGAAAATTTTTGAAAAAAATTTTTTGTCCGCAAAATTTTGCGGACAAAAAATTTTTGTCCGCAAAAATTGTTAAATTTATTTTGCTTATTTTGATGGTTAAAAATCGTTTGTCCGGACTAAAATTTATGAGAAATATAAGAAAACTGAGACCTGTACCTAAATTTTAATAAATTTAAATTTATTGCGGACAGAATTTGCGGACATGTTTTTATCCGCAAATTTATTAACTTCGATTTTTTAAATTTTTTATCTTCAGAAATAAATATAGTCTAACTAAAAATAAGCCAAATAATGAGGAAAATAAATCATTTTCCTTCAAATTTAAAATAATGACATTTTAAAAAAAATTTTTAATTTTTGCGGACAAAATTTGCGGATTTTCTAAAAATTGGTAAATTAATTTTTTTCTTTATTTTTCAAGTTTCTCTCGAATCATTAACTCATTTAAACTTCAATATCGAACGTTTACGTAGACTTTCGACTACACGACCTTCATTGGATGAATTGCCAATATTGCCACGTAGAGATGGGAAAGAGGCAAATAATGCTTCTGGTGTTGGTTTTAATAACAATAATAGCAGCAACACCAATATTCTCAATAATATTTTAATTGTTAAAGAAGAAATGAATAATTTTCCATCTCAAAATAATTTAAATTTTGAAGGAAAAAATAATTTTGTTGTTGAAGACAAAAAAAGAAAGCCTTCCTCAATTAAAAGAAAAATGACTACAACTTCAGAAAGACGGCATAATAAACTTTTTATACTTGAAAAACAACAAGGAACACCAGCAACAACAACAACCTCTTCTACCAACAACAAGGATGATTATTGTTATACTTCAAATAGTACAATCAAATTTGCTCCATATATTTAAATTAATTTGGGAGAGGTTATTCTATTTTTCGGTGGTAGTGAGTGTTTTTTGTTTTAATATTTATATTTTTTAATTTATCATTTTGTATCAGTTGACATTTTGAAAGTTTTTTTTCGGTAGTGATCATTTTGAAAAATTTTTTGGGGCTGACTATTTTGAAAAATTTTAAGGATTGACCATTTTGGGATTTTTTGAGATTGACCATTTTGTAACTTTTTTTTACTTATTACCGTTACGGGACATTTTTGGGTATTTTCATTTTGAAGATTTTTGACCATTTTGAATTTTTTAATTATTGACCATTTTTAAATATTTTTTTAATTTTTGACCATTTTGCAACCTTTTAAAAATTCATTTAGTCAACTGAAAATTTATGAGTTTTTTTTACTTAACGATATTGAAAATCTTCTTATTTATATTTATATATTTTCATAGTTTTTACAAGACTAAATAATTAATATAATTCCCAGCTTCTTCTGATTGAAGGAAAAAAAATTTTTTTTGTTATAACTAGGGTTGGAGTTTTCGAGTCGGGCCGACGTTCGAGTCATTTTTTCGAGCCTGCCCGACCGAGTCTTTTTCAGGCTTCATTTTTTCGGGCCAAAATTCGATCCCCGACTCGATCCTTAGGACGGACCGGGCCACCAACCCTAGTTATAATTTACTATATTTATTTTTTTTTCTAAAATTAAAACAGGCCTTGAACACTTAAAAATCACTTGAATATTCAATATTTTTTTGTCTTTCCATTAAAATTTTGTTTTTATATTTTTTTTGACTTTTTTTAAAGTGCCTTCTCCACTTAAATTATTATATTTTTTTAATTTTGCAATAAACTATATTTTTTGACATTTTGGTCATTTTACATTTTGAAATTTTTTTCAAATTAAAAAAATTTTTTTTGAAAATTTTATTTTTCCAACCTTAAACAGATGTTAAAAGTTTACCCTTTAATCGATTCTATCCCTTTGCTGAGATTTCCTCTAATATAAATCAACCCTCTACTAATGTTAGCAAAACTTGTGTAGTTAGAGCAAAAGCTTTACAACAGCAGCACAAATAAAAATAAAAAGGGGTGTTCCAAAAGACCACCGTTGGGTGCTTTTAAGCAGTGTGGTGATCTACTGGGTGTTATTTTAGTTTTTTAAAGTGATCTGCTGCTAGAAAATAAGAAAATCCTTTTTACTTATAGCAACAGAGTTGAGAAAAGAACAGCAGCAACCTACCAGCCCAAGTAGGCGCGCGGCCAGGTAGGCGCAAAGCCATAACATGCTTCAAGATTTTCGAATCTTGTCAAATTTAGTATTAAATGATTCCTCTCATCGAGCTAAAGAGATTGGTATCAAAATTAGTAAGGTCCGAAAATTTTCCAGCTAGTTATGGCTTTGCGCCTACTTGGCCGCGCGCCTACTTGGGCGTGTCCCACTAAAGCTATTAATATAAAGAAGCTTGTGAGTCAATCACATATGTATTCAAAAAAAAAGAAAAATCAATTGAATATAGATCACTCTACTTGAAAACTTTCTTTAAAAGCTCCTATAATTTTGAATTTTCTGTTTAACTTGGTCTTTCTAAAAAGAATAGTTTTTTTAACAGTTAATTATTTTTTGAGAGAAATTTTCTTTCAAAAATTAAAAATTATGGATCAAAATAAAGAAGGACAAGTTCAACAACAAGGAGGAGGACAACAACAACAAGAATTGGTAATAGAATTTTAAAAATTTTGAATAGAAATATTTCTGAAAGTGTTTCTGTGTGTAGCACCGTCTCCCCCAATAACCTATTATTAGTCTTACATAAACTTGTGTGATACTTGCAATTTTCTGCCAGTTTCCAACTGGAATATCTGTCGAGAGTTGACTTAGAGTGGGATAAGTAGGGGGAGAGTGTTAGAGCTTCAGAGCTAGAGCTTCTAGCTTCCCCCCTAGAGCTTCACCTGAAGTTCCGGTCTGGAACCGAAAAATTGGATCTGGTCAAAATTTCAGTTCCGGTTCCGTCCAAATTTGCGGTTCCGGTCCAGCACTAGAGTGTGTATTTTCTCTCCTCTCAATTTCTCTCTTATCCTATTTCTCTCATATATCCTTTTCTATATTAGCCAGTCGCTGAAATTACTTGCACTGTTCAATTTGTAAGCAACCGAAACAATCAACAAGGGCAAGCAGTTCAAGGACAGCAACAACAAAATTATGGCAATCGACAACAACATCAAAATGGAACTTAAAAACTTGTGTTTAGAAAAATTGAAAAATTTAAAAAAGTTGCCTTGAATGCCTCGAAAAAATTCTTTTTAAAAAATGCCTCTTTCATATATTATTTTATAAAAATTCTTTTTTTCCTTTAATTTGTATTTGTGGGGAGACGGTGCTACTAAATAAAATAATTAGTATCCCTTAAATATTTTTTGAAGCAAAAAAAAATAGTCGGAAAAACGTTTCTAAGAGACGTAAAACAGAGGGGAATCACAAGTAAAACTGTGAAACGTGTTTAAATTTATGCTAAACACAATGCCAAACTTTAATTAAAAATAAGGATAAAATGTCATTTTTAAAATTTATTCTTGTAACATAAATTAGAGAAACGGGAAAATAGTATAGAAAAATGAGAGACGGCAGAAAATTCTCTCCATATTTTACATAGTCTTTTTATTTCTCTGCGCTGTTTAGTGTTAGCCTAAAAATAAATTAGGAAGAGGTCAGTATTGGCTCGTCAGTATTGGCTCGAGTCCCGGCCCTATAACTCAGCAAGGAATGGTCACTTTTTAATGTTTTTGGTATCATTGGATAGAGAATCAAAAGCTCTACAAAATATCAAAAAATCAGAATTTTTGACCTATTGATAAAAAAGTTATGATTTAAAAACTAACTTTTTCAAAAAAATCGGATTTTTCGGCACTTTATCGATCATAACTTTTTTACCAATCGGTCGGGAATTTTGATTTTTTGGTATATTGTAGCCTATTTAATGCCCTATCCAATGGTACCAAGAGTAGCAAAAAGTGTCCATCCCTTCATAAGTTATAGGGTCCGGGACTCAGTTGAGTCGGGACTCAATTGAGGTGTACCGGTTTATTGTAACATAAATTAGAGAAACGGGAAAATAGCATAGAAAAATGAGAGACGGCAGAAAATACTCTCCTTATTTTACATAGTCTTTTTTATTTCTCTGCTCTGTTTAGCCTAAAAATAAACTAGGAAGAAGAAACTTTGTTTCAAGTTTTTGCTTTAACTAATTTTGATAAATTGGTGATTATTTGATTTCTGTTTTTAGTCAGAGAATGTAACAGCAGCTTCACAACAACAAGGGCAACATGCCAGTAAAGAAGATGAACAACAGACAATCAAGAAAAGTTGTGTTAAAGATGAAAATGGGTTTACCTACTATAAATGTCGTTTTTGTGGATTAACTTTTAACTTTATGGTAAATTAAGAAAAAAAATTTTTTTTTGAAATTTTTTTATATTTTTAGACGACTTTAAAGGTTGGTTGGTTGATTAATGTGTTCTCTCTCACTTTGGAATTTATTTAAGAAAAAAATTTTTTTTTTGATTTTTAGGCACACGAAAGGGTACATGATATTATCCAGGTTTTCTTTTTAATAAAAAAAATTAAAAAAAAATTTATTTTTGAAGCCGTATACTTGCAATAAATGTGGAGAAGCATTTCATTATATGTGTGAATTGGAATATCATGCAAAAAGTGAGTTGAAATTTTTTGAAATTTTCAGAAAAATTTTTTTAAGCTCATCTAACTCAGAAGGGATACAAATGTGAATGTGGACGAACGTTTTTTCAAGTTTTTAATTTTTATTTTGGGAAAGGGATCGAACCTGGGACCTAAATTTTGTAAAAGTCTAAATCACTAACCACTTGACTAGAAAATTTTTGGGGGAGAAAAAAGGGGGAAAAGTGATTTTTGGACTAAAACCTTGTCTAGTTTAAAGATATGTAACTTTGTTGGTAATTGCTCTATAAATTTAAGCTTTATGTCAAATTAAAGAGCGAACTCTGGGCTACAAAAATGACTAAAATAAATATTTTAGTTTTTGGTTTTAGAAAGGTTGTGAATTTTTCTAGTGTTTTTGTCACTATTTTTGTTAGTTTTTAGCTAATATTTTTGTTAATAATAAAGTTTAAGAGTTGAAATAAAATTTATTGAATAGCCAAGAGTTTTCTCTATAATTTGGTTTTTAGTTTAGATTTGTAGCTTTATTTAAAGAAAAGTTGTGATTTTTGAAAGGTGGTTGGGTGTGGGGGATTTTTGGGGAATGTTTTTCGATTTTTAGTCAGAAATTTTCTTCTATTTCTTATTTTTTATTGTCTTTATTTTAGTACACCGATCTTCTTAATCATCGTCACCCTGGAGAGGACCCACCAGAACCAGCAGTTCCCCCAATACCTTCACTTGTCGAAACATTACCTCAATTAATTTCAGCAGCAACTTTAAAAGCAGAAAGGGAAATGGAATTGCCGACACCGGAATTTAAAGAAAAGGGGTTTGAACCAAAGGTTTTCTTATTTTAAAAATAAATTTAAAAAAAATTTTTGTTTTTAAAGTATCAAAATCGTGTATGGACTGATATTCGTTCAAAGCCGTATATTTGTCAATACTGCTCTAAGGTAAATTTTATTTCTTACTTAAGATGGTGGGAAAAAATTTTAAATTGATCAAAAAATTAAAAAAAATTTTTAGGAATTTAATTTTTACATTTTTTACACTTAAAAAATTAATTTACCCCCAAACGGGTTCGAACCCACACCCATTTACCCCTAAAGTCAAAAACACTAACCACTAGACCATTGTTTTTATAAGGAGAAAATGAACTTGTATTTGCTTCCCTTAAATTTTGATGCTTTAAAAATGGATAAAATGGTTCGGAAACGTCCAAAAATTATAAAATTTTGGATTTATGCTTTTTAAGAGAGTATTTATTAAATTATTTAATTTGGGAATTTTTGGGTGAAAAATTTTTAAAAATTTTTTTTAAATTTTTTTGTAGAGTTATTCAGACAGTCGGTTGGTTTAACAATTAAAAATTAAAAAAAATATTATTTGTTTTAATTTAAAAAGGCAATTAGCCTACCATATGTATAGCCATCGTGGAGAAAGAGCATTTAATCCGAGGGCTAGTCGTTATTTGATGTGCAGAAATGAGTTAATTTTTAATTAAAAGTTAAAAAAATTTGTTTTTAAAGGAATTCCTACATATCTTCTGGAATTGATCTTAAAGATGCTTAAGTGGAGTGATAGTTGTTATGTGTTTTTAAAAAAGAGAGAAAGAAAAAAAAGAAACAGTGAAAAACATTGTTTTTATTTAGAAAATAAAAACTTGGTCAAGTTTTATTTTTGTTTCAAGTTTGCAATTCAAGTTTTAGGTTGATTTTTAAGTTTGTGCTTCAAGTTTTAAGTTGATTTTTTAAAGTTTATTTTTCAAGTTTTATTTTTTCTAGTTTGTTCTTAAGTTTTTATTTTTAAGTTTTCGATTTTGCTGTATTCAAGTTTATTCTTAAGTTTCAAGTTTGTGCTTCAAGTTTTGTATTTCCTTCAAGTTTATTTTTCGATGCTTCAAGTTTTTAGTACTAACAATAAGAAATTTAACTAATTTATATTGAGACTAGAATTTATTACAAAAATAGAGTATTTTTATTAGAGATTTTATTTTATTGCTTTTATTCTCAATTAAAATCCGTATTTATTTATAATTCAGTTACTTCATTAACTGTTGTATTTGAAGCATTATTTGCATTTTCATAAGCTTTTTGTTTCTGCTCTTCTATAAATTTAAAAATATTTGAGGGACTACGGCTGTCTGTTGAAGAATTCTTCCCTTGATTTATTGCATTTGAAATTTCTGTTAATGATAAATCTGCAAAGAAAAAAGGGGAAAATTATTTTTAAGACTTGAAACTTTTCAAGTTTGAACTTAAAAAGTTGGAAGTTTAATTTTCAAGTTTTATTAAAGTTTTAAAGTTTGTTAGAGTCAAATTTGAATTTTAAGTTTGTGCTTCAAGTTTAATTTTTCGTTTTGCTTCAAGTTTGAATTTTAAGAGTCTGTTTCAAGTTTTTTTTAAGTTTGTGCTTCAAATTCTTTAAAGTTTGTGCTTCAAGTTTTATTTTAACAAAAATTATTAGCACCTATAGAAGAATTATCAGCAGTATCTTCAAATTCAGTACGATGCCCAGAAGGTGTGCTACTTTGACTTAATTGTCCCCCACCCCCAAGCTGGATTCGACTTAAACTTTGTTGTCGTTGGGGCATTCGGTAATGTCGACGTTTTTTGTGTGTTGTTAAAGGATCAGAATCTCGAAGTAAAATTGGGTTACTAAAAGCATCTTCTGGTGGTTTGCTAGCACTTTAAATTTGAGGGGAAATTTGTAAAAATAAAAAATAATTATTAAACTCTATTATGTCCTCAAAATCCTCAGCTTCCTCATCTACAATAAAGTTGGGTGGCTTTTGTTGTATCATCATCAATTCTGCCTGTTAATATTCAAGTTTAATTGAAAGTTTCAAGTTTTGATTTTTAAGTTTCAAGTTTGCTTCAAAATTTTTTGTTTCAATTTTTTTGTTTCAAGTTTTTTGCTTCAAGTTTTTTGTTTCAAGTTTTATTTCTTAACTTTCAAGTTTTTTGCTTCAAGTTTTAATTTTTAAGTTTCAAGTTTTTGCTTCAAATTTTCTTGTTTCAAGTTTTTTGCTTCAAGTTTTAATTTTTATGTTTCATGTTTTTGCTTAATCTTTTTGAGTTTATTTTAACTAGTTGCTTCAAGTTTCTTTTTTTAATTGTATTTCTTTGTTTATTTACTTCAGAATCCTGATCATCATAGTGATTTCTATTCAATATTTCCATTCCGTTACTCTCCATAGTTGGAATATCCAAAGAACTTCCCTGGAAGAGCAATTGCTTTTTTGCTGCTTTTTTATCCCAAAGTGTATTATCGTCTTCAACAAACTGAAAACAAAATTTTTTTAAATTTTTCTCGAAATTTTGAGGACCTCAGGTGAAGGTAGTCTAATTTCTTTATATTCATCACTGATTTTGCGCCGTGCTGAAGCTTTAAAAAATAAAAATGTTTCGAAGATTGAAACAAAATACCAATTATATCGTCTAAAGTAACTGAACTGCTTAACCCGCTTGCTTGACTTGTTTGGCTTACAGCCGGACTTGTTATTGTTGGTGGTTGAATGGTTGGCATAAGAGAACCATTCGGAATTGATTCTCGGTTGTTTTCTAGGTAAAAATAGAGAAAAATAAAATATTTAAGCTTGGGAGAAGCAGCTTTTGTGTTTCAAGTTTTAATTTTTAAGTTTCAAGTTTTATTTTAGTGTTTCAAGTTTTATTTTTGTGTTTCAAGTTTTATTTTTGTGTTTCAAGTTTAATTTTTGTTTCAAGTTTTATTTTAGTATTTCAAGTTTTATTTTAGTGTTTCAAGTTTTATCTTTCAAGTTTAATTTTTAACTAAAATGTTTCAAGTTTGCGCATTTCTTCATTTTTCAATATTAATTCTAATTATGTTTCATGTTTATTTTTTAACTAACTATTATTATTTTCATTTGCCGTAGTTGTTGCCATTTTAACATTTATTGGCGTCAAAGCATGTCTCTTTAAATTATCACGAATAAAGCTTAACCGCCGCGCATGAAACTTTCCACAATTTAAATTACACCATTCTTCTTTTGTACAATAAATTGAAGGAAGCGGACTCTGTTGCATCATTTGCCGATACATTTTTTAATTTTAGATTTTTAATGAAATGTTTTTTCAGTAGCAGGCGGTTTTAATTATTCAAAAACGAACTTGAAGCAGGCGGAAATATTTTATTTAAAAATTAAATAAACTTGAAACAAGTTTATTTTTCTGCTGTTGTTGTTAAAACTTTGTTTAACATTTTTGTAAACTTAAAAACTTGAGATTGCAAAATTAAAAGAAACTTGAGATTGAACTTAAAAATAAGTAAACTTGTTTCAAGTTTATTTTCCTGTTATTATTAAAACATGTTTTTATTTTTTTTTGAAAACTTGAGATTGTAAAATTGTGACAAACTTAAGATTGTAATTATTTAAATGTGGAAATTTTTATATTTAAAAAGAAGCCTTAAAATATTGTAAATGAAGAAAAATAAAATGAAAGAGAAAAGCTAAAAAGGGAAGCTATTTTGAAGAAGCATATATTTGTGTGTCGTATAAAATAGGCTAACATTAAATATAAAAATGTTTTAAAAAATATATTACAGAGAATATGACGATAAAAAAAGATTAATATTAAGGGAGATGAGAGATAATAAAATATTTTTAAATAAATAATAATTTTTTTTTACATTGACGATGCTTATATAATAAATAACTAATTATTTTAAAAAGAAAAAAATATTTTTTTAAATCTTTTTTTTTAATTCTATATAAAGGGAATGAATGTTATTTTTCAATCTCTTTTGAAAATTAAGAAAGGGAGAGAGAAAAGACGACACTCGTATTTAAATTTTAGGATTAGAAAAATTTTTTTAATAAATTTAAAAGTGTAAGATAGTAAGGAAGATACTGTTAAATATAAGAAAAAATTTTTAAAAATTGAAAAAAAAAATTTATTTTAAAAAATAAAAAAAATATTAATAGAAGATACACACATACACTCCGCGTCAAAAAGATTCGGACATCTTGTTTTTCGGAAATATTTTTCAATTATCTAAACAATTATAGTAAATACTTTAAGAAAATCATAAATAAGGATCTAAGATATATGTATAAACAAAAAATTAAAAAAAATTTGAAGTATAAATTTTTTATGAAATAATTTTTGAAAATCAACTGCGCCAAAAAGATTCGGACACTTTTTTAAAATTTCTTTAATGGCCCATAAATGATCCAGAAATTTTGTAAAAATTCCAGTGAACATTTCCATCAATATTAAGTAGAAAAACAAAAAGAACGAAGTCCGTAAATACTTTCTTCATTGAGATCCCAAAACCCCAAAATCAACGGAAAATAGAGGTACAGTACTTCAAAAAATATTTTGACACCCTTAGAGGTTGTATAAAAATTTTCTTTTAGGCCCTCCAGAAAGCCCACAAAATTTGCTACAAAAAACACTTGGTTCCATCCTGTAGAAAAATTTTACCATAGAGGCCCCATCGATTAAATTTAAAAGTTAGAAATAATGACCATTTATGGGGTAATTTGAGTGAAAGCTCATTTAACCGATGGGGCCTCTATGGTAAAATTTTTCTACAGGATGGAACCAAGTGTTTTTTGTAGCAAATTTTGTGGGCTTTCAGATAAGCCTGAAAAAAATTTTTTATATGAAGCCTAAGGGGGTTAAAATATTTTTTGAAGTACTGTACCCTCGTTTTCCGTTGATTTTGGGGTTTTGAGATCTCAATGAAGAAAGCATTTTCAGACTTCATTCTTTTTGCATTCCTACTCGATATCGATGGAAATGTTTATTTAAATTTTTGTGGAATTTCTGGATCATTTCTGGCCCATTAAAAAAATAATAAAAAAGTGTCCGATTTATTGTGACGCAGTTGATTTTCAAAAATTATCTCATAAAAAATTCATACTTCAAATTTTTTTTTAATTTTTTGTTTATACAAATATCTTTGGCCATTATTTATATATTTTTATAGTATTTTCTATAATTGTTTAGAGATAATTGAAAATATACCCTAAAAACAAGGTGTCCGAATCTTTTTGACGCGGAGTGTAGGTATGTAAACATGTTTTGAAAATACCTATTATGATTTGTTTTGTATTAATTCTGATTTTATTTGTGTTTTAGAAAAATTCTGATTTTATCTAAACATGTTTTAGAAAAATTCTGATTTTATCTAAACATGTTTTTAAAAAATTCTGAGTTTATTTAGAAATGTTCTAGAAAAATTCTGATTTTATTTAAACGTTGTGAACATATTCTGATTTAATATAAACATGTTTTGCATGAATTCTGATTTTATTTAGTAAACAAGGACACAAATAATAACAAAACAATTAATTGGCCCGAGTTTTTGAATAATAGACCATATTTTAAATTTCACGCCTTTTGGCGTTTTGTTTTTATAAATTAAAATGACAATTAATCCCACAGTACAGTTGAGTCTTATTTTTTTAATTTTTTACTTATGTATAATTTTTTTTGTTTTTTTTGCATAAAATTTTAAAGATTCTTTTCTTGTTTAACTTTTACTTTGTTGTTTTTTACAATTTATATAGATATTTTTATTTATATTTTCATAGAATATTTCTCTTGAGCTTTTTGGAGCGTTTGTTCATTAATCTCATCAAATTCAATTATTTAAAGATGGAAGATAACAACCAAGAAAGGCCTGATTCAGATCTTGACGTAAGAATTACGTCAAGATTTTTTGAAAATTTAATTTTTACCGTTTAGAACAATGGAGAGCTTAAAGGAGGCACTAAGGTGGTGAATAGAAGGAAACTAAAAAAGGTTTCTTGACTCTTAATTTAAATGACTAGTTAAATAAGAATTTTTGGTAATCTTGTAATTCTAATTTACTGGTTCTCAGGAGGAAATACCAATAAGTTTTTTGATATGTTTGAGGCTTGATAGTAGGTAGTCCAGTGTGCTGACAATGAGTCCGTTTCTGAGTTCAGATCCGGATATTGGCTTAAAATTTGTTCGTTTCAAGTCCTGGACACAGATTTGACCTGGCCTACTGGCAAACCTCGAAAATGTCGAAAGCACATCTCGCTGATTTTATTTTAGCCCTACTTTTTACTCTAGGAGTGGGGGTTCGAGTAAACTAGAAGCTTCCAGAATTTCTAATGTAAAATAATTTTCTATTAATTTAGAAGGCAAAGGAAATTGCTGAACAGAAGAAGCCTTCAACGTCAAAGTTTAATGTTCATCAATCAAAACGTGGAGGTTTTCAAGGATCTGCTGTGTCTAAAGAAAATTTAAGAAAGGTTTAATAAGAATTTTTGTAAAATAATTTTCTGAGAGTTTAGACTGAAAACACAATTTCTGACAAGAACAACCCGCCAAAACCGATTGAAACAATATCAAAGGTTGTTGGGTCCACAGTAAAGAAATCTACCAATGAGAGCAGTTTTGTTCAAGGTTGTTCCTATTCATCAGTGGTTATGTCTTTAAGCAAGTCTGAAAAGGTTTATTTTCTTTACACAATAATCAAATTAAAACAATTTTCATATTTAGCCAGCTAAGATCACAAGTGTAAGTCAGGAGCAACTTTCACCCTCAAATTCTAATGACAATGATTTGGAGGCAAATAAATCTGCAAGTTCTGGTCTTGGCGAGGATGGAATAAATCAATCGAATGAACACTTGGATAATTTACAAGCTGGAGCAGAGGAAGGAATTGATAATGTTGTCGAGGCTAGATTTTTCTTTTTAAAATTAAGAAATACTTTTTGGAATTGAAAAAATATTGCCTTTGCGGACTCTTCAAATGTTCCGATTTACTATTTATATCGTTTATGAAAAACTTAAATTTAGGATCATCGTCCTCCTAGTGGAGATTCTGGCGTCTCTTGTTCGGGTCCATCATTTTTACCTTTGCCAATTAAACAAATCTCTATCCTTGGCTTCAAGTACCCGTCTCAATGTACAGACTATGTTTATCAATGTTTGTGTTATCAATTAAAGAACCATATGAGTGATGCTTTTGAGGTTTTATTTTATAGTTATTTCCCCTTCATTTTCATTTAGAATGGACAGAAAGTTTATGAACATCCAGAGGAATTTATCAGAGAGGCCAAAGAAGCTTTCATGGTTGAGAACTGGATCCTAACATCCGAATTTGTATTTTTAATTAAAATTATTTTGTATTTTTTATATTTTAGTGCTGGGGCGCTTTCAGCTTGGCTGTTAAATTATTATATAAAAAATTGAAGATTAAATTTTCTGCACACAATGTTTGTTTTGCATTGGCCTTGTTAGCTGCTAAATGTTCTATGGAAGGGGCTTTCCTTGGTTCAGTTGTCGCTTTAATGAATCTGTAATTTTTTGTATTAAGTTCTTTTTCTCTGTTCTTGAATTTTGTCGTGACCCGTTCACCAAATATTTAACAATAAAATTTTTATGGCTTTATTTCGGACTTTAGGTTAAAAAATCTTTTATTTTGTTTACTCCAGAACAGAGTTCAAATTCTTTTTATTACACCTTATATTTTTAATTTTCAGTACTCATTGTAATCGTTACCCCAGTGAGTCAACGAGGGATGAGGTCATCGACTTTATCGAGAAGATTGAGAAGTTTGCTCGCCATTTTGGTCAGATCAAGGCGGATAATGTATGGAATTTACTTAAGGATCGGCTCCCAAAACAATCTGGATCTACTTCAGTTTATGAAGGAATTACTTTTAAGAAGCATGAACCGTTCACTGCTGGTTTTTTTGGAAGAAATTTTGAATTTGAATATGTTGCTTATATTCCGAAAATTTACTAAACATTTTTGTTTAGCTATATTATGATTTATAGTTATTTGACATTTTTTAGGTATTTCATTTAATTTCCAAAAAAATACTTTTCTCAAAAATTTTTTCTCTTTGATTTTGTGCCTTTATTGTTTTTCTCAATAAGCCACAAATATTTATTTTTACTTCAAAGTTTTTTCCGACATACATATATTTTTTCCACAAATTTATAAACTTCAAAAAATATATACTTTTATTTGACTTTAATTTTGTGTCCTTATTGTTTTATATACATAAGGACTTCTTTTTGACTTATTTTATGTCTTTGTTTTTCTAAATATAAAAATTTTTTCAAATAATGTTTTACGTATAAAATCTTTAATTTTTTATTATTCTTTTTGAATTTGTTTGAGAACAATTTTTATTTAAAATTTTTTTAATTTTATTTTTTTTAATTGTTAAATTTAGGGGAGTTTATTTTTCATTAAAAATATTGGCAAGGGTCAATATTCGGCACTTTACAATAAATTGTAGCTCAATTCTGTTTATAACAGATGATTTTAATTTACTATTTTTATATCCTCTGTTAAAGACTAAAATTTAGGATCGTCGTCCTAGTGGAGATTATGGCGCCACTAGATCGGATCCATTTTTGGGGCCTTTGATACCTTTGCCAGTTAAACAAATCTTTCTCTTTGGCTTCATGTACCCGATTCAATGTACCGACTATGTTTATCAATGTTTGTGTCGTCAATTAAATAACCATATGAATGATGTTTTTGAGGTTTTATTTTATAATTATTTCCCCTTCATTTTCATTTAGAATGGACAGAAAGTTTATGAACATCCGGATGAATTTATCAGAGATGCCAAAGAAGCTTTCATGGTTGAGAACTGGATCCTAACATCCGAATTTGTATTTTTAATTAAAATTATTTTGTATTTTTTATATTTTAGTGCTGGGGCGCTTTCAGCTTGGCTGTTAAATTGTTATATAAAAAATTAAAGATCAAGTTTTCTGCACACAATGTTTGTTTTGCATTGGCCTTTTTAGGTGCTAGATGTTCTACGGAAGGGGTTTTCCTTGGTTACGTCGTCACTTTAATGAATCAGTAATTTTTTTATTATGTTCTTTTTCTGTTTTTGAATTATTTTGTGTCACGTCCACCAGATAGATAACGGGGTTGGTGGGGGTGGGGTGTAGGGAATAAGTATTCACCACATATTTAGCTATAAGAATTCTTATAGACTTATTTCGAACTTTAATTTCAAAAATCTTTGTTTATTTCAAAACAATTCAAATTCCTTTTATTACAGTTCCTTATATTTTTAATTTTTAGTACACATCAGAACTTTTATACCGGTGAGTCAAAGAGAGATAAGGTTATTGACTTCATCGCGAAGATTGAGAAATTTGCTCATGATTTTGGTGAGATCAATGCGAATGATGTGTGGAATTTACTTTCAAATCATCTCCCTACACAACCTGGATCTACTTCAGTTTATGAAGGAATTACTTTTAAGAAGTTGAGACCTTGTACTGCTGGTGTTTTTGGAAGAATGTCAAAATTTGACTATGTTGCTTATATTCCAAACAGTTAGTAAACAGTTTTATATCTAGTATTTTGATTGTTTTTAGTTATTTTTGTCATTTTTTAGATGTTTCTTTTCCAAAAAATAATTTTCTCAAAAATTTTTTTTTCCAATATTTGTCCCTGCATATATATGTGACCTCCTTTTATCTTTGATTTTGTGTCTTTATTGTTTTTCTCAATAACAAAAGACACAAATATTTATTTATTTTTACTTCAAATTTTTTCTAGCCAAATATATTTTTTTCACAAATTTATAAACCAAAAAATATATACTTGTATAGGGACTTCTATTTGACTTTGATATTATGTCTTTCTTGTTTTTTATATAGGGACCTCTTTTTGACTTTAATTTTTTTCTCCAAATATAAATTTTTTAAATAATTTTCTAAATATAAAATTTCTAAATTTTTCTTCAATTAATTTTAGATTTGTTTTTTAACAATTTTTTTTTAATTTTTTGTATTTGCTTGTTATTTTTTTAATATTGAATTTAGGGGAGTTCTTATTTTGCTTCTAAAACAATTTTTTCTTAATCAAAAATGGATTTGTCTCTAATAAATATAATTGAAACTTTAAATGTTGACGCCGTTCAGGAATCAATTTCTTCATTAAAAGATAAAGGGTATTTTTTAATTATATTTTTTTAAGGATTTTAAGTCCTTTTGGGCCGAGACAGCTTTAAGTCCTTTTGGGCCGACACAGCTTCCTCCGTTTTCTAGTTTCCCTGTGTTTTAACTTGCGGACAGAACTTGCAGACCTTTTCAAATTAATTGTTATACTTGCCAAAAATATTTTTTATTGATTGGTTGAATGTTAAAAACCGTGAGGGCATTCTAGCAATTTTTTACTTGTCAAAATAATTTTACATAATTGATTGAATACCAACAAGCAATCAAGTGAAAAATCTAGGAAAAAGTCCGCAAAAACCCCTCGTCTTTTTTCGGGTACTAATTCTCATATTTTTTCAGAACAGATTTGGAACGTATAAAATCATCAATAGAACGTGTTTTGCGTACTAAAGCTTTGGAATTTGGGCGTTCAGACATTCCTATTGTTGATGTTGAAGCTTTTGTGAAATTTGTTATTGGATTGGCAGAAAAGGATATTGGAGTTTCTAAAGAAAATGATAAAGACAATAGTATATTTATTATTTTGGGGGATTTTTAAATGTTAATATTTGGGGGAATTTTCAGGACGGTCCATTTTTTGACTGGCTGAATTCGGGAATTTGATTTCCTAGGTTTTCTCTATCGTCAGACATTTTGGTTTGATTGGATTGGTTCGTTACAAAAAAACCATTGATTTAATACAGAGAACCCGACAGATAAATATGGGAAAAAGTTTAAACTTAAATTTATTGATAACTTTCTGAATAAGTGCTTTGTTCTTGGAAGATTTATACTCAAATTAACCTTCTATCCAGTTCTAGCCTAAAGATTTTATCCATTTATCCAATTTCCTGATATTCATATCAAACGTATCTAATTCATTTCCCTATTTATTTTTCAGAAATTTGCACTAAAACATTAACAATTCAAATACTTCAAGACATTTTTGATGTTTCTACAACTCAACGATGTGAACAACTTTTTGGAATTATTGAGAATAACATTCATATTTGGAAAACGGTTAATTTAATATTTTAATACTTTTTTGGCTATTTTAACATTAAGAAAGAAAGACCACCGGCATTCATTTCGTATTTTATAGGGGATTTGTTCCGAAATAAATAAATATGTAGGAATAACGTATGCTCATTGTCAGTATCCTTTAAGTTTTTTTCCAAATCTTTTATTAGATTTGGACTCCTTTTTTTTATTTTGGACGAATTTTTTTAGTTTTTGTTTTCTAACTGATAGGAAAAGTCGAGTTGTGTCTCCAACTTCTAGAATAGTTCCTTTCTCCCTCATCTCTTGATTGCTGTATTCCTTTAAGAATTTGCCTCTAAAATTTGTCTAAAATACTAATTAAAAGAACCTCACATCAGCCAGATTTTATTTTAAAATTTTTATCAATTTTTAACACTATTCTTCCCCTTTTTTCAGCCATTCTTCTTTTCTTCATGCAAAAATATGATTTTACGTCTGTGCAATGATTTACTAAAACGACTTTCTCGTTTTATTGATACAACATTTTGTGGACGTATTTTAATACTTTTGGCTAAATCTTTACCTTTAAATGAAAAATCTGGATTAAATTTGCCTGGACATTTTAATACACAAAATGTTACTGTTTTTGATAGAGAAAAGGTTTTTTTAATTATTATTTTTGTTAATTTTAAGGTGGTTTAAAATTAAAATTGGTTTTTCTTGTAATTTGTTAATTTTTCTGAATAATAGTGAGCCCCGACTTTTTGACATTAGTTTATAGTTTAAAAATTTGATGAGAGTTGATCTTTGCTTTTTTGGGGGAGGACCTTGATTTTTCTTTTTTTGATTTTTTTGTTATAAGAGTGATTTTGATTTTTTTCGATAATCCTTTCCAATCCTGTCGATTTTCTCAAGGCCTCCTCCCCCCTCCCCCCTCTCTCTTCTTCCCCATCCCTGTTTTATAAGTTGGACTTACTAGTATTGAGTTCGTCTTGGAGTTCGAGGTTATCCCCAGAAATCAAAATAAAAAAATTTTAAATTTAAATATTATAGAAAGATCAACATCCACAACACGAAGAAAACGAACAGCGTATGGAAGAAGGACCAGAAGAACCTCCACAACTTCCATCAGTTTCTTCAACAGCAGGAGGAGTAGATGATGATATGGAAGTTGGGGAAATTAGGGATCATCGGTATATTTTTTTAAATTTTTTTTTAATTTTATTTTTTGTAGAGATTCATTTGGAGGAACAATTCCAATTGATTATAATTTGTATTTTAATTTTTGGGATTTACAAAGATTTTTTTCTAATCCAAATTTGTTGTTTGAAAATGATAATTTTACAAAATTGGAAAATGTTTGCCTTTTAAATTAATTAAAAAAAAATTTTTTTAAGGATATTTCTAATGTTTTTGCATTATTTTCTGCCTATAAAATTGAAAAACCACAACGTCAGGAATGTTCTGGTGATGTTGGTTCTCCCCAACATGGAAAAGCTTATAATAATTTTAACAACAAACATGAGGTAAATTGAATTAAAACTTTGTTTGTTTTAAATTCTGAAATTAAATTCTGATTTTTAAACAAGGTAAATAAAATCAGAATTAATTTAAAACATATTTTCCACTACAAAAATTAAGCAAATTTTATTTTTAAAGAATTCAATGGAAATAGATTATGATTGTGATACTAAAAATGATGTTAAAATTATTAATTTAGACGACAAAAATTCTGATAATTCATTCAAAAATAATTCAAATATTGGACAACGTTTAAATGTAGATTTATCTGAACGAACATTTTGTGCTAAATATTTGACTAGTGAAAAGGTTTTTCTTAATTTTTTTTGAATTTTAAAATTTTTTAATAAATTTATTTTTTTTAGTTATTTCCTTTTCAAATGTCTGATTCACAATTTCGACGTTATTTTCTTCTTCAATTTTTAATTATTAGCAATTATTTGGCTTCTAGAACGAGACCAAAAGAGTTTGGAATTTTGTAAAAATTTATTTTGAACAAAATTTTTTTTGAAATTTATTTTTTAAATTTTAAATAAATATTTTTATAGAGCGCTAGAATTGAATTCAACTCAAGAAGAAACATTACAAGGTTTAATGGATAAATGTTATAATCTGTTGAGGGAGACTTATCCAAATGGATCTCGTTTTGCTTCTTCTGTTAAGGTTTTAAAATAATTTTTATTTTTAATTTTTGATTATTGCAATCTCATTCCTGTTTATTGTCAATATTAGGTACTCATAAATTGTTAAAGACAGCATTTTTGGCACAAACTTTGACCAATTTTAAAACAAGCTCCAACTCCGGACGGAGCCGACTAACTCCCGACTAACTCCCAAAGTCAAAGGAAAGTAAAGTTAAGAAAAGCGACTTGTTTTTTTCTACTGGTTAAGCTACATTTTTTAGATTTGTTCGGTCACTGTCTTGTTGTTGAATCAACAATACCTCCCAATTAAAATACACCTAATTATGAGTTATAATTTTCTCTTTCTAAGAGATAACCAAAAATTGAGAAATTTTTTCTTTAAATTTTTAGAAATTATTACTTCGAGAAAAGCAATGGTGTTCTTGGAAAGCTGATGGTTTTCCAGATTTATTTAATAACAGCAACATACAATCCTCCTCTTCTTGTGATGATATTAAATTTGAAAGAAAACAAATTTCTACACGTTATGTCGCTAATTCTATTGATCTTGGAAATTCAGGTTTATTTTTATTTAATATCCTGATTAATTTAATATCGTCATTGAGTTTTGAGATTAATCTTGATGAATTTTTTTATTTTTCCTAACAATAAGACAGTCAAAGGAAAGAAAAGTTGCGACTTTTAATTTTTTCTTTCACCTCTTTTTGGCCGTGTTAACTTCAATTTCTTTGGATTTTGTCAGTTTTTATTCCTTAAAAGATTTGGATTTTTTACGACTCTCTAGCTTGTCCCTCCAGACTTCCAATTTTTTGTTTTTCAATTTCATCAATTGATCGATTTTTATGTAACTTTTACCCTTTTGATTGACTACAAGGTAGAGGATTAATCTTAAAACTTTAAATAGGGGTGGGAGGCTAATATACCTAAATTAAAAAAGATCTACATTTTAAAAATCTTTCAGAATTAACACGTTTATGGACAATAGAAAAGGATAATTTAACGGCTTGCAAAAATGTTAAACGTAATTGTATTCCAAATTTGAAAAGTTTTTTGGAAGAAGCTTTGGATGAATTGGATCCAGAACAACAAGTAGAAGAAAAATATCAATCTGTAAATGATGAACATTATCAATGGATGGCTAGTAGATTTTTATTAATGAATAGTGATCAACATATAGTTTGTTGTTTTTAATTTTTTAAATTTTTTTTTTAAATTTTGGGGTAAACAGTAGGAAGAGTTGGCGGATTCGGAAAGAAAAAAGGCCGAATATCCGAAATTTTCAGATCGGATCCGAATATCCAGTGATTTTTTAAGATTAGCCAACTCTAGATAAGAGAGAAGTATACGTTCAGGTCCGGGAAGGTAACGATCCTGCAGTTATCCTGTAGTTATTCCTAGGCAATTTCGCTCACCACACACAATTGCTCTACCGATAGGGGCGCTGTTTTTCTTATTTTCATAAAATAAATCTTAAATACCCGTCTAGTAAGTGTTTTAAATGTTATCACATTTAAATATGTTTTTTACATGTTTTTTTTGGTTACTTCTCTCTGGTTCACTACGAGCTCGCGTGGTAGACTAGTCTTGCTTTGTGAATTTATTTTTGGGATTATTTTTTTGTAAAATTTATTTTTGGGAAGCAAATCACCTTTTTAGCTTTAATTTGAATTAAAAAAATTTTTTTCTTTTAAAGAATCATGCTTCACAAGACGCCAATATGAAAATGTTTGAAAAACCTTCAGAAAAGGATGCTATAGCCGTTTTTCTACGAAGATCCATACAAGTAGCTGCAGAAAATGTTCCGGTATTTTTTAAAATAATTTTTTGAATGTTTTTTTATTTTCTAGGAATTAAAATCAAGAGCTCAACAAATTCAAGCATCAATAGAAAAAATTAAAAAACGAGAAAATGACCGATTGGAAGAACAAGCTAGAGTAGCAAAAGAATTGGAGATAGCTAAAGCAAAAGAATTGGAATTGGCAAAAGTAAGGGAAATGGAATTGAGATTGAAAGAAGAAAAAATTAAAATACAAGAGAAGGAACAACGAGCTTTGCCAGAAGATTTGTCAACTAGAAGTATTTCAAAATCTAATAATAATAGTAAGGAGGGGGAACGAAGAGGAGGAGGAGGAGGAAAGGATAAAACAACAACAACAAAAAATGAATTGGAACAACAAAGACGAGGAAGAGAAGAAGAAAGAAGAAGGAAAAGAAGAGGTGGAGGAGGAAATGAAGTAAGCAGTGGAGGAAGAGGAAGTGAAGGTGGTGGAAGAGGAGGAAAAGAAGATGAAGCAAAGAAAAGGAGGAGTGAAGAAAAACGAAGAAGCAACATTGAATCAAGTAAATTATAAGTTGAAATTTTTTAAATTTAAATTTTTTTGTGAAGTTAATTTTAAAAGGAGAGACATTTAATATGGTTAATTTTTTCCTCAAAAAAATTTTTTTTTCCTCAAAAAATTTTTTTTATTATTATATTAAATTTAGCCTTGAAAATATATATAAAAAAAAAGAAAAACAAGCTAGAAAAATAAAACAATAAATCCATTTTGAAAAAAAATTTGGGGAAGAGAGATTTAAAAAATAAGCCAAATAAGGAGCCAAAAAAATTAAACACGCAGAAAAGAAAAAAAATTTTTTATTTTGGATATATAAACATAAATATAGTGTAGGGCTTTTTTGTTCTAGCGGGGGTGATTGAATAATATAATCATCTTTACCTACATAATTTTAGTTAAAAAACTGGTTTTTGTTTAACTTATTAGCGGCTCTTCCAAAAATAAAAGATGGGTTTGTGTAAAAAAAAGAGCCAGAAAGCCTCCCTCTCCTTTTTTGGGTGTCCACAGTCCACAACTTTATTTGTTGTCCATTAATGTCTGGGTGAATCATTTTTAGGGGGAATATTTTTTTGTGTTTTGTCCACACAGATTACATTTTTTGTTTAAAAAACAACTAAAAAATGTCAAAAATGATAATTTGGGAGGGGCTAGTTTTTAGAAAAATATTAAAAACGGGTTAGGATTAGTTTAGTTAGCCCACCCTCTAGACTTTTGTCTCATTTTGTTAATTAGAATAAAGAAAAATTTTTTTTATTTTTAGATTTTTAAAAATTTTTTAAAGAATATTTTGTAAAAAAAATTTTTTTTATTGACGGGGAAAATTGCTTTTTCCTAGGCAATTTGGTCTCAATAAAATTTATTTTAGAAACTAGGTAAAATAAATATAATATCTTGTTTTTTCAACTTGTATTATATTCCTTTACTTTTCCCTCGCAAAAATTTTTACGTGAGAAACATGGATATAATAATTTTAGGTAGATGGAGAATAAATAAACCCCTTTAGCGATCACAACAATGAACATGTCACTCAAAAACCCCTTTATTTTCCTTCCCTCAAAATGAGATATTTTTCTCTTTTTTTTTAAATTTATATTAATTAATAATTTGTGGACATGAAAAAATAAGAGAGAGATTTTTATCTTTTTAGCGCTTAATTATTTGTGTTAATTAAAAAATCAGAATTTAAAAATCAGAATTTTTTGGGCTAATAATTATTAAAAAATTAGTTGTTGTAATTTACCTCAAACATTTATTTCAACATTCATTTATGTTTTTATTATACCTATGTTTGTATCATGTACAAAAACCAGAATAAATGTTGTTTAAAAATTTTTATTGTTTATTTTCTTCTAAACATTTGTTTTTACAAATTATTATTATCTTTTAAAAACATTTTAGTTTCAAACAAACATGTTGCACAAACATTTGTTGTACAAACATTTGTTGCAAAAACATTTTTATTTTTATTATGTTGTTTTGTTCATCTCAACAACAACAACATGTTTGGCAATGCAAATACCTTGTGGGAAAAGTTTTTTCCCATGTTTTGGAGAAAAAGAAGGAACAACAACAACAAAACAACAAACAAACACAAGAAAACTTTATGGAATTACAATACATCAAGATGCTAAAATTTCTGATCAAACATTGAGAACAGCAGCAAAGGAAGCGCATGAAGAAACTGATGTTTTGTACAATGAATCGGGTGTAAAACAATTGTTGGATTCGAGTAAGTTTGTTTTTAATAGGATCAGAATTACAAACAATTTCAGAATAAAATTTAAACATGATTATTAATAGACCAGAAAAACAATGTTTATAAGAAAAACATGTTTTTAGTATTTCAGAATTAAATTAAAACATCAGAATTAAAAGGGAAACTTTTGAACAATAATAAGAAAAACATGTTTTTCGAAATCAGAACTAAACTTGATCAGAATTTAAATAAACCAGAAAAACATTTTTAATCTATGTCAGAATAGCTATGTTTTTATAAAATCAGAATTACATACAAACCATTTCAGAATTTAAATTAAACATACAAATCAGAATAAAAATCAAACATCAGAATTAAAACAGCTTGTTTAAAACATTTAATATTTTGAAAACATTTTTTAAGGAAACCCATTATCTGCTTCATTAATGCAATATAGTAGGATGCATCCGTTAACTGACCGAGGAAAGCTGGTAAAATTTTAAAAATTTAAATTTTAAAGTAAATTTTTAATTTAAAAAATTTATTCAGTTTAGTCAATATGCTTATGTTGCACTTGCTTTAAGTCGTCGTCTTTCCCAAAAAATGACATCAACAACAATGCAGGGAACGGCTACTTCAGTTCCATCACACACACTTTTATTGCATTCTCCAGGACTGTTGGCACGAGTTAAAAATAGTACATCACTTGGCAAAGAATGTCCAACAGATGCAGAGGCACATTGTCCAACTAGTAGTTCACAACTTTTTCGTTCACTTTCTGGTAATTTTTCAATGAGTAAATTTATATTGAAAAACATTTAAAACAAACATTTTAAAAAACCAGAAAAACATGTAAACAATTAAATATTTATGGGAAAGTTAACATGTTTTTGGAAAATCAGAATTACACAAACAATTTCAGAATTCGAATTAAACAAATACAAATCAGAATAAAACATTTAATAAACATGTTTTGAATCAGCCAAACATTTTTAAAAATGTTTATGACATTTACAAATGTTTTGAAACATTTTAAATGTTTTGGAGACATTTACAAATGTTTGGGAAACATTTATAGATGTTTTGGAGACATTTATAGATGTTTTACAATTTTTAACAAGTTGTAAAAACACTAACAAATGTTTTTGTAAAATTGTAAAAACATATAAATGTTAACTGTCTTCTCAAAACATTGACAAATGTTTTGTATAAGCTTAAAACATTAACAAAACATTTTCTAAAAAACATGTTTATAAACATTTTACAACTTGTTTTTACAATTTATTTAGAAATGTTTCCGAAACATTTTACAATTTGTAAAAACTTGTTTTTAAACTTTATATAGGTCAGTGTAACAATGTTCGTCGTCCATTTATCGGTGCAGCAGGCCAACCATTATCACGCCTTTTTCCTTCGCCTACTTATGCTGACAATGGATTGGGTGTACAACCTAGAAGACAAATTTCTCAATTTGGAGGAGGAAGTAATGCTGGAGGTGGAGAATTGCCTTCTGTTCGTCAAATTTCTTTAGAACTTTTTCAAAATTCAAAAGAAACAAATCCTTTTGGAGTAAACGAAATTGTTGCTTATTGGCTATATTTTGTTGGATCTGATTTGGTTAATATTGCACCTAATCAATGTTTAATTAAAGGTTTTTCACTTTTTTTTGAATTTAAAATTTATTTTTTTTCTGGGAATTTTTCGACTTTATTCTTATTTTTTATTTTATTTTTCTTTATTTTCACTCCTAACAACTATATCAAAAGGTGACTAATTTTTGGATAGGTGTTCCATTAGGACAGGACTCCCACCTTCTTTTAAATTTTTGTCGGAAGACTCCAAGCCTTTCGAGTCATTAATCAAGTTCTCAAACTTGTTAACTTCCCATAATTTTTTCTGATTGATATTTAGTTGCCAAAATTTAAGGAGGGATAAAAAATATAAGCATGAACTTCTTAAAGTTTTTTAAATTCACAAAAAATTTTCTGTTATTTTAAAGGAACTTCTGTTGCTTTTCCTTGCTGTACTCCTGGTTTTGCCCATGCTGATTGTGATCCTATTGATATACCTTCTAGTGATCCGATATATGGGTATGTTTTTTTGATTATTAGAAAAATTTTTCGTTTCTTCTAGACCAGCTCATATAACCTGTATTCCACATTCGCGTACTTTACCTGCTCCGCGTGATCAATGTGCTTTGGGTCCCAGAGAACAAGCCAACCATGTTTCAAGCTTTTTAGATGGAAGTCAAATATATGGTTTTTATATTTTATTATTTAAAAAAATTGTTTTGGAATTTTTTGAAATTTTCCAAAAAAATTTTTCTGACCCAAAAAGTTTTTAGTTGCCAAAATTTAAGGAATTTTTTCAAAAAAATTTTTTTAGGTATTTCTGAAATTTTGTGGAAAAATTAATTTTTTTTTTTCAAAATTTAAAAGGTTCTTCTTACGAAATATTGGAACGTCTTCGAGCACCAGGAGAATCTGGCCGATTATTAATTTCTAATAATGAAAATAATTTGTTGACAGTGGTATTTTTTAGTTTATTTTTAGTCATTTTTTAGAAAATTAAAAAAATTTCTAAATAATTTTTTTGGAAATTTTTAGGAATTTTTTTTAAATTTCTTTTTAAAAATTTTGAAGAAAAATTTTTTTTTAATTTTAGGATCCTTTAAGCAGCGATTATTGCCAATCTCCCGACAAACAAAAACAACGTTGTTTTTTGAGTGGAACTCCCGATGTAAATTTACTTGCTGGTATTACTCTGTTACACACTATTTGGGTTAGACAACACAATAAATTGGCTGATGGACTTAGAGTTTTGTGGAATTTTTTATTTAAAAAAAATTTTTTTTATAAAGGAAATGAATAGGCATTGGAATGGTGATAGAATATTTAATGAAGCTAGACGAATTGTAATTGGTATAAATTTATTTTAAAAAATAATTTTTTCAAATTTTCAATTTTCTAGCTCAAATGCAACATATTATTTATGCAGAATTTCTTCCAATATTATTAGGAATAGATGCTGTCAGGTATTTTAATTTATTTTTTTAATTGAAAATTTTTTTGATTTTTTGAAATTTTTTTTTCAAAATTTAAAAAATTTTGAAAAAAAAATTATTTTTTTTTCCAGAAAATTTCAACTTAATTTAACACCTCCTGGCTCATTTAGCAGTGATTATGATATTGATGTAGATGCAACAACATTAAATGAATTTGCAACAATTGTAATACCTGTCGCCTTTTCATTACTTCAATCTATTAATAATTCATCCACAACAACAACAAATTTATTTAATAATCCTTCTCGTCTATATGAACAACAAGGAGTTGAACAACTTGTTAGGTAAAATAATAAACATGTTTTGTAATTCTGATTTTTGGGTTTAAATGTTTTGCAAAAGTGTTTGTGTGTTGTTTTTGTTGTTTTTATTAAATTCTGATTTTGTTGTTTTTACTAAATTCTGGTTTTTAAACATTTGTTTTTATTAAATTCTGGTTTTTAAACATTTGTTTTTATTAAATTCTGGTTTTTAAACATCTGTTTTTACTGGTGATGTTTTTAATGTTTTTAAAATATTCTGATTTTGAGATGTTTTTATTAAATTCTGGTTTTGTTGTTTTTACTAAATTCTGGTTTTTAAAAACATTTGTTTTACTGGCGATGTTTTAATGTTTTTATTAAATTCTGATTTTTTTTTGTTTTTATTAAATTCTGGTTTTTAGAACATTTGTTTTACTAATGCGGTTTTTAATGTTTTTAAAATATTCTGATTTTGATTTGTTTTTAAGTATTTTTGATTTTTTCTGTATTCTGTTTAGTTCAATTTTATTCTGATTTGAATGTTTATTGTAAAATTCTGATTTATTTCAAGTGTTTTGCAAATATGTTTTGTTCTTAAGTTGTTCTGATTTTAATGTTTTGAGTTTATATTAAAATGATTTGACAAAAACAAAGTTGTTGTTGTTTTCTGACTGTGTTTTATTTTTACCAAGAGAAAGTTTTGATTTTTTTTGATGTTTTAGTTGTTGTCGTCATTTTTCAGTTGTTCTGGTTTTATTGTTTTCGGAACAAATTTATTATCTTTATTTAAATTTTAAGCGAACTGCATAGTCGACAAGCTGAACGTCCCGGTCTTAAAATTGATTTAAACTTTCGTGGTCATTTTCTTCAAGCAAACACTGCTAATGTTGGATTAGACTTGATATCTATTGCTCTTAAACAAGAACGGGATCATGGCCTTCCAAGTTATAATTTAATGAGGGTTAATTGTGGACTTGAAAAGTTACAATCATTTGGAGAAATGCGTTTAATATTAATTAATGAATCTGTAGCTGATCAATTGGCTACAATTTATGAACATGTTGATGGTTGGGGATTTGATAATTTTTTAAATTTAATTTTAAAGGAGTCATGAATTCTCAATTTTACAGGGCCCATTTTTCATTTATTTCTTCCTTGTTTTTCTTTTTTCCTCGATGCATCTACCTAATTTTCCAAAATTTTCCAGCATAATTCAGAAATATGAGGGAGTGTAGTTAAATGACTCATACATACACAGGATTTCTATAAAAAAAGTTCAAGTGCCCCTCGAGTCGTGCACTGACACTAGACCTCAATACATGCATTAACCAGAGGAAGGAATTAAAAAGTAAAATCAGAGGTAAAATTAAGGAAAAATGGGGGAAGAATAAATTAAAATTGTAGCACCCAGAAAAATTTTTTTCAAATTAAAAAAAAATTTTTTAAATATTTTTTAGATATTGACTTACTTGTTGGAGTGTTAGCTGAACGTCCATTAAAAGGAGCATTTTTAAGTCAAACTTTAAGTTGTATTATTGGACGTCAATTTCAACGAGTAAACAAAAATATTTTTTTAATTTTTAATTTAAATTTATTTTTTAGACAAAAATTGGTGATCGTTATTGGTATGAAAACTTTTTTGCTCCATCAGCATTTAGTGAAGAACAATTGGCACAAATTAAGAAAACTACTTGGGCTAGAGTGGTAAGAAAAAAAAATTTTTTTTTTGAAAATTAATTTTAATATTATTTTTAAAGCTTTGTAATGTAACAAACATTAAACAAATTCAACTTTCATCATTTTTACATTCTGATATTTTTGAGTTTGTTTTATTACTTTTTTTTTATTGAAAAATAATTTTTACTAAAAAATTGGCATGGGATGGATGGGATTTTAAGGGATATCGTCCCAGAATCCAAAGTTTTAAGCTATGAACTGGAGCTTTATTTATCCCTGAGATGTGTGTGTGTGTTTGAGAGTCTTGAAAACTCAATCCACTCAATCTCATTTTTTGGGATCATGAGAATATCAGTGTTGAATTGTATTACACGAAACCCGGAGCTTTTTTTCCGAAGATAATTTTGAAAACTCGATTCGACTTTTTTCCCTACCAAACATATCCCTGATGAAAATGCGGGATTTTGTCCATTTTTAATTTTATTTTTATTTTCAGAAATACTCCTTTACCTTGTGAGTCATCAATTCTTCCAAATTTTGATTTGGAACCTTGGCGTGATCCAGAATCGCCATTACGTTTGCCTATAACTGATGAAACTATTAAAAAAGTCGTACAATTAGCAGAATTAAATTTACAAGAACAAAGACGTAGAGAAGCTAGAAATATACAAAAAAGTAACGGGGTTTTTTTAATTTTTAAAATTTTGAAATTAAAGTTGGGAGAATCTTTTTTAGGTTCCATAATATCACTCAAAAATGGATTTTTCTCTCACCAACCCAAAAAAAATTTTTTTAGTAAATGTGGAGGGAAAAGGGTGTCCTATGTAGATTTTCGTATGGCTCTCGGGGTTTTTCAAAAAAAATTTCGGTTTATTGGTCGGGTATTTTTATGTACTCTCACGAAAATGTTACACAATATGCATTAATCATAATTAAAAAAAATTTTTTTTGTTCTTTTTATAGATCAATCAACTTTACGTTTTGGTGATCCTCTTTTTGCTTATTCTAATGTATTTTTTTTAATTTAAAATAAAAAAAATTTTTTAATTTTAAAGATGATGCGTGCTAAACCACATTCAAAAGCACATGCACGTGTTTCAGCTATTTTGCTTGAATCAACACGAATATTTGCTAGCGGGTAAACACATAAATAGATTATTTAAATATGATCAAATAATATAAAAATTCGATTAAATATAACAAAAAAAAATTTTTTTATAATTTTTTTTCTAGTCAAAAATTGGTAGATGGTGAACAATTACCTTCCCTTGATATTGGTAAAATTTGAAAAAAAAAATTTTTAATTAAAAAAAAATAAAATTTAAAGATTCACTTCAACGTTTATTACCAAATATTGAAGTTGGTCGTTTTGTTTCAAATTATACAGCTTTTCTAAGTGAAGATGGACAAGCTACTAAAGACGATTGTTTACCTAGATTATTGCCTTGTGATCATTCAAGCCGTTATCGAACATTTTCTGGGTGGTGTAATAATCTTAAGTAAGTGTTTGAAAAGAAAATAAACTTTTTTTGCGAAACAATTACAATTTGTAAAAGAAATTTGTAAAAACATTTTGGGATGAAATTTATAAAACTTTGTTTTTACAAAAAAAAAACAAAGTTTTAATAAAAGTTTAATACAAATTGTAAAATGTTTGTTGTGTAAAACTAGTTGCAAAACAAGTTGTAAAACAAGTTTTGAGATGTTTTATTAAAACTTTGTTTTAAAAAATGTTTTAATAAACATTGTAAAATGTTTTGGTTGTAGCAAAAACAAGTTGATAAATTATAATTTGTAAAAACAAATTGTAAAATTAATTTAAAATGTTTTTTTTATTAAAGATATCCACACTATGGAAATGCTTTTACACCTTTACGACATTTGCTCCATCCTGCTTATGATGACGGTTTTGATGCTCCAAGAAGTCGTGCTAGAAGTGGTCGTCCATTGCCTTCACCTAGACGTATTTCTAATGCTGTTCATATTGATAGAGAAATTGTACATGCAAAATTTACACATATGGTAAGTTTTTAAAACTTTTTTTACAAGACGACTTTTACAATTCAAGCATTATATTTTTACAAATTATAAAGCATGTTTTATAATTTGTAAAACGTGTTTTACATTTTATGTTTTATTGAAATTAAATAAAACATGTTTTACAATTTCCAAGTTTAATTTTTACAAATTGTAAAGTTTATTTAAGACGACTTTTACAATTCAAGCTTTATTTCTTTACAAATTGTAAAATAGGTTTTATTTAAAACAATATAAGTGTTTTACAATTTGTAAAATTCATTTTACAATTTAAGTTTTATTAAAATCAAATAAAACAAATTTTACAATTTCAAACTTTAATTTTTACAATTTGTAAAGTTTATTTAAAACTTGACTTTTACAACTCAAGTTTTGTTTTTTTACAAATTGTAAAATAAGTTTTATTAAAATAATATCTAACAATAAGTATTTTACAATTTGTAAACTTTATTTTTCAATAAAGTTTATTTTTTATAATTTGTAAAATGTTGTTTTAGGTAATGCAATTTGGCCAATTACTCGACCATGAGATGACACATTCCCCAATAAATAGAGGCCCAAATGATGAAATTTTAAATTGCACACCTTGTGATTCTGCCCAAACAATTTCTGTTCATTGCATGCCTATTAGAGTGGAGGATGGTGATCCGCATTTTCCCAGTCATTTACCCAATGGAGAGCCTCGTTGTTTACCTTTTGCTCGCTCACTTCTCGGTCAACTTCAACTTGGATATAGAAATCAAATGAATCAAATAAGTGCATTTATTGATGGTTCTGTTGTCTATGGTTCTACACGGTGAACTTTATTCAAAATTTAAAAAAAAAATTACAATTTGTAAAAAATAAACAGAACATTTTACAATTTGTAAAAAGAAATAAAACCTATTTTTACAATTTGTAAAATAATAATAAACCTATTTTACAATTTGTAAAAAAGTTTTAAAACAATTTTACAAATTGTAAAAAACACAAAATGTATTTTACAATTTGTAAAAAGATAAAACTTATTTTTACAATTTGTAAAAAAATAAAACTTGAATTGTAAAAGTTAAGTTTAACGTTTATTTTTTTGTTTAGTTGTGAATCCAATCAGTTGAGGCTGTTTAGACGTGGATTGCTCAATTTTACTGATTTTGGTACTTGGAATCCCATGGCATTGCCGCAAGGATCGCAAGTAATTTTTTTATTTTTTTTGAAAAAAAATTTTTTTTCTTTCAAAGGAAAAAGATTGTCGTTCATTACCAAATTTCCCTTGTTTTGTTGCTGGTGATGAACGTAATAGTCATCAACCTGGTTTAACAGCAATGCATACAATAATGTTAAGAGAACATAATCGAATTGCTGAAAAATTGGCTAAATTAAATTTACATTGGGACGATGAAAAAATCTTTCAAGTAATTTTAAAAACTTTTAAAAATTTTTTTTGAAATTTTTTGTTTCAAGGAAACGAGAAGGATTTTTATTGCACAAGAACAACATGTTGTTTTTAATGAATTTTTACCTAAAGTTATTGGATTTGATTTGTTACATGAATATGACTTGGTTTATAATTTTATTTTATTTAAAAATTTTTTTAATTAAAAATTTTTTTAATTTATAGGTACCTTTAAAAACGGGATATTACACTCGTTATGATGAAACTTGTGATCCCGTAAGTTTTAAGTTTACAAACATTTTGTAATTGTTTTATGTTTTTGTAAATGTTTGAATATTTTATTTGGTGTTTTTTTTGCTTGTTTTGTTCAATGTTTTTCTTAAATATATGTTTTAAACAATGTTTTGTTTTCAAGTTTGTTTGTCAATGTTTTGTTTGTTTCTTGTTTTATTCAATGTTTTCTTTGTTTGGTTTGTTCAATGTTTTTTGTTTAATAATGTTTTTTTAAATTTGTTTAGTTGCTTGTTTTATTGTTGCTTTACTAATGTTTTGTTCAATGTTTTGTTTAATAATGTTTTTTTCATTTTGTTTGTCTGCATGTTTTATTATTGCTTTATTACTGTTTTTCAATGTTTCTTATGTTTTGTTTAATGTTTTAATGTTTTGTTTGCTGTTTTATTTAATGTTTTATTTAATGTTTCTTTTTATGTTTTGTTTGATGTTTTGTTTCAAATTTTTGTTTTTACCTATTAATGTTTGATGTTTTGATTGTTGTTTTAATTCATATAAATTACACAAACATTTATTTATTTTTCAGGCAATTTCTCACCCATTTGCTACAGCAGCTTTTCGTTTTGGTCATACTTTAATTCGTCGAATGTTTCCACGTTTAGATACAAATTTCCACAAAATGAGTGAACCTGTAGATTTGGCAAAACATTTTGGATTTGTTGAGCCTCTTTATAATAAAACTAGTGGAGGTTTGGGTTAAAAAAATTTTTTTTTGAAATTTTTGGAAATTTTTTTGAAAAATTTCTTGAAATTTTTTTTAGATTTTTTTGAATTTTTCAAAGTTTAAAAATTCAAAAAAAAATTCTTTTTCAAAAAAAGGACTCGATTCAATGCTTCTCGGTTTATTTGGCACCCCAGCAATGGCTTTTGATAGACACATTACAAATGCAGTTAGAGACATGTTGTTTGCTAGGCGTGATGAACCTACTTCTGGAATGGATTTGGTTTTTATTTTTTGATTTTTTTAAAAGAAATTATTTTTTCAAGATTGCTATAAACATGTTAAGGGCCCGAGATCATGGTGTTCAGCCATACAACAAATTTAGGTGCTTTTTTAAATTTTATTTGAATTATTTTTTAAAAAATAATGAAGGTTAGGAGGAATTTAAGAAATTTTTCTCGTAAGAATTTAGTTGGAAAATTCTAAAAAATTTTTTTCAAAAATTAAAAAAAATATTTTCTAAAGACCTCTTTGTGGACTTCCACTTGCTCAATCCTTTGAAGATTTACGTGATGTAATGGACGAAACAGCAATTTCTGCTCTTCGTTCAGTTTATGAACATGTTGATGATATTGATTTATTTCCTGGATTAACAAGTGAAAGGCCTAGACAAGGAGCTTTGGTTTGGGTTTTTTTAATTTTTTTTTAAATTTTTCTTAAAATAGTCTGCAAGTTATACTTAACCGATTCGAAATCTCAAACAAAAGTCTTGATTATCGAATTTCTCGAGTATAACCCCCCTCCCCATGCCGGTTTCTGCTTTTTTATATCACCCATATAAAATATCGTTTTTTAAAAGGTTGGTTGGCCATTGGTGATTGGGGAAACTGTGACCTTTTCTTTAGGATACCTCTCAACGCAATGGTTTCTGATAGGTGTACTTAATGAGATTTAATTTTGGTTTCCTATTATTTTTTGATAAAATTAATAGTAAGACTTGAGGATAAACTTACAAACATTTTTTAATTTTAAAAGGAAAAAATTAATTTTTAAAAATTAATTAATTTTTTAGTTAGGCCATACAATGTCATGCCTTTTAGCAGAACAATTTAGACGTTTAAAAAAATGTGATAGATTTTATTATGAAAATGATAATTTTGCTGCTAAATTTACGCCTGGTAAATTAATTTAATAAAAATTTAATTAAAAATTTAATTTTTAAGCCCAACTTTCACAAATTCGTAAAATTCGTCTTTCCAAAATTTTGTGTCAAAATTCACCAATTATACAAAAAATACAGCCAAATGTATTTGATATACAAGATGATTTAATTAATGCGCCAGTTAATTGTAATGATTTGGAAGAAATTGAACTTGAAGCTTGGAGAGAAAAATGTTTGTAAAATTTAAATAAACATTTTTTTTAAAGTTTTACAATTTTACAAATTCAAGTTTATTTAATTTTTAATATTGTAGCATATTGTGAAATTAATGGGTTGAAAATTGAACAAGGAGAAAATAGGTAGGTTTATTTTATTTTTACAAATTGTAATATTCAAGTTTATTTAGAATAAGTTTATTTTTGTATTTATATTTTTTTACAATTCTACAAATCCAAGTTTATTTTTTTATAAACTTGTTTAGGATAGGTTTATTTTACAATTTATTTCTACAATTTTACAATTCAAGTTTTATTTTTCTAATATTAGTCAGAATAAGTTTATTTTTGAGTTTTTACAATTATTAAGTTTTGTAAAAACTTTACAATTATTCAATTTATTTTTATAATTTATTCTTAAAGGAGAACAACGCCTTGTGTAACTTGTACCTGTACTGCTGAAGGAGTAAAAAAATTTTCTTAATTTAAAAAAAAATTAAAAAAATTAATTTAAAGCCTGAATGTCAACCTGTCCAAATGGATAGCTTTGAATGTTCACAGCTTTTTAATAAATATGATAAAAAATCAATTTTAAAGGTTTTTCTTAACAATTTTGTTGAAAAATTTTTAAAATTAATTTTTTTTAAAAGGATGCTACTTGCGCAATTCAATGTGCACAAGAGCTTTCAGTATTAGATTCAGCAGAAAGTAAAGAGGATCTTTAAAAAAATATTTTTTAGTCAAAATTAGAAATTTTTTTAAAGCTTTTTTAATTTATTGTACAAAATTGTTGTTTAAATTATTTTTTAGTTTAGAGAAAAAAAGTTTTACAATTATTTTTACAATTTGTAATTCTATTAGCTAAGTTTTTAAATGTTTTTACAAATGTTTAGGTAATTTTAAATTATTCTGATTCTAATGTTTTTATTAAATTCTGATTTTTGTTTGTTATTTGTTTGTGTGTTTTCAAGTTGTTCTGTTTTTGATGTTTTTTGGAAATTCTGGTTTTTATAACATGTTTTATTCTAGTGTATTTTAATGTTTTTAGATTGTTCTGATTTTGATGTTTTTATTAAATTCTGGTTTTTGTTTGTTATTTGTTTGTTTGTTTTAAAGTTGTTCTGATTTTGATGTTTTCTGGAAATTCTGATTTTTACAAATTGTTTTTCTAGTGTGTTTTAATGTTTTTAGATTGTTCTGAATTTGATGTTTTTATTAAATTCTGATTTTTTATTAAAACTTGAAGTGAACTAAGAAGAAAGAGAGAAGGCAGACAGTTGGAGAGTTTTTGGATGAAATGTCATTTAATTTAAAAAGAAGACATTTTGCCAATTCTTTTTAATTTTAAAATTTTAATTTTTTATTTTCTTATTTTTCTATTCTTTATTTTATTTTTTTCTAATCAAAGTCCGCCAAAATTTTCTCTAAATTTTTTCCTTTTTTTAATTATTTTGTTTTTCAACCATAAAAAATTTATTCTTTACTCAGTACTTTTTTCAAGTATTTCCTTCTTTTATTTTTTTAGTTATTCTTTCTTTTTATTTTTTTCCTTTTATTCTTTTGATGCCCTACTAAAAAATAGTCCAGTCTTTTAACCCTCAAGTCCAACCCTCTTTTCTTTTTCCCACTCATTACGTAATTGATTATTTAATTTATTATGTGTGATGGTCAGTTAATTTTTATTTTTTCTTTTTTTTTGTTTGTTTGTTAAATAAGTGCCCTATAATCATAAACAAAAAAGTCTTTTTATTTCTTCTGAATCTTTTTACTTTTATTTTCCCCGTTTGAATTTTCCCTCTAATAAATTTTATTTTTTATTTTTTTAAGAAATTTTTTTTCTTCCAAAAAATTCTTCAATTGCTTCAAATTTTCTTCTCGTCTCTTCCAATATTTTTTTTTAAATTTCAACAACTTAATTCAATTTTTGTTTGTCTACAAAAGAATTTGTGTCCGTTTAATTGTTCAATACTTGCTGGTGCTAATCTTTCCAGGACAATGGTCATAGGCTGGTTTATTTTTTAATAAAATTTTATTTTATATAAATCACACGTTTGTGAACCCCTCATTTTTAGATAGCTCCTCGGAGTTGGAAGAAGTTGTATGTTTAATTATGTTGTGGAGTCCACCCCTGAAGACCTACACCCCCAAGACCTACACCCTGAGGACCTACACCCTGAAGACCTATTTACCCTGAAGACCTACAACTTTTTGATCAACACAATTTTTATTTTTTATTTCTTTACAAGTCTAATTGGGGGATTTATAGGAGGTAAAGAGAAACTAGGAGGGATTATGGGGGATATCGATGGATTTGAAGGTTTTAAAGGAGATAAAGATGGATTGAGGGGGATATCGAGGATTTTGAGGTTTTAAAGTGGACAGAGGGATTTATAGGGATAAATAGGATCTTCTGGTATCATCGATATCCCCTACTATAAATAGTTTGAGTTGATCAAAAAGTTGTAGGTCTTCAGGGTAAATAGGTCTTCAGGGTGTAGGTCTTCAGGGTAAATAGGTCTTCAGGGTGTAGGTCTTCAGGGTAAATAGGTCTTCAGGGTGTAGGTCTTCAGGGTCAGTAGGTCTTCAGGGTGTAGGTCTTCAGGGTAAATAGGTCTTCAGGGTGTAGGTCTTCAGGGTAAATAGGTCTTCAGGGTGTAGGTCTTCAGGGTCAGTAGGTCTTCAGGGTGTAGGTCTTCAGGGTAAATAGGTCTTCAGGGTGTAGGTCTTCAGGGTAAATAGGTCTTCAGGGTGTAGGTCTTCAGGGTCAGTAGGTCTTCAGGGTGTAGGTCTTCAGGGTAAATAGGTCTTCAGGGTGTAGGTCTTCAGGGTCAGTAGGTCTTCAGGGTGTAGGTCCTCAGGGTGTAGGTCTTGGGGGTGTAGGTCTTCAGGGTTGACCCCATGTTGTGTCTTGGGGTAGTTGTGGGGTATTTTGACGTCTTCCCAGTGATTATTTTATTCTCCTTCCTTCTACCCAGTGGCCAGCCTTGTTTTAATAAAATTTAAAATTATCCTATTTTGGAATTATCTAAAAATGAGGTGTGTGTCTGATTGTTTCTTATGTTTCAACGTACCCATTTACAAGTTTTTTTTGAAAATTTTTTTTCATGAGTTTTTCTATCCGGTTGGGTTGATTCGAGCTGCTTACTCTTTCTATCCGTCTTACACTCTTTATTTTTTTTTCTTTTTAAATATTTTCAATTTCATAAGCGACATACAATAATAATGGGACACGCCCAAAACAACGCGGGCCAAAACTACGCGACCAAAACTACGCGACCGAAACTACGCAAGCCAAAACTACGCAAGCCCAAAACTACGCACGCCCATAACTACGCAAAACTAACTATTTAGTAATGTCCGACAAAATCAATTTTTTGATACGAAAACCGGATTTTAAATTCCATGCTCGTGCCGGACCGGTTCCGTTTGAATTTTTCCGAGTTCCGGGTATTTCCCGGAAATATTTTTCGAATTACGGAAATTATTTTCAGGAAAATGGTTCCGGAATGGTACAGATTTTCCTGAATTTTCCGGATTTTCAGAAACAATTTTCCGGATTCCAAAGAAAGAATCATCAGAGAGTGAGTGATCAACTGATAAAGGTTGATCATCAGAAAGTGATTAATTGATCAAAAGCAGATTTTCAAATTGAATGTACTAAATAGTTTTGCGTAGTTTTGGGCTTGCGTAGTTTTGGCCTTGCGTTGTTTTGGCCTGCGTAGTTTCGGTCGCGTAGTTTCGGTCGCGTAGTTTTGGCCCGCGTTGTTTTGGGCTGTACCCAATAATAATAACAGATTTATGGCATATTAGTAGTAACCCCCACCCTTTTGTCCCAGTTGTGAGGTGGAAATTTTATGGGTGTATTTCTCCCCACAACCATCTGTCCCATTTGAGAAGTAAATTTCCAACGTGTCCCGATTATAAGGTGCAAAATTTTATTGGTTGCATTTCCCCTACACTCAACTACCCCAATCTAGTAGTAATCCCCCTTTTGTATTGAGGGATGTGTCGGCAAATCAAAGACCACCCTTTTGTCTCACCCTTTTGGCTCATTTAATTTTCCCGCACCACCCTTTTGTCCCAGTTGTGAAGTGGGACAATTTGTACGTGTATTTACCTTACCACCACCATGCCCCAATTGAGAAGTAAATTTTCAACTTGTCTCAGTTGATAATTTTATTTTGTGAATTGTCCGACACCCAACTGTCCCAGTTGAGAATTAAGTTTCCAAAATGTCCCACAACATAACCCACTTGTGATGTAAAATATTTTATGGGTGTATTTCTCCTACACTCACCTACCCCAATCTAGTAGTAAACCCACCCCAAATGTTACAAACGTTACACCCCATTTGATCACCTGTCAATCAAACCTGAGGCTATAGGGGGTATTTTCTTTTGATCTTTGCCGCAAACCCTTTGCTTTTGGAAGGGTTTGAGGGTAATTAATCATGATTAATTAGGGTAATTAATCATTGATGATTAATTGCTTTTTTGGTTACATTTTGTGGGAAGTGACAGGTTTGATGTTTGTGGTGTCTGGGTGGTCGGTTGCAACATTTGGAGGGTAAAATAAAAATTTTTAAATTATTTTTTTGAAAGTGCGGTAAAATAAAAGAGTTGTCAAAAGGTTTTGGATGGGTGAAAATGCGGTAAAATAAAAGAGAGGTAAAAAGAAATGAATTTTTGGGTTTTCAATTATCTATGTGGGTTGATTTAAGGGAAATATTTAATTGAAATGTTTCGAATGATTGAGAGGTGATTAGGTACATTAATAAGTATAAAGGGCGCGATTGATAAGTGATAGGGGTGGGAATTGATAATTAAAATATGAAAAAGTTTAAAAGGGTAATATTTTTGTTTATTAATAAAAACTTTTATAAAATTAAAAATAAAATCCCCAAGCGGAATCGAACCTTCACCATTGTGGTTTTTTCGTATGCGGGAACTTTATCCATTCGGTCAAAGGGGTGTACTTAAGTTTAATCAAATAATTTGATTTTTTATTTATATTAATATCTCTGTGTATTTTGGGGGAGGGGTGGAGGATTTAAAATTTCAAAATTTCGAAATTTCGCAATTAAAATTTTAAAAAATTAAAATAAATTTAAATATATAAATAATTAAATAAAAATGATAATAAAAAATTTTTTGCAAAATTTTTACAAAAAAAATAAAATGATTTTAAAAAAAGGGCGGAAGTTCAAATGTAAGGGGATTTATTCAAAATGCCAAATTTCAAAATTTGGCGGGAATTTAAAGTTTAAAAATTTGGTGGGAATTTCAAAATTGAAAAATTTAAAAAAAAATTTAAATTTAAATAAAATTTAAATAATAATCAAATAAAAAATGGAGGAAGAAATAAAATTTTCAAAATTTTACAAAAATTTAAAATGATTTGCAAAAAAGGGTTGAAATACAATGTAAGGGATAGTACATGAATTAGAAAGAAAACAAATTTAAAAAATATAAGTTAATGTTAATGAGTTCTAAAGGAAATATTATTGTTCTCTAACACATCTCTAACACATCTTATTGTTCTCTAACACAATGAGTTCTAAAGGAAATATTATTGTTCTCTAACACATCTCTAAAACATCTTATTGTTCTCTAACACAATGAGTTCTAAAGGAAATATTATTGTTCTCTAACACATCTCTCCAACCTGTCAAGAAAATTTCGTAATTAGGTTATACTTCTAAAATCTGGAGTATAAAAGGGAAGATTTTTTTTATATTTTTAATCATTTGATATAAAAACAAAAATATTTAAAATTATTATGTCTTTTAATAATGAAGAAAACGGACCTTCTCCAAGCAAACGCCCAAGATTCCTCATCCGGAATCTCTTTCCTCACTTATTCAACGATATACAAAGCGGTGCGGGGACGACAAATTTTAATAATTACTACCGCCAAATCGATTATGAAACGCAGTTTAACAAAAAATTTAAAATGATGGGAACAACTGGAAAGTTTATTATTGAGAAATTACCGGGAAACCCGGAGGAATTATTGAGAAAAATAATTCAAGACTGCATGGATCAAACCGTAGAGGAATCAAAGAATCAGTTAATTAATCCTGACCGACTAGGCGCAATAATTTCTTCACAGTTACTTGATAATGATATTTGGATACCAATTAGAAAGCTAGAAAAAGATACAATAGACAACATATTAA